TTGGGTGCGTTATTTACCATAAATTACAAGGAATTTCCTATTCTTTTTTCTTCTGCTTGTTCTGCATGCATGCCCCTTTCTAATTTACCTCTTGTGTGCCACAATTGCTTCGTTGTCGCAATGTGTGGCATTAATTTCTGCAACTTATGCGGCCACATCGACCCCCTTTCGCCTAACCACCACCCCTCCCACCGTATCTTGCCGGCCATAAATTACAGCAAACATTTGCCACACTTCCGCTAGCGGCGTTCTGACCACGTTCCCGTTTCAAGTGGCATGTCTGCAGTTGTGTTGCAAGCAACTACTAGAACTTGCTTGCAGCTATTTTCGTGCCTTAAGTCGGCTTATGGCACTGTCGGCTCTCTTCCCTCGGGTGGCTTATCTACATGCCTTTCCCAAAAGGGTTGCACACTACCCTCCCCCAACCCCACCAAATTGCTTTAGTGAAGTTTGTCAAGAAAATCAATATATAAGTTTTGCCCCGCATTCTCTTTTCGTTACTCTGTTTCCTTTTGTTATCGTCGTCGTCGTCCATGGCAATAAGATTTAAAATGTCCACAATGTGTCCACCAAGCCTCCAGCCCAGGCTGCCTTCTCCACAGCTCGCCCGCACCACCCACTCTCTCTATAGCTATGCCCTTGTGAAGCTTCTTGAAATTTAAAATTCAAGCGAGTCGACTTAAGCCTCAGTGACTTTAGTAATAAATGATATTAATAATATTATTTTCCTAAAAATAGAATTTCAAATAAATGTGTATTTTGATTTTGTGGCTTCAAATAGAAATTTAAATGGTGTTTTAAAGCTTTAAGTGTTTTCCTCTATAATTAAAAGAATAAACTTATATATTTAATTTATATATATATAAAGCTTATTAAAGCATCAAGCGTTGTATAAATTATTATTGTTCACTCTTTCACAGTAATAATAAATACGATCACTTTAATCTAGTGTCATTTGAAAGTTCTGCTGCTTGTATAGCTGGTGTCATTGTGGATTTGGGTGCTTTAACAACTGCCATTTGATGGCAAGCAACCCCCAAAAGCAGCAGAAGCAGCAACAGCAAACAGAGCACACTCTCCTCTCGCTGACCCCACACTCCTTGCCCCCTCCCTGCCACACACCGTCTGGCCATTTGAACTGCATTGTAATTCCAGTTGCAGACACCATCGTCGTTCATCGTCCGTCCGTCCCCCATGCAGACATAATGTCTGACTGCTGGCTGGCTGGCTGGCTGAAGTCCCCTCATTCTCAATATGGGCGAAAAGCGATTTATTTCGCTTTATCAGCAATTTTGATTTTCTTTTGTGCGCCCTCCTGTTATTGAAAGCTGCATTAAATTGGTCGCGCCAGGCATTTGTCATATCGCTGATTTACTAACCTTACACCAAACATTATCTCTTGGCCTACAACCAGAAAAGCAGACACACAGCGAAAATTTATTGAAATTTCTTATTTACTCAAAATGGGAGTTATATATATGAAAAAAAAAGTTTAATAATGCGAGTATCAATACAAATCGATTTATCGATAGTACATCTATAATTGTAGAGATAATAATTGGCAGAGCCAGGATATCTCTTAGTCGAGGCATCTGTACTGTCGAATTCTAACCTGTATGGCACACTACACAGATCAAATTATTGCACTCGTTATACGAATATCGATACAAATCGATTACCGACAGCACATCTATGCAATTACAAGGGTATCGGTTAGTCGTAGCTGTTTCGACCTGTAGCAATCTAGCTTATATGGTATCTCCAAGTCAATTACTATGACATTTTTCTCTGTGTGTGGAAACTCACCCAATATTAAACACACACCTCGCCGCCCACCCTTCCGCACTGCACGGCAGTAGCTGTAGTTAAGGGTGCAAACAAACAAACCAAAAAAATGAATTCGCATAGAATAGTAACTAACGGGAACGGCACACACAGAGCAGCACAAGTGCCGGGCCATGTATTTGCGGCTTGTTTGAGACCACGTTGTTGTTTACATATTCCGGGCGTCAACATAAAATTTATTGAGGTAGTTACCAAGCAAAAAAAAAAAAAAAAAAAACCATGCAAATTTCTGTTTTTATTCTTTTTGCTGCATTCTCTCGTTTTTTATGCAACCAAGGGCGGAACTTGAAATGGAACTCTGCTGGCTGCAACAACAAACATGCATTCAAAATGATGTTCACAGACAGGATAAAAAATAAAATAAAAAAGCTGAAATTTGCACAGAAAAATATGTGCAAATTGAATATGTGTGGTGCAGGTCAGAGAGTGTTGTGTGTGTGAGGGGGTGTGATGTGCTTTAGGGGTGAGAATTGGACATGAATACGGTTATGAGAATGCCTCTACACATGTAATAAGAGAAGCCCATGCAAGCGGACCTGGGGTTTTGAAACACAATATTCAAAACGAGACCTCGTTGCGGAATGTGGCTATCTCTGTACGGGCCCAGAGTATCACAAAAATAATGTGTAAAATATACACAAAAGTTTACTACAGTTACGTCAATGAGTTATTATGTGTACGTATGTGATTACGGCTCCTGAAAGAATATTTCAATTTGGCAAGCAAAGAGTACTGAAGCAGCAGCACTAGTAAATTGTATATCCTGAATTCATAAAAAAAATATGTTATAACAGGCAGAAGATGAACGGGCTTGGAAAATTGAACAGGTATCCAGCACATAAAAAAGAATGCCTTCACCTTTCACTGGCGGTATTTTGATAGTTGGAGAATTACCGCGAACCCTATTTCTACAGTGTTGCCAATGTCAAAACTGAACTGCTAAGTTTGTGATCGAAAATCGATAACATGCTTAAAGTATATGTCTCTACTAACATAGTCCACGCTATTTAATATACTCTTCCACAGCATAGTACAGCTCAATGGGGGGCACTTGCGACGCGCTGCTCCCTGTTGTGTTTGCAGCAAATAATGCGCCACATGCGGTTGCTGCCGCTGTCAACAGCACTTTTCACTTGCAGCTCGCTGCATTTTCACGCCCAGACAATTTTCAATAGTCAACACCGCCCTCCCTCCCCCACCAAGGGGAAGGCGTGTCTGTTGACTCGGCATTTTGGTCATATTGTTTTGGGTCACATTGCAATTTTAAATAGTTATCAGTGTTGATGGTGTTAGCAGGGACCCAAAGGAGGGAGGGCAACAGGGTTGTTATTTCAGAAATTATCGATATGTGGGCACAGCACGTGCATAATTGAAAATCAAGTCGGCTTTTGTCGTCTCTTTGTTTTTTGACATTACTCAAAACTTATTGTTTGCCAGTTGTGAAAAATTAGCTGTACAATTCGGGACTGTTTGTCTTACAACAATTAAAAAAAAATAGCAAAATTCAATTCCGAATACAAACATTTTCAAAAGGACAAAACTCGCATTTCTCTCTGGAATTAAATTGTTTTCCTCTTTTCGCAATGTTTCTTAACGTTTCGCAGCGGCAGGAGCAGCGCATCGACGCTGCAGCAGTGGCAGCGACATCGGCAGCAGCAAAAACAACGCTGTCAGCTGCCAACAACGAGATTAAGCCCCGCGACAGGGGCGCAAGTGAGTAATGACAACAACAGCAATAAATTCGACATAAAAAAGTATTTCAATGTCATGCGAAAGAACGATAGCAAAAAAGCAAGCAAAAAAAAGAAAGAAATAGCAATAGCCAAAGCCAAAGCAAAAGCGCAGAGTGAGCGCAGAGAGAGCCGTGGAGAGAGCAACAAACAAAAAGCAGCATTGAAAATTCTACATTTTGTTTGCAATGCAAAACAGAATTATGAACAGCGAACGCCTGCACACACCCCCCATCCCCCCAAGCATTCGTTCGTCACTGCTGCCCACGCGTGCTCGCTCTCTCCCGCTCTCTCTCACGTTTGGTCATTCATTTAACGCTCTTGGGCTCTCGCGCACATTGCGATCTTCGATAACTTTTTTTTTTCTTTTTGCCCACTGTAGTTACGCAATAATCGCGTTTTGTGTAGTTCTTTTCTCTATTTTTTTGTGTGTTTGCTTTTGTTTGAGCAATCGCCGCATACCAAACGCTCAAATAATAATATAGTTTTTATTGCTTGCTGATAATAGATTGGTTTCGCTCTGTGTGTGTGTGTGTGTGTGTGCGTATTTTCTACTTCTACTTGGCAACACTTCGTTTAATTTTGCATTATGACAGCTGCTTTTGCTCGGCTAGTGCACCTGTGCACAGTGACACAAGCATGAGAAAATAGTATGCACTTTGTTTTATTTAATTTGTTGTATTTTAATTATTTTGTATGTACATATAAATTAGTAGGTATATATAAAATAATAAATAGTAATAATAAAATAATATACATATGTCAAACATACAAAAAAAGCTCTTTTCAATACATTAGCTCGCAACCAGTTTTGCCTCGCGTCCTAATGACACACAACGCAACGCACACACACACACACAAACAAATACAAATGTCAACGTCACAGTATAGTTTCTATGGCTGCGTTTTGCAAGCGTGCCGTCGGCTCGGGTCGGTCGTCGTGTGTGTTCGTCGTGTGTCCGGCATTCGGACAGACGCACGCACATTTCGCGAACGCGCCTCTTTTCTATTGTTTACCTTTTGCTTTTGTTGTCATGCTCTCCTCTCTCCACTGCTGCTGCTGATTATCTCTGTCACGCACGCACTAATTTGTGCGTGCTGCGTTGTCTCTCTCTCTCTCTCTCTCTGTGTGCTCTTTTGGCCCACTCTGTTGATCATACGCAACGCACAATTTGTTTGAAGTCAATGAACTTATTCGCAAACTTCTCTCCCTCTCCCACGCTCTGATAGCTTTGTTGTCTGCCGTTCGCTCGCTCTCTCTCTGTCTCTGTCGCTCTTTGTGCGTGCGTTGCGAATTTTGTTCGCAAATACTCGCGACCCATTTTCAACATTTTTATTTTGTGCTTGTTCATTGAACTCTTAACGTACATAATTACGACTTTGGGGAATATAATTTCTCATTTTTATTTGTAATTGCAATTGCAGAAATGGCGGAAGGCAATGGCGAATTATTAGATGACATTAACCAGAAAGCCGATGACCGTGGCGATGGCGAACGTACAGAGGATTATCCCAAGCTGCTGGAATACGGTCTGGACAAGAAGGTATACACACAGATATATATACATAGTTGTATGTGCTTATTCTTAATTGTATTTTCAATTTTGAAGGTCGCCGGCAAACTGGATGAAATCTACAAAACCGGTAAACTGGCTCACGCCGAGTTGGATGAGCGTGCGCTGGACGCGCTCAAGGAGTTTCCCGTCGATGGTGCCTTGAATGTGCTTAGTCAGTTCCTCGAGTCAAATCTGGAGCATGTGTCAAATAAGTCTGCCTACCTGTGCGGGGTCATGAAGACCTATCGCCAGAAGAGTCGCGCCAGCCAGCAGGGTGTACCAGCGACCGCCAGCACCATACAGGTGAAGGGCCCCGACGAAGACAAGATCAAAAAGATACTCGAGCGCACCGGCTACACATTGGATGTGACTACAGGTAAGTACACATTTTAGCTACACACTCGAATTGGGAATTATTTATATATATTCAATAGGACAACGCAAATATGGCGGGCCGCCACCAAATTGGGAGGGCAATGTGCCTGGCAACGGTTGCGAGGTCTTCTGTGGCAAAATACCCAAGGATATGTTCGAGGATGAGCTAATACCGCTATTCGAGAACTGTGGCGTCATTTGGGACCTACGGCTCATGATGGACCCGATGACGGGCACAAATCGTGGTTACGCATTTGTCACATTCACAAACCGCGAGGCGGCCATCAATGCTGTGCGACAGGTATTTATGCCCAAACCCCTTTTGACTATCACAACACCCAACCTACTACCCAGCCACCCCTAACTTTTTACCCCCGCCTCAAAAAAAAAAAAACCTAAACACAGCAAAAAACAAAAAAAAAATTAAAAGAAATAACACCGTCCGTCCATATAAAGCGCTTAATATTATATTATTACTATTACTATTGTATCACTTATGCTATATATATATATACAACATACATATATCCAAAAATTTCTATCTGTATAGTAGGTAAAGTTCGTTACAAACGTTTTTGGTCCTCAACACAGCCGCGCTTGCAACCAAAATTCGTACGAATTGAGAATCCAACACCAAAGAACAACTAAACAAAAATTACCCGATTTGGCGCTTTAAAAGAGATTAATATCCTGCCTTGAACTCTTAACTCTCTAACTCTTGTGCTCTGCCTATACTCTATATAGATATATATAATATATATATATCTGTAATTTGTTATGTGTGCATGTCCTTTTTCTTATATACATAGATGATAAATCGAAAGTACTACCTACTACTAGAAGCGAGTCAAACGAAATTTGCATAATTTGAAAAGAGTTCTCTCTGCGATTCATATTCTATATATACTGCAAATCTGTACAATCCCCTATCTCTCTCTCTCTATCTATATATTATTTTCACTCTATTCTTTTTGAATTCATTTTCCTAGTCTTAAGTCAATCTGTAGCTATATAGAGCATCATCATATCAAAATCGTAGCCTATCAACTTTGTAGATAAATAATCTATATAATATTAGGGGTACGTTTCCAATTGTCTGGTTTTATGAAAAGATGAAAAAAAAGAACACAAAAACAAATGCAACTCGAGCATGTCCCCTAAAAAAAAATTAACTAACTAACCATCCAGGAGAGCTTTAAATTATCATCTAACTATAACTAACAAGAATCTCTCTCTTAACTAACTTGTTCTTTTAAATTAATATTTCAAAATGCGGCTCCCAACGATAACAAATAAAACAAAAAAAAAACTGCAAAAACATTTCGAAATTGGTAATGCAAAATTATTCTAAATTGTTTTTTTTTTGTTTGTTGATATTTTCTTAATTTGATATATTGTAAACCTCGCCCGCCCCCACAACCCGAAACCGACAACATCCAATGACCCAACCTCAACCCAATTTTCAGTTTTTCTTTTCTTTTTTTTACAAATTATCATTTTTATTTATGATTTATTATTGATTAACAATTGAATTGGTATTAAAAACAACATTTTACCTTCCCCTAGCTCGATAATCACGAAATAAAACCCGGCAAGTGTCTGAAAATAAATATAAGCGTACCGAATCTACGCCTTTTCGTAGGCAATATACCCAAGTCAAAAGGCAAAGATGAAATTTTAGAGGAATTTGGTAAACTTACAGGTAAATTGAAACACAAAACACACAAAATTAACAACGTATTTAAAATTTTCCAACTATTGGAGAGCTGTCTGTGAAAGGTGGCGCTTCTTCTTCTTTCTCTCTCTCCACGCCTTTCACTTGTCTCCAAAAAATCGGCTTTAATTCAAAACAAAAATCCAATTGGCTTACAACAAGAATTGATAATTGGCTAATTGGGCAGGCAGGCAGGGTCTTAGTTTAGGGTTATTGTTCAGCTTTAGGTTATTTTTTTGTTAACGTTTAAGTTCTTTTATTTTTACTCATTTACTTTATTGCTTTCATCACCATCCAACATAAAAACATCCAACCATCCAATCCATCCATGCAGTCAAAAATCATAAAGTAATCAAAGGAAATCATTTCCTCATTATTCCCTTACTCGAGACTCTTTTCAAATGCGAAAAAAAAACACATGAATGCACTTAAAATCAGGGTGTCAAACCGAAATCGCAACCGCAACTTGACCGATTTGGAATACAGTAGACCATATATTGCCCAACATAACCGAATAACGAAAAAAAAATGCAAACCATAAATTGGAACGGAATACGATTCGGGTTGACACTCTGTTTAAAAACAATTATTGTCTACAAATTGTATTTAGGTTACGCACACAAAAGTACACATACACCCACACACACACAGACACACCCACTCATACACATACACGGCCATACACATACTTCAGCCCATAGTTAGACGCCATTTTGCCATTTGCCATACGCTTTAAATAATGGTACAAAAGCATTTCTTTACTATTTACTATTGTTTCATAAATATATATATATATAATATCTCCAGTCATTAACTTTGCGTGAAAAAAAAAACAATACCAAAATGGAAAATTGAAATTATACCAAAATTTTGTATGCATTGCATATCAATTTTTTTATTTATTTTTTTTTCTTTTATTATATGTGGAATATGGTAGGCAATTTTTTTTTTCTTATACCGCTATAAGGTCATCTGAAATATTGGTGTCTAAAATTTCTAATTATAAGTGTACTTCTGTAAAAAGGTAAGATTGTAATTTCAAAAAATATAAAGTGTATTAGATGACTTTATAGCATGGTGTCAAACCGGAAACTTATTGAAATTAACAATCGAAATTCAGCATTATTTTTACTTTTTTTTTTTAAACGGAATGGAATACCGTAAGGAAAAAATGTAAATTTGAAAAACCGCACCATTTCGGTTTGACACCCGCGTTTTTAGCTGTAATAAAAAAAATCTAAGTCATAAATCATAATTTTTGATTACTTCTCTCGGTAGTGTGAACAGCAATATTAAATACAACACATTATACAATTCACTAAATAATATTAGTTGAACTGACAACTTATAAATTTTAGCTAAAAACCAAACCTAATTTTGATATTTCGATAAATTCCTTTTTATTTGGCACGAATAATAACAAACTAAGAAACTTAATCTTACAAAAAAAAATTACTAAGGCTAAGTCTAGATCTTACAAATTTAATTGAAAAAAAAATCAACACACGCACAACAACCCTCACATACTACACACACACAACACACACCACTATCAGATACAACCATAATTTTTTCACCCACAAAACTAAACATTCCAAAATAGAGAAAAAATAAAAATAAAACAGCCGCAGAAACCCAAATGGATACAAATTTTTCATAGCAAATCAAAATTTTCTTTTGTTTTGTGTGAACTTTTCGAACAATTGCAGCTAAATGATTTTGAAATTCGGAAAGGCAAAAAGATTGGTGTTACGATATCATTTAACAATCACCGGCTATTTGTCGGCAATATACCTAAAAATAGAGATCGTGACGAATTAATTGAGGAATTTTCTAAACATGCACGTAAGTGATCCAAAACAAAACAACCAACCAAAAAAATAAATACAAACCCCAATAAGAAAACAACTATACCAAACCATCCCCCTCCAAAGAACCCCTCAGAGAATTGGTAAAAAAATATAATTGGTTAAAAAACAAAAAATATATATAAAAAAAATGTAAGGCGATATTTGCAGATAATTGAAAAAAGACTGCAGCAGCAATTAAAAGTATTAATTAATTAATTGGATTTTTGTTTTGCAATTTTCGCTTTTAAAAGGCTTCCAAATTGAATAAAAAAAAACTCCCCAGAGGCAAAGTTTCTACACGTTCCAAAAGACGGGTTACAAACCTAAAAATTGAATAAACCATTCAAATTCAGAATCGATATGATAATTCCATATAAATTTCGAGCCAATTGATAAACAGAAATACTGTAGAACTTTTGTCTGGGTGTACCCTTAACAACTCACTCTATCCCTCTCTCTCTCTCTCTCTCTCTCTTTCTCTATCTCTCTCTCGCTCTATAGTACTACTTTTCTGCTAGTAAATACAACAAAAAATTAATTGTTACACTTTGCTTATGATTTGTATATTAATAATGTGCCCAATTTGTTGACATTGAAAACCTGTAGCTAAACAATTTGCCAAAATTTAACAAAAAAAAAAGAACCAAAAACATTTTTGAATATTTTTGAAATAAACTGAACATTTTTGTTTTAGAGTGCAGTTACATATTTTATATACAAAGTCCATCAATTTGTTTAGGGATACAACCACAATTCGTATAACTGAAGTCTAGAAATCTATACTAGATTCTGTTCTGGCCAATCATATATATAACTATGGTAATGACTGGAGAAAAAACACTACTTGCTGTAAAACCCACCACCCCCCAACCACCCCAAAAGAAAAACAAACTCATTTTTACTCTCTCTCCTATATCTCTGTCTCTTTGAGCAAAATTCAAAAATCAAATTGAAATCAGTTTCCGTTTCTCGCCTCTACAGTGTATACTATCCTATTATTATTATTTTTGTTTAATAAACCGAATCAAAAGGAAATACTCTCGAAATATATATAAATATATATATGTATATAAATATATATATATTTAGTTACTTGTACAAAAGAACAAAATCAAAAAATGCATTAAAAGAAACAAAAGAAATAATGTTTCCTACAGGGTATCAAACCGGATTAAAATTTGGAACCGGTTTGATGCCCTGGTTATTATTTTAGTTTTCCTTCTAAGTGTGTATTTCTTTCTCTCTCTCTCTCTCTCGCTCTCTTATATATACGTATATCTCTATGTGATACTCTCTCTCTCTCTCTCTCGCTCTCTTATATATACGTATATCTCTATGTGATACTCTCTCTCTCTCTCTTTATATATATAAAAAACACACAAAAAAAAGTTTAGCTTAGCTTTATTTATTCAAAAATATTTGAAAAAAAGCAAGGAATTTGTTGGCATTGGTTTTCAAAATCACCTTAACGATAAACGATAAATTGCAAGAGAATATCGATAACACAGAAATTTTCACAAAAATGCCCGCTTTAAAATTTTGTGCATATTTCTGTCGTCGATATTATTCAAGAGTTCGGCGATTATTTGATGCCGTTATCATCACACACTTACACACACACACACACCCAGTTACAAATACATACAGAGCCACCCCACACACACACACATACACACACACACTCTTAAAATGCTGTCAATACAAATACTTTTTTGTTGTATTTCTCTATATATGTGTGTGTGAAAAAGAAAAAAAAAACAACTAATCATAACTATTTAGTAGAGCTGCATTTGAACTAATTATTTGAATTGATTGTCAATTATTGAAAATACTCATTTAACATTCGTTCTCTTTGTATTTGTAAAATGCAATAAACCTAAAATCGAATATGTGTATAGCTGGCCTCTACGAGGTAATCATCTATAGTTCTCCCGATGACAAGAAGAAGAATCGCGGCTTCTGCTTTCTCGAATACGATTCACATAAGGCGGCTTCTTTGGCCAAACGGAGACTTGGCACTGGTAGAATTAAGGCAAGTATATTATATATATATCATAATTATATTTAGGAACAATTCATAAAAGCTATCCTTTTGTTATTATCAGGTTTGGGGATGTGATATTATAGTCGACTGGGCCGATCCACAGGAAGAGCCGGATGAACAAACAATGTCCAAGGTTAAAGTGCTTTATGTGCGAAATCTAACGCAAGACGTTACAGAGGATAAACTGAAGGTTCGTTTTGTAAATCGCGAAAGCGATGCGGCAAATGCTAAGTTAATATCATTTCAGGAACAATTTGAGCAATATGGCAAAGTGGAACGCGTTAAGAAGATTAAAGACTATGCCTTTATACACTTTGAGGATCGTGATAGCGCCGTCGAAGCTATGCGTGGCCTTAATGGCAAGGAGGTCGGCGCCTCAAATATTGAGGTAGGTATTATTGTATTATACCGATACCGGATAAAAATTAAATTTGTTAAGAAGCCTTTAACGCAACTGATATTATTAACCAAACCATGCCTTACCACCGTAAGGCACCAATACAGATCCGAATACATTAAAAAAATTAAAAGCGAAAAAAGCTTAAGCTTCCCCATATCTTCATATTTGATGTACCAGAATCAGTTTGATTCAACAGCATTTAATATTTTGGTTTTGTTATTTTTTTTTTGTACAGGTCTCACTTGCCAAACCGCCATCGGACAAAAAGAAAAAGGAAGAAATTCTGCGCGCACGCGAACGACGCATGATGCAAATGATGCAAGGGCGTCCCGGAATCGGGTAAGTGTTTGGGTACTATCCCTAATATAAAAAAATAACAAAAACCATGCCGATAAAGCCTTGAATGAATGAGAGCTGAAAAGTTACTTGACCAATTTGATCAAGTTTATTTAATTATATAACTGATATCGATATAAATCGATAAAAGCCACAATTCCCGATTACAGACATACATTGATATAATATTGATCATGGGAAAGATCCTATATTTATATGCAAAAAACATTCATGCAAGGCTTTAATCCACACACACCACACACACACACGATCCTTGTCTAGCACAACAACAACAACATCAACACAAAATTGGAGCGACAAAATTCCAAAATACAAAAATTAAAATGCAATGCAAAACTGAACGATTTGCATAGAATTGGCCTACAACGATTTTGATTGAAATTCAAGTGTTCAAAAAATATGTTTGCTTTTCAAGTCACTCGATTCCTTATATTAATTCAATCAATTAATTTGTATAATTTTTATATTTTCTTTCTTTTTATTGCCAATTGTCAATTGCCACGTCGTGATCCTAACCCAAATATGTGGGTGTTGAACGATCTACTATCATCACCTACCCACAAATTTTAAAACTAAAAAAAAAAAAAAAAAAAAAAATGAAAAAAAAAAAATGAAAATCACCCAACACAACAAACTCCCGACAAATTGTGAAACTCTTTGGTTGTTAAGATTTGAAACATTGTCTCCATACAGAAACCTGTCGCCGACACATCCCAGCATGATGTCCATAACGCCCATGCGAATCCCAGGGGCGCGTATGCCGCTGCGCACGCCGATGCCCCGCGAATACGGTAAGTTGGGCAAATACGCCAATAAGTGAAAAACCACAAAACCAAAAAAAAAAATTAAGAAAACGATAACCTCTCCTCATCAAAAAAGATTATCTGTGTCTCTCGCTCTCGTATCTCTCTCAAAGAGTATAATATCGCAGGAAATAATATTTGATTTAGTTTCTTGTAGTTAAAAACAAACAACAAATAATGATAGGTTTATGTTTAGTTCAAATTGTAGTTAAATGTAACGGCGAAAACTAACCTTAAAAATAACAAAACAAAAAAAAAAAAAACTAAACAACTAAATTGGTCTTGCAGCTTACAACTTTAAGTTAGATCATCAAAAAAAATCCAATGCCAATATTTTGGTTTTTTTCATCCACCTTTATCGTTTATGTATCATGTATCCGTCTCTCTCTCTCTCTCTCTCTCTCTCTCTCTCTCTCATTTTAGTTAGTTATGTATATTTAAGGTTAGAAAGCGCGCTGCCCACTAACTTGTACGCTCGTGCCCATCGCCCTTAAACCAAATTATCACACATACACACTCAAAGACACACACACACACCTGTACACCAAAATGCCTTAGCACCTATAATCCATACGCAACAAAAAAAATAAATAAATGTATATCCAGCTAGATTGAGAACTAACCAATTGAAGATTTAACCAATTTTACGCACACACACACACACTCACACATAACCAAACTTTTTACTTGAACATAACCTCACTCTATGTTTTTCATGTATTTTTGCAAGTTCTTCTTCTACTATATATGTGTCAATGCGCTCTTTCTATTTTTATCTCTCTCCTTTTGTTTCTAATTGCTTGCATGTCATTTATTTATTTTTTTTGTTACGATTCTCTTCGATGTTGTCTTTTTATTCTTATCCTTTTTCTTGTTTCGTTTAATCTCCTACTTCACATCGACAAGATGCTGAAGTCGCTCTCGATCTCTCTCTCTCTCTCTCTCTCTCTGTTTCTCTCTGGCTCTCTTTGACCATGACAGCAATAACATATAATTAAAATAGTTAGAATTTAACCTATAAACGTTGTTCATAGCTGTGTTTTTTTATATGTCATAATTAAACGTTGCCAATTGTGTGTTCTCTGTGTAGCGAATGTTAAGCACCCTGTATACTGTTTGATGTTTTATCACCGGTAAGTAACACCCAAAAAATGTCATCATCAATCTACCTACTACTACCACTACTACTACTACTACTATTATAAATCAATGAATGTGTGCCACGCCCACCATATTCCACACACCCTCCTCCTAATTCCATCCAGCGTTTAGTACGCGCCCAATTGGAGCTTACGACAATTGGACTTAAAAGCAGCTTACGAGAAATACTATAGGGATAACCCTTCTCACACCTACACACACACACACACACACACCACACATACACACACAGCACACACACACACTCGAATCAATGAAGCATTAATATATATACCCTATATAATCTTCCTTCCTCCTTCCACATCCTTCTGTCAAAAAAACCAACAAAAAAAAAATCCACCAAATTTCGTAGACTACGATTATGATTATTTCGGCTATCCGGATTTTCGCGGCCCCGGCCCGGCAAATTTTGGGGCTGATTCGTATTACGATGACATCTATCGCGCCTATGAGGGCGATTACAATTATTATGATTTTGCAAACAATGGCGTCGTCTCAGGCAGTGGCAACAACAGCAACGCCGTTGCCCCGGTTGCCATCGGCAGTGGAGGGGCCGCCCTCAACTCGCCGCAGCAACAGCGTCCGTCAAGAACCCAAGCAACTTACAGTAATACCACAGTGGTCATGGTGCGTGTTTCAATCCCATAACTTTCGCTTCAATTGTTGCGTGTTGTGTTAAATCGTGTCTAGAAATGCTTTCTTTCCCTACACATTTGATGAAATCACAGTTACAGCAACAGTTACACACGCCACACAGAAACACATGAAACGAATTTGTAGCTTCTAAACGAATTTATAGCTTCTCTTTGTAAGTAGTTAAAAACAAATTGATTGGAAAATCGACTACTAATCTTCTTATTAATATTAATTTTGACTTAATACTTTACTAGCTGAAATTATATATTATACATCAAAGAGCTTTCAAAGTTTCGTTAACAGATCAGAGCTTATTTCCCTATAATTCTAAAAGAGCTTTTCAATTGCACTTAGAAATCATAAAGCTCAATCAAAAATAAACGAATGAATGGAATTATGAGAATTTCAAATGTTTTCAAAACATTCCAAAGCTCCTTAAAACGAGTGGCTTAAAAGTTTACGCTCACTGATCCTCTTCTTCTAATTCTAGAAGCAAGCTTGAAGAGAACACATAAATTTCTCTACAGAATAAAGCCTCATTGTTATCAATGATAATTTCAGCTAGTGGCATTTTTGTTTATTTACATATAATTTCGATACATTTTTGATTTCAGCTTTTTTGTTTTGCTTTAAGGCTGATTTTTTTTAAGCCCCAACATATTAATTACATATATTATAATATACGCTTTTTATTTCGCTTACAATCAAATCAAAATTTGCACGTCAACCAACAACAACAAGAACAACAAAGCAGCACATCAAACCTCGCCCACACAGATACAACTCACACACATACTACACACACACGCACAACCAAACGCACACCCGCTCGCATTCGGATACAGCTTTTTTCATTTCGCTTCGCTTTGCTTTTTGCCATGGAAACTAACAAAAAAAAATGCTTTATTATGCTTTAGTTTTTAATTTGGCTTTAATGCATCAAATGCTTTTTATATTGCTATGCTTTTTCAATAAAATTAAGCGTTTTATAGACTTATTAATTATACATTAATTCATTGTGTTTTTTTTACATATTATTAAATTTATTAAGTTTAATGCGCTTTTGGTAACCCAAGGAAAAAATTCGTAGCATACTTTTAAGCACCGCCCGCTCCGCTTTGTATGGTTTTTTATTTCGATTTTTATCAACTGACAAATTGATTAAAAAATTATTTACATATTGTCAATCTTAAGACAGCAGAAAAGTTAAATAAAAAAGAATTGGAGCTGAAGCTCGATTTTTGTTAATAGATACATGTACTTTGAATTCCTGCGCGCTGTGATTTGTTGTTTATTAAGTACTACAACTAATTTGTTATGTATTAGAGGCAGTAAAAAATTGCAAATTTCGAAAATAAACACCAAAAAGACAAAAAAAAAAAAACAAACAAATACACAGACAATTTTTACAAAAAATATATTAGCATTTGTTTTATCTCGTATCAGACGTAATCTTTCATACAAATATAAATATATATATATATTTATATGTATATATTTACTACATATTAAAAGACATTGCATATAAACTTAATATATATATATACTACATACTTACATATATATTTATTGTATGTAAATATAAGAATCTAACGCGTTTATTTCGATTTTTCTTTTCTTTCTTTTCTTTTTTATATATGTTCTTGTTTATATACTCTTATATATATATACAAACAAATCATATGTTTTTCGGTAACAACAACAAATTTTTACAAAAACTTTGCAAACACAAAAAAATTATATATATGTTCGTCAAAACCAAAAAACCAAAATTCCTAACAAATTCTATCTCTGCCAAAAACCAAAAAAATAAAATACCTAAAATTAAAAACCAACCAACCAAAAATCACCAACGACCAATCATAACCAAAAATAAATCTATCAACAAATCTTTTCGATTCAAAAACAAAAAAAAAAACCCAAACCCGTATTAAATTTTTTTCTCGAAATTCGCAACTGCATTCTGCCTTTCAAAATTCCACAAAATCCAAATCCAAAATGTATTTTTATTCGCAAATTTTGTACAACGATTTGAAATGACCAACAAATTTGACAATTATCTTGGCGATCCATATATATTATATATATATATATATATATATATATGTATATATATACACACATTTTACAAAAAAAAAATATAATACTGCAAAAATAATTCGAAAACTCAACCAAAAAACTATAACAAAAAATCGACGCTCGAAAAACTGGAATAACCTGAATACCTGAATATGGAAACTCTCTGATATGGAAACACCCACGCTCTCTGGATTATATATGTATAACATTGAACTACACACATACACACCCACACACACAACACATACACCCACACCACACACACAACACATACACCCACACCACACACACATGCATGCGTGCATGCCATTGATGATGATGATGAATGATGAATGATGATTAGGGGGCTGGTCGTGGGCATGGAATCACAGTCCCGCGTGGCCGAGCCGTTGGCCAACGTGGCAGCATCAGTCGTCTGGTGGCCCAACCAGCGCCACAGGCGGCAACAGCGGCGGTGGCGGCGGCGGCGGCGGTGGGACAGGCGGCGGCGGCTCATCGGGGGGCGGCCACCGTTCAGGGGGCGCAAGCAGCAACCGGGGGGGTGGTCCGTGGGGTGGCACCAATGCGTCCCAGCGCTCCTGGCACCCAGCACGTCAAGCCGCTACAAAATTTACCAGGTGAGCTCAACCAACAACAAAACCACCAAACAATAAACAACAGCAACAGCAAAATAAAAAAAAAAATCCAAAATCAAAATCAAAATGAACAACCACAACGTGTTCTCAAATGCAACAACAACAACAACAACTGCAGCTGCAACAACTACAACAAACAAGCAACACAAAAACAACTAAAATAATAAAAGAAATGTCCTATATATCATAAAAACAAATTCATATAAATTAATAAGTAAAGCCAAGTTAAAACCTCCCCACACACACACACACACACACACACACACACACACACACACACACACACACACACACTCACACAAGCACACACAAACACCTATGAGGTATGAATTGGGGTTCACGTATTAATGTCGTGTGTATTTTTTTTTAATTTTAAAATTTTCTTTTTTTTTTTGCATTTTGTAATCGTGTTTTTCTCAATGTTGTAACGAAATCAATTCATTAATTTTGTTCTCCTTATATACATATGTGTTTTTATGAAATCTTTATAATATATATATATACATTTTCTTACTGTAGTTTTTTTTTATGCTTCTTGCTGCTTTTGGATTGTGTGGTCAAGCGGAATATTTTAATTCAAACACATTTGCCACATCATTTTCATCAATTATTAAAAATCAAAATTCAGCGCTGAAATGTATGCTACAGTTTTTTTTGCATGAATCTTAGTCCCACGACCAAAACAAAAGCAGTAAGCAGCACACACAGACACACACACACCAAACACACACACACACATTCACATTCACGCACATCTTATGTATATGGAAAGCCACTATAACAAATTATATAAAGCATATATATATATGTATATATATATATGCTTTTTACATGTCCTCAGAGCTGTGTAAAAACGTTTTATGAATCGATTAGTATTTACAAAACAAACAACAAAGAAAACATCCAAAACACCTCAAATATTGTCACCTTAACCAACATTCGCCCTGCCCTAACCACGCCCCCACCACCCAGTCAAAGAGTAGTGGAGAGTTGAAGATTATATATATATATATAAATGTATATATCTTTACATAGAATACCCACCCGCCCCGACCAACAAATAATTTACCAAAATTTTTGACGTACGTGTATATAATTTTTTTTTAATTTTTAAATTTTTTTGGTTACACATCTATATATATTTAATACATGTATATATATATGTATGTATATATATATATATATCTATATATTGATGCGATTGTACAGCAATATATTTTTTCTAAATTTTGTCATTTGTTGTTTCTCGGAGTATATAAAATAAAATAATAAATATGTAGGTTTGTCATAAATAAATATATATAAGTTCAAGCTTTGCTAATCCATCTTATTTAGCAAGATGAAAACATTCTAAATATATGTATATACCAAACCAAATATATATAACATAACACACCAATACATACATATGTACTTACATATATACATATATATATATATATATATGTAAGTATGTTACTTAATTCATTTTTTACATATATATATATTTTTTTAAACACCAAATACTAATCGATTCTGTGTTTTATTACACACACTCGCACACCAAACATATAATCCATTAAAACGTATATATCTATATGTATATATATATAATTTGTTACCAATAAACATTATGGCTGGCTATATAGAAACATATACACTATCAAAAAAAAAACCAAATCAACTTTTAGTTAATTTTTTACAGTGTGACACGCTTTACTTATTGTACACCCCAAACATTTTCTGTATTGTTCACATTTTTGTAAGCTTATGTATTTTTTTTTTCACTTAGTGTCACGGCTTAATTCATTTATATATTTATATATATCTTTATATATTTAAAAACATATTGAATTCGTCGCCAGCTGCTTTTTCACACAAAAAAAAAAAAAAAACAAATAGAAAATTAGAAAAAAACCAAAAACTAATCTGTTTCTAGCTGGATCTGCACTCAAGACTTACATGGAGGGCAACTAATAAGCGTAGCTCCGAGCGCAGCGACGAAAGTCACTCGCCGATCAAGAAACTAAAGCGTCAGAGCTCCTCGTCCTCCCCGACCAAAAGTCAAAATAAGCCACACAAGTCCAAGAAGCATTCACGCAAGTCCAAAAAAGAAAAGAAGAGGAGCTCTAGCTGAAGAATACAATAACCAACAAAAAAAAAATAAGAAACAACAATAGCAACAGAAAAACACTTCTACAAACACTAATAAGCCTGATTTTGCGAAATCCTTATTCGGTAACATACACAAAAAAAAAAACACAACTCCCAATACAGGAGATCAGTTGGAAGTTCAAGAATACCCTGATTTGATATAAGACTGATTTGTGCGAAATCCCTATTTGGAAACACAAAAAATACCCATCAATGCTGAGATCAGTTCAAATTTCAGAAATACCCAGCGGAATTTTCATTCGAAAAACACAATATGTTTCCCTCAATTCAATAATATACTACCCAGCGGAATCCCAATTCGAAAAAATTCTTCATGAAATTCTGCCTTTCTGGAATATAAATTGAATAAATGTGTATTATCACAAACAGATCAGCTCAAATTATAGAATTCCAAGCAACCCACATATATCATATATCATTTTATTTGGCACAAAAAAGGAAGTACTTATACGACAACGTCCTGGTTGAAGCCTTCACAAGCAACATAACATATGATATATAAGTACTTATTGCCAAGCTAAATTTGAAATCCCTTTTACAAGCAATCGACAAAGGCGAAATCCTCACTTGAAGAGCACATACAGATACATTTTCAGATCAGTTCAAAACACATTTTCAATCAAGCCCCTCCTCATATCACATATACAATATGTATTTATGATAGAAAACCCAGGCAAAAAAGAAAATCTTTGACAAGATTCTTCACCCCCAAAGGTAATATTATTGGTCTGATTTCTCAAAATCGTTATCCTCACATTATTTTGTTCAAAACACACAGATCAGTTCAAACTCAAATTCTAAGATGTGATATTGATGTCTCGAAAAATCCTTGGGAATCAAGATACAGCGCTCTATTCAAAAATGCAAACACTCTTTGCATCCCTAGCAACACACTCCCTACAACAAACAGATCACTTCACACTCGAATTATGTGTTAACATTGTTGTTTTGTGAGCGATAATATCATGTACAATGTTTTATCTACACCTGCACACACGTATACATACCTACACACACACCAGCAAACACACACATGCACACACACACACATACCCACACACACACACCCCCACACACACACCCACACGAACACACACTAATCTGTGTCCCCCTCATGTTCAAGTCCCTGACGGCGTTCAATGTCCAATGAACAGTACTTTCTGCATTTTGTTGTACATGAATTATATGCAAAATACAAAAAAGAAATTAAAAAAAATGTTTTTTTTTTTAAATTACAGTGTGTGTCTTTTCTAACTGCATTAATATATATGAAAAAACCTTATAAAAAATAACCATAAAATATAAACAAGCAAAAAAAATTCCCCAAATTGAAAATAGCCAAAATGAAATTGAAAGAAGAAAAAATAATAGCTCTGTTCCATTTTGTAGTATTAACAACAATTTTAACTCTCTCTTTTTTCTCTTTTTAAATCCGTTCCACACCAACAACGAACAATCCACACACAAACACACACAACAACGACAACAACAAACACACACAACAACAACAACCATTGCTGCTTTTGGGCAACTTTAGTAGTCGGTAAACGTAAGTTCGATGGAGGTCACCAAAATCCGGCAGATGTTAAGCGACGTTACCAGAGCGGTTTAATAGGAAATGGCGGCAGTTGGAGCAGTTTACCGCTACCACAGCAACCCTTAGGCACAAATGGTGATCAGTGGTATATGGATACGTTTTCGGCATGGAGTTAAAAAAAAAAAAACAAAAACAAAAACAAATAAAAGCAAAACAACCACAACCTAACAAGAACAACAACCTACACACACTTGGAATTTAGAAGGCACGCCAAACAAGCAAACAAGCAACCAACAACCAACAACAACAGCCAACAATACACTTCGTATCTTTTCAACTCTTAAAGCAATACAAATCCCATATTATAAAAATCAACAACAAAAATTGAGCCTTAAGCCGTGAAAAAGTTTTCGTTGTTTCTTTTTTCAACTGCTTTGCACAACCTTCTCTCTCTCTCTCTCTCTCTCAATAAGCAAATAATGAATAATAATAATATTTATATAGCATATATATAATAAACTTGCCGCAGCATTTTAGCAAAACAAAAAAAAAAAACAAAACAAAATTATATATGTAATTTTCAGTTCCAATTCACGCATATAAAGAAAAAACTATAATATAACGATTAGAGCATTTTAAAATTGTAAAAGAAAAAGTCCCCTTTTAAAATTCGAGAACTACGTACGTTTTTAACTTGAAATCTAAAACAATAATTGAGCATAAATAGCAGGAAGAAAAGAGTAAAAATATAAAAAAATACTACATATATATAACTCGATTTATGTATATGGTGGCAGTTAGGCTCAGATATATATATATATTGATTTTAAAACTTAAGCAACTTTTTTATAACCAAAATCGATAAACAAAAATAATTAAATAACATTTTAATACTATTTGTATAAAAATGAGTCAAAATGGAGAAATTCTAAAAACAACAGCAAAAAAAAAAAAACAAATTAAAACAATATTTCCTTCAATTGTAAATATATATGAGAAAAAATTAATTTAAAATGCAAGAAAATTAATCAAATTGATAAAGAAAAAAGAAATTAATTCAGAAGCAAAGCTTAAAAAAGAAACATTGACTGAAATATTAAAAAAAAAAAGATCAAAACAAAATATAAAATATAGTAACAACAACAAATTATTAACTAGAGTTTGGAGATTGAGAAGAGTTAAGAAAACTAAAAATTATTGAGCGACAGGCCTATTGGCATTATTATATAATGTCTGGCGCTGTACAAGTTGGCAAAGACTTTCCGATTAAATTAGGTAAACTTGAAATCAATTAAAAAGAAAAACAACACCAACAAAAATGTAGAGTTAAGAAATGCACAAAAAATAAAAAATAAATCCATGCAGTTAATGAAAAAAGCTAAAGATACAAAAATCGAGAAGCAACGAATTAGTAAGACACAAATCAACAACAACAAAACACACACATCACAAGCAGCAGTCTAAAAAATACAATTAAATAAGAAACTATAAATTTTACAAGCGATAATATTATAGGGAATTTAATAACTAAAAGAAAAACAAAAAAATATAAACAACCAATATTTATACGAAAATCTAAACAAATTGCAAAAAATCAATTAGCCAACGCCCTCAAAAAAAAAAAAAAAAAAAAAAAAACATTTAACTAACTATAAAAAGAAATAACAATAACTACCATAATTAAACAAATTTCCAAAAATTATCAAAATACAAACACAATTTTCCTTCGTATCCCTACTTAGTTTTTTCTACTTAGAGTGCTGATAAAAACAAACAGCTTCATAGCAAATCGAAACTAGAAACTCTATAATACGTATATAAGCATTATTTAACTGTAACTCCATGCCTATACAACAACAACAACCAAAACACACACATAGAAAAAAGAATCGTGGCTAACTTTTGTTAAGGAAATTTTCAAAATTATTTTCTGTTTTTGTTTCTTTTTGCTAGATCTCAAGTAAAGCAAAAAGTTAAGTTATAACAAGAGAGAAAAAAAATGTATAAACAATGAAATTAGTTATAATCTAACAACAAACAAAACTTCCAATTTTTAACTCAAGAAGAAAAACAAGCAAAGATGTTGAGAAAAAGACGTGTGGTTTTTTTAAAGCGTATCTATAAACATTGTTCAGCAAGCGCCTATAAAACAATAACGGAATATATGATATTTTAAAATTAGAACACACAACAACAATATACACAAACACATACACAGACACCAAGCAGTTGCCTAAAGAAAAGAGCAAACAAAAAAAAAATACTTTTAAAAACTTGCGCAAAACAAAAATGAAAATTTGCAACACCAGCAAAGAACTTTAATACATAATAAATAATAATAAATATTAGCAAACAACAATAAGAACATTTACTACAAATTCTAAATGACCATAGTTAAGCTTAAATTTAGTAAAACACACACTCACACACAGACACCTACTCACACAACAAACACACACAGTTAAACATATACCCTAATATTAAAAAAAAAAACAACTTACAACAAAAGAAAACGAGTAAACTGCAGCAGCAGCCATTTTCTAACTACATAAAACTAAAACAGTAAAAAACATTTAAAAAAAAAACAAATATTTAACAATTTTTTTGTACTAAGATTTCGTTGTGCATTTTTTTCTATTTTCAATTGTTGCCTACAAAAGATTACTATTATTTTATTAACCTCTTTTTTATTAAATTTTTTTTTTTTTGGTTAAACACACACAAACATAACAAATAAAATTTAAATTTGATTAACCGCGTCTTTTTTTAAAATGAAAATTGTTTTTTTTTTTTCTAAAAATTTCTTGGTGACTTTGAAACTTGAACCGAATTCAAATTGCAAATATAATGTATACATATGCCTAATGATAAAGTTTTGTTTAATTTGATAAATGTACTGATTTTATATTGTTTTAAATTTGTAATTCTATTTATGTAAGTCTTTATTGTTAATGTGTTTTTATTGTAAACTACAAAACAAATTGGCAAAAAAAAAACCCTGTTATCACAATCAGTTAAAGTTTTCAATTCGGTTTAAAAAAAAAATCAACAAAAAAATTATACAATACAAATCTTATTTGAATTATGTACCGTTGCTGCCTTCGCGGTCGTAACTGCTTTTACACACACTCCCTTTTTGGAAGTCTCAAAATTTGTATACACTTTCGTGAAACCTGTCCTGCCCTTGATATTTGTGTTAAATATTGTATTGTAATTTGTAATTTTGTTTAATTTTTTTCGGGAAAGCAAAAACGTTTGGCAAATTTAGTTTTTAATTTGAATATTTAGTTTTGTTTTGTGCGCTTAAGTTTTCAATATTATGTTATATAAATAAATATATAAATATATAATATACTATATGAATATTAATTTGTAGCAAAATATTTTTACGACTTAAACTTAAAGAACCCTTATGTTAAAAATATTTACCGAACTTATTTGTTTAGCTGTTTAATTGGTTTTTTTTTTTTTGATTATTTTGAAACTCTTTTTGTGTATTGTAAAGAAGCGCAAGCAAATTTTTGACCTTTTTGACCCGACTTTTAATATATATTTACTTACATATATAAAAATTCCCAACAATAATTAACTGTAAACTTGTGTAAATGAATTTCAAGCAAATAAATCGTACATCAACAAAAAGAAGAAAATTAAAAATTACAAAACGGCGCATGGAAACTGAGCAAAAACAAGAAAACAAAATTTCAAAAACAAATATTAAAAATTAAACTTTACATGAATTGTGATGATGCAAAGGCAAGATTTAATCATAATTACTATATCTATACATATACATAATATATATATATATATATATATATACATATGTACTAAAAATATATCTTTCTCTATAAAATATATATATATGTATATGAGTATATATTGTATATGTAGGCGTTAGGCGTGTATAATCTAACTTTACTTTTAAACAGACTGCGTACGTATTAAAAATTTTTAAAATTAATTTGTGTAAAATGTTTTAAGTTTTTGAAAAATTGGCAAATAAAGAAAACAATAAAAATTAATAAATCAAAAAAAAGAGCGCATTGAAAATTGAAAGATACAAAGAGAGTACTTTTGAGAGTGCTACAACTTTTCCAAATTTATGCTTTCTAAACTCTTTTCAGCGAAACTTTCGAAATAATATTTGTAGAAAACAGCGCAGCTGTTTAAAAAGGATAAAGGGCCATAGGATATACTGTTCAGTTGCAAGAGTTCGTTGTTTTTCGAATTGGATTGAAAAAAAGAAGAATGATTTGAGATTGTCAGTTTCCAGTGTCAGTTGTTTATAATCATAAAAAGCAGGACAATATTTATAGGGTATTTTGAGTTGTTTATTTTTTTTAATGTACAACAACACAATTAAGAAAACAACTTTTACGTATGTATACTTATAGTTTGTGTGTGTTTCCATATTTTGATTTTAAAAATTAATTGTAATTGTTTTTCTTACACAATTCTTTTTTTATATATATACTAATCCTTAAAAACAAACATCACAACACATTTGAGGGAATTATATTTATATAGACCGTGAACGTAACGTCGCCAATTATTTAACAACAAGAAAATGAAAGCAAAAACAAAACTAAAGTTTCAACGAACATTCAGAAATGTTGGAAATAGGAGGAGCAGCAGCAAAAGGAAGCAACAGTAACTTTTACGTCTTACAAACAAAAAAAAAAAACAAAAAACAAAAACAATTATTGTTAATGAAGAAAATAAAAGTGTGAGAAGAAAGAAGCATATTGTACTAAAAATATTTGATATACATACATTTGTTATTATTTGTAATACAAAAATTAAATAAAATTGCATCCAGATAATAAATAAAAAAAAAAAAATTAAATAAACAATGCAAAACTTGACTTGTGCTCAATTCAATGAAAACTTTAGGACTAATATAAATTAAATCAACAACCATAGCTCATATTTAGACCGACTGCCCCTATAGATGATATAGTAGTCCGATCCGGTCAATTTCGAAAATGACTGCTGGAAAAAAAATAATGGTAAAGTATCGACTTACCTATTGATGCTGATCAAGAACATATATAGTTTATGTTTAAAAATACAACACTTTTATTTGGTACAACACAATAAACTTTTAAATAGTACTGATATATGTTGTCAATAATACAATATTGGTAATAATAATAACATTTAAAAGCATTTGCTGCGTGAAGATGATTTACTGCGACTGTTGGAGCTGCGTCGCATGGAGCTATCCACACTTGTGCCAGCCACATCCTCATCCAAAATAGTCTCATCAACGCTGGCATCATCTTCAGGTATCTCCTCATCGCTATTTGTCTCGTTATCGATCAGGGATCCTCTCGGCGTCACAATTGCATCGCCATGCAAATCCTTATTGTCCAAAATGCTGATGTGGAAAGCAGCATGACATTTATTCGCAGCCAGCAGCGCTTTCATACGAAACACCAAAGTCTCGAGCACTTCGCGCAGACTTGGAATATAGCTAATAATGCCAGTATTCTTTATCGACTTTGAATGGCAGCACAGATTGTGCAAAAACTTGGTCACATTCTTTAGGTCGTGCAGGAACTGAGTAAGCCGATCGGGACTATCACGCACAATACGCTCGAGTGCTGGCAGACCGTGTTGCAGCAGCAGCTTAAGGTACTGCTGTGCGTGCTTCAGGAACAATGCAAAATTACGCGGCTGCTCCACATTCTGAACGATTTCCAATAGGCCGTTCAACTGACACATAGTCAACTCCCACAGTTTGAAGCGATCCCCTTCATTGACGCCGCTACACTGTGCGCTTAGCGTGCTTATAACAATCTCACACAAGCCACGGAAGAGCAGAGGGAAATTTGCTCTATATTTGCAGAATACAATAAAATGTCAGTTTTAAAACGATCATTAAAATGTGTTTAGCTTACTTTTTGATATTGGGCACGGATTGTAGAGATTTGTCTTTTGTTTTCAGTAGCACACATTCCTCCTTGAGCCGACATAAAATCTCGCTTTGACGCTCTAGACTAGAGTCCTTGAGAAAGCCCTTGACCAGCTCGTCCAGATGAATGTTACACTGCGCGCCCTTCTCCAGACTGCCCGTGTAGTCATACCACTTGCGACTCAGCATCTCTGTACAGAACTTGCCTGCAACAATAAGGTGAATGTTAAAAGAATCGTAATTGAATGCAAGACTCAATCAACAAAAACTTACGCATATTGTCGGCTTGTGGCACGATGCGCTGTGCAGCATTCTCACCAGTGGCACTCAACTTGCGTAAACTGCCCAAAAGACGCTTCAACTGAACAGCTGTGCTTAAGACCAGCACCGACTTCCCATAATTGTGAAAGTAATCAAAGATCTGTGCGGCAATACGTGCTGACGATGTCCTCTTGGTTACCTTTCGCTGACCAGCTGGTGGCAACAGAGCGACCAGAGATGCTAAAATCATAAAAATAAAACTCATTCAATTAAAGGAACATATTTTTTGGGTCTTGTAATCGACTTGCATTGGAGTAGTTCTGCCTGCGACTTATTGTACCACTCGTTCCAGGAGAAGTACAGAGCAAACAAATGGATGCACAGGCCAAAGCAGGCTTTTACATAATTGAAGCGTTCCTTGAATAGATCCAAATTGCTGTGCAAATGATTAACTTTCTCCAGTTCCTGATCAATGTGCGTTGCCAGTGTCAGCAAGCGTGCATTGATCTCTCCAAGGCATTTGTTTAAATCACTCATAAAATGATCTGGTTTGGCCACATGCGGCCTCAAGGAGTCCGCTTGGGTTACGTCCTGATGACCATTGACAACGGTTTCCAGCTTATGTACTAAATCTGTCAATATAAAACGCAACTCGAGCAAACCCAAATGTTTGCCCACTTCCTCCTCTGCCAAGGGATAATTTAATGTAAAGTCTTCCTCCTTCAGCAAGATTAAGATGCCCACATCGAGCTGTCTAAAATGCTGTAGCGGGCCATATAAATGCTCAAAGTCGATTTTGCATTTGACGGACTTGCAGGCACCCAATTTGATGGTCACATTTGTTTGCTGCTCCTCTGTAAGAGATTCGTTGGGAATAATCTTTGTCCTGCTTGCAGTAGGCTGCTTCTCTCGCACAGTTTGTTGTGTGGTCTGCTTGGGATTGATTAAGAACTGACATGGTGGTGGGGCAAATCCGACTGGGGCATGTGACAAAAGTGGCTTTAACTTTTGCTCAATGCATATCAAATCCGCAAGGCGCTTGAGCACCCTTGAACGTGTGGCTGCATCCTTTTGCAAGGCAAAGGCACAAATGGTAACGCGCATCCAGTTGGCCGTATGAAAATAAATGTGTAAAATGCGCTTCTGCAGCTCATTCTCATAGTTGTCAAAGATGGCCAAATAGTTGGCATCATCAAAGAACGTGGGCAACACTAAGGCGCAACCAAGCAGCGCATTTATCACCTCCAGACTATGATGAAAGCTCTGATTGTGCAGCACGCTGATCAAGTGGAAAAACGGCGCAAGCACAATAACCGAATCGCAGGCGCTGAAAATTAAAAAAAGAAAAACTGTAGTACAATGTTGTTCGGATGAAAGACAATAAAAACAGTTTTCCGAGCATTTTACGGAGTTTCCCATAAGCCCATCAAAATATTCACCTGCCATTTGGCGTCAACACCAATTCCGAAATATTAATACCAATTTTGAGTACCTCTGATTCGGTATTTACATTCGTTTCATCGAGTTCATTGATATTCTTCTGGTACTCCAGCTGGATGCCCCTGAAATGAGTTTTCATTTCGATATTTATCATTATTAATGAAGTGTTGAGCATACTCACCTAACCACATTAGGCGCATGTTCGTTCACAAAACTCTGCTGGAAGCGAAAGGTCATCAGCTCACAGAGCCAAATCAGAAAAGAATTGTCCAGCATGTAAATGGATTCCGTATTGTAAAAACGAACAGTCAAAACGCTTGCCAACTCATCGTAAAACAAGGCCAACAATTCGGCAGAGTTGCCAATAGCTGACTGGGTGAGCACTGAATGTTTGAAATGTGCATAAGTTGTTAAAATATTATTCCAAATGGTATCGCGCTTTTACAGTAAGTATATATACTTACTAATCAGGTTTGCTGCCTGCTTGCTGCGTCCATCCGGCAATGAGGTGATGCTGTCAATGCTGGTCTGCGAATCGTTACTCACTGGCGAACTCTGGATGCGAGCAACGGCATCGATCAGCTGCACACATCCAATGATGCCCTGTTTCTTGACATATTCGTTATGATTGATCTGTTGCTTCTTCACAACCATTTCAATTTGATCCTGCAGCGCTGCACACTCCGGCAACTCGGGTTCTGGGAATGCAACGTGACACAGTAAATCCATTGCGAGACGCGTTTGGGGCAACGTCAAATCCCTGAGACGATCGATCAGTGGCAACAGCAACATTGCACAATTCTGCACATGTTTGGGATTCGTGCGCTGCAGTTCGCGGAGTAGAATCAACGCCATCGACGTCACATGCTGTGAAGATTTGTCAAAGGTCAGCTCCAGTAGCTTCTTGAGTATGCTCTTCTGTATCGAGTTGCAGATTTTGAAGAGAATGCTGAGGAGGAATGGGAATCATATAATTCAGTCAGTACAACAGAAGAACACTAAATAGATAATTAGTGATCGATTCAGCAAATATCCCTCAATGGAATTATAGAAAACATATCAACCTGTAAGAGGTTTTTGCGAAATCGGCCACAATGCGATGCTTCTCGCGCATAAAGTCGTGCAGTATGTGCATCAGTGTGCCAATATGTTGCTCCAAAATGTGCGGAAAATGCGTTTTTATGTCCTCTAATATCTCAACTGTGATGTGTTCCAGTTTAATACTCCGCCGAATCTAAAAAAAAAAATGGGGCTCGTAAAAGTCTCGTAAATGATATAGAATTGTGTTTACAAGATTCTCGATGAACAGGGTATTGTCCTCGTTGATGTGAATTAGCAGCAGCAACATTATAAAATCAAAGGAACTGAAAAGAGTATTTAATTAAAGCAAATCTCGTAATGGTAACTAATGACATTTTTACACACCTAAAGACGCCAGCGGGCAAACCGCTAATAGTTCGCTGCCACATTTGGTAAAAGCGCTTGGAGCGTTTTAGGCCCTGTTGCAAGAAACCAAATAGCTCCAATTGAGATTTCTTATCATTGGCTTTGGCGGGCTCGGCAGCTTCGATGCAATTCGCACTCGGCGCTCTATGACGCCAATTAAAGATTTCGCGGAGTGTAAAGACCAGCTACATAAATGAATTGTTAATTAAGACAACAATTTATTTAATTTGAATGAAATCGAACCTCACGCACAACATCATCGGTGTCCTGATTGAGACTATTTAACAGAAGCCGAATCAAATGCGGCAGAATCTGTCAAAAATAAAAAATAATCAAATATATACACATAAATAGTAGCATATATTTTGCTTACTGTGTTTAAGCCGCTGCTGTCATCCTTGATAAATTCCAAAATTCGATCACGCAACTTTCCCTGAGTGCTTGCGCTGAGCGACAAGTTGCTCAACATTTGCACTGTGCTCAAATGAAACAAATCCTTGTTGCTCGCATAATTGATGCTAGATGAAGGGAGAACATCTTGTTAAATGAGGACTCTAATTAAATCAGTTATTGTTACTCACGTGAGCAACTCGACAAATGAATCGTGCTTGCTGGTATCTAGCAAGAACTCGGCATTATTTATAATGTCCAATTTGGATGACTCGGAGGCGTTGTTGAAGATGCGCTCGATATGATTATAGATCTGATCGCTGTGCGACAGCGTCAAATAGCGCAATTGAGCCAACATCAGCGGGAGCAGGGGCACACAGCCTGGCATCGTTTGCACCCGCTCCTGGCACTTGGAAATCTCCTCGATCTTGGTGAAAAGCACCTCTAGGCAGGGATCGCGCAAAAAGTCGATCATCAGAAAGTTAATAAACATGCTGTTCTGTGATTGATATATCTGCTCCGCGCCAGCAGTGTCAATAGTGCAGCCACTTAACAATTTCTGCGCCAGCTTCGATTTGGGCGCCAGTGCAGCATTTAGACCCGCTTTAAATGTTTCTATATTCTCGGGATATTTGGGAGAGCGCGAGAGAATATCGCGCAGCTTGGCGACAATCGCAATGTGATCGCAGGAGAGCACAAATGTGTTCTCCTGATCCAGCTGGACACCAGCATTGAGGAGCACCATTTCAAAGAAACTATTCGGTTGGCGAGAACAATTAATCCGCGACGAGGACTGCGTTCGTCCCAGCGTTGCGGCCAATGCGATGCTATGTTGGGAGAGGAAGCGCTGTGTTTGCTCCTGCGACGCTGGTATCTTCTCCTCCTCACTTTCGCCAGCCAATAGTGCATCGATGGTGTCATCTGTTTTCTGCACAGACGCAACACGCTTCAAGGACAAATGAAATGAAATCAAATTCTGTTAACCATTTCTGCGATTATCCCTCACCGGTATTTTTATCGTTGCATTCTCATCAATTGGATTTAGGGCTTTGGCGCGTTTCTTCAATTTCCGATACATTACGTTTTGTAAATGTCGAGTTAAACAAAATAGTTAAATTAAACGCAATTTCAAAATTATATTCGCTGTGCTGAAGCGCAATGTGCCACATCGATGACGGAGTATCGATAGTAATCTGTGCATTGTTTGCCTGTCTTTCGATACTGATCTTAAAAGGTAGGCTGTTAAGTAACTAACATATTCTGTTAGCGGAGGAGTGTACTGTTACTTAGTATCGCTGTCGATGCCTTAGCATTTCGATACGTTACAATTTGATTTTGATATCAGCTGTTGTTAAAATCAATTATATTTTTTTCATTGTCCTCATTGAAATTAAACACTACTAATAATAAGATTCAACTGTTAGTAACTCGGCATTTTTATTGAATATATAATTATTAGCCATGTAGTTTGCTAAGTCTATTATTGTTTTTTGTTTTTAATAAATAATCGTGTTTTGGTTTGATACAAAGCATCTAAATATGTATATGATCGTTGGATAGATATATGTATAAATATAAATGTATATATTAGGTGCAAATATTGCAATTAACTACTCGTGAGTTTAATGGAAAAATTCCATGTATAATGCTATAAATAATTGATTACATAAACGTCGTGGTTGTAAATTTAAAGCCATTTTCTTTCTTTTTTTTGAGTCAATTACTTAATTTTGCTTAACTTTAACTTGTTAACATATTTTTACGATGGATTACAATGGCATTACCTATAATTTTTAATCATTAATTTTTAATTATAAAAATGTGTAATAAACTCTACAATGTTATTAATTAATTTATATATATATATATGGTGTCTAAAAAGGAAGTACAAAATGTTCATTAAGTGATTATGTCAGAAATTGACGTATGTATGTATGCAGGCAGAGCTGTTGGCTCATTTGTTCTTAAATTTATAGAAAATCACTAATTTGGCATTGGTTAATATTGCTATATATGTATGTATGTATAATGTTTAAGGATTCTTTGATGTGATCACATCGATGCAGTCCATAATGGGTACAATAATATGCCTCTTAACAACTGATTTATATGTCGCTCTTTCTATTCCAACTTAAACTTTTCCAAATTGAAAATTTTAATTCGTTGTTTCCTTTTTTATGATTTGGTAAATTAAATGAGAAATTATTGCTTTTTCGCTCGACGTCTTTTATAGCCAGTCATTTGCTTTAACAATTGCGAGTTTTCATCATCAATATCCATATTGGGCTCCCACAGACGTAGTCTTTTCGGTATATAAATCAAGCCTAGTAGAGTAATTGCTGTAAATTCAATTGTGTTTTTTATTAAAACATGTTTCATCTTATAATGCACATAATACTCACTGTTCAAGACGCATGGGAAGATTACGTAAAAGTTCAAAGTACTCGAACGAAAATAGAGTGCTTCAGTGGCATAGAAGATCATGGTTAGGGCCAAGGAACAACCACCCATGCTGACAACGCTAAAAATATAAAATAAATAAATGGATAGTAATTTAACAATTACATTACATATTGTCTATTTACTTACGGTCTGTAGTGTATATATAGAGTACAATGCACGAGAGCGATGGCCTTCAGCAGGCAGTACATTCCAATAATACGGGATATGGTGTAGTCACCTAAAGGAACGTTTATTATACATAGCAAACGTTAATCATTTCATCTGTATAATGCAAATTAAAAATAAATATTTTTATCTATATTAGAATCACCCTCAATGAACTGGGTATCGCTGTGGTCACCCAGAAAACTCCTTCGTTCGATATAGCTGCGAAAGGCAGTGCCCAGATCCATGAATGCCACAAACGCAATCCAACCACGGAAGGCATAGAGGAGACGCTCGCGGGGTCGACTGCCCGACTGCATTGCAGCCCTGCTTGGAAAGAAACACGGAGTGGAAATAAATGACAGAATAATTGCATGAGGTACAAAAAAAAAAAAAAAATGCCGGCCGGCTTATCTATAAATCGCGAAGCAGAGGTACCAAACCAGCCACCCACACTCAGTTTGCTTGGTTTGCTTGGGCAAAATCGATACCGCACCCCAGCTGACACACATTTATCATTTATGCAACAACACTGTTGGGGGGGCCCAATTAATTTGATGGCACGCGAACACGTGCTGTGGGCCACTCGGATCCGGCCGGGCGCCCCTTTGAGGCTATTTATTTTCGGTCAACAATGTCACCCAGAGCAACGGAATTTGTGGCATGCAAATCGAGTCAAATTGTCAAATTTTTCGCTTTATTTTCATGCTGCACTCGTTGCTTATTAATAATTCTTACATTGCGAAAGATATTTAGTTTGTTTTGAACACAGCACAAGCTTTATATACAATAATTTAGATTCACTTTTGCATTAGTTTTTATTTATATTTTGGCTTTCCATTCTTTTTATCAACACATTTTTGCGTGATTTCGCGCTTTGCTTGCTTTTGTGCTACTGTTCGCGGCGACGCTTCGACGCCGATTAAATGCCAGACGACGACGGAAAAAAGCTTTTATGCGGTATGAAAGCTTTCACGCCACTGGCCGGCCGGCTGTTTCATGGAATGTACCGTAAGAGGGGGTTGACAGTAACTGTAAGGCGTCTATGCATAAAAAAATATGTTTTATTTATTGCAATCAAAATTTATAGTTTAAATTATTTTACAAAATTCTATATTTACAAGTGTATGAAAATAAATGTTGTAAGTCATTTACTTAAAATCGTAAAATCATGTGTTTTACTGAAAATACAAAATAACAGTATACTTTCGAGCTGAGTCGAATACTTTGATTATAAAAATAAATACAAATAAAAAGATTTTCCTTTATGTTTTAAGTAGACGTACAAAATCACTGCATAATTTAGGGCAGAGTCAAATTGGTTCCTTGCAAAAAGATGGAGCATATTTTCAGGTAGAAATAAAAAACAATATTAAATCTATTGTAAAAAAAAAGTTCTGTTATATTTTTTAATACACATGTTTACAGCATATATAGCAGTTTATTACAATACACTGCATACTTCCGGGATGAATCAAATTTTATGCATGCAAAAGATTCTAAATGCCTTAAATGGAACAAATCGACGATGAAAACCTGTTTTAGAAAATTTAAAATTCTAATGCATATATTTGGGGTACAAAAAATTGTTTCGTAAAAAGATTCTTCATATTATTAGTAAATGTAGTTTTTATTCACGCATAAGGACTAAGAAGGGAACAAATCAATGACGAAGCATAGGTTAAGAACATTGTAAAGTAATTTCAATGCAATTCAAATTTTAAAGCATACTTTTAGGATGCGTTGAGAGCTGGAGTAATGACTTGGAAAAAATAACTGAAGCTCGGTCAAATCTCTTCAATAATTTAAAGGACTTGCTCCGTTAAATGCGATATCAAATGGCATTTAATGTTAAGAGGATCATCCCACACATGGACAATTTCAGAAATCTTAAATGTTTGCATAAACAGGAAAAGCCACATGATTTCTTGAAGGATCTTCTTTTTATGAATTTTAGCTGTCTTTCGTCTTTATTCTTGTATATTTTTAATGAACAGAGTGTGATGGTACCGTAAAGATCAGTGTCATAATGAATTGGCCTCCATTAGAAGATCCTTCATAATTACAAAAGCTATCTAGACGCTTTGGATGTCATTTGTCCAAATGCTAGCGTTGACACTTGAGTCTCGTCAATAATAAAATTACAATAAATTTTGGCCTTCGTATTTAATTTTATTATGAAAAAGTATAAAAAATAATAGGTTTAACAGATGCAAGCAAGCATCAAACAAAAATATCTCATTTAGTTCAGTTCCAAGCCTATGTCTAACTGTCTCCCATATTGCAAGTCTAATCTTTACCGACATTCGCTTCGGTCTTTCGATATTCGGCATAATCCACAAAGCCATCGTTATTCAAATCCATCGTTTTGAGTACATAATCAATGGTCTCCGCCAACGCTTTATCGGTATAAACAGTGCCCGTTTTATGTTCCACGTCATCAGGATGCTCGGTAGTGCCTTCAGCTTCAGGATTTTTTGGATCTACTGCTAGAATTAGAAAATCGATTAGAATTTTGAATATAAATTTAAAATGTTTAACTAATATTTAATTGCCAATTCCACCATTTCAAGAGACTAGATTAGTTAGTGTGGTTTTTATTCGCTAAAAACACATTACTTACAAAGAATTGCATGCGTCTATTTAAAGTAGTTTTCAATTTCTAATTGTTCCAGATTTTTTTCAACGTTTTTTTTTTCATTTTTGTACAAAACAAACATTAACACAATCAGTCTGTTTTTTGTGTATTTGCTTTTTGTCTTTTTGTTTAGTTTTTGCTGCTTTTAGTTGACGCTTAAAAATAACTTCATATCGAACAAATAACTAAAATTATGAGAAGGGGAGAAAACAAAAAAGAACAAAAAACATTGCCCTTAATAAGAGATTTCTTTGTGCTATTCGAAATATGTAGGAATTTTTTTTCGAGAAGTTTTACAATTTGTTCAAATAGTTTTGGTCGTTTGGAATGCTTGCAGCATATTGAATTGGAAATTCAGAATATATATGTATATTACAATTTGAGCTGGAATTCGCTAGCGCCTAAATTAAAGATGTGTAAGTGGCAGAAAGAGGGAGAAAGAGAGAAATATGCTTGATTGATTGATTGATGGAAAGTATAAATTAATGAGCTGGCTGCTGCTCCTGCTTCTGTTGGCCTTGTTGTTGTGTTTGCTGCTGATGCTTCTCGGCAGCCTTCTGCTGCGCCTTTATGAACTCCGGATAGTCGATAAAGCCATCGCGCGATGTATCATCCATTTGGAGTATGGGATCGATGAGCGCAACAAGCTCCTCGTCCGAAAATACTTTCTCCTCCACATGCGGCTTCTCGCCATTCGGCTGCTCTTTGCTGCCTTGCTCTGCATATGTTGTTGTCATTGTAGTCGTCGTATATGAGTTATTAAAAGTCACATGCAAGATGGATTTTGAGATGATGTTGAGCATATGACCACAACCACAACCAGAAGAAGTGTCAGCAAGCAGTGTTTATTGGTTACGAGTATGCAAATAAAGGTAAACAAAACAGACATGAGGTTAACAACAAAACAAAACCAATGTATCAAACATTTAATAAATTTAAGCAAAACTACAAACAGAAAAACAAAAAAAAAAAAATATAATAATAGCAATAATAATAATAATGCTTACCGTGCCAGTGGATAAGAGATTTGATCAGTTCACAGCCATCTAGCTTGTTGTTGTTATCCGAATCGTGCATTTTAAAATAGTGGAACTGCAGCTCAGCCTCGGACATTTTGCTCGTATCGATGGGCACCTGCATGTGCTCCTGGATGTGACTGCAGGAAGACCACATGAAAATTGTAAATAGAAAAGTTGTGATTGTAGTATGACATGAGACAAATGTAAATAGGGGAAAACATTCAGTTTCTCGGATTGAACACATTTATAAAATTATGCAGTAGACACACGTATGAGTTATCAACGATATTATTTAACTTTTAAATCCCCTTGACAACTGGATAACGAATATCTATTTAACAATGCCAATTTTCAATGAGCAATTCTTATGCAAACAACAAATGCTTCTAACAATATTGCTGTATACATATTTGAGCTAAAGCCATATTGTCTTCTTACTATTACACTTACACTTTAAAAATTGTCATACTTTAACAACAAATAATGATTACTATTTTATACCTGCTGTTTAGTTAGAAATGTATCTATTTTTAAAGCTATTATTTGCTTAACAAAAATGATAGCCCAACTAGAAATTGACAATTTAATAACATTTCAATCCAAAAACTGCCCAAATGCGCATTCATATTAATTATTATTTGCCCACAAGTGTGAATTTTAATATATACGATGTGCCCTTATCATTAGTTCATATATAAATATGTGCGAAATAAGTGAGGCAGTTGTCAGTAAACATTTGATAAGATACAGACTTAAGTCCACATTGATTGATTGCGACAGGGAGTTTGATTTGATTTGATTTGTTTTTGATTGATAAGGAGTAAGAAACTTACGCGCGCTCCTGCTGAATGTTGCCCGTGTTCAAAACCTGCTGCGGCTGTCCATGATGATGTCCGCCCGCCTGCTGCTGATGCTGCTGCTGCATTTGCTGCGGCTGATTATGTTGCACGGGAGGTTGCTGGTGTTGGACAGGCATCTGCTGTTGATGCATCTGCTGCTGCTGCTGCTGCTGTTGCTGGTGATGTTGTTGCTGTTGCACAGGCACCTGCTGCTGATATTGCTGTTGCTGTGGCACCTGAGTGTGCAGAGTTTAATTTATTAGTTAATTATCCTTTTATGCTCAGACATCAACTTACATATTGTTGCGGTGGGACGCCGGGTGCAACATGTCCCTGTTGCTGGTATTGCTGTGGCGGCGGCGGCTGCTGATGGTGTTGTGGCATTTGCTGTGGCACATGTTGCTATTTGGTATATCGAAAAACATAGATTGAGTCGCAGCTGGTTGCACAATATTGCAAAAAATTACTCACATAATGCTGGGGATTTACGCCGGGCGCCACTCGCTGTGCGCTCGCATAACCAACAAGGGCGAGCAGCAACAAGGCAGCTGTTGCTGTATAGTCTGACAAATGCATTTCAAAACGGGGGAAGCTCAGATTTCTTGCGAGGATTTCGAAACTTATGGTGGCGTGCACAATCACCACGTAGCTAGAGTAGCTCTAAACTATCCAAAACACACACGTACACAAATTGATGCTGCTTCTTTACCTTTTTGCCAGTTACACTGACAGCATACAGCTGTTGCACAGGTAAACGACTTATATCGAATTTGTCATCGCTAGTCTTTGCAACTAGGTGGCAACGCTCAGTTCACACAACTTGCTTCAGTTTTTCTCATTCATTTACTTTTGTTTATTTTTTCTATTGTTTAGTTAAAGTGCGAAAAGGCAGCTTTTGAAAATGGTATGAGTAAAGTGGTACATAATCACAAGTTAACGAACCTGTTACCAATTTTCATTATTATTTTTTTTAAACTACTTTCTATATGAATGCTTGTCCCCATTTCCAATTTTATTTTGTATGCTAATCGCAACTTTCTATTCTTTTTATAGGCTCGCTACTTTAAAGAACAGGATATCGATGGTAATTAATTGTTAAACGTAAAATATGATTTCAGTCTGATAATTTATTGTTCTTCTTATCTGTAGAATTCCGTGAATGTTTTTATCTATTCGCCCGTTCGGGCCAAATTAACAATTTGGACGAACTAACGGTAAGCATTACTCATCATCAGACCAAAAAAAATGTATATGCCTAAAATGATTAAACAATTATAATAAAACAAATAGGTTATTATGCGCTCTTTGGGCTTGTCACCGACAATTCAGGAGTTGGTATCATATCTCAAACAAAAGAACGGAAAAATGAGTTTCGCCGACTTTCTCGATATTATGCATCAGCATTCCTCTGTCGAGAATCTGCCCGATGAAGTTATAGCCGCTTTTAAGGCAGCCGATCCACAGAATAAGGGCACCATATCGGCCAAACAGCTGCGCAACTTGCTGCAAAACTGGGGCGAGGGCCTATCCGTCCGCGAGGTGGACAACATTTTCCGGGAGGCAAATGTGAACAATAATAGCACAGTTCGCTATGCCGATTTTGTGAAAATAGCCTGTGCTCCTGTGCCAGACTATTACTAGGAGAGAGCAGAGAGAACCGTTATAGATATAGCTTATATATCCTTGCACAAAAGACATTCATCAAACTAGATTTCAATTTTTTACACAAAAAACCGATCGTTTACGGATGACATATTTGATTAAGCAATTTGGGTAGACAAAAAAAGTTATTCAAGCAAGAACCCTTAGCAATAAGAAATTTTGGCTGTTTGGAAAGCAAACTTCTCAATCAATGGATAATTTAAATTCCCTCTGAAAGGATTATTAAGCAAATCACAAACAATTCTCTGCCAATAAACAATTTACATTCCACTACTTATTTAAAAAATATATACGCAATAAAATGTACACAAAACACATATCATATCACATTTATGAAAAGTTTTTCTTGTTTTTATTAAAATGCGAAACTTGTCAGCATAATGAGAGGAGATGCTGTTCCTCAGCCGATGTTAGTTTTAGTTGGCAATGGTAACCTCAACCTCTACGCCGGGCTCAATGTTGATCGAGGTGATCTTCTTGACGATCTCCGATGGCGAATGCAAATCGATGATGCGCTTGTGGATTCTCATCTAAAAAATTAGGGCATATTAAACAACAGAATTAGCAAGAATTCAATCTACAAAAAGGGGATTAAATTTGATTATTTAAAGTTGTCGCATTCGGAGAGCCAAATTGTGTAGAAGATTCAGCAAAGTGGACTATGAGAACACGTTTAATCTGGGCAAATCCAAGATACTGTACAAAAGCAAGTTTAAATACTTTTGCACGATATCTGATCTGCCCACCAGGAAAATCAATATTTTAATTTTTTGTATTTGAAACTCACCTGGAAACGATCCCAGGTCTTGGAACCCTCACCGCAAGGTGTCTTACGGGTGGTGATGCGTAGGGTCTTGGTTGGCATGCGCACAGGGCCCTGAAATCATTAACAGTAAACAATTTTAATAAATTTCAATTATTTCCCCCTCGAGGTACTTAAAAGTTGCGCATTTGTTGCATGAATCATATAAAATCTGCACACTGTTTTTGTTGGATTCAGTGTGCAAATAATGTCCAATCCAGGCATTTTAATTTTGCATCTAATAATGACTAGGCTAAGCGGCAAGCGGGCGCACGAAGCCTCCAGGTAAATGCGGCAAGCAATAAATTAAAATTAAAATTTGCACGCGGCAAGCAGTTTTCAACATCATCATCTTCTTACCTTGACACGCAGATTTTGGTTCTTGGCACCGTTGATCAAGTCGCGGCACACATTCTCCAAGGAGCGCACATTCCTGGAGGTCAGGGTGATGCGAATGCGGTGCACGGATGCAGAATCGCCGGCATGGGGCTTTTCAATGTCCTTGGGAGCAGCAGCCTAAGGAAGTTTAAAAAAAAAAATACAAATCTATTAATTTGAGGTTATGTTACACGCCCAACACGTGCATTGCTTTTAGAGCGAAATATGCGTGCAACACACAAAACCAACGACTTGTGGGCTCTGTATACGCATTTGTTGTTGAATATTTACCATTATTTAGCAATTTATCTGGTCGAGATAGTCAAATCTTTGTATTTTGAGCAGCGCTGAACCAGTTAATTTGCTGGTCAAAAACGAAATGGGACGAGTGTCATTCACAGCGTCGTGCGCATCAACTTAAGCCAGCGTTGCCATCTGGTCGAAAGAAAAATGTGATTGAACGATTGTCATTCACAGCGAAAGCGTACATGCCCGCTACATTTTAAAAGGAAAAAAATAGAAATACAGACGATCTTTGTGTATTGTTTTATTTATTTCGCATTCACAACAGATTTTGCGACAGGACCAATTAATACAAAAAATTCCACACAGATTACACAATTCAAAATTATACAAGTCAAAGCACAATGTTGTATTTAAATATTAAATCAACGTTAATTAGTTATTGTACAATAGAAAATATCTGTTTCACTTTTATGCAATAGTCTATAAAAATTTAAAAACTGCACTTGACGGTCTTAATACTAAGTACGTCTCAACAAACGAACATATATGTAGATATACATATCTCTGTGCAGTGTTACAAAACAAAATCATAGTATATAGTATATCTGTTGTTCATATCAAATAAAACTTAAAGATGCAATAAGCTAAGAAAAATTAATTAAGTTTGTGTCCAAATTGTTGTAGTCGATACAAATATAGTCGGAATATTACTTTACCGGTAAGTGGTTTGTTATTGTAGTTAGCATAGTTAAACGTCCAGAGTTCATAGACACAGGAGCAACTCTCGAATAATGGATTAAATGGAGCTTAAAGCATATTCATATAGCTTGTGTGTGTGTGTATGTGTGGGTGTCTATGTGTGTGTATGGCTAACTAGTGTACATTAATTATAGATTCACGGCCTTTACCAACGCCCACCCAGCGCACAGGAACACTGAGATGGCTCTCCAGAAACCGAACATAGCTTTGTGCATTCTCGGGCAGCTCCTTAAAGTTGCGTACGTGCTCCGTGGACGTTTGCCAGCCGGGCAGTATGGCATACTCCACCTCAATGCCGCCCAGCTCGCTAATGGTGCCGGGGAAATGATCCAACTTATCGCCATTGCTACGCCTATAGCTGACACCCACTTTAATCTCGGCCAGCGTATCCAGAATATCCAGTTTCGTAATGCAAATGCAAGTGTAGCCATTAACCAGTGATGTATACTGCAGCAACGGGATGTCCAGCCAGCCACAGCGACGCTTGCGCTTTGTGGTCACGCCCACCTCGAAGCCACGCGTCTGTAGCAAGTCACCAATTTCCTGAAAACAATTGAGTGCATTTTAAATTTAAATAAATAAATAGGGAGCAAAAGAAGGTAGAGGAGGAAGAGGAATGGTCGCTCACATTCAACTGCTCCGTGGGGAAGGGTCCGTCTCCCACGCGCGTCGTATAAGCCTTGACAACGCCAATGACCTCGCCAATCGTTTGCGGCGGCAGACCCAGTCCGGTAAGGACACCACCAATGCTGCAATTGCTGCTCGTCACATACGGATACGTGCCGAAATCAATGTCCAACATTGCGGCATTGGCACCCTCCACCAGTATAGTTTTGCCATTGCGCAACGCTGTGTGCAGAAAGCAGATGGTGTCCTTGACATAGGGACGTATCTTTTCCGCATAATCCTTGTAGCGCACCAGCTCCGCATCGATATCCACCTTGATCGATGGGAACAATCGCAAATGTGTGTTCACAATCGATTTGAATCTGAATAATTTATGTATATTTATATAGATATATATGAAAGTTAATTTCGATTCCACACTCACTTCTCGCTGAACAGATTAAATTCGCCGAGCAGTTCACCGACACGGATGCCATTGCGTGTGGCTTTGCTGGAGTAGGCCGGACCGATGCCCTTCTTGGTGGTGCCCAGCGATTTGCCGCCCTTCTCCGCCTCCTGCATGCCATCGACATGCTGATGGAAATCGAACACAAGATGCGCCCGATCCGAGATGATCAAACGATTCTCCAAATGTATCAAGCCCTTAGCCTCATTCTTCAGCACCTCATCGAACAGCGAGGGTAAATGAATAACGACGCCATTGCCTAAAAATAATTAATCAGACAATCATAATTAATGAATAATTTCATTGTTGCGGCTTCTTTTAATATACTATGCGGTTTCCAGTTTGTTTTATATTTATTATTGTAACATAGATTATTATTGTTTTATAAAAGGCTATAGTAACATATATATTTAAGAGATCTTGAATTTCGTTTAAAAAAAAAAATGTTTACGAAGCCAAAGAAAATCTAGGAACAATAATTTTATATTTTAATGAAGGTAAAATAAAATTAGCGCTACTGGAATAATAAAATATTGTTCCCAAATTACGAACTAGATGGTTTTATCCAAATCTGGTTATGATGAGTTTATTGTTAGTTTAATTAGCAAAATCTGATCATGAAATGATCTGAATCTTAATTAATTATATTGTATTATATATCAATTGTAAGGATAAATCTTTACGATTTCAGTATTAATTGCTATCGGAAACCGATTTATATCGATATTCACCGGCAGCTATCGATAAATTGAAATAAACTTGTTCTGTATACAAAAACTTTTATTCCAAGCTTTTATCTCGCTCATTTTGTTTTTCAGAAAAATTACTTAGTTTTTTTTTGCATGTAGATAATAAATATATACAATATTTTGCTTTAGCCATTTTTATTGGAGTTGACGGCATACAAAAAGTATAGAAAACAACTGTAATGAATTACCCTGAGTAATGACATTAACGTCTTAGGAACAGTATCTTATCTAATCTAGTTGTAGACGTATGTGGTGCTTAAAATGCTGTTTTATAACAAGCCATAAGAAACCATAAAAACACGTGCATTAACCGCTGGCACCTTATCTTATCTTGACGTGGAATCGCAACTTTTTGCCTTGCAGCTTTTTTTTATCTACTATAATAATGATATTCAAAAATTGTCTATATTCTATATCGATGGCTGAATAATAATTCAGTTGGATTTAGTTTGTTAAGACTGTTATTTTTTTCTTCTTTTTGTTTGCTGAATGAAGCACGCGAGTCGAGTTAAACTTGTTTTATTTTTTTTTTGTAGTTTAATTGACTGGCAAATAATAAGTTAAGTGCTTCATTACAATAAATCGGCATAGATGTGTGTGTATGTGTGTGTGAGCTATTGTTTATTTAACCCTGAGTGTCTCACATCTAAATTGCAAAGCTCACCAATACACACAAATACTGTGTACAGTTGATTGCGATTATCTCATAAATTAGTCTTGTGACAACCGATGACAGGCAACAGTAATTTTCTCTTTCTCTTCCTCCTCTCCTTTATCGTTTCGCCCCTTTTTATTTATTTTTGTTGTCGCTGTTGTTTTGAGAAGCACCAAGCGGGGAACACATCGATTAAACTTTAAGCACAACAAAGCAAATAAAGTTGCAGAAACGCGTGCTTGGAAATGACCTTGCCTGTTGCAACAACACATCCTTAACAAATAGGAGAGCTCGACTTGGAGATACCCATTACTTATTCATAAGTCTTACTCGATTTACTTCCAAGTTATTTATATTATATTTATCTTTTAAAAATATCCGCTTAAAAGATATATCTAACATCTTTAAGATTATAGCTTTTATTACTAACGCTAATCGATAATTATTGATTTTAGGCAAACGGATTGTCGATAAAATGAAAAAAAATAGTGTAATCCGACCGATTCCAGCAAATGTACAATTGCACCAAAATTTCGAATATTTCAATATTTAACAGACAAAGTTGGGTAGACATGGAATATATAATATATGCAGCATTTGGATTCGCAGATGCCTCCGTAAAATTTAGGTACGTTATATATATATATATATATATATAAATTGACGTCAGACAGGAATCGAAAGTCACTAATTGATGGATTTTGACTTTGCTGTCTGACTGCAATGACCTAGATAAAAAAAAGCGCAAATAGAAAATAGAAAATGAACGACCTTTTCTCGGGCAGATGTCAAAGTCAAATACTACGAAAATCAACTGGCCGCAAAAGCCAATGTCAATGTTGCATTAAGTCTTTTGCCAACAAAATTCCTATACATACCCTATATATATATTTATATAATATATATATTTTCGTTTCGTTTATATACGCTCAATTTCACTTTTGCGCTAGAACAAAGAGCTAAAAACAACATAATAATAAAAACAATTTCACTTGATGTTTATACATATATCTATACTATATCGACGAATATATATGCTGTTTAAATTAAAAAAAAAAAAAAAAAAAAAGAAACAAAGATAAACAGAAAGTATTAGAGAATGATAGAAATAAAGGAAAAAAGAAAATGATACTAACTTTCATTGAGAAATATTCATTTTGTTTCATTTAATTTCATTTTGATTTGCTTGCTTTCTTTTTCTCTTGAATTTTGAGCCTCTTGTTTCTTGAATCTTGATATTTTAAGGGATGCAAATTCGTTCTGAGATCTCGATTTCCGATCTCCGATCCACACTTACCGATGACCGAAATGCATTTCTCATTAACGACACCGCTCGGCAGCAGATGAAAATCGAATTCGGTGCCATTTGCAACGACCGTGTGTCCAGCGTTATTGCCGCCCTAAACAGATGGAAGAGATTAGAAATACAATAATAAAATACAAATATGTAGACAATTAGATAATAGCCAAAAATAGTTTGTATCTATGTATGTACCAATGAAAACCTTGCACAAATTGTATACGTTGAGTCTAAATTCTTAAATAAAATGCAGCACTTAAATGCAGCATTCTATATTACTGTAGTAAGTAATCCCTAAATTTAATCAACATCCAATCTTTTCATATTTGAACGATGTTCGGAAAAGGACTTCATATACAACTTATAATAAATACAAATAATAGCTATTTTTGTTCTAAAGTTAAATTTTATCATTGAAAATGCATAAAAAAGACGCATATATAAATTACCATATCGATTATTTATAATTTCAATTAATATAATATTGTTTAACATTTTCAACTAACTTAATCTTTCACACACACACACATGTACACACATGTACACACATGACAGAGAGCCTTTTTCTGTTTATATACAAAATTAGCATGTTTGTTTTTGTTTATTAAAAGTCGTGTGATAAATAAATAAATATTGTTGAACAGCAGGTATTAAATAACAAATAAATATCTAGCTGGCAAGCTGAGAGTGACACGAACTACATTTTATATACGAATATATATACATTGATATATATACATATGTATATACATATATATGTACATATGTATATATGAGAGAGAAAAACGAAATGTTTTCTTTTTTGTATCAGTCGTATCAGTGTGGCAAAGAAAAGCGAAAATGTTATTTGTGTTTTTTTTCTCGTTTGGCAACTGTACAAGTTTCGCTTCGTTTTGGCATTCAATAATCTTCTCTAATATATTATATGTGCAACAAAAAAAAAACTGTTCAGAAAAACATCAGCCAAATATTAAGCAAACATATTCTGGAACTATTCAACGAAAAACTAATCATATATAACATATATATACATATGTATATAATGGCAGTACAGGGCTCATTGTTGATAAGATTATAGCAAAAATAACTGCAAAATAAAAATCCCGTGTTCAAGAAACTTTCGCTGCGCAATATGTGGAAAAAAAAGAGAAAACAAAAAACAAAACCGAGGAAGGCTTTTGCTGCATGAGTCAGATGATACAAAAAATCAGTTGCTGTCGGGAGGAATTACATAAGAATCCCTGATAACTGATAACCGAGTAAAAAGGGCTGATTATAATACTAATATATATTTATATATATACAAACAGCTATTCGATCATTGAACTATTTGACAACTCAAAACAGACAACAGCAATCAACAAGTTGCTAGAATAGGGTCAACAAAATAACGGTACACGCAATTCTTTTAACTACTGTTGAAAGCGTAAAATTAGCAAAAATAAGGCGAAATTAAATACATACGTATATATATATATATATGTATATAGGAAATTGGGAGTACAGTTTGTTAAATGCTTAGATAACTACATACACACACACATGCATACGACTGTATATACACGCATACATGCATAGATTGTTTTCATATATACATGTATGTATACATATATATGTGACGTATTTTCAAATACTGCGCGGGACATTTACAATGCTTGGGAGGGATTATGTAAACGCAGCCGCTGTTTCCCTGAGCAAGCAAGTGTGTACGTATTATATGCATGTGTGTGCGACCCGACCAAGTGTGTACATATACAGACAAATACACATACAAATACACGCATACATAGACTGGCTGTAGGAGAACAGAAAAGGAAAACACACAGAAAACAAACAACTAACACCAAGCGAGTGACGAATGTGCTGCGGCAGTAGCAGCAGACGTTGGCAGACTGACTGACTGACTAACTGAGCGCGCGCACACACACTCATACAGAAGAGGCTATCTCATCTGCACGACAGTGCTGACATTTTGGCTATTAATGGCAAACACTTAAAATTCGGCGGCTTTTCGCAAAATACTACATCTTGATTATTTTTCCATAAATAATAGTATTAATTTACAATTTAAAAAAAATATGGCTCCATATTTAGCTATTTGTCAATAATTCTTAAACTGTTTCTGCCAAATATTCCTTGAAGATTTAGCTGTTTTATTCGGTTTCAATAATGACAGCACTGTTACACACACACACACAGTGAAGACGGCGCGCACACATACACCCGCAACATGCACAACACAACCACACACCCACATCTACATACAAATATACATGTAAGTACACACACACATAGAAATGAAAAAGCTAAGCATGCGGTCGGCCAGTTAAGGCGATAATAGCTAAATCCGATGAAAATAATGTATCTTTTTGTGAAATTCAGATGCTGCTGCAATGATTTTTTTTTCGGCGTCATCGAACCTAGCGCCCAAGCCGTGTCCTTGACACAAGGATAATTGCCTTGCCTTGTTTTGCCCTGCGCGCTGTTATCAAATCTCTGTTGCCCTCTTTGATTTTTTCATACCAATATATATATATATATATATTTTTTTTTTTTTTTTTTTTTTTTTTTTTAGTTTGTGCTTACCTGACACCTGCAGACAATGTCCACCTCGGATGCGAGCATGTCAACCACTTTGCCTTTGCCCTCATCGCCCCATTGGGCACCTAGCACAACATCCACTTTCGACTTGTACATCTTGGTGCGTCCTTGATGCAATTGCTCGTAGTGATTGCCGTTAACAGCGTTACTTGCTATTGTTGTTGTTGACATTTCGTACCACTATCAGGGAAAAGTCTCCGCACGACCACGAAAAAACGAGCACACGACGTTGATCTCGCTTGAAAACGGAACACGTTCTGTTTTTATAATATCGTTTGATTTGCAGCTGTCACAGTGCATGGCGTTGCCACTATAGAACATTCGCAAGCATGCCCAGACTGTTAAGGCTTACACGATGCTTGTAAGCGATTAATCGTACACAAATATTTTAAATTTGGAAGTTCACTAAATGAATTCAAGTTTTTATAACTGACAATTTTATTTGTAAATCGACCGCAAAATAATTTGTTTTTAAAGGGAAAATATATAATTATTATAAGATAAAAAAATGTCACTGTTTTATAAAATACAGTGAAGTTGATTTAGCAATTTTAGTTATTTTACAAAATTTCTTTGTTTTTTTTCACTCTCAAATTTGCCATTCACAGTGAAGCGCAAAAAATCCATAAGCTGGCAACGCTGCGCAGCCATATGATTGTTTTGCTAATAAAATGTCGGAAACCGCAGAGAATTGCCATTTGTTTGTATATGGGATAATGATCATATTCAAGTTATTAACTTTAACCCCATTTGCAGCTGTAAAGTGGCGCCATTCAAATACACGTGCCCCAAATGCAATGCGATTTATTGCAGCGTCGCCTGCTACAAATCAAAGGAGCATTTGAAATGCTCCGAGCAATTCTTCAAATCCTGCATTCAGGACGAATTGGCCAGTGCAACAAAGACGACGCTCGAAAGTCAGCAGGATATGCGTAAAATCTATGACATACTCAAGCGTATGCGTGAAACTGAGGCCGGCTTTAAGCCCGAGGATTTCGATGCTGATGGATTGGATAATCCTTTGGATTCCGATGACGACGCGCTAGAAGAAAGTGGTCAGGAGGAGGGTGAGGAGGGTGATGCTGATCAGCAATCCTTTACAGAGGAACCGGCGGAAGTCGTGGATATTGCAGCACGCCTCAAGGGGATTGATATAAATGATGCGGATGAAGTCTGGAACAGATTAACACCAGAAGAGCAACAGGAATTTCAGCAATTAATTACCAGCGGCAACATTATGCAACTGATGCCAGACTACAAGCCCTGGTGGACGCGCAAAAGCTCAAAAATTGTTGTGCTAAGCGAGGCTAAGAAGGATGATATGCCAGAAATACACAAAAACATCCCCCAATTTAAGGATCTGTGCAAAAGGACACCGTCGTCCTGCGTACACTACAATCTGTGGAACATGTTGAGCGCCTACGCATGTGTGGCACGCTACTTCAACGGCGAACAGCGCACGAATCCCAGCGAGGCAGTTGCTCAACTTGTCAATTTGAGTGCAACACTGAAGTACAACACAAATTACGAGGATGCTGAGGATGCAGTCATCTCCGTGGAAATGGAGGCATGCACCACGCATGGAAATACCCCCAACAATTTGTTTGTGGAGAGTCGCGAGCTGTTGCTGGAGGATGTGCGTCAATTGATGGCCAGCAGGCAACATAAATTGGCCGCTTTAAGCGATATTCTTCACCTTTTGCAGCTGTCCAAGAAGCAAACGCATCTCGAGGAGGCGAAATTTCAAAAATTATTCGCTTTGCGTCTTGGCAGCGTGGAATTAAATCGCCACAAATTGGGTAAACTAATCAAGAAATTGGAATTTATGCTCGCCTATGTGGCAAGGGAGGAGTAAGAAATCCTTTGAATTTGTTGTCAAATAAAATTAGTTTAATTTATTTATGTTTGTTTCTGTTTTGCATATATTTTGTATCCAAATCAAATATGCAACGATGGAAATTGTGCAGGCGTGTAAGTAATTTTAATTAAATAACTTAATTACAGAAGTTCAAAATTTAAATTAATACCAATTTTAAATGTGTCGCCAACTAACAGCAGTGAAAAGTCATGCAGGTTGTCAACTAAATCGCATCGTGTGTGAGCCGCATAAGCAATCTTCAAACATGAATTTAGTAAATTACGCGTTGCGTAGATCTGGCAACTCCGTTAGTGATTTTACTGATTTGTTGGATAACAAACTATAATTGAAACATCAAATAATACTTTTGCTTTTACACACTAATAGTTGTATAAATTATAAATTATGTTTAAGTATTTCACCTACAATGCAATTGACAGTCGACTGTTAATCACTGCATGCTAAAAAAACAATCAGGTGTCATTAGGGCATATGCGCCAACAGTTCGCTGAATAATGAACCAGTGACAAACTGCAGCCCTTGTCCAGCTTGCAGTCAAGTTGTTGCTTTGCCAGCCCTGCTAGTTTTTTTTAGTTGGCGATTTCAGACACACACGCAAGTTGTTGTAGTGCTTTTTACGGCTATTTTGTTTTTTTGGTATGTCTCGATTCAACAAATTCAAAATACTAATCGTCTGCCATAAATATGCAAAATAATACAAAATAAAACGCAGCAGAAGGCAAGAAGCAATAAGAACATTTTACATAGAATTTCGTGTGAACGCGTTTCGTTTTCTCTGGGTTTGAAGAGCGGGGTGCGGTGCTTGTGTAGTGGAATTTGTGTGTTGATTGCATATATATATGTACTCATGTGTGTGTGTGTGTAGGTCTAACTGTCTGATGTAGTGTGCGTGTGTGTGTGAAGTGTTCTTCTTCGCTGCGCGCTGAATTAGTGCAAAAAAAAGGAAACAATTTAAGTGCGACTGTGTGTGTGTTTTTTAAACAAAACATTTAATTGCTTGGAAAAATGTGTGGGTTTTGCGAACTTATGTAAGCTTAACTAAGATACAGGTGCAAATATTTGTTTGAAATACGTAAAAATGTTCAATCTTTGAGGCCAGATAAACGAGTTTCCAGCCTTATCTTTTTCCTTGCGTGTGTGTGTTTGTGTCTTAGTCTACCTGCCTATGTGTGTTTGTTGTTTGTTGCTATTGTTGTTTTTCGGCTTGCTTATCTATCTCGACAAATATGCGAAGCATGCGTCAACCTGTTTTTTTAAACTTTCTGTTGAAAATTTCTACTCAAATAACCGCAACAACAACAACAGCAACATGACTGCATTTAGTTAAATTATACTTATATACATTTATACATATTTATATCAATACAACAACAAAAAACAGACCCCTATGTAACAAAATATCGTTGCCAGATCGCTTGCTGATGACGATGTTAAAAGCAAAAGCAAAGCACAGCTTGATCCAGCCGCCCAGATTGCCATTCACACACACGCATTGTTTGTTTCCCCATTTGGAATGGAGGGGGGTTGCTGGGCGAATGGCAGCAAATGCCGGCAGTCAGTGACCGTCTGGCGGTCTGCATGCTGCAGCCATTGATAACATTTTGTTAGCATGTGTGTGTGCGACTACATGCAATACATGTGCCTGTATTTGCATTGTTTACAAACAGCTGATGGGTTTTTTTGCACCGCCTGCAAAAACTCCATTGAAAATAACTTAAAATTATTAATGTATAAATGAAGATGCACTACTTTACCGTTATCGATATGCACTCACTTATTAAACAAAGGTCAGACAGTTCAAAAGGGACGCCAATTACAGTTAGACAATTTTCTAATTGCCAAATTCAAATTCGATGTTCAATTGAATTTTTTGATTTGTGTTTGTCTTCAATGATTAATTGAGAAACTGCTGCTAAATTTGAATGTTAATGAAATTCTTTTCAGTTGGCTAAGATTTTGTAGAATTTTATCGTATAATCGTACAATATGATATCATATTAGGAACAGGTGTAGAACTGAGAAAAAAAAAATTATTTCTCTTTGCATTGCCGAGGACTAAATACTCTATTTAGTTATGTTTAAAATGCATAGCTTAACTTGGGCAAATTTCCTAAAGAATAGTAATTTAGTTTTATCGATAGTTCTTACGAAAGGTATATGATTCGATAAAAAATACTAGGCAAGTTTTTGATTTTATATATATGGCTGCCAATCTGCGGGCACTGTTAGGAAAGTAATCGACTCACTTCTACACTCTCCTCTTGTATGGATCTATACTAAATAACTGTACAATGACCTGCAAATAAATATAAATACAAATAGAAAAGAATGAAATTTAAAACCAAGATTCAATTGTGCTTGCGTCATTTGCATACCGTAACAGAGGCCATTATAAACAATAAATGAAGTCACTGCAGCAAGGGTATTTAACCTTCGGATTTGTTTTTGTTTTTTTGTTTTTTTTTTTTTTAGCTTTTTTTAATCGATGGGTTGCATTGTAATGAATGCTCTCATCCAGCAGATGAGTTTTAGCAGCCAAGTGTTGCATAACTGGTTCTTGGCTAGCTGGTTTCATCTGACTGGGATGATGATGATGATTTTCAGCTACGTCATTTTGCATACACAAATCTCGAATCTGTTCTTGTTGCTTCTTGCTGTGCCTTATAGCATTGTGGCCAGATAAATGAGAATTTAAAGATCTTTTTATTGTTTTTGTATAATCTTTGAACAGGAAATGTCCCACCACAGCGATGATCAGCTTCTGCAGGCTGGAAGTGATTCCTTCTGGGAGCCTGGCAATTATAAACGAACCACCAAACGCATCGAAGATAGCTACAAGTGAGTAAAACACAAAATACAAATCGCAAATCAAAACACAACACTGGCTTGGCTGCTTGGGTCATTGCCAGCAATAACAAAAACAAAAAAAAGTGTACAACTTAAATAACCGGTTATTTACTTGTCTCTTTTCTTTTCTTTATTTTGTATTCTCGCTCTCTCTTCTCTGCCCCTCTCTCTATTTATATTTGATGGCTCATCCACACATCTGTCGGTGCTCGGCACAGACTCTGCAATGACCTACAGCAACTGATACAGGAGCGCGCCGATATTGAGAAGGGATATGCAAAAAGTTTGCGCACCTGGTCTAAGAAATGGGGTGAACTCATTGAGAAAGGTAAGCGCAACTGGCAAATACACTTCTTCTACCCAAAACTTAGGTTTTTGTTTATTTACTTTTTAAAATGATCAAAATAATAAGTTAACTATCATAACTCAATTTTTTTCATATTCCAATGTGTTAAATTTTATTACAAATTATATAAGAGTGCTTTAATCGAAAGTGACTGTATAACAAGTATAACAATTAAAGTGTTTAGTTGAAAGTGCACAGCTAGCAGATGCTCTCTGTCTGTCTCTCTCTTTCTATCTATCTCTCTCTCTCTCTTTAGCTCTTGTATCCTGCGTGATATACCAATGTAATGTAATGCAGCGGCATTTATACATTTAATATATAGGAAGCTTACTATATAATGATTATGACTTGTTCAAAGATATATAACAATTTTAAATATAAACATAAAAATATATTTTATTTTTCTTTACACAAATTGCATAGCGAAACAAGAAGCACATTAATTAAAAGATATATTAAAAGAGATAAGAAAACTATACATATTTATAAGTAATATATATGTTATAATTGTGGGCACAGCTTTTATCGCGAAGACAAGTTATTGATGCTCTTGAAGAATATTCATACAGATATACATACATACATACAAACATACGTACTTTTTGGTGCTCAAAAATGCATTTCTTTTGCACAACTTTAGTTACACACTCTTAACCCCTTTCCTAATGGGAACTTAATATATATGTATGTATGTGGGTGTGTATGTATGTTGACCGTGTTATTTGTTTACACATTCATTCACGCCTGCTTTGACGGCCCAATGGAGCAGCAACAACAACAGCCGCAGCAGCAGCGATGACCCGTTGCCATCGCCTGCGTCAATTGACAACAGACTCTGTTATTCTTCTTCCTCTCCTTCTTGTCATATTCGTGTACATCATTCGTGTACTGCGCATTGTTGTTCTTTTTGTTGCCGTTGTTCTTGTGTTTGTTGTTGTTCTTGCGATAAGTGGCTTAAGCTATTAATGGGCTTTTTGTTGCGACGTTTTTTTTTTTGCTCTTTTTATTTTTTTTTTTGCTGTTTTTTACCTGTTGTCTCCATCTCCATTGTTGCACTGTGGTCCTAAATAACAGGAAAACAAAGCATTTTACATTCTACAAGTTGTTAGGTGCTAAAAAAAAAATATTCAAAATGCTAAATGTAAAACGCAAATAAAGTATATATTGAAAAAAAAAATAAAAATTTTGCTCTATTGTAACTTTGCGCTGATCAATCAATCAATCTGCTAGTCAGTATATATACATACATACCTATCCATTAAAAATATTGCAAATACCTCAGTAATTTGACGAGTTTTCCCAATCGAGCTGTAAGCTGAACTCTTCTTCTTCTGCTGCTTTTGCTGCCATCGAATGGAATGCCAAATTGGCCTATTTAAAGCCAAAATGTCACTGCTCCGATTTCAGCCATTTTTGTCACAATTTGCGTTCCAGTGTGCGTTTTGTTGTTGTTGTTTTTGTTTTTCTCTTGTGTGAAATGAAATCGAGTACAGAGTGTAATGCTTTTTTATATTATTTTTGTTGTTAACTGCTTTTGTTGTTGCTGTTGTTATAGTTGTTATGCCCATCGCCAACGCCTTTGCTTTCTGCTCTCTGTCCACTTTCACAGTAAGCATGACGAACGAACGGACAGACAGACGGACGAATAGCAATTGCGGACAGATATGTGTACACTTAAAAAAAGAAAGAGAAGCATACATCATATGTATTCATCAGGATAAAATTATGTAAATTTTTGTAATTTAAATTTCTACTACTTGCATTTTTATTTTTTTTTCGACATTTGCCAAAAATTATTGTGATTTGGGCGAATAAAAGATGTTAAAAATTTAGACAACAAATTATTTCTCGTCATGTAAAAAAGCGGCTTCTACGGAATTTGCCTAGTTGCGTCCAGTCAAAGTTATAAGCAGGTAGATTGGTTAGGGAGAGGGGGGGGGGCAGGCGGATCCCCGAAGACCCACTCAACCAGCCAATTGACGAGGCTAGCAGAAAAAAAAACTAAAACAAAAACAAAAAAACCGGCACCAAAGCGTCGCGCAAAATGGTTTCAAAAATCAATGCGATGAGCGAGAAAAATAGAACGTGTTTGTTTTTTTCTGTGCTAAGCGCTTCAATTTATCTGTGTATGTGTGTGCGTGTGTGAGTGTGTGAGTGTGTGGTGGGCGCCAATTGAGAATAGTTGAGTGTGTGGCCCGTTAGTGAAACGAGAAATCGAGTTTCGTGCATTCCCAATTTGCAATTATTAAGTGGCCATCGTATAAACTTTACGGTTTTTCATTTATGTTTGTTAGCACACAATAAAAAATAAAAATGCCTTCAAAAAATGTGCCTCACACACGCACACACCCAACACACACACGCACACAATCGCATTCTTGAGCTGATTAGATAAAAAGGCCCGTCAAGAAGCGTTTAACGCTTCGATGACATCAGCAACGACGAGGGGACAACAACAATCGAAATGCTTGAAAATCTTTTGAATAATGACACATAATAATAATGGCATCGAAAGATGTGACCAGGTTGATTAATAATTAATTACAATCGTTTGCACATAATCTAGTCATATTTACTACTACCGATTAATTTTTTTTTTTGTTTTTTTTTGTTCTTGGCTGATTAAGTGAATTTTATTTGCTGTGTTAGGAATATACTAAAAGTCTATCAATATTCTGTTGTTTTGCAGGGCCCGAATATGGCACCACAGAGGCGGCATGGAAGGGTGTATTAACTGAATCTGAACGATTATCCGATGTACATATGAAGATCAAGGATAATCTGTGCAATGATGTCAATAGTCAGATAAAGACGTGGCAAAAGGATAACTATCATCACACGCTGATGCAGATCAAGGAGCGCAAGGATATGGAGGATCTGTTCAAGAAGGCGCAGAAACCGTGGGCCAAACTCTTGGCCAAAGTGGAGAAGGCCAAAGCCGATTATCATTCAGCATGCAAAACGGAGCGCAGCGCCACCAATCAAGAGCGCAACGCCAATGCGGACAGCTCACTGTCACCCGATCAGGTTAACTACGTATACTATATATATATCGATTGACAGACAGACGACAGTTGTATGGCTTTGTTGAATATATATATTTACATATGCATTTGTTGTTATTATATTGCAGGTGAAGAAGATGCACGATCGCGTGCAAAAGACCAAAGATCAAGTGCAAAAGTGCCGCGAGAAATATGAGCAGGCCATTAGTGAAATAACCAAATATAATTCCGTTTACATCGAGGATATGACATCCGTCTTTGAGAAGTGCCAAACCATGGAGAAGACACGACTGCAGTTCTTCAAGGAAGTGCTATTCAATGTGCACTCGTCTCTCGATCCGACCAAAGTGCAAAGGTTAGCCATATAAAACTTGATATATAAATATATATCAAAGTTGTTTTGTAACCGATAGGTCAATTTATATATATTCTCCATCAGTTTGACGAACTATATTGTAATTGCAAAAGTCTATTCCCATAAATGTGTCAAAGAGGAATGTAAATTCTCAATCAATTGTAATGGCAAAGTCTATTCCCATAAATGTGTCAATTCTGGAGTTTGAGTCTTAAATTTAAGAATGTAGTTTATCGGATATTGTAATCAATAACTTTGTTCATATTCAGAATTCCTAGTGCTACGAGTTATATAAACTAGTCTATATAAAGTAAATCTTCAATTGGTACTACTTAATTTACTCCACAAAATTGATAGCAAAATGAAAAAAAAAACTTAACAAATTTAATGTTTATTTGTAATGTAAATTTTGGTTTATTGTGTTGCCATTTTGGCACACCATATAGATTTTTAATATCTAATTTAGAAATCGCTGTAAAAACCTACTTCAATAGTTAGACAATCATAATGCATAGACGGATTAAGTTAATTTTATCTATATGCGTTAGGAATATATTAAAACTCTTTCAATACTCTAGTTAGCTTGGGTTAGGTAAGAGCGAATTTCGGTGGGTTGCAGAAAGAACGGTTCCCATCAAAACCCACTTGGCTTTTTGCTCTCTCGATACCAAAGAAACTATCTTTCATGGTGCTTATCAGAGAGATAAGACTTGTTTTGTGTATATGAGTATGGTATAGAATAGTTACTTCAATTCAGAACTGAATACCAGATAAATTTTCTTTTAATTTATAATTTAAATTGTTTCTCTATATGATCACAGCCTGCCCCAGATCTATGAGGAATTCTATCATACAATTAACAATGCGGACCAACAAAAGGACTTGAAATGGTGGTCAAATAATCATGGCATTAACATGGCCATGAACTGGCCGGCATTTGTGGTAAGAGAGACATGCCTCAGTTAAAAGTCAGTTAAATTTGAATTTAACATGATTAAACTTCATTTGCAGGAATACACGGAGGAGTTCCGTGACATAGCCAAGGGCAACAAATCAAAAGAGGCGCTGCCCGCCGCACCCATAACTCTCATCAATCAGCGGCCCGTCGCAGAGGATGTGCACGTAAGAATTGTCCCCCAGTGAAAACGATTATATATTGTAATAATTGTTTTGTTTTGTGACCGCAAACAGGAATACCCCACAACAAATAGTCTAAAGAAGAACGCGAGCGTCAATAGTAAAGCGAGCGGACGAAGCAGCAGCCAGCAGGAACAACAACAACAAGTAACACAAACCTCTGCCACAACAGTCGAAACCAAATCAACGGTGTCGACAACATCCGCTGCCGCAGCCGGTGCCGGTGCTGCGACAACAGCCGCCGCAGCAGCAGCGACGGCAGCAGCAGCATCTAATCGTAACGCGAGCGTAACGTAAGTTTTTGTGTGTGTGAGTGGGTGTGTGTGTGTGCGTAGATATTGTTGTTTTAGATTACACTCGAGTGGTCAACTAACGCTCATTATGGCTGTTGTTCACTGCTCATTATACCCTGTAACATTTCGAATTGATTGCAGAGAGTGGGTAGTATCGTTAAATCATAAAGTATGCGAATTCTTAATTAACAATACTCGAGAGCTAGTGAATTATTATTATTATTAATTATTTGCATCCCGAAATTTGAATTTTATATATCAGTCAAAATATTTCCGACACCCGATTTGTGCGTAGAATAAGCTAGAAATGTCACAGAATGAATATAAGTTCTGAAGAAGGAAGAGCAACCCATAAACTCCTCATCTACGACTAAATTTAATTTTTTTTTTCTAATTTGTAATATTTATTTATATATATTACTTTATAATGGAGATATTATTTGATAATTCCGGATTATCAAGCATTTCTTGAAACTTATAAGAGGTGTGAGCAGTAAATTTCATAAATATTAATTATGCATATATTAATAATATACATTTATAAATGAAATGAAAATCCAATCTTTTGATTAGATTAGACAACGATTTAATTGTTAAATTATACATATTAATATCAGATATTAGATCGATTAGATATTAGAGAGGAAGACGCACAGTTATTTAATAGTTGGCATTCACAGGGAATCTTTTGGTCTTTCAATTTGCGGCTAGAGAGCACTTTTACTTGTTTTCATTGAACTAATTGATTTCAATTTGCATGCAACACAACGACACAACTTCAAACAGCAATGGCAACGGCAAAGTGGACGCCAATCCATTCGACGAGGAGGAGGAATGGGATGAGGCCGACAATGTGCTGGTGGACAACGGGGAGCCGGGTGTACCCGTGAAGGCCTTATATGACTATGACGGCGCTGAAAGCGACGAGCTCACGTTCAAGCAAGGTATACATATAAATAAATATATATCTATTGATATAGTTCGATCTATGACAAGTCTCTGTTACACAATCATAATCTTTTATTATTTGTATACCCAGGTGAAGTCTTTGAGAAACTGGAGGATGAGGATGAGCAGGGTTGGTGCAAGGGACGCATGAACGGACGTGTCGGCCTCTATCCGGCGAATTATGTTGAAATCTTTCACTCATAAAGTGGACGGGATGAAAAATGGGGGCGAATTGCGAATTTTTGCGAGGCGATTAGAAGTAGTAGTGGTTGATTGAACTAATGTCATGTCACACAGGCATTTGAAAGCATATATATACATATTTATATATAGAAGAGATTCAGAGATATAATGTACTACAGTAAACATAGTCGTTGGATGAGAACTATTATCGTATGTATTAGAATTTGTTATGAGCAATTTTTGCCAAACACCATTATGGTGTGTGTCTGGCATCAACTTATGTATTAGGCATTGAATTTGTATTTGTATTCAACAAAAATGGCAGCCCAACCTAACGTAAAAAAAAAAGAAAAAAAAAGAAAAAGGAAAACAACTCACCCACAGTAGAATTGAAAGAAAATGTCGTAGAAGAAACCGGAAGAAGAAAACAAACAAGAAACCGAATACAGAGTACAGAATACAGATATAACATAGATAAAAACGGAAAAGCGTCAAACAGAACAACATGTGTAAAACGTCAAATGTATGAAATAATATTACAAACATTATTACATATTGTATTATGCTATAGCCACAACTGAAATGAAAATGATATAATATGCTTTTTTATATTGGAGTGTGCGCGCATTTTTTACTGGTCTCATCTTGGCTTGTTGTTGTTCAACTTTTTGGTCACGGCACAGTCAAGACCGGCCTGTGCACACTCTTTAAAAAGCATATTGCAACAATAATAATATGTGCGTAGTATTTGTAATGCGTTTCATGAACATTTTTTTATTATTTATGAAGTTTTGTGTATACTTGTGTTATAAAAAGTATACGTATATTATTGTATATGTACATTTTTAAATGACTTAAATTATTGAAATAAAACAACAAAAATGCAAAAAACGAATAACAATCAAAGTGCATTTTAATTCTGAATCTAAAACAGTTTATTTTATCTGTTGGGAACTGATCATTTTCATTCAAGCTATGTCGAATCTGAATCGATTGCCAAACGCAATAACTTTTTAGTCATGGTTTTAAATGACTTAAGTTATAAAAAATAGAACAACAAAAATGCAAAAAACGTAAAATAATAAAATATTATTATAATTTCAATTGTATCTTAGATAAAATATAAACAGTTTGGAGCTTTGTCAAAGCTGAATCGATTTGAAAAACAATAGCTTTTTGAGCGTGGTTTTAAACAACTTACATTTTTAAAATAAAATATAAAAAAATGCAAAAGACTAATAATAATCACAGTGTATTTAATTCTAATTATATCTTAAACGGATTGTTTTAATTGATGGGAAGCGAAAATTCGAATTGGACCTTCGTCGAAACTTAATTGCTTTCAAAAAGCAGTATCTTTCTGGCCATGGTTTTAAATAAAAACAACCAAAAACGAAAAACGAAAAAACAATGAAAGGGTATTTTAATTTTATTCGCATATATTTAAATTTTTGTTTTGACTGATAGAATGCGAATATTCTGATTGACTTTATCAAAGCTGAACCATCAAACTGTATTGATGAATAGCGAACACTCGTATTGAAGCTTTGTCGAATCTGAACCGCTATTCAAAAGCATTTTATTTTTGTTCATTGTTTTAAATAAAAACAGCAAAACATTAGTAACAAATTATTTTTGAATTCTAATTATATCTTAAGCGTTATTTTTGGCTGAAAGAAAGCGAAAATTCGAGTAAAAGGTATAAACTGAATGGCTTTAAAAAAACTGAAAAGTTTTAGAATTGCACTTTAGAAAACATATTATATATCTAACAATGAATGTCTTTTCGTTTTATGCAAATTAAACACTTCATTGCATTTTATCTTATTTTATTTTAATTGTTAGATATTTTTAAAAGGTTACTTAGACAATACTCATTACGCATGTATCTATATGAATGCATAATTAATAGTTGCACTTTTTGCTTGCTCAGACAATCGTGTTAATTATTTTTGCTATTTTTACAAGTATGATGATGCTATTAACTATTGGGGAGTGTCATAAGCATACTCTTCCCCAGAGTATTATAAATTGAAGATAAAGTGTGGCAATATATTATAGACGAGTAAATTATGTAACTGGCATATGAAGAATCGATCGAATAAGTTCTTGTTTGCAGTGCATTTTTTGCTACTCGAAGTAGTTAATTGTGCAATTTATCATAAATCATCTATAATTCACTTCGATACAATTTCAATTTGAATGTATAATGATTTTGTTGTGAAGTTTGTAACTCATTAAACATTTTTAAAATATAAATAAAGTGGATGACTCAAAGCCAAATCAATTTTTTCGATGGTAAGAAACAAACCTGGAGGCTTAAAAAACAATTAATGTTTTCTTAAAATTGCAATGGCTTTTGTTATGGGACGGTAAAATAAAATTAATATTATATTTTCTATTTTATATAAGAGCATTGGCATTTTATTGAACTTTATATGCTATTTCTATCAATATCTAATAATAGGTTGATGTTTACGATTTTCAGTACAATTTAGATGTTGCCAAGTTGACTTCGAACCAGAAAGAGTATGTAATCGTTGGGGTGCAGTTTTTGGTAGGTCAGGTATTAGTTGGCTTATACCTATGGCCAATTCTACATGTGGCATTGTCAATTCTGATTACAAAAATACAAAATATTGTACTGAATATAATGCAGTAACTTAGTCATTTCTTCAAACAATACCATTTATGTTTACTTAACATACACTTGCAGTAATAATATTATATAATGAGTTTTATCTACAAATACTTGTACATAGTTCTATGAAATGAATCGGGCAACAGCAGTAACAATATTAATGCGATAAATACTTGTATCTGAAGTCGAAAGAAACTACTGAATGCTAAGGAACATGGAGCGTAGATTACAATGCCAGCAGTCTCAAACGCGAAGCCATCGCGATCGGAGCTCAAAACACACAGCTTCGAGCATATACACACTCACATATTTATATATATATATATATATATATATATATATAGATATATATAGATAGATATATATAGCAATATGTCAAAAATCAAGTATCATCTCATTCAAACGGAAGTGACCTTATTCGGTGACAGATCCGGCGTATATAGATTTCTCAAAATCGGTGCAATATGTGCCACATTTCTGTTAATTGTATGTTATAGCAATTGGACAATTAGTGTTAATACAACACCCAGTAAAACCTCGTTGCCGCCAAACGCAGCGAACTTAACCTATATTCTTGGGGATAAGGGCGATAAGGATATTGCCTTGGAGCAGTCAGCATCAGTTGTGCATCTGAAAATAGAAACTACAACACATTTAAATCCTTCATCGAAATCAAATACAAGCTTGGGTTAATATCATTATAAATATTTAGTCTTTATACATCTTTATGATAGTTGTGTGCTTGCTTAGGTCCCAACATATTGGATAATTATTTTGTGTACACCTCACATTGTCGCATGCCGGCGCTGAATCCTTTTACCAAGGATGTGCTCAAGATTTTTAAAAAAATGCAATACGCAACTTGTGACAGGAGTAAGGTCCTCTTATCGGTGGACTATGATGACCGGATAGGACGCTATAAGTTCCATATAAATGATACGAATATCAAATGTTGTTATCGAAAAGTTCAACGGAATGGAAAAGGAGCTCGTGCAGATAATGATTACAAGTAAGCATGGCCACGTCATCCATAGCCAAAAGTTATCTAAATCAAATTCGAATATCATTTGTAGACTGGCGTCATGCGAATATTTCGAACAGGACTCTTTGGTACCTCAAGATGTGGATGCTGCCGTTACCGAATGCCGTCGGTTGAAAGAGAAAAGCCTGTTGCAACACGCTGCCTTTGGATTTGTGCAACCAAAGGAACAACTTATGAATAACTCATTTGCGAATGATTCACTTGAAAGTGAATCCTTTGAGAGCAGACCCAGTGTCCTGCTGTGGGGCATTGATTCCATGTCACGCATGAACTTTGAACGGACCATGCCCCTAATGTTCAAGTATCTGAGGGAGGAGAATTGGTTTGAGCTGAGGGGCTATAATAAGGTCAGTGAACCCTACATTGATTCTACCCTCAGGACAACAAAATTGATTTGAATTTCAGAAATTCACCTTTCTTTTGGCGCCATAATTTATAGAGAAATTTTTTAAATTTCTGGTTGATTTTTGGTCTGAGTTGATTAAATGAATTCGTTTTTGCCAAGATATAATGATTTTTTTTTACAGATGGGCGATAATACATTTCCCAATTTGATGGCTCTGCTGACTGGCTTCAATAGCACGAGATCATATTCGGTGTGTCGGCCAACAGCAGTGGGTGGCATGGATGCCTGTCCGCTTATGTGGAAAGACTACAAGAAGCATGGTTATGTTACAGCTTATGCCGAGGATTGGGGCAAATTCGCCACGTTCAACTACAACAAGAAGGGATTTGCTAAGCCGCCAACGGATTACTATCCGCGTCCTCTGATGCTCGCCGCTGAGAAGGAACTAAAGAAAGTTGTGGTTTCAAATATACCCTACTGTTTGGGCCATCGTCACTATGCGGAATATATTTATGATTTTGCAATACAATTCACTAAGGTCTATAGGAATCAATCGACCTTTGGGATGTTTTGGACAAACAGTTTTAGTCATAACAATTTTATGTTGCCCTCATCGATGGATACAAAGATGCTGGAATATATGCGTACACTGAGCGAAAGTGGGGTTCTTGAGAAGTCTATAGTGATTTTCTTCAGTGATCATGGTATGCGTTTTGGGCCACTGCGAAGATTGGACAGTGGCTTTCTCGAGGAAAGAATGCCCATTATATACATCTGGCTCCCCCAGTGGTTTAAGGATAAATATCCTGTATTTGTGCATAATTTGCACTCGAATAGGAATCGCTTAACTTCTCCTTACGATATCTATGCCACTTTAAAACACATTCTGCAACTTGAGACGCCACTAGCTGAGTTACCACGTCCTGAAGGATGTCCCAGTTGCCACAGCCTATTTCACGAAGTGGCCGAGACGAGAGACTGCAATGATACGGGCATAAGTGCTCATTGGTGCACTTGCCACACCTTTAAATATAATTCGAAGAGTGATAATCATATCAAGGAGGTGGCACAACAATTAATCGATGCCACAAATGATTATCTTAAATCCAATAATCTAACTAAATTATGTCAAACATTAAAACTCTCAAATATTGAGTCGGTGCAGCGAAAAATTGGCCACGAAGTCAAGGAGTACGAGTCCTATCTGATTAGATACGAAGCTGAACCAGAGAATGCAATCTTTGAGGCATCCGCAAGTTGGCATAATAATACAAGAAAAATGTCCATTCATGTGCCCGATATAAGTCGCTTGGACTCGTATCGTAAAATATCCGAATGCATTGAGGATAATATTGCCAAAAAGTTTTGCATCTGCTTCCCTGAGACGCTGAGACGCCATTAAAAGAAAGGGATAAATGGTAAAATGAAGCTGTGCAAAAGTACAGACAGAAAAATGCATTTACTTCCTCATAGTGTATATATATATAGGTATCTATATATAGCCATGTCCGTCAGTCCGTTTTCAGAGGCTAGATATTTAAAATTTACATATCTATCTACCTATATAATACGCAGATCAAGTTTATTTAATTTAGTCGATAACTGCCATAGTTATATATCGATACGGATAAGAAACGCAGATTTTCATATTGAACAAACCAATGTCAGCAGACCTACTATGTAGGATACTACAACAGGGTATCTCCTAGTCGAGCTATCTCGACTCGAACATGCGAAATTATTTTTATGTTTAATGTAGGTTAATATTTTTTTATATTTTGAAGATTTGTTTTAAACAATAATCAAATTTTTCTTAGTTGTTCATTGTGTTTAAAAACATTTTACAGATTGTAAGTCTCAGTTTGAGATTGAAATTCCTTAATTTCGATTTTCGATACTTGAATCAATGCATTTTATTTACCCTGTGCATTATAACAAAGTACAAGATTGAATCATAAAATGAAATTCTAAAAAAAAAGATTATATTCTAAGAATATTTGGCAATAATAAATATATGTTCATAATTAATATCTGCTAAAATAACAATTAATTTTTGGTTTTGCTTTGATTAGTTTTTGACGATAAGAAGGATTGGGTGCATAGAATCATAGCATATCTTTGTGATTAAATGGGTTGTACCCCCCAAAATTTTCAATGGCTGATAACCCACAATCAGCTAAGCACTTCTCAGTTGGCAGTTGAGTAAGGCGCATCGAGCTGCGGGCGAATTTCAACAAACAAATGTGTTAAATAAAAAACAAAAATATCAAATCGATGGCCAAAGTGAAATACCATTTAATCAAACCGGAAGACAAGGCTGTAAATGAAACAAAATGCACTCCTCACGGTACTTTAAAAATTCTACTAGCTGCTGCAATACTGCTACTGACCGGATTATATTATTATTGTTATTATTGTAATGTTAGTGCAATTGAGGGATTCGCACTGCAAACCACACAAATCGATATATTTAATACAACTCATAGTGTTTTTGAGCATTTTGTTGAGTTAGATGCAGATCCCAAATACTTTATAAAGACCTCCAAGTGCCTAATGCTAGTTATGCCCGATCTGGCGAAGAATTATAGAAAAAAGTCATATACAAAGTGTGACAAAAGTAAGGATCTAATCACCCCCAAATATGATCACACACAACGCAGCCATAGTCTGCATCTGAACGAAGTGAATATTACATGTTGCTATAAGCAAATATTGCGTTGGGGAACTGACACCAAAGCGGACAACCAGTTTCAGTAAGTGCTTGGAGTACGTCAAACAATAAATCTAATCTAATCTAATCTAATATAAATACTAGCTTGCAGCCGTGTAGTAACTTTCATCAGGACTTTGTAGTGCCTCAGCGTGTGGATGGCATCATAACCGAATGCCGTCGGTTGACTGATAAAAAGCTGTTGCAAAAAGATGCCTTTGGATTTGTGCAACCAAAGGGACAACTTATGAATAACTCATTTGCGAATGATTCACTTGAAAGTGAATCCTTTGAGAGCAGACCCAGTGTCCTGCTGTGGGGCATTGATTCCATGTCACGCATGAACTTTGAGCGGACTATGCCCCTAATGTTCAAGTATCTGAGGGAGGAAAATTGGTTTGAGCTGAGGGGCTATAATAAGGTCAGTAAACCGTATATATAACTTATTATCGAAGGTTAATTGCTACACTCAGGAAAATAAAAAATTCGCTCAGAATCGGCATAATTTTGGGGCAAGTATTCCTCAGAAAGTAAATTGAATATGTTGGAGGTTGTGGCTTTCTTAATTTCGGAGTGGATTCTTTTATAATTTAGACAACATTTTAAATATAAATAAATTAGTTTATTTCTGAAGAAAAGCAAACTTCCAATTTTTAGGGCAATTTTCGAATTTCAATTAGATTTTGGTTTCTGAGTGCATTATTTAAATCACTTCTTTTTTGCCATGATATAATTATTGTTTTTTCTACAGATTGACGATAATACATTTCCGAATTTGATGGCTGTGCTCACAGGATACAATCTAACGCGATCGATGTCCGTCTGTCGGCCAAACGATGTCGGTGGCTTGGATGATTGCCCTTTTCAGTGGAAGAGTTTCAAGGCGCAAGGATATGTAACGGCTTATGCTGAGGATTGGAGCGAATATTCGACATTTAATTTCAATTTCAAAGGCTTTCATAAGCCACCAACGGATTACTATGCACGTCCACTGATACTGGCCGTGGAGCGGGAGCTGCCGAAGATCAATGATATGAATATACCCTATTGTGTGGGCCGTCGCCATTTTGCAGAGTATATTTATGATGCGGCAATACAGTTTACGGAAGTCTATAGGAATCAGTCGACTTTCGGCATGTTTTGGACAAACAGTTTTAGTCACAACAATTTTATGTTGCCCTCATCGATGGATACAAGGATGCTGGAATATATGCGTACACTGAGCGAAAGTGGGGTGCTTGAAAAGTCTATAGTGATTTTCTTCAGTGATCATGGTATGCGTTTTGGGCAACTGCGGGCATTAAAGACGGGATTTCTGGAGGAAAGGATGCCCATTATGTACATCTCGCTGCCTCGATGGTTTAAAAATAAATATCCTGAATTTGTGCATAGTTTACAATTGAATCAGAATCGCTTAACTTCTCCTTATGATATCTACGCCACTTTGAAACACATTCTGCAACTGGATACTCCATTAAATGATTTGCCACGTCCTGAAGGATGTCCCCGCTGTCACAGTCTATTCCACGAAGTGACTGAGACAAGAGATTGCCGGGAGGCGGGCATTGCTGATTTTTGGTGCACTTGCCAAGAACTCGGTGAGATCTCGAAAAGTGAGCCCAAAGCAAGGATGATGGCCGAGCAGCTGGTAGAAGCCACAAATAATTATTTGTCAGATAAAAAATTGTCCGACATTTGTCAGAAATTGCAACTAAATAAAATTGAGTTGGTGCAACGGCAAATGGTGCAAGGATCAAACGAATCCGAGTTCTATGTGGTCAGATATGAGACGAAGCAGGCCTGGGCAATTTTTGAGGCCTGGGCACAGTGGAACAATGCGACACAAAAGATCTCAACGAGTGTGACTCGAATTAGTCGCTTGACGAGCTATCGCCAACACTCTGGTTGTGTACGCGATGCTGTTGCCAAGAAGTACTGCATCTGCCGGACAAAATAATTAACCACAATCAACCCAGGGCAATTCTGGTTGAGTGGAGTACCGCAAGGACCATAGCTCAAGTGATGCATCTGCATCTGCATCTACATCCGCATTTGTATCTGTATCTACATCTGTTTCAATATTTCAATACTATCTTCTCTTCCGATCTCACCCTTCGCCAAAACGGTCTGTTTAATTTGTTGCCAAATTAGTTGACAATTATATGACAATTACAAACTGGTAATTGTCGCAATAGCAGCGATAGAAACACAGCTGTTTTTAGTTTAGAACACTTTGCACTTTTGTTAGACAATGCAAGCAATAAAATAAGCAGTTATTTACTACGAAATAAAATATAACAAAGAAAATCTATATATACATAGATTTATATATTATTGATTTTTTATAAATCTCTTATTTATTATTTTTAAAATTCAGGCCGATTTTTTCTGAGTGTAGGTTGTTTTTTTCTCTGTCAATGTGAACAAAGGCATTCAGCAGAAATTGATATTTATTTACCTTGATTACAAAGTCATATCTATATAAATTTTAATTTTGATATCAATGTTAATTAAGTGTTGTTATTTACTACAGCAAATGCGTTGACAGCTTTTCAGTAAAATATCCTAAAAGGGGAACCCGATTTGTAATTATTACATTAACACATTGGAAATGCGTATGAGTGGAATAATGAAGTTGTGAAAGATAATAATGTATATATTTTAAAGGTTTGCATTTCAAAATTTCACGGTGGATTTTTCTAACAATTTCCGACTTTCATTCTTGTTTTTAAATAAATAAGAAAGTGCAGATGAATGTCTATAAAAAAAAGAAGGCATCCATTTGGCCCCTCTCCAACCACCCGCCAGCCCTCAACTGATTAAAATAAGTTAATCTGTGCCCGCATATACTCGTATGTATACATATATATTTGATATTCCACAACAATGAAAACCCCTTCACTGACCGTTTACTTCCGTTTCCATTTCACTTCTCTGCTGTGCATTTAATATAGTTTAAAGATGGGTTCTTCTTGCAGTTTCCTCTCGTTCACCTTGGTCCTTGGTCTTGTTTGCAACTTATATGATCGGATTATCCGGCGGATTAGGCGCAGATTTGCGCAAGCTCATTTGCCATCATAAACATCGTCCTTTGTAAAAATAGTATGCCGTCGGCAGTTTTATTTGTAATTTGATATTTTTGGTTGCATATATATATACATATATATGCAAACAATGGGAAAGCGGAAAAACAAATTATTCTTGACCATGAAAACAGCAACAATTGCGGAATCGGCTTAAGAAAACACTCCCCCGGCTTCCTCGCTCTCACTCTCACTGTCTCTTTCTTTTTGTCTCACTGTCTTTCTCCCTCTTAGTCCTATTTTATTTGCTGTTTTTCCGGCACGTGAATTATTCAATTTTCATTGATGATTCTTACAACACGAATTTCCTATAGACAATAGGCTTTTGGCCACAGTACATGATATTTCATGATATCCTTGTCGGCAAGGACTAATGTGGGCCATGTGTGGGAATTGAGTCAAACAAGTCAAAATTGCAGTTTCCACAAAGACCTTATTATCAATGATATCAAATTACTCAAATTGTGTTGTGTAATTCAAATTTGCATTAAAAGAGTTCATTCTCTTTAGATTTTAGAAGCGATTGATTTAAATGACAACGGAAGAAGAAGCTAGAATATTTATATATTGATTTTGATGTTTGTTGAATATATAATATTTAATAGTTTAATATAATACCTGTTCTCAGACATTGAACCTTAAATAATTTTTTTGTAAGTATAAAAGTCAGCCATGTCTGCCCATTTTTTTTAAAGCTAAATAAATAAGTTGTCGGTTAATTCTTCAGCATTTTTTATATCATATTTATTTAAAATTTGTATAAAACATTCTTAAATACTTTTCTTTCTTTTTTTTCTCGAATTTTCATTTATTGATTTGGAAATGGCTTGAAAATATTAAACAATTGTCAAACTAACTAAAACTTAATTTGGCAAAATATTTCTCTAATTTTTTACAATATATTCTTATCGTCGCTGTAAATATAGATACGAGATCATTTCAAAAAATAAATAAATAATGCAGTTTTTATAAATATATTTGTTGGCATTGTTTCTTGTAGATATATATGTAAATGTATGTTTAACTAGATCGGCTTTATATAATATAAAAAATAGATGTATATGTAGATCGGTTTTACCAATGTGAACCAGTCTTTACTCAGTCTTTAATATGGTACATTTAAAACAATCAAAATGAGCTCTGCAATGAGTTGAACGCTTTTCTTTTAGTAATCAAAGTAACAAATAATAATATGGTCAAATAATTATTTTATTAAACTGTACTAATGACTTATATATATTGTCTTCTTTTGTTGCTTAAGCATAGGTTTACAATTAAACAAAATGTATTTACAGGGCAGGCATAGAAGATGGATAGATTCTATCTGAAATGCACACAATCACACAAGTTACACAGGAACAAGATAACAACGATTAAACAATGACAATCATATCCGGCTCTGGACTGGATGCATTTGATGAGAAAGTGGAATCACAGCTTTCGTCCTTTTCCCGTTTCTCTCTTCGTTCGCGAGCGCGACGATTCTGGAACCAGATCTTCACACGGGTATTTGTCAACTCCAATGACTCGGCCAATTTATTTGCATCCTCGGCACTCAGATAATTGGACTCCTTGTAGGCGGACTCCAGAGCCTGCAGCTGACCGGGTGTGAAAGGTATTCTTGGCAGTCGTCCTGGCATCCGTTTCGCGGGTCCTTGACGCAGTGCCCGGGGCAATTTGGGTGGATGATAGCGTGTGTATTGCAGCCAATCGTACATGGGTCCAGCTCCAGCATTTTCCAGCGGAGCAACTGGACTTGTCTCTCGGTGTCCATATGGATGATAACGATGTGCTAGACTAACGCCCAATCTCTGAAGAATGCCAACGGAGGCATTGGTGCCCACAAATCTATCGCCAGCGCGATTCAATATATAATCAATGCTAAAATCACTCATATTCCGATCCTTGTGCGTCTCGTTGCAAACGGCTACTGTGCAGATCTCGGCGCATCCTGCTGCTATTTAAAGGACACCCTACACTCGGCCCAGCGCCATTTTGTGCATTCGCAGCAAGCAGGCAGACTGGCAGACAAACTGTTGCCATCCCTTTCTGGCCCGTCATACGAATCGGATTTTTTGGGCAAGGCAACGAGGCGTTTAATAGGCGTTGCCCCTCCCATCATCATCAGCATCGTCAGGTAGTCAGTTGATACATATATATATTTATATATTACCCTTATCAGCCCCTGATTAGGGCAGCGCAAGTAATTGAAGTTGACACACTCAACAAACCAGGCAAAAGATTCAGATACAAATCGCTCAAGTATCTGTATCTCTGTATCTGTATCTCTGCATATTGTTTATTTATTTGTGGTAATCGTTTGTGGCTTGCATTTTATACATTTGGGTGGTGCTTTTTGCTTTTTGCTTTCAGTGCCTCCTTTCAATTTACTCATCTGCTGCGCCATTTTCAATGGTTGTACGAGCTGAGCCTCAAATTTTAATATGTTTTGATTGATTTGTAATTTTGTTTTCATAACGAGTTTCCAAACAGCGACCCTCAATAACAAACAACAAAAAAGTATCAATTACAATACAAATAAACGGCATTTGCTCAGCTAAGCTAACCCTGCAAATCGAGTTTATATATGGGAAATTATATTGTCATTAAAATAATAAACTGAACCAGTAATTGTTACTTAAAATAATCATTTGCAAAATATAAATAAATAAAAAATATAAATAAATAAATATATATAAATTATAGATAATGTTTATTAGCAAATTGTATAAATACAATAATAATATAAGATTATTTTATAAATATAAATTGTAATTAATACATTATATAAATTATATATTATACAAATTTGATCAGTCTTCTATCCACGACAGGTTATTTTATAAACCAAGCTTGCTGTTTGTCCTCTGAAAATTGTATCTGAAAACTTAAAAAATTGAATTTTAATTTAGCATTTAAAATTGTCAACAATAATTCCTTTTATAACTAAAGTAACTAAAGTTTACGAAATTTTTTTGTGTATTTTTTAGAGTGAAAAGACTTATTTAGATGCAAGTTGTTTTGCAAAATTCATATATAAAACTAGATAGATCGAACAACTATATTACATAGCATTCAAACGATCGATTGGTCAGCATCAATAAAACTTCAAATAATAATTACAATTCCTAACAGACCCTCAAATGTATATCTCAATATGACAGGCCGAAGGATATATATATATAGATAGATACATATATATTTAGGATATGTATACCTGAACTTTCAGCCGCCTCCTTGTGTCTGGCCTAAACCACACTCATTAGTTGTACATAATTCGTGTAAATTTGTAAAATCGGCTTATGATTTGCATTCAATGAGCAAATGTTTATGTTACAAATCTAGTCCTGTTTGACAAACAATGCGGCAATATTTATTCAAATGGCGTAGAATAAAACACAGCCATGCGCCGACCATTTGGGCTGGAAGTGTCCACACTCCTGTGTCCTTTTCTTTGTGACAAACAATGCCAAAGGACGACGGACTCGAGTTGGTTGGATTAACATAATTCCCATTTTTACGTAGATTGAAGTAAGCGCAGTGTGTGGCTTACTCTGGCGTCAGTCAGACTGGCATTTTTCCATAGCTGATAATAAACATTGATATACAGTGTCTCAAAGCTCATCAGGGACAGTACCTACTAGCAACAATTTTAATTACCTGCCATAAACTAATTATACAATATTTTTCAAAAATTCCAGAGACCAGGTACAGATGGCAGGTACATATATTAACCACCATAATGAATATATGATCCCAATAAACTGGGGTTTCCCCACCGGCTAGGCCGGGCTATGTAAAAAAGTACCTTAATTTATGGTCACATCTTATTTGGACCAGGGGCGTTATGGACACCTGGGTGCCATAAAACCCGGATTTTTTACGCCAGGTTGATTATTTTCGGTATAAATAGACCAATTCTTCGTAGTCAGCTTAGGTATATCCTGCATTTCGGGTGCAAGCAGCCAACATTTCAAGATTGGATATTCACATCGCCAAATAGCTAAAGTGGTAAATCTAAGCAAATCAACTCTATTCAACATCATTCGGCGCTTCGTCGACGAAAATCGGATAGAGGACAAGGGCTGAAGGCACCAAACAAGATTTTCACCGAACAGGAGGAGCGGAGGATCATCAGGAAAATAAGGGAAAATCCCAAGCTATCGGCTCCAAAACTGACTCCACAGGTGGAGGATGAAATGGGGAAAAAGTGCAGTGTGGAAACTGTGCGCCGGGCTCTGCGCAACCATGACGTTAATGTCCGAGTACCACGGAAGAAGCCCTTTATAAGCGCAAAAAAATAAAGGGACTAGGATGACATTCGTCAAAACCCACTTGGACAAGGATTTGGAGTTCTGGAACATATTCATATTTGAAGATGAGCCCAAGTTCAACATTTTTGGCTCACACGGACGGAATTATGTGTGGCGACAGTCCAATACTGAGCTGAATCCAAAAACCCTAAAGCCAACAGTCAAGCACGGCGGAGGAAGTGTCATGGTATGGGCATCTATCTCGGAAGCCGGCGTCGGAAATATAGTGTTTATTAAAACAACAATGGACAAGAATTTGTATCTCAATATATTAAAGGAAAATTTACTCCACAGTGCCGAGAAGCTAGGAATCCGACGTACTTTCCGGTTCTACCAGGACCACGACCAGGACAAGAGCCAAGCATAAGTCCGGATTAGTATAGTCCTGGCTTATCTGGAACTGCCCCCACATGATAATTCCACAGGCCCAGTCTCCAGATTTAAATGTTATTTAAAATTTGTGGTCTCTGCTGGAAAATAACATCCGGAATCACAGATCCGATCTCAAGAATGCTCTGCTGGATGAGTAGAGCAAAATCAGTCCAGAAACTACCCGGAAGCTGGTATCTTCCATAAATAATAGGTTAAGGGAAGTTATTAAGGCTAAAAGATATCATACTAAGTATTAACATCCTTATTTAAGTTTTTATACGCCTAATATGTTACTTTTCTAAGACTGTCCCAAGAAAGCTTTGAGATGTATTTTGGATATGTTTTCAGTTTTTGACTAATTTTAGTAAATTAATTAATATTTTAATAAAAACTAAAGTTTATTTTTCAAATACCATGAAGACGGGCGTGGCTGAACAACAATAGTAGAGGATTTTGCTAGTAATCTGCCTTCAAAGTTTGGTAGCTTCATCTTTTAAATTGCAAGAGATATAGACTTTTTCCGGCTTATTGAAGGTTGTTACTAACAATATACATGTCAAATTTTGTGACTAGCTTTCAGATTTTGTGAAATATCTGGTTTTATTGATAAACACCATTAAATAAGATTGCAAATTATTTTGATATGACATTTTACAATTTACATTCCAAAAATCGGAAATCTAGCGCAATAACAGTTAGAGCATGGCCTGAACATTTATATGCCGATCTTTGAAGGAGGTTACTAGCAAGTTTGGTGACTCTATCATTAAAATTGTGAAAGAAAAGCGGTTCTGCCGAATTACACTTTCTAAATATATCAATTATCAATTTTATTAATACTTAACTGCGGTTGCCGGTAATATACAATCCAAAATTTGATGGCTTTAACTGAAAAACTGCGGAAGATATAGCCATTTCCGGTTTTTATGGACCAATCAAATTTGTGGGAGATATTTTATTTTATCATAACATTTTTTATTATTTGTTTTTAATTGAGATAGGTGCAAAATTCCATTAAGGGCAGGGCTAATAATATTAATATAATATGTATAAATGACATGAATATAACAAATTAATAATGTGTCCAGCCTGCAGACTAAAAAAATCGATTTAACATCGATTAAACAACTTTTCAGATCTCAGATAGTGGGATTTTGGACCATTCCGACAGCCTTCGAAGCTCTTCAACTGTCTCAAACAGTCAATTTCCCATTTAAACTCGACGGAACAGGTGTCTCCATATGTTTTCTATGGGATTCAGGATGGGTGACCTTGCTGGCCACTCTAAAAATTTGAAATACTTATCTGGAAACCACCGACGACAGGCCCACGACACATGTATTGGAGAATTATCCTGCTGAAATAAGGCATTTGGGTCTGGTTGATGCTCTATAAAGATCACCGAAACTGCGTCCAATAAGTTTATATAACACTCCGAGCTCCTGATGACTGAATGCAGCCCAGATCCTGAGTGAAGCACCGCCGCAGCTAGACAACATTTTCTACAATTTTTCACTATATTTAAGTCAGTTGAAGAATGACATTCATACATATATAGAAAAACGCAAATAAAAAACCAACAAAATTTTGTTCAAATGTACAACATAAAATTATATCTCGTAATCCGGACCTACAATGTAGATATCGCCAGGACGACAAGGATATGTTGTAGCACCTAAATTAGTTATTATAGTCGTAGTCCTAGAGTATCAAAATTAATTATGCCAAGTAGCATTTTATTAAGTTACGCGTTATAGAAAAATATTTTTTGTGTTCCTTTTTTGTTTTGTAAAAAGAACCAATAACCAAAAGTAAATTTGTAAATCGAGTGAAACAATTAACGACGATATTTTCGAACGGTGACCGCGGGTGTGCGTGGACTACGTGCGGAGCTGGAAGATGGATTTGGCGATGTGATACCATCGGCGCCGCCCTTCACTTTGCGCAAATTGACGCGAGTGGTTGGCGTCGCCATTCGGCGGCCGCTGGGCTGTGATGTTGGTGGTGTCTTGGGTGTCCTCGGTGTCCTTGGTGTACTTGGTGTATTGCTAATGCTGTTCGACTGCTGCGGCTTCTTTTTGCGTTTTACATTCACAATGACATTGGCGTCCATGCTCACGTCCAGCTCAAAGTTGAACTCGTACGTTTTGTTGGAGCGCGGCTGCGGCGTCAAATCATCATTGATCACCGTCTTGCCAGCGCGGCCAGCTCGCCCAGCACGCAAGGAGAGCGCCGGACTAAAGTTGATCTTAGCATTCGCATTACCATCCAATTTAGGTCGCTTACTGGGTGACGCGGATCGCGGCGCTTCACGTTTCTTGGGCGAAGCTGAAGTCGATGATTTGGGCGCCGCTTTGCGAATTGGAGGCGTTGTTTTTGTGGGCGGCTGTTTGATTGATGCCTTTGCCTTTGCCTTAGCTGCCAGCTTTCGACGCGGCGTAGATTGAGAAATGCAGTTCTCGTCGTCATCGTCGCTGGCAAGGATCACATCATCGCTAAAGGAGGAGTCAACGATCAGCGATGCTTCCTTTTTAATCGTCGCCTTTTTCACTAATGGTGGACTATTGTTATTGTTTTTGCTGCTGTTGCTGATCAGCGGCTTCAGTTTAAAGTCCAAATCACCGCTATTTGTAACTCTCATTTGCTTGAGCGCATTGTGGAAATATTTGCGACATTTGTCATAGTCGGGCGCCTCGTTGTGCTTCAGCTGGGCTACATACTTCATGTACTCTGAGATGGATGCTGGCACGCCTTGGGGAAAGAGTGGCTTCAGTGCGGCGCCAACATCGGACATAAATGCCTCCTTGGCCTTTTGCACTTTCTGTGGCACTGCCAGCAGTTTCTCCCTGACCCAAGGCAACACGCCGCCCAGCCATTCAATCAGATTGTAACCGAGTATCTCCAGGTCCGCACGTCGTGTGGCCACACCCAAATGTGCATCCCGCGATGTGTATTCAATGGTGCCGTTGTGCATCTTCTTCGGATCCGGCTTAAAATCCCCAGTCACATAATGCGACGCCAATCCAAAATCAACCAGATAAGCCTGGCTACTGCCGCCTCCCTTGCCCATGCCGAGCAGAATATTGGCTGCCTTGAGATCAGCGTGGACATATCCAGTGCTATGCATAAACTGATATACATCGAGCATTTGTAGGGCCAAACGATAGACAGTCGCCTCGGGCAAACGATTGCCATTCTGGACATAGAACTTGCTTAAATCGCTGCCGTAACGTGGCATCACAATAAATCGATGCTTATGGCCATTTATATCCGTCGAGCCATTAGCCAGAATGTGGGGCATGCCCAATGATTTGAGGGATTGCTGACGCTTGAAATTATTGATATCCTCCAATTTGGCATTGCGCAAATAGTAATGCATCTCCACAAAGAGTGGTCCATTGCCATGTGGCTCCTGCAAAAGTAAATGCAATTAAGTCAATCTCCACAAAAATGCGATTGCGAGCGCCTTACACATTTGACAACGGCATCAAATTGCTTGTCACCGTTGCGACAAGCCGCATAAATTTCGCCAAAGCCACCGATGCCAATCGAGGGCCCAATTCGCCATTGTCCCTTTGCCAGATCGGTAAGAATTGTGTTTTCCTTCAGTTTTTCGGGCATGGCATACAATTTGCTTTTGGCTTGCTTCTTGGCTGGCGCTGCTTTTGGTTTAGCGGCCCGTGGCATTTTGTGGCTGTGGCGCTTTTCAAAATATATCTATCTAAAATATATTATACAAATTGAACACAAATCACAATTCAACCACCTCCCAAACAAAATCAATGTACAAATGCCGCTAAGAAACCATCAGCAGCGCGCGCTGCCATTCATGTGTCGGCGTCGCTTCGACTGTGTTTCTGGCAAGTTGGCAGGGCTGCAAATTGTAGTAACAGAGCTCTGCTAATTATACTGAAGCGCGTTTATGTTAAATTTAAATGTAAAATCTGAAAACTAGCTATGTTAAAATAGTGTGCGGGATTAAGTTAAATAAATGATTAAATGATAATATGCAACGCGATTTTATTCAATTTAATTGTCATTTGAAATCGAGCTCTGCTAATTTACAGTATGCATGCTTTGTTAAATTTAAATGCCAAGTGCACGTTCTTGTTAAATTTGAATGCAAAATTTGAAAACAAATCTTTGTTTAAAAATGAAATACTAATACTTTTGCTGAATCTGGCATCTTTGGCTTACATAAAATATGTTCTATACAAATCACAAAATACTAAATAATATTTAGCACTATGATTGAAACAACTGACATAATTATAGCAATAATGAAATAACTAACTAAATAAATAACACAAGGTAAAGTTTTTAGGAAGAACTGTTAGTTATTTGAATTTCCAGCATGTTAACAGTTCAGTGGTGAACATCATCGTCTGAATTCACCATACTCAGTTTGTTTACATTAACATTTCTCTTGCATTAACGCGCTGTGAGCACACAATTTAAATTTGAAAATATATGTTACGATTACATTTGTGTTTTATAGCAACTTTATACATAATTATATATTTTATTTAATTGGAAACGTGAAATTTGCATGAGGATGAGGACTTTCATTATTGCTTATTTGATTAAATCTCTGATTTGGAAAGTATACAAATTAGCTTTGATAAGCCTCAAAAAAAGGCATCAACGTCATTGTTTGCATCATCCACAGCATCCACATTCAGTGCGCAGCTATTTAAGCTGTCAACCGGCTTTTGGTTGCCATCCACCCTCCGACTTTCGATATGCGGCAACAGGACAACATTTAAAAGAGCGAGCATCAGATTGATGCTCTCAGTAGATGTTTCATCTCGGAAGACGACACAACAGTGCCCAAAAAAATTAAAAACAAAAAACAAGCAAAAAAGTCAGGCAATAAACATCTAATAAGATGCTAGCGCGCGTCTAAAAAATACAAGCCGAAATAAGCAAGTGCAAAAAAATTAATAAACATAAACAAATAAATTAAAAAGAAGCTGCAAAAAAAAAAAAAAAAATGCAGCCCATTGTCGGCAATAACGGGCTACTGTCAGTCGTGCTGTTGCTGTTGCTGCAGTTAGCATTCAACTGGCGTTTAGCTATCGCATTGCCCGACGTCATTAAAATAGGTAAGTTTAACGCAACATTCTGTTGATCAACAGTTCAAATAATGCGTATGCGTTGGTGAAGTATTTGATATTTTTGACAGCGTTGATTTTTAGCCAGCGGCTTCTTCAGCGCTTATCGATTTTTTGCACAACACACACACACACACACAAAATAAACCCCGAATGTGTGTGTATGTGTATCCTTAGCGTCAGCGTGTTTGTGCGTATGTTTTTGTTTATTTTTCCCCACGCATTCCGCACATTTTATGGTTGTCTACCATGTGTTTTGCACTCGCATATTTATGAATAACATTCGCTATTTATTATTTACTATATATAGGTGGACTCTTTCATCCGTCGGACGATCATCAGGAGCTCGCCTTTCGTCAGGCCGTTGAGCGCATAAATGCCGACCGCTCAATTCTACCACGTTCCAAATTGGTTGCACAAATTGAGCGCATTTCGCCATTTGACAGCTTTCACGCCGGCAAACGGGGTAAGCAATGTCTAGTGTCTGTGGAGGGGGGTAGGGAGGGGAACAGCGACAAAGGCTCCATTACAAAATCCGATTCGTAATCTATATACTTAATATACCATATTAATGTGCATAGCAATCGCAAATTAGTCGTCAAATCGACAAAAAGCTGATTACATACAAATCTGTTTTCGTCGGCTGCTTCGGATCTTGATTTGTAATAGATTTGTAGTATATTAGATTAGATTTTCTTTTGTTTTGTGTCTGTCACTATTTAACTTTTTGTTAACAAATATTTTAAGAATTTATGGAAATTAATCTACGTTCAAATTTATTAAGCTAACCTTAGAATTATTACATCAGTTTTTTAAAGCCAAATCTTAGATACCCCTTTTGTCACGACATGTGAAATTGTTTGTCCGACAAGTCGGCGCACTCTGACTTCATCCCGTTGAGACTTAGTTTTCTATGTGGGCCTGGCGAGAAACAATGCATGTGGCATGTCGAGACAATGATACCCAATGATACCGCACCATACATTTTGAGGGCCGTCATCTCAAAATTGCTTAACAGTTAAACTACATACAACATCTCAGGCCCAAAAACTACAAAATTGAAAATCGAGTGACAGCTCGCACACGACAGACAAGTATAGAGTGTTGCTGCTATGCACACACACATTCAAGGGTCTCCGCGATCCGCTAGCAATGTTGCTTGTGTGTAATATATTAAAAATACAGATTACCATACGACTCCATATAACAAGATAGACTATTATTGTGTCCACATTTGGAAAACTGTATATTGTATATTTTAAAATTGAAAATATAGATAGCATACAATATATATAAATATAAATTATTTTTCACTAAACAAACTATGATAAAAGCAGCACGTTAATTATAAGAGATAGTAAAACAGATAAGAAACAAATACATGTAAAAAATATTTAATAAATGTTTGCACAGCTTTTATTGCTGAAACTCCAGCATACAAACCTGCACACAAGAGTATTACCAGGTAATGAATTAGATTGCATGCATACAGAATGCATTCGGTAATGAGAGTCGTTCACTAATTCGCTGCTGGGCTGCGGTCACAAAAGTGTCTGTTATTGTTCTCATAACAAATCGCTATTTTTTCGTTCTCTCTCTCTCTCTCTCTGTTTCTTTTGCTCAATTTGTAAGGTTACGCTTTTGTTTTTGCGTATGCTTCATTTGATTTAATTTCATATTTGAATTATTCGTCATGCAAATCGAGTCGACAGCTTGGGGCTTTATTCTATGTTCATCGTTCAGGGCATTAAGAACAATGGTTCCTAGTTGAATATCAGTCAAAGTCAACTATTTCAAATTTAAATCAATCCTTTTGTTTTGTGCTTACATATTTATTTGTGAACACTTGGGGGGAAAACTTCGGTATTTCTTTGTTTCGTTCTTGAAATTTGAAATATACACACCTACACACATTGTGTGTGCAGGATAATAAACAAAGTTGCTCTCGGAACATTTGTTGCCTTTTTTAGTTGTTGACATTCGTGCACAAAACTTTTACAGAAATTCTTTTGATTAAGTGATGGACTCGACCGTTCGAAACTAGCAAAAGTATTTGTATAGTGTTAAACTTGTATCACAAAGTAGTTCTAGAATTAAGGGAATGACTCTTAAATAGGAGAATGTAGTTTTTACTTATTGCTCATTTGAAGTTTTCAGATTTTAAAATTCTTTATAAATTATAATCGTAATTTTGTCGATTATAAAACTAGTAACAATTTTAATGAACTATGTTAAATAACAAACATACAATAACTTTGTATTAATTAAAATAAGTAAACTTCTCATATTTTCATGCAATTTATTTGATCGATCCTAAACCAGTAACAAAAATAATAATAAATTAAAAACACATTGTATTGTTGTTAAACAAATTAAAACTAAATTATAGGACTGCGATTCAAGCAAAAAAATACAATAATTTTGTGTGTGTGATTTAATTGTATAGTAATTGTAAACGTTTTCATCTTTTTGCTTAAGCGCCCAAACACAATAAAGTTTGACCAGGCAAGACAAATGATGCCTGAGGCACTAGAAAAATCATTCAAGGTACTAAACAAACCTGTCCAAAATGGTGTGATTGTGATAAATGAGGCCCACAGCACGTAAAAGGACCCTCCTTTGGGCCTTGTTGCCAAGTTCAGACTTGTCTCATGGTCAGAAATGGACCGAGGCAGCAACAGCACACAAATTCAAACCAAATACATTTTGCAACGAATGTAGTAACAAGCTAAAAAGAGACTTAACAGACAGACACACACACACACATAATGCACACTAGTGCATTATTTATCACATGGTTCGGATAGTTCACCAACCCACACCAAAGCAAACAGACACAAGTGTGTTTGTCTGCTTACCCTGCTATCCGCTGCAATCCCCTTGCACCGTTTGCATGTTGCAAGTGCACCTGCACTTGCACGCGCTCAGTAATTTGATGAGACCGAAAAAGGATGCTACCTTCATGGTAAAAGCTAAAGCCAAAAGGTAAAATGGAATTATGTCTTGCTGAAGTGCATTTTAAATATGCCAACGAGGCGAACAAAACGAATATTATTATCCCATAGCCAACTACTACTTGGGCCCATTTTCTCTGCTGCTGCTGCTGGCAAAGATCGAGGGATTCATCTCAGATAATCTCACTGTAAGGTGAATGGGCTTTAGCTTGGGGATTGAGAGCAGCACAAAGCGCATTAACTGAAAATCAATTTGAGATTTACTTATCAATGTCTTGTTAATAAAATAACATCATTTCATATGAAATACAGATAGCATAAAAATACAATTTTTGGTATATTTCAAATGCGAATAAAAATATTTACGCTATTTAGATAAACAATTGCTCAAAATACTGAAAACCAAATTTTTAGTTTTACTTATACGTTCTTTTTTCTTTTAACTAGCTAGTTATAGTCATTATAATATTGAACGAATCTTTGCATAAAACTTATAAAAATGTGATCAGTCAGTCCGCAAATTTGTTCTAAACACTGAATACGTATTAGGATTAGGTATATATAAAAATTTTTTACTGTCATTATTTAAAAGCATCTTTAAAACAATTATTTAACAAAGAATAAAAAATTAATATTATAAAAAAACTTGTCATTGTAGACAATGCATATCTTAGTTATGAGCATTAAATTTTGCTACTTATAAATTTTATTAAAATGAAATTATATTTGTACGAATTCTTTGTTATTTGTATACATTTTTAGTTGTATTTTTGCAGATGTTTCTTTTCATAGAAACATTTTCTTTGAGAGAGAAAAAGTTGTATTTTTCAGTGCCTTTAATCAGCTCAAGACTTTTGTCAGCCAGTGCTAAAGTTTGCCAATAACTATGAATGCGGTATGTTCTTTATACATTTTACAGTTTGTGGCTTGTTGAACATTGGCGTTGCTGCAATTTTTGGACCACAATCCTCCCACACCGCCAGCCATGTGCAGAGCATTTGCGACAACATGGAGGTAAGTGGGTCGCATGAGGGTAGTGTGTGGGGTGCATTTTGTAAAATATAACAACTGTGTTAATATGCACACAAATTATTTAGATACCGCATTTGGAGAATCGCTGGGATTACCGTCTGAGACGTGAAAGCTGCCTAGTGAATCTTTATCCCCATCCTAATACCCTCTCCAAGGTAATTTCTGTGTTTGTCTCTTTGCTGGGCAAGTGCACACACTTCAGCTATTTGATGTTTGGTATTTATTATTGTTATTATTCAACGCAGGCTTATGTGGATATTGTGCGCCACTGGGGCTGGAAGACTTTCACCATCATCTACGAGAACAACGATGGCATTGTGCGCCTCCAGGAGCTGCTCAAGGCCCACGGCATGACACCATTCCCAATTACGGTGCGCCAGCTCAGCGACAGCGGTGATTATCGGTAGGTTATATATTCCACGAAAGCCTATGCAGCACCTTATGTTTAGTTTATCTCTGTTTGTTTGCACACAAAACTTGTGCCTTAGTTTTGATGCAATATTCTTGGAACATTGACACATATTTATCTCTATTTTCGCTACACGACATTGTATAGTCCAACTAACTCTGAATGATTTGATTTTTGAATATAAACTGTATTAATTAAGCAATGCGTGAGGGTGCTTTTAGTCGAGAGAGCTCAACTTGGGGATTAACTGAATCCTGTTGTCAAATAAATTTTATTAGTTCAATATGTTCAATATGAAAATACGTTTTGGTGAACGAACTCAGTGTTTCTCATCCGATCTTTATAACATTATTTACACTTAATTACAATCAATCGGTATTATGTCTGAGGATACTATATATCAATTTGAAGATTATATCTTTACAATTGTGTCTTTTTATCGCCAAACAGGGACATTTGTCGATCAAATTAAACAAATTTGATTTGTGTATGGTATACGAGAGCATATGTAGAAAAATCAAACTCTATATTCCATTATGTTTTCTGATTGTTCTTATAAACATATTGGTTATCGATACTTATTAATAATTTACATACATTTATTGATTTGAACATGCTTCCTTCTGCCTGTTAAATGGAATTATTTCCCATATTTGAGGGGCTTAACAAAGTGAAACTCAACTTTTACAATTTTATTGTTGTGAGGAATGTTATTTAGTTTATTTATTAATAATAACTAAAACATATTTATATAATAATATTCCAATTAATAATAAAAGTAAGAGCACTAGCGTGTAGACCTTCAGCTGTGCTAATAATGTTGCTAGTAAATTTTAGTTTATTTCTGACAATCTTAGTGGATGAGATGAATGAAGACTTATAAAACAATTATTATTATTATTTACTTTTATTACTATTATTTCTAACTTTTCACCCAAAATTAATACAATAATTTTATCATCCCATCATGAAGACCACTGCTGAAGCAAATTAAGAACTCGGCGGAGGCGCACATTGTGTTGGACTGTTCCACGGAGCGTATACACGAGGTGTTGAAGCAGGCACAACAGATTGGAATGATGAGTGATTATCATAGCTATTTAGTGACCTCACTGGATCTGCACACTGTTAATCTGGAGGAGTTTCGCTATGGGGGTACAAATATAACAGGCTTTCGGCTGATCAACGACAAGATCGTGACGGATGTGGTACGTCAATGGAGCATCGATGAGAAGGGTATGCTACGATCGGCGAATCTGACAACAATACGCTCCGAGACGGCACTGATGTACGATGCTGTGCATCTATTTGCCAAGGCACTGCACGATCTGGATACCTCGCAACAGATCGATATACATCCAATTAGTTGTGATGGCCAAAGCACCTGGCAGCATGGCTTCAGTTTGATTAACTACATGAAGATCGTCGAGATGAAGGGCTTGACGAATGTCATCAAGTTCGATCATCAGGGATTTCGCACTGACTTCATGCTGGATATTGTGGAGTTGACGCCAGGTGGTATACGAAAGATTGGCACCTGGAACTCGACACTGCCCGAGGGCATCAACTTTACGCGTACTTTCAGCCAGAAACAGCAAGAGATCGAAGCGAATCTAAAGAATAAAACGTTGGTGGTGACTACAATATTGGTGCGTATTGTTGCCAAAAGATTTCTATCGATTTCCAGGTATTATAATTGATTCTACTTATTTTTTTCCAGAGTAATCCGTACTGCATGCGCAAAGAATCAGCTATTCCTCTGACGGGCAACGATCAGTTTGAAGGCTATGCTGTGGATTTAATACACGAGATATCCAGATCGCTGGGTTTTAACTATAAGATACAGCTAGTGCCCGATGGCAGCTATGGTAGTCTAAATAAATTGACAGGGTAAGCCTTATTCAATAATGTTGGATAATTGTTGAAAAACAGTCTGTCTTATTTAATGAACTGTATTTGTTTTTGTAGAGAATGGAATGGCATGATACGTGAGCTATTGGAACAACGCGCTGATCTGGCAATAGCCGATCTCACGATTACCTTTGAACGGGAACAGGCTGTTGATTTTACCACACCATTTATGAACCTTGGCGTATCTATACTCTATCGCAAACCCATCAAACAGCCACCGAATTTGTTCTCATTTCTATCGCCATTATCTTTGGACGTTTGGATCTACATGGCCACAGCATATTTGGGCGTTTCCGTACTGCTCTTCATCTTAGCCAAGTGAGTTAACTTAATTCCATTAAAATAAATTATTTATTAAATATATATATTCACTACTTGTACAGATTCACGCCCTATGAGTGGCCTGCCTATACGGATGCACATGGAGAAAAGATCGAGAGTCAATTTACTCTGCTCAACTGCATGTGGTTCGCCATTGGATCCCTAATGCAGCAAGGATGCGATTTTCTACCCAAGTAGGACTCGATTTTACTTATGAAAATTGTTGCTCAATATTAAGAAGTTTTTGGAGCTCTAAGAATTTTTAGTCAGCAATGAGACGCAAGCAAATAATGCTCTATCTTTAGAAATTAAGATTTGATCAAAATCGTATAATATTATAATTTCTAATTTCTCTTTTACAATTCGAGAAATAGCAATTTTCACAAATTGGAAACAAGTCTGAAACAGATGCATTCTAATATTGTAGCAAATACTATAAAGAATTATAAATTTACTGTAGACTTTCCATCATTTCAGGGCACTCTCAACGCGAATGGTTGCTGGCATTTGGTGGTTTTTCACGCTTATCATGATCTCGTCGTACACTGCTAATTTGGCTGCATTTTTGACAGTTGAGCGGATGGATTCGCCCATTGAGAGTGCCGAGGATTTGGCCAAGCAAACAAGGATCAAATATGGTGCTCTCAAAGGTGGCAGCACAGCAGCTTTCTTCAGAGTAAGTCAAACGGTCCAGGTCTGACTGTCGTTTATTATTACTAAGAAGAAAAAAAACACTCAATTGCAGGACTCTAAGATCTCAACATATCAGCGCATGTGGTCCTTTATGGAATCGGCTCGTCCCTCTGTCTTTACGGCCAGCAATGGCGAGGGCGTCGAAAGGGTGGCCAAGGGCAAGGGATCGTATGCCTTTCTCATGGAATCCACATCCATCGAATATGTAACCGAACGCAACTGTGAGCTAACCCAAGTGGGCGGCATGCTGGACACCAAAAGCTATGGCATTGCCACACCGCCAAGTAAGTTTGAACTTTGATCAACTTGAATACTGAGGAAAACTGCTAGTAAGTTATGTGACAAACTCAAATATTATGAGCCTGACTAAAGAATCTGATTCTAAAGAATGATAAACTGAACATCATTTTATTAATGAAAAAGAGCACTAGGACATTGTTTTATAAAATCTGATCACATAATCATTTATAGCCTAAGTACAGGGTATAATAAAGTTGTGCCGACATGGGTTCGGCGTGTATATATATTCTTTATCAGTATTAAATGCCGAGTCAAAGAAGTCCGCTGCCATTCTGAATGAATTTCCCGAGACATCAGTTTCTGAATATAGCTCTTCGTATACCATATGCACATCAAGTTTATTTCATTTAATCGATAGCGATACAAATCTGTTGGGAGACAAATTTGATGTTTCTAGTTTCAATTTACTGAGAAGAGAAAATTTGGAGGTACGCGCCCAAGCGAAGCCTTCTTGATTAATTTGAAATAATATCATATTATTATAATTTTACCCTTCCACAGATTCGCCTTATCGCACTGCCATAAATAGTGTCATATTGAAGCTACAGGAGGAGGGCAAGTTGCACATACTGAAAACAAAGTGGTGGAAGGAGAAGCGAGGTGGTGGCAAGTGTCGTGTGGAAACATCGAAATCATCGTCGGCGGCCAATGAGCTCGGCCTGGCGAATGTGGGCGGTGTTTTTGTGGTGCTAATGGGCGGCATGGGCGTGGCCTGCGTCATAGCTGTCTGCGAGTTTGTCTGGAAGTCACGCAAGGTGGCCGTCGAGGAGCGTCTGAGTGCGATACTGAACGAATGAGGAAAATTGTAAACCCTGGACGAATGGGTTTAGAGAGAGGTCGGCGGGGTCAGTTTGGACCAGCAATCAAAAATTCTAGCAAGGCATCAACTCCCAATTGTGTAGTATAGTAGCATATACAACAAACACTTATATTATGGCAACAACTGGTTAAGCAGCGCACTTGGATGGATAGAGGGAAACTACACTCAAAAAATTATGTATTATGTACTAGAATGGGGAAAAGCTCGTCTTATTTTTGGAGTTATTGAATTCCTTACTTTAGGACTTTGTCCTTCTAAAAACCATGATTATAATTAGCAAATTTTTCCATGTTTTTCAAACTTGATTTACATTTTGTTAATAAATGAGCAAATACTTTTCTATTACACAATAAGGAAATTATTAAATTTAAGAATGTTTTATGTACGATTTATGATAAGTGAAGAATTGGATACAGGGTATCTGCTAGCCCACTCTTTTAACCATAACAACCCAATTTGAACGAAAGTTTGTCAGTTTTTCTAATTTCTAGGAGATCCTTTTTGTTGAGTGTACGAAATGAACTTTGGGGAGATTTGTAACAGTTTGCACTGCATTGAAAAAAAAAAAACGTTTCATGGAGAGAAAATTTTGAAAAGTAACAATAGTTGACAAGTTTAAATTATTAAACAAAACTGAAAACATATATATGCACAGGTTATATGATAAACCCAATTTTCAAATTACAAATATATATATACACATATATATATATAAATATATATATATATACATATATATAATACAATACAATTACGAATTACAATCGAAATCGTATGCATTTATATTTGAAAGCATTTTTGGAATTGTATAATAGTCGATAAGAAGTAGCTAAATTATACATATACATACATTTACAATAGTTTCATTATTACATGCATACTTCTGATACCATTTACATAATACTAAAAAAAATAAAATAAAAAAACAGAAAACCTTAATATGCTCATAGAACTAAGTTAGCAACTAGCCAAAAGTAAAACCTAATCCTAAGTGAATTGTAACTCGTATAGTTTAAAACACCACCCACTCCCCAATTCCCATGTAAAATGTAATTACCTTACACGCAATTTTGATGAACAATTTCATAAATATAATTAAATAAACGAAGTTAACACCGCAAACACAATAATTTCTGGGTTCAATCGGCAACCGGCAACCATCGCTGAACACCTGCAACAAATTTACGCCACTGACATTATCCGACGCCTAACCGCAAACTGTCAATCAGCCAGGCAGACCGCAGTAGGATTTTCCGGCTTACTAAATATTTAATGCGGCTCTCAACTTTTCACACACGCCTCATTGCGCTCAATTGCTCGATTTTAATTGGCTTCACGTAGTATCTCCATATATGTGAACATATATACATATATATCCTCAAAAACAAAAGGCAACGTCGTGACTTTGGTCTCCTTTCACTTTTCAGTTCGCTTTCATCGGTTCCGGCAACATGAGGTTATCGGCCTTATCCCTTAGTTTAGTCCTATGTGGTTTCGTTCCGGTTCAGGCCAATGACTTTTCCTCATTTCTAAGCGCCAATGCATCGCTCGGTGAGGATACGTAACAAATCTCCACATATATTTACTCAGTGAAAAAATTTTTTTTTAATTCAAATGAAATATAGTTTATTTTACAAAATAGATTGTAATATTTTAAAATAACTATAAATCTTTCTTGATTGCAAATTCGACAGCTTTGAATTTAGTGGGTGATATTGCACATTCCACATTCAATCTTTAAATTTATCGAGGCAATGTAAAGAAAAGTTTTTTTTACTAATCAAGACAAGAGGTACCACTGTCGTGGATGCTAATCAAAAACTCATATACATAATGGGATCAAAGATACTTCCTTCTGGCTGTGATAAATATTTTAACATCCCGTTTGAGCCCGTTGTATAAAATGTTTGGATATTATATAAACGCCAAAGATTATATACAATTGTATGATAAATTGTTAAGCCAAAAAGTTTTTCATTTAAGAACTCATCTTTCGATAAGGTATTCCTATGACAGCTATATAATATGATGAGTTCCATAAAAACTAACTGCCTGCATCAAAATTACGGATATATGCAAAGTTTTTTCAAGTTAACTTCCAAACGGAGAAACTAGTTTGTATAAAAACAGACAGACAGATGACCAGATGGCTATATCGACTCGACTGATTATAACAGTACTTAGTACTCTCTAATAATAAGAAAATTTCGAAGTGGCTTATCTCAAATTTGCCATTCATTTATGAATTTCGAATTTATAAAAAACGTTCCTTAAATAAGAATTTCATTTACATATTTTGTAATAGTAATTCATTTGAGGATAACATTTTTTATTTGTCGTCATACTTATATATAAATCATCCATGATAATCCCTTGCAGCGGTGGTTGTTGATTACGAATATATGGCCATTCATCGGCAGAATATAATGGCCCATTTCGAGAAGATTCTCAGTGATGTGATACGTGAGAATATGAAGAATGGTGGCATTAATGTGCGCTACTTTACTTGGAATTCGGTGAAAATCAAGAAAGGTAAAAACATATATCTCTTTTGAATAGCTTTCAGTTATTTGTGGTCACTTTAAAGATTTTCTGGCTGCAATTACGGTGGCGGATTGTGAGAGCACTTGGAATTTTTATAAAACCACACAGCAAACATCGATTTTGCTGATTGCCATTACGGATTCAGATTGTCCACGATTACCACTAAATCGAGCCCTGATGGTAAGCTATATTTATATTTGTTTTTAATTTGAGTTGAAATTTACATTAATATTCACTTACAAAGATACCAATGGTTTCGCATGGCGATGAGTTTCCACAAATCGTATTGGATGCCAAGGTTCAGGGCATTTTCAAATGGAAATCGGTTGTTGTATTTGTGGATCAAACTATACGTGGGTATTTTCAATAGATGTTTTATATATGTATGTATTCAAGATATTGTGAATAGTTTTATTATTTGGGAGTTCTTATATTGTTCATATTATATTTTACATTTTTTAAGTTTTTTACAAAACATTTGTGGTTTCAATGGTATCCAAAAATATTCTATTTTTTGTGATTTTTTTCAAAAAATATGAAGCCATTTTCTGTCTTTGAGTTTTGTAAAATATGGTTTTGTTTTTAATATTCTATTCAAGTGACTCACTTTTAGATCTTTATTTGATGATTTTTTGTTTTTATTTAACAGTAAATCTTCCTTTCTGGTAAAATGTACTTTGTACTTTCATTAGAAGCAAAAATGATGCCTCGTTAAATAATATATTTAAGGGGTGTTCTATTAAAGTGTAAATATTAGCAAAATATTTTTAAAATAATGTTCACTTGAAGATACATTTCTTAACTTCCCATCAAAGTCGAGAACAGTCCGATGTTGATCAAGTCGATTGTGCACGAAAGCACCACGAATCATATACCGCCCATTTCGGTGATTCTCTACAAGATCGATGAATCCATGCGTGGTCAGCAGAAGCGAATTTCTCTACGGAAGGCGCTGATACAATTTGCACCAACGAAACATGAACTGAGGCGACAACAGTTTCTGGTTTTATCCCGTTTCCATGAGGATATCATTGAGATAGCGGAGACACTGAGTATGTTCCACGTAAACAATCAATGGATGTTCTTTGTATTGGAGGATCCGCATAATGAGTTTGATGCCAATACGGTGACAATTAATCTCGATGAGGGCGCCAACATTGCATTCGCTTTGAACGAGACTAATTTCAATTGTGTGGACACATTGAATTGTACCATTACTGAAGTATCGATGGCTCTGGTCACATCCTTGTCACGAATGATACTCGAAGAGCAATCCATTTACGGCGAAATATCCGATGAGGAATGGGAGTCAATAAGGTTTACCAAACAAGAGAAGCAGGACGAAATGCTCGAATATATGAAGGTAAGGAGGGAATTTTCTTTTTTTTTTCTGATGAATGAAATAGTGAATGAATTCAAATGATCCAATCCTGTCAGGACTATTTAAAAACGAATAGCAAGTGTGCAAGTTGCGCTCGTTGGCGCTTCGAAACGGCGATTACTTGGGGAAAGAGTCAGGAGAATCGCAAATTTCGTGCGGGTAAGTTTATAGTTATAGTTTTATACTCTGTATAATTTACTTAATTTAAAGTCCACCTAGGTGCATAAAATTTAAAGATTTTAACCTTTAATGGAGTATTTTAATATTCAAAATTTTTTTGATTTTAACATTTAACAATAAACCATACTTCGATTTTTATTTCAAGCTATTATTATTTATGAGGCTCCTTATCGAGCTGATGTTGCTTCAAATAAATAAAAATTAGCTACTGAAACTTTAATCAATATTAATTATTTAATTAGATTTTTGAAACTTTCCAACTTAATTTCCCGTAGCGCCCACTCGCGATGCAAAGAATCGAAACTTTGACTTCATCAATATTGGATATTGGAGTCCGCTGTTGGGTTTTGTATGCCACGAGCTGATCTTTCCCCATATCGAGCATCATTTTCGGAATATCACCATGGATATTGTCACTGAGCATGTGAGTCTTTGAGCCAGGAATATAATTGTTATATATTGGTTCAAACAACTCGTAGAATCCGCCCTGGCAAATTCTCACCAAGGACTCTCGCGGCGTCATTGTCGAGCACAATGGGATCGTTATGGAAATCCTCAAGGAACTGAGTCGGGCCCTCAACTTTAGCTACTATCTGCACGATGCCACTGCTCAGGATTACGACAATCAGCTCGGCCCGAGCACAAATGAGAGTGTGAGTCGGTAAAAATAAAGTATAAATACACATCGGGACAGTAAAATAGGTGTGAAGATCGTTACCAAACAAGTTTATCAGAGAATGTTGCGTAATTTTCTTTTTTTGCACCAGCTTCAAATTAGCCAATAACACCATACGATTATCGATTGCTGATGAAGTTTTCTTCAATCCTAAAAGCCTGTTCTGCGTTTTTTTGACACACTTACAAATTAATATTTCGACATGATATTGAAGAAATTCCCAAGATTTTGTTTTCACTATCCAGATATTTATATATTCTCAGGATGAACTAATGGGCTCGATGACCTTTCGCATACCATATCGTGTTGTGGAAATGGTTCAGGGCAATGAGTTCTTTATGGCTGCGGTGGCTGCCACCATTGATGAGCAGCATAAAAAGCGCTTCAACTACACACAGCCAATTAGTGTGCAAAAATATACATTTATATTGAGGCAACCGGATGAAGTGAGTCGCATCTATCTATTCACCGCTCCATTCACCATAGAGACCTGGGCATGTTTAGCTGGTATTTTAATGGTCACAGCTCCCATGCTGTATATTGTTAATCGTCTGGTGCCGCTGCAGGAATTGCAAATTCGTGGACTGTCCACAGTTAAGAACTGCTTCTGGTACATCTATGGAGCACTGCTGCAACAAGGTGAGCTACAAATAAAAAAAACCAACAAAAAACCATTTAAATTAAAAGCTTTTGCAGGCGGCATGTATCTGCCACGTGCGGATAGTGGCCGATTGGTAGTTGGCTTCTGGTGGATCGTTGTAATTGTGCTGGTTACCACCTACTGTGGCAATCTGGTTGCATTTCTCACATTCCCCAAATTTCAGCCGGGCATCGATTACCTGAACCAGCTATTTGGCCACACGGAAATCAAACAATACGGTCTACGCAACGGCACCTTCTTCGAGAAATATGTGGAGACGACAACGAGGCCAGAATTTAAACGTTTCATTGAACGCGCCACGATTTATAGCAGTGTCCAGAGTGAAAATATAGCTGCTGTAAAGCATGGCGATCGTATCAATATCGATTGGCGCATCAATCTCCAATTGATTGTGCAGCAACACTTTGACAAGGACAAAGAGTGTCGATTTGCGCTGGGCAAAGAGGATTTTGTGGACGAACAAATCGGTCTGATTGTGCCGACGAGCAGTGCATATTTGCATTTGATTAATCAGCATTTGGATAAATTATTTCGCATGGGTTTCATCGAACGCTGGCACAAAACGAATCTACCGTCGATGGACAAGTGCAACGGTCGCAATGTACAGCGACAGATTGCCAATCACAAGGTCAACATGGATGACATGCAAGGCTGTTTTATGGTCCTCTTATTTGGCATCATTTTGGCGCTGTTCATCAGTTGCATTGAGTTCTGGTATTATCGTTTCTTTGTCGTTGGTCGAGACCGTAAGAGTATCGCTTTTGCCAATTGAAATGGATGACAACTTCTATGTAAAATAAGTTGGACTTAATTGGTTCTGATTATTATTTTCCAATAAAAATTGGGTCAGCTTTAAACTGTTCTGTTTCTGATATTATAGTTTCTTTGAGATTTAGACAAATTCCGTGTAAAATAAGTTGGATTTAATTAATGAAAATTACTATTATGAACAGTGTATTTATGGTTATTATTTTGCAATAAAAATTAGCTCAGCTTGCCACTGTTCAAATCATCATCATCATCTCCCTTTTAGGATCCACACTTTACGTTGAGTTGGCGTTGGGGCCACGACGACGACCGAAGCCTTGGACAATGTTTACGAAACGGCGATTGTACTGAATCCTGCGCTTTGCACGTCCCGTCTTCTTCTTCTTCTTCTCCTGCTTCTCAACCTTTGGGGTCTGGCCCTTAACCTTGCCGGCACGCGCCAAAGAGCCATGCACCTTGCCACCAATCATTGGAATGGTGATATCCAACTCGAAGGAGCTGAGAGCCGTGACGGGTGTGTCATCGCTTAGTGTGGCACCCTCACAATTCAAGCTGAACTCAGCGGCATCGAAGCCATGCAGCTGGGCGAACTGAGTCTGAAATCGCATTAACAACATTAAGGTTAGGTTGAATGATTTTTGTTGTTATCGTTGCAGTTATTGACTCACTTTAACGCCAGCAATGTTGGCATCCTGGGACACCTCCAAAGCCTCAATCGTTTCCAAGCCACGTACGAAAAGCTGCATATTGTTTGTGCTCTGTTCAAATCGAAACAAAAGTCAAAAATTATTAATTTTGTCATTCACATTCACAGGCAACGGGGGCAGGGAAACACGTGTAGCTTTCGTATTCATGTTTTTACATGTTTTCATTTGGCATTTGATGCGCCGCACATTTCTCGCACCTATTGCATATACTTTAGGCATTGTTTTGTTGCTAAAACCTTTTAAATGTCCAGAATTTTAGCAAGAAAATCTGCTCACCTTGTCACTTTTATGCGGATCTATCGAAAAGAAAGAAATTAGGGTTGCTGGCGATATGTTGTCTTTTTGCAATCAAAGGGCATTGTCGCCAGATGGCGCTTCCTCGTTTGGTGCAACGCTGGCAATTGTGATGGGTGCTGCCAGACTGTTGTACTAATTATGGCGCGCTAATACATATTTTGCATTTAAAAAGTGAATGAGTTTTATTTTTATATTTTGATACCGAAGTTACAGGAGTATATATCAGTACGTCTGTATGAGCACAAAATCATTAAACTATAACCTTGAGCATATATTTATCTGTGCCTTAGATGCCACGTCCACCAGGAGGTGGCGGATCGGATTGTATTTTGATGAATTGTATTGGATTCTAGTTTAAATTTTTTTAACGCAATATTTCTATTACGCCAAAGAGCTTTGTAAACATCCTAAGAATCTGCCAGGTTCTGCACAAATGAAACTATCGTCTAATGACAGCTACGTTAAATAGCAAATTGGGGAGTTTGATGCCCAAATACATATTAATGATCATACATACAGTGGATGCATGTAGGTGTACGCTTTACTGTGTCAGTAAATAATGGAAAATTTAATTGATAAGAAACTCCAGACAATTCACAACATTTTCCGTAGGAGTCAAGATAGTTTTTGAGATTAAGTGATAAGTAAATACAGCCGGCACAGCTGTTTAAATACATAACCGAGTAGATTTGAAGCAAAAATGCGTGAATTATAATCAATCAAATCATGGGCACCCTGAAACAAATGAATATGAATATCCCCTGAGGCGATAGCTAGCCGGCTGAGCGATATATTGGTGCTTTCGACAGGCAAGGCATAAATAAATGAAATTATAATTAAGTGTGGCCGAGCACAGCTTGGCAAATAATGTAAATTTTTATGCGATGAATTTTGCTATTTACGATAGTGGCCAGTGACATCGCTCGATAATTCTTGACTTGATTCGCAGTGTGTGTGTGTATGTATGTGTGTGTAATAGTTGTACAAGAAAATTTTTTGTTTAAACGTGCAAATAATTATCGGAGACGTTTTGCAATGCGTAAAATAAGTAATGTAGCTAAAAGTGTTTAATGTTAACAAGGATAGCTCAAATTACAAGTGCTATCGACGTCCAGAGACAACCAGTTGAAATAACAGTTTGCGAAGCACTGTCGTTTCATACAGATTTCAAGAGCAGCGGCCTCAACAGTTTCAGACGCCATTGAGAGTGCCGATATCAATAGCTTATTATTAAATAAATCGATAGGTTTGCGTAAGCGCAGCCAACTTAACATAAAAATGTAGCTGCGAAGAAGTAGAAAAATCGTATATGAACAAGGAGTAAAAGTTGAAAATAAACATAGAAATATCGAAAAAACCACGAACTGAAAACGCTCCACAAGTTCCAACTAGAGAGACGAGAATTGTACATTAACTTCAACTCGATACACATTTGATAAACACACACACATACAAGCACACACGGAGTTGCATCAGCATGCCCGATTCCGGCGACTGCAGCGATGCAGAGATGAATCAGCCGTCTTGCAGCAGGAAGACGGCACAGTGTAATAATGATCGCGATCGCGACAAGAGGAAACGTCGCATCATCATGCGCATCGAATTCAATGATTCCGATGACACGGACGCCGATGAAAATGTTGCTACCCCTTCCGCCGTCGCCGCCGCTTCATCTATGAGTGTGGGCATTGACCTTGATATGCTGCCAAAATGCTCTGCGGTGCCACAACGCCGCAGTGAACGCTCCAATCGCCAGCAACTGCCACCTTCAAGGATATCGGGTCGCCAGCTCCGAAGACGGCCAGATTCAAATCGTCTTCCAGCCGACAATGAGCCGTCATCGTCCAGCGGCAGTGAGGTAAATATTTATTTTATTTATGTGTATACATAAAATCGAAAATACTTCACCTGCCTCGAAAGATTTGTATTTTAGCATTGTCAGGTGATCGTGTGCAGCATAATGCATAAACATTGCAGAGATAACACAACTGCAAAATACGCTAACCACTTTAGGTTATTTATGATTCATGGCTATTTCATAAAGTTGTCGAAAATACTATATACTTCAGAAAATTACCATTGATTATTTTTAACATTTATATTTGCTGATCAATCAATGTGTAAGACAACACTAACCTAAGATCAGAAAACTATGCTCAAATTTTCCAATTGCAATTAGAATCAACCGAACTAAATATGAATATTGGAATATTGCTTGAAACACTATTAACTTATAGTCTGTTGTAAAGAGAAGATTTTAAAATTGTTAGTTTACAATCAAGTTTTTAAACTGAACTAAATCAGCAATTAAATTCATTTAGTTTTTAAATTACATTTTGCCTTAAGGAAAACGGAAGGGTTTATTTTCGTTATTGAAATTTAGAATAAACATTATTTGAGTTAAATATGCAGTTGTTTTAATTTTTTTAAAACTATTTATAAACTTTAGGCCAACAACAACTAGTTAGAAATGTTCTTCTCATACTTTTCCAACTATTTATTAATTTTTAAACACTTTCTTTCTCACTCAGATCGATCAGCGCGCTGCGAGAAAAAAGGAACGTGAAAAGAAGCGAATGAAATTGATCATTTCCGAGGACGAGTCTAGCGAAGTAGAAGCAACTGCAGCCGCAGCAAGAGCAGACGGTGCATCCAATGATATTAAACGAACAGATGCTCAAGCTGAACTCGCGGACGGCTTCAGCACGGACAGCAGCAGCAGCAGTCACAGCAGCACCAGCAGCAGCAACGAGCTGCTCGAGAAATGTCCCATTTGCCTGTTGACGTTCCGGCAGCAGGAGATCGGTAGACCCGTGACATGCGAGCACATCTTCTGCGCCGCCTGCATCGAGGCATGGGCGAACAATGTACAAACCTGCCCCATCGATCGAATTGCCTTCGATCGCATTATTGTCCTGGACAATGTCGAGCGACGCCAGAATGTGCGTGAGATTCGCATGGATGCGAACCAGCCGCGGAAGGAGCTGTTGCTAGAGGATGACGAAGATGTTGTGGTCGTCGATGATGAGGATTACACCAATTGTCAGATATGCCAGAGTACGGATCGCGAGGACATTATGCTGCTCTGCGATAGCTGCAATCAGGGCTATCACATGGATTGTCTGGAACCGGCACTGGATATAATACCAGCCGGTTCGTGGTACTGTGACAATTGCATTGATTCCGCGGACGAGGCCGAGGATGAGGACCTGGAACTTGCCGAGGATCTGCACACACTGTACGAGGATATACGTGGCATGGGTCTGCCCGAGACGCGTCTGCGTGTGCGGCAAGTGCAACAGCCGCGCATTTTGCGCACACGGCAAAATGAACGGATACGGGCAGCCGTTTTGAGGCACACCCAAACTACCAGCTCCTCCACCTCCTCGTCCACAACAATGACGCAAACGCGGCAAACGACAAGGCGCACCGGTCGAACAACAACGCGTACCACACGCACCCGAACAAGAACCCGTACCCGAACCAGAACGACGACAACAACGCGACGCAGTCGACGCCAACATCGCACCTATGTGGTCGAATACGATCTCAACAATTTCGATGAGAAGTTTGCGGTTAAGACGAGCAAAAAGGTCATACGACGACGTCGACGTCGCAGGCGAAAGCCAATTAGCGGCAGCAATGTTGTCAGCGACGGTGTTCGTCTGTCGGCCAGCCAACGTTTAGCTGAGCAGTTGGGCGTCAAACGGGACGAAGTGCATCGGACGCACTTGGGCGGCGGCAGCGCATCCAGTTTTACGCTCTTTGGCAATTGCAACGATTTGGACTATTTCTCCGACAGCGACGATGCTGATGGTGTCCAACAAGGCGATGGGGACGGTGCTGGAGCTGCGACAGCTGTTCAAACAGCGATACGTATGCCGCGCATTGGTGCGACGCGTCAGCGAAAAGCGTTGCTACTGGGCAAAGCCAGAACAGCGGGTGTGACGACGACGATGCCGCCAACGACGACGAGTGATATTCTGTCCAGTATATTGGAGCTGCAGGATCGTTGGCACAATGCGTCGCGTAATCTGAGCGATGTGCACATCAATGCCGATGGCACACTCGATTTGCCGGCAAAGCAAGCGAACGACACAGCCACACATATCACACAGGCACCGCTCTATCAGCGCGGTGGTGCAGCGCCCAATTTTGGACGTGGTGGTGCTGCTGCTGGTGGCAACTACAACAACCGCTACAGCAACAATAGCAACAACAGCAACAGCTATCGTGGCGGAGGCGGTGCAGCTGGCTCAGCTGGTTCGGGTGGTGCTGTTGGCGGTGGCGGGGGCGGTGCTAATCCTTATCAGCGTGACAGTAATAATGCTGCCGATAACAGTTTCAACAGTCCAAACTTCAATAGTAACAACAACGCGCCAACAAACACAAATTTTACGCCCTTCAACATACGCTTCAATTCACCCAATCCACAACAGCAACAACAACAACGCAATCGAAATCTTCAACAGACAACCCGCCAATCAGAATATTCCAGCGGTGCAACTCCATCGCCAAGTGGGTCTAGCAGCAGCAGCTTCCTCATTCCTCCGCAGCAGCAGCAAGCAGCACAGCGACAACTTTTCGCTGGTCTACCAGCGCCGATAAATGCCCCCGTTTTGGGTGCACGGCTCTCGATGCCACCGGTTTTAACTGTGCCACCGCCACCGGCACCGCCGCCCAGCTTATCCTGGAATAGTTCATTGTTTAAGCTAAACACCGACTATGGGAACAAAACCAATACTGCTGACAAAGAGGATCACGACGACGACGATGACAATTGTCCGAATTTCTCAATATACTCACAAGAGTCGCAGGCGGTTGCCACCGAACTATTCGCGCAACCCCAACCAGCCGCCAGGAGCTCCGATAAGGTAATTAATGGGATCTAAAAAAATATATATATCTATCTATAAAATCTACTGTTTGAGAAATGGCAAATATTTATTTAGTTTTCGTTTGACGATCATTAACTATTGATCTTTATGTACTCAGTTTACTTGAAAAATAACTCGAGAATATCTTTGCTCTCTACTCGCATTCATCCTCATCCTTAAATAACTAATTTAACTCGTCCGACTGAATTTTTAAATACTGTTCAAATGCTCAAAATTGCGATTTTTGAGTATTTCTTAAATTAATGTATTATTTTTGAATAAGAATTATTGAGAGAAGCTGTCAGCATTGAGTCGCTTATAAATTAAGTATATATCTTGAGCACAAGATTGTACTCTGTTATCAAAAGGAAAACACAGAATATTGGCTTTTGTAACATGTCCGTCTGAATGGAAACTATTTTTGCATTATTTGTGATATAAATTGGGATTAATTTGGTATAGGCTTAGCCAATTTCAGTTCGAGTTTCGGAATATATCATATTTGATTTATGAAAGCAAAATGCTTTATTAATTTTCTCTAAGCTTTATTACTACTCAATTTCGCTTGAGAGAAATTCCACTATATATCCAACAGCTAGCGTCAAAATACAAATACTACCGTAAAATTGTATTTTTGACCTCTTAACTAAAGACCAGAGTATTTTGGATTTGGTTACGGTGAAAATATAAATACAAAAGTTACAACAATATTGTATTTTCTACCTTTGTTCTACAGAACAGAGTATATTGCAGTCGGTTACTTAGAAATTTGTTCATCAATCAAAGCTAAAAGTTCAAATATAAAGTCCAGTCATAGAAGAAGCCGGGGCATGATGTACATATTACTTTAATTAAGTGATATACAAGAAGAAGAAGACTGAAACTGTTATACATCGAGTGAAAAAACCCGATATATATCGATTTGGGAATCTAGGCTTATTGATATGGGGTAAGCGGGAAAGTTCTCATATGAAAACACCATTTTAAGTTTAAAAAATAACGGAAAATTGATCAAATCGATAATCGAATCTGATCGATTAAAATTCGATTTCCATCTATTGTTATCGATGTGGATGGTTATTGCATTTGAAGTCTCTAAGGTATCAGACCGACCGAACTGATCGAGAATATATAAATGTACATAGTATTTAATGGAATGATGAAATACATATTCTTTCCGCCAGTTGCATAAATATGCACAACTTGATAAAACTCGCCCCAAAATACCCGTTTCGAATGGCTACAGGGTATAAAACAACCGTACATTAGTCTTTATGCCTGTATTGTAGCTGCTATTGAAATGTGGAGAATCTTTGGCATACTAACCGTGATGTGTTATTTTCTTTCTTTCAATTTTACAAATATTTTACTTACTCAGGACGACGACGAAATGAATGAAGATTTAGTGCAATTAGACGATGATGATGACATACCATTGCCACCAGAGCCCCCATCCGATGCAGTGGTTGCTCCTCCTCCTTCTCGTTCGCTCAATGACGATCGCAATTCCGGCGCCGATCTGTACGAGCCCGAAAATCCAACCGACGAGCCCGAGGACGATAACAGCGAGCGTAAAGCAAAATCCAAGCCAAAGCGGGTTGCTGGCGATGATGCCGATGAAGGCAATGATAATAATGATAAGCCCCACGTCAGCTTGCCAGCGAAAGAGCCCACTGCTGATGCTGCTGCTGATGCAGATGCAGATGCTGCTGATGATGATGAGACAAAATCGACCAGCACTCCCAGTCCCATCAACAAGGATAGCCGCACCGTCGACAAGAGTAAAGGGGTCTTGGAACTCTACGATGACAGCGATTGGGAGGAATTGGAAATCGACAGACCGAAGGAGTTTGAAAAGGCGCTCGTTGAGAAGACACCCGATGGGGCGGATACAGTGGCTACGGCGGCAAATAAAACGACCACAAAGACCTCGAACAGCGAATCCGAGCCAGAGCGTTCATATACGCCCTGCTTGGATGAGAAGACCTTGGAGGAGGATGCCGCGGCGGCAGCAAAACAAAAGGATAAAGCAGCAGCAGCAGCTGCTGCCACCGGTGTTGAGGACAAGCAGCAGCAGAATGCTGCGAAAAAATCGGACAACGAAGATGACGACGACGATGGTGGTGGTGATGAGCAGCAGCGGAACGATGATGTGGAGAATGCGGCTCGCATGAGCACCGAACAAATATCCGAGGATGAGGATCTAACAAATGAGCCCGAATCGAAGCGACGCAGTCGTAGTCGCCATGGCGAAAGCAGCGCAAACAAATCGAAGCGCAGCTCCAAGCGTGGCAAGGAGAATGCCGAGACATTCAAGAAGGTGGGCAAGCGACGCAAGGATCGCAATTATCGCAGCGACAAACAGCAGCAGCACAAGCGCAGTCGTTCCCGTCGCTCCCCCCACTCAAGGAGTCGCTCGCCAAGCAGTCGAAGTCGTAGTCGAACTCGGACTCGCACTCCCAATCGTAGTGTTCATCGCAGTCTAAATCGCACTCCTCCCCAGCAACGCACTCGGACTCGCAGTCGGAGTCGGAGTCGCACTGTCAGCCGATCATCGCCACTTCGTCCACGTCGCGGTCGTCATAGCCGCTCGAGAAGCAACTCCCGTTCGAGGAGCAACTCGCACGGACGGCAGCGTGGCGGATTTAGGTCTCGCGATTATGCTCGAGGTGGAGGAGGATTTGGACGTGGTCGTGGCGTCGGTGGCACCGGTGGCGCTGGCACCGCTGGCCAGCGTTTCAACGTACGCAATCAGCCATTTCAACAACAACGTGGCTACCAGCAGCAACAGCCGCAGCAGCAGCAGCACTATCAACAGCAGCAGCCACATCACCAGCAGCATTATTCCCATCAGCAGCAACAGCAGCAGCAGCAGCAGCCGCATCAACCTTACCACTTGCAGCCGCAGTATCAGCGACCCAAACGGCGCGAGTTGCCGCGCTACGATGTGCGACATGTGGTGAGCAATGCGTCGCGTCATCAGCACAAGGATCGCTATGGCAGGGATGCGGCGCGAGCCGGACGCAGTCGCTCCATCAGCTACGAGCGCCGACAGCAGCATTCGCCGCGCAGCTTCTCACGCAGCTCGACCCGGTCGCGGACACGTTCCGCATCGGGTGCGCGACGTTTGCGCAGCTTTAGCATGTCGCCAACGCCGCCGCCGGGCACTGTGCGTCATCAACATCAACACCATCAGCATCATCAACACCAGCAGCAGCAGCATCGACGATCCATGTCGCCCGTCATCCGCCGTTACGAACATTCACCAATTAATCCACAATCAGCTGCTGGCGGAGGTGGAGCTGGAGCATCATCGGCAGCTGGGCAGGCACATCGTAGCAGTCCGCATAGCTCGATTTCATTGAGATCCCGATCGAATACGCCGGCGCGTCTCAATGGCAATCGCAATTTGCAACTGGGCGTCAAACAGCATTCGCCTGGCTATTCCCCGCGTTACACTCCACGCCTGAGTCGCAGTCGCAGTCGCTCCAAGAGCCCGCGCCCGAAGAAGAAGAAAAAAAAGGCCGACAAGAAGAAGAAGAGTAAAAAGCGTCCAGCCAGTCCAATTGCGGCACGGCAACGTCGCATCTCCCGCCAGCGTGATCCGTTCGCTGACGCCGATGATTTCCTGGGACCGCAACTGGGCAAGAAATCAAAGAAGGCGGCCGCCTCACACTGGTCACCGTCGCCGACGCCGAGTCTATCGGCGGATCGTTTAAATTTCATGCATGACAGCGTTGCGGGCGGCAGCGGAGCTGGTGGTGGTGGTGAGAAGCCGGTGTCGTGGACGCCGCCGTTGGCATCGCCACTGGCGCCTGGTGCCCACTACAGCCAGATGCCCCATACTCATGGCCATGTTCATGGCCACAGTCACAGCCACGCGCATGCTGCTCACTCACATCGCAGCCTGACGCCGCTGGCGACCAAAAAACTGAAGCCGAAGCGGGACAAGAGCAAGAAGAACAAGAACAAGAAACCGCTGGACAAGCAGCAGCGCAAGGAGAAGAAACGCAAACGCCATACGATGACACCAGAACCACTGCCCTCCAAAGAGGTCTTCGCCTCGGGCAACAATATACTGGTCAGTGTCAGTTTCAACAAGGAGGCGAACGCTTTGGCGGCATCAGCCACCTCCTCCTCGTGCACGGCGACACAGCAGCAAACCGTAGTCACATTGCCAGCGTCGCGGGATGAGTTCCTCGGCAATCGACGCACCTCGATCGATCGCCTGACCAACAGCAGTGGCAAGAAATCGAAACGCAAACGCAAGAAACTGGACGCAAAGCCGGTGGCTATCATTGATCTGGAGCGTTCACCGTTCCAGGTGCATCAGGAGCCGGCCGATGTGATTGTGCTGACGGACAGCGAGGATGCCACCGACAATCAACTATTGCTATTGCGACGCGAACGTCGACGCAGCAGCGCCGTCTCGGCCACAGATCATGAACGCGAGAATGGACAGCGTGAGAAGACGCCACCAGCGAATTGCATGGAAACGATACTGGAGACATCCTACGAAACGATAACGCAGACAACTGGGCCGAAAACGCCGCCCGAACCGCATCTGGTGAAATTCAATCTGCCCGCCAAGAAGCAGCATAAGGTGCGCAATAATCCGCTGCACGATGATGCCGACGATATCCATTCGGCCGATGAGCTGGAAACGGTATGCTCGATGCGCAGCAGCAGCAACGTGGACAACGAACCACATTTGCATGCGACGCCGGCCCTTCATCCGAATGAGGGCCAGAAAATTGGACCAAATACGCCACCCGAATCGGGACCTTGTTCGCCCGATGCCTACGATCCGTTTGAGCCAACCAAGTCACCCTCACTCTCGCCACGTTCACCCACACCGAATCCAGCGCAGAGCCTCGAGTCGAGCAGTGGTGCCGTTGGTGTGGGTGGTGTCGGTGTGGGTGTTGGTGTCGGTGTAGAGATTCTCGATGCGCAACAGAAGCAGCACAACAGTCACAACAGCAGCGATGATCTAGCCGATGTTAATCTGGGCACACCCACTTTGTCGAGCGTCAGCAATGCGACGAGCCAAACGAACACGAATAATGTCAGCATTAATCCCGTCGATCTGGTCATGGCGCTGATGAGCAAGCCGAGCAACAGCAGCACCACCACCAGCAGCATACAACAGGAGCTGGCGAGCAAAGCATGCGATGTGGCAACCTCGTCACAGTATCTGAACAGCGGCACCGCGATGAGCACATCATTGACGGTGTCCTCCAATGCGGAAGATAAACCCGTGGATTGTTCCAGTGCAATTACGGTGCTCTCAAATGTGCTACTCTCGAGCAGCAGCACCGTGGTTTCCTCATCCCAGCACATACCATCGATATCTAGTCCGACGACAACGACCCTGGTCAGGAAACTGCCCAAGGCCGGCGGCAGCGTCGCCAGCAGCAGCAGTGGCATTGCCAATGTGCCGCCAAGCAGTGGCGGCAATAATATGCGCAATGGCAACACTGCTGTGCCCTCCACCAGTCTGGACGACTCCTTCAACATGGAAATCGAGAGTCCGTATTCGCCGGGCTCGGCGGACTACGAGGATCTGTTTGAACCGCCGCCAGATGGCAATGCAATCGGTTCAATACGTAGTCGAACGACGAAGGCAGGCGCTGCCGGCGGCGGCAAGGCGGAAATGTTTGACAATCTATTTGGCAGCAGCTCTCCACCGGTGGGTCATCGAATATCATCGCGTTTCAACAGCTCGACGGGAAGGAAACAGCAGCGAGCAAATAATAAAAACGAACGCAAATCGAAAAACAAAGGTGGGTTACAATTGTCTCATCTCTATCCAAAACAATTAATGCATCGCAAGAATTTAGTAACTTTTTGTATAATTCGATGAAATTTTGTACTCTGAATCCAATAATAATGGCTATACAAAGATAATGTATTTAAACTGCAAATGATAAAATTTTCGACTCTATAACTATCATATATCATATTAATGTGAACGACAATCTTTTAGATATATATGGCCTTGATTTTTAAACGATTACTTTAAAAGAAAATATATTCTATGTTGAGGAGCTCAGCTGTCTTGTAGGTTTACAAATTGTGTTAGTTTCCGACTGGTTATAGAGTATTTTTTAGTCGGACATTATCTATAGCTTAAGCCTTATTCTTAGCCTTTTCGGCTAGTTGTCGTTTCTCAAACAGTGATTGGTTTCAATTATAAAAACACATGACATTCAATTATTTATTGTGATTACAGGTATCAAATCAAACGAGGAGCACGGTAAACTCTATGATGATGTGCCTAATTCAGCAGTCGATTTACAAGTCAAAGATCGGGTGAGTGAATAGCAAATCAAACTTGTGTTTCATCAAAACTTATTCAATGTTGCTCTATTGCAGTTTATACGCAAGCTAAATCGCCAGGAACGGGTTGTTGAGGAAGTGAAATTAGTGCTGAAACCACATTTCAATAAGAAAGTTATCTCGAAAGAAGATTACAAAGATATTATGCGACGCGCTGTACCCAAGGTATGTGTTCCTTCCCACATATATAACAATAATTCAATATGACATTTGATTTATTTGTATATACAAAAATTACAGATCTGTCACAGTCGGTCCGGTGAAATAAATCCACACAAAATCAAAAATTTGATTGATGCCTACGTGAGGAAGTTCCGCGCTAAGCACAAGAAGTTGAGTCTGCTGAATACGGGGCAAGTAAGCAGTGCTGTCAAATGTGCCGCATATTTAAAGAAGCTATAAGCAAACGTAGGAGTGGAGTTAGGAGAAGGTGAATATCATTATCATCAAACGATTTGAAAACATTAAAATATTTATATCGTATTTATTTGCCACACACAGCGTATTCTTCACGTATTCAAACCACGCAATTTCGTTCAACGGCCGCATGCATTCCTACGCCTCCTCCTCATCAATCACAATCGCCGCCCGTAAAGCGCAAATACATAAATTGTCATTGCTATTGAAGTTTAGTTGTTAAGTCCAATTTAGGTTACACTCCGAATGATTTTTAGTGTTTAAGACAATGCAGAAGTGAAACTATCCATTAAGCAGTAAAATTTGTCTCCATCAATTTTTTTTTTCGTTTTCTCGAAGCACCACAACAGACTCAAAACGATTAAATTAACAGATTTTAGTTGATTAGTGTGTTTATTTGTATGACTTTTATAATGATTATTAATACTGTTTTGCTTTAACAAAATGTAAGTATATAGTTGAAAGGCAGACAGGCAAAACCAATAAATTGTATTTTACCTCTTGTAAGTTAATCAATTCAATTACATTAAATTATTAATTCAATTATAAAAAAATACCCAATAAATCAGATGAAATTTTTTGAGTACACATTAATAGATTACCTAATTGCTCTGAATTGATGATTTGGAGTTAGATATTTTACGCAATTAATCTGTTTAGGCAGTTATAGGTGTATTTTATTTGCAACAGGCATGATATATGTATATTGTTAAAATAAAATAAAAGCAAATGTAATTATATATATTCAGCATGAATAACTGTGTATTATATTACTTATATTGAGTTAATATATAATGAAACATTTAATTTTGCATAGTTTGTCAATCATAATTTTTAAAAATAAAGAGTGCATGCCTACAACGTAACATTAAATCAATGGAAATCGTTTAATTTCATTTTAGAAATACAAAAAAACATAATGAGGGGCGGGGGTATCTATTTATTTAGCTGAAAAAAAAAAAAGAATTTTTGATTTGGTTCAGACTATTCACTGGTACTTCTTGAAGGACATTGATGACATCCCGTATTCAACTTGGAAATCGACGTGATTTAAACAATATTCTGCTATATATTTACATAAATATATATGTAAATGCGATTAAATTAAGCTAATCAATGGAAAACATTTAATATAAATAGCGAAGATAATTCATTTGTGGCTATATAAATCTTATTTTGTGGATATATAAATCTTATTTTAAATGAGCGCAGATTCTGCCTGATGAAGACCGCTTTGTGCGATTATTATGTATCTTAAAGCGTCGATAAGATGTTATTTTTTTTTGTTTTCTGTTTGGTTTTTTCTTTACCAAAATCCGGATGATTTCCCACCAGGCGGATTCTTAACTTTAATACAAGCACGAACACCGGATCTGTCCAACTCCTCTGGATATCGTACAAAAAAAAAATGTACACAATAAAAGCTGAATACAATAAAATTAGATAGATAAATGTAACTCACCGCTAATCGAGAAAGATGATTCCTGCATATCTCGTTTGCCATCGACACGTCCACGCACCGAGGGTGTGCTGCAAATGGAACCTTCCGCCGGCATTGGTAAGTTGCCAGCGAGCATTTCGGCAAGCGGTTCCGGTGCTGGTATTAGGATATCCAATTCAGCAAACTTTTTGATCAAATTGCCATTGTGATGTTCCTCGTGCTGTTGCTGTTGGTGCTGCTGCTGCTGCTGCTCCTCGGATGATTGTACTTTGCCCTCAATAATGTCATAAACAAATGGCGGTCGCACTGGCATCGGTATGAACCGTCCATGACCTTCGGCAACGCGAATTGTTCCATTCTCGGCACAGATACGCCCACGGACCATTACAATTTCGGGCACACCATGCACGGTCATGCCCTCGAAAATATTCAAATCGCATGCATGCTGATGGGTATCCTTGGAGATGGTGCGCGTAGCCAGTGGATTCCATATGACAATATCAGCATCGGAACCAACAGCTAAAATATGAATCATTATTTATTTTAAGTATAAGTGAATAATTCATTTATTCAAGCTGTTAACGTACCGATTCTGCCTTTTTGCGGGTAGATATTGAATATTTTTGCCGCATTTGTACTAGTTACGGCAACAAATCTGCACGGATCGAGTAGACCCTGTTGGACTCCCTTTTCCCACACCACCGACATGCGATCCTCAGCACCATTGACGCCATTTGGAATTTTGGTAAAGTCCTTCAAACCCATCTCCTTTTGTTTCTTGTTGTACGTACAGTTATCGCTGCCAGTGACCTGCAGATCATCGCTGTAACAAGTGGAACATTGAGTAAATTAATACACAATTACATTTATGAAGGTATACTTACTATGCCAGAGATTTCATGAGTTGCCTGGGCGTTTCGGCAGACATACGGATTGGTGGACTAGTAATGTAATAAACACGTTCTGGCTTGCGAACACTGCTCATACTGCGACCAATGGAGCTGGCCAGGGTTTCGCCAAACACCGAGTAGCCACTGCGACGGGCTCGGCCCACGAGCTCAGCGGAGGATTTGCTGGTTACGCCGGCAACGTATAGCGGTGTCTTCATCTATGTTTCATATGACAATAATTGATACAAGTTGGTACAGTTTTTGGCACTACTAAATACTAAAAGTCAAGCCAATTGTTGGACGTTTGATGATTAGAAGTGTTAGGAACAAACGTAACCAGAGTTGTTATTGGGCGATAATTGTTTAGGACTACTTGTAGCCAGTGTCTAACTTACTTACATCGCCAGTCGTTTGATCGGGAACTCGGCTGGCTTCGACTTGGGACTTGATTTATTGATAAGCCACAAGCATCGAACATTGTGATTATTGTGTGCAAGTGCATCAGCATCAATCAGGGTATATATTTATTGGAGTTATATCAAGTGCCACATACCGCATACAATCTTATCTTATGTACAAAGGGTGCATCATACATAATGGAAATAATAACAAATCAAAAACATAAACAAATTATAGTAACATTGAATATATGTATGTATGTATGTATGTACATTTGTATACATATTGCAACATTTCCCAAAATCCCACGAGCTTTGCTTTTATACAACTTTGGATTGATTTATTGATTTGTTCTCTTTCTTTTCTGTTTCCACTAACCTGATGGGCCAAAATGCAAGCGCGATGCACTGCTTCCGCCTCGACCTCCTCTTGGCGGGACAGTTCGTGTCCCTCGGGACCGCAGATGCCCTCGGCCAACAAGCTCTTTGTATTTTTGGCTATAATATCACCATTCTCAGCATGAACCTGGCCAAATAATGGTGGGTAATTAATCTTGTTGCAATGGCCAGGCATTTACAATGTGGTATAGCTTACCATTGCGACACCATTTAGGCTTCGAATTCGCTCGAAAACATCCAAAAGATCAGAATCGTTTAGCATATAGAGATCCTTGTAGGCCATATACATTTTCAACGAATTGACGCCCAGCTCCTTGCAAAGTATGCCAATCTCCTCGGACACCGACTTGGACCACCAGGTGATGGCCACATGGAGTGCATAATCACAACATACTTTGGGATCCGCCCAGCTGCGCCACTTGTCGTAGGCCTCAATCATTGACTCATGTTTTTTGGGCAGCACACAATCGACTAATTTCAACAAGAAATTTATATATCAGTATCCAAAACGAGAAAATCTCTGATTTTTTGAGAATCATACTTATCATAGTCGTGCCACCGGCAACAGCTGCTTTTGTACCACGATAAAAACTGTAAGAAAAAATCGAAATCAAATCTTTTACTATAAACAAGAAAAACGATGAACAAATCGTTAACTTACTCATCGACGGTAACCGTATCACCGAACGGACACTGCAGATGTGTATGGGGATCAATGCCACCTGGTATTATCATTCTGCCCGTTGCATCGATGGTACGTACGCCGCCCGGAATTGTTATATCGCTCGCAGGTCCAACGAATCTGCAGCGAGTCAAATGTAATTAATTCAATTAAATTGACACTTTTTTCTATAGGATTGTTAGTGTCATACTTAATGATGCCATCCTCAATGTAAACGTCCGCCTTGAAGCTTTTATCATGGTTGACGATTTCACCGTTTTTAATGTAAACGCGATTCTGGGCGCTTTGTAAGTGAATCGGCACTTTCTTTACAGGCTTTGGGCTGGTTGACATTTTGTACCAAAAACAGCTAGTTCTGCAATCGATAAAATATTAATCATTATTTTGTGGAATGAATTGGGTAACTAAAAGAAAATTGTTGCATATCTTTTTATTTATTTTTTCTAAATCACATGGTTTTTTTTTTTAAATAAGTTCAAAGCAAGTGAAAATCACAACATAAATTGCATTCAACATTTTTCACCCGGTTCTTCAAACATGGGCGTGGATTACCCGAAAACGGCTATAAACCCGTATTAATTGATTTTTGTTGTGTATCGCATTGAAAATGCACTTTCGTCCATACAAACTGGGGAGTGGTTTTTTAACCAAAATCGATACAGTAAAAGCGATCAACAATTTTCACACACAGCGGTTACTTGTCATGTGTGCCCCATTATGGCTGACAAGACAAGCAAGACTAGATTCGCTTACGTCATAAAAGGAAACTAGCTGGCAGACAGTTAGTCAGTTAGCACATACAGTTTTCACCATTTGCATAAAAAACAAACACACACATATAAATTAAACTGACACAAATAACTATTCGTAGGTCGCAAACGCAGACAGCTTAAATCTATGTATGTTTGTTATTTGCACACTCATAAATACATATATATATATATATGTGTGTGTGTGTGTATGCTGTGTGTGTGTGTGCAAGTCTCTAACTACAAGCGTCATCAAAATACGAATACGACTATGGGAGTAAACACGCAAGCGAGCATTGAACTTTGTGGGCTCTGATGCGGTGCTTTGTATATTAAAAAAATATATGTACATATATAGAAAAGAGCAACGCAGAATACAACAAATTGTGGCACATTTGGTGAGTGGTAAATTTCATGCATATTGTATTTTGGGGGCTGCAGGAAGAAGCATTTCGACTACTGTTATGTTAATATGCTTGAATGATAATCGGCTTTTCAAGTACTTGATGAATGCCGACCCCATTTCAGGCGTACGACTACGTCATCGGCTGAGTTTTTTTCTATTGAATTATTGTCCATATCCTAACTTGAACCTGGTTGGGGAATCAACAAATAATTTCTCTTATTTTATATGCGTGCTAAGACACACATATACGGTACAATTGCACAGTTATAAATCCATAAATAGTAATACTGTTTTCCGCTTTTGTTGAATCGATACTTATAATAAAAAAAAATTATGACATTATCGACACAATCTCACACACAATAAAATATATTTACATAAATATATACATACATATTTTAGTATATATATCGACAAACACGTATCTAATAAATTACATGGAAATACAGTTTTCAATATTCATATGTGCAAAGCTCAATACACAAAACTGTGTATGTATGTATGTAGCGGATATGTTAGTTGACTTGAGCAGCACAATCTTCACTTAAAATGTCAATAATTCAAACAATTTTACTATAGCGACAGGTATATACATATTTATTAACAATGTAATGCGATTTTCGCATGCCTTTTACCGTTGAAATTTCAAGAAATTTTATATTGTTAACCGAGTGAAGCAGTACACACCCACTTTACAGAGAAAATCCTGATAAGACTGATGCACTAATCGATTTTATGCTATCGATGTTTCTTGTTGTCTTCAGTGTGCCCGCATTTTGATAACTGGTGTGGCCGCTTTTTCGCCGTTAATCAATATTTACTCATTTTTACACAAACCAAGAAATGTACCGGCCTTTTTTTCTTGAGCGCCATAGCAGCGATGTCTGAAAAAATACATTTTCTCTATGAATTATCCGGAAATATTTGTGTATTTTCCCATTAAAATCAGCGCCATGACTTTATTTTCTCTGTTTCTTCATTCTATGTTTACCATTCACGACAGAAGCACGCTGTTTCGATTATTCATATCGATATTGGCCTTACCATTTGAATTCAAATTTAATCGGCTTAAATATTTATTTTTTGCTTATAATAATATATATAATTCAGTTTGCTGATTTAATCAATTGCAACCACAAAAAGAAAGTAAAAATTACAATTGATTAAATCAGCAAACTATAAATTATAAATAAATTTATTTGTGTCCCACACAACTTTGCAACATATGGAAATAAATGTCGGGTATGTTTGCAGAAAACCGAGGTAAACGCTCAGTACGCAAATTCCTTATCTATAAGAATAAATAAAGAATACATGCATATACCCACTTAGACTGATAGAAAAACGCTCAATTGTATATTATATATGTATGTATATTAATTAAATAATTAAATTAAGTTTGAGGGACATACATTTACATCCTAGCAAAATTATACACTAATAACTACAAGTAAATATATCGATATCGAGATGTTGAGTCATATTTGTGTTTTGGAAAACAACTACATAAATTAACGTTTATCTTTAGGGCTTCAACTGATCCTTGTATTCCTGTTGATCGACATGACATACATATGTTTTGTAAGTATATTGGGCTCGCTACACTAGCCCAGTCTACTTGACTTTATATATTTTTGTTTTATTTTTATTTATTTTTTTTTTTAAACAGCAGTCCATTTTGTAATATTGCCATGTATTCTAAGAGCTTTAATTGCATATGCATCAAAATAAGTTATACAACATTTCGCACATGTCCATTTTCAGGTGCTCAATGATTTTTTTGTATGTTTTTTGTTTTTTGCAATTGTTTCTTCTTATTTGTTTGTTGCTTTTTGTGGTTGTTGTGTGTTTGTTGTTTTCTATTGGTTGTTTCTTCACGCCTCTGTGATATAAAGCATGTTTAGTTAATTTCGCGTGCTTCTATATAGCTTAGTTCGTATTCTTTTCTAGCTTTTTATGTACTGTATTTTCGTTAAGATTGAATATTTTAAATTAAGAATTAAGATAAAAACTTATGAGTTAAGCTTGTCATTTACGCCTAAATTATGTTTAATATAAAATTAAACCTTGTTCCAGCAGCACTTCAGTAAATAATACAAACAACATAAAAAATTACAACATTAAGTGCTCGCATTTCGCATATATCGGTTTTGCTTTTTTTTTTTTTGTTTTACTTTTCATTTTTTTTTTTTTGTGCAGTGATTTTGCCAACAAAAAAAAATAGAATAAAAATAAAACAAATGTGTACGAACATTATTCAATGAGTTTGAATCATTCGTCGACAATTCACACACACATTCCTCTCATATATAATACGAAATGACAATTGCGAAAACAAAATACAGGATACAATTTACAAAATAGTTAAGTATGTACAATTTTTGTTTGCTTTTTTTTTTGTTGTTGTGTTGTGGTTTTTTTTTTTTTTTTTTTTTTTTTTTTTTAATGTATGAGTGTCTGTGTGTGTTACAATTTTCTGCATTTCAATTTGTCCACATAAATATCCATTTAATTGTATTACATAGTTCTTCTTATCGGTTTGCATATATACGCATATATGCAGACGGTTTAAGGTTTTATGTTCACTATATATGACTTCATATGACATATTTGTAATAATAATATTTATTATAAGTATTATATTTTAGAATTTTGTTTAAAAACTAACCTCTATATGTATATGTTTAATTTAACACACATAATTCGTTATCTTTCTTGTTTTCTTTTTGTTTTTTTGTGTTAATATGTATGTATACACATATATACATATATATATACTCAAATATATATGTATATATATATATAAATATATACCTATGTATATATATCGTATGCATTTATATGTGTGAGTGTGTATATTAGTTTTTTAGTTATTTTTGTTTGTTTATTAAATTTAATACATAAGTATGTTGTGTGCTTATCTTTTACGCATGCATCTGTTTTGTATGCAATTCAACTTTCTGCCTTAAGTTTTGACATTGAAAATTCATTGCTAAAATTTGAAATGGGGCCCAACAGACCATAATTTTCTGTTCATATTTTCTGATGCGCAGTTGTTTTTGTTTTTTTTGTTTTTCTTTTTTTTTTTATATATGATTTATATATATATTTATATATTAACTATAGATTTGAGTGAAAAAATATACAGTTATTGTGTGTGTATGTGTGTTTGTTGTGGCCAATTGTTTTTATGTTGGCCATGGTGTTGATTTTGTTGTTCTTCATCTTGTTGTTGTTGCTGTGTTTTTTGTTGTTATTATTATTCCTGATGATTTATGAATGTCAAGAATAATATTACTTTTAGCATATACAATTTGTGGCTATGCTACATAGTACATAAGTGATTCGCTTTAAAAGACGCACCAACAATGTCATCATCATCATCATCGTATCCCTTATTCAGTTTTGTGTGTTTGTTAATTTACAAGATTTGATATACGATATATATGCATATCTCCATATCTATACCTACATCCATATCCACTTCCACATCCATTGTACGCATTCATTTCAATGTTTTCGTTATTTATTGGATTTTAGTTTCTTTTGCAAATTTCATCACGTTGCCAATAGTAAGACGTTGCTGGCAGCATTGTTGTATACTACGCAACGGCGGCGGTTGTATTCGCATTTGTTGGCGGTGGTGTAGCCGTTTGTTGTGCCACTGCTGCTGCCGCCGCCGTCGATGATTGTTGTTGTTGTGCTGTTGCTTGTTGCTGTTGTTGTGTTGAATTCGATGTGGCTGTTGCCGCTGCTGCTGCTGCTGCTGCATTTATGTTGCTCAACGTGTTCGCTGTCAATGCGGAAGACGACGTCGCTGACGAGGGGGAGGCAGTTGACAGTTTAACCACTTGCTGCTGCGACTGCTGCTGTTGCTGTTCGCTCGGCGTTATCAAATTGTTGAGCGTTGTCGTCTGACTGCTGCTGCCAAGGCTACTGCTGTTCGTCTGATTGCTGCTGACTGTACCGCAACTGTTGCTGTTCGTGCTGCTGTTGCTCACATCGTTGAAGGTGGCAGCCGGTGGCAATTGTTGACTGCTATTACTGTTGTCATCGTTGATAACAGCGTTTGTTGTTGTTGTTGTTGTTGCTGCTGCTGCTGCTACTGCCGTTGCTGCTGCTGTTGGTGTGTTGGTAGCAGCAGCAGCAGCAGTTGCAGCTGCATTAGCACTGCACGCTTTAACATCCGATGACAGTGATTGTTCGGGTTCAGTTTTTATGGACGCACTTTGCTGCTGTTTCTCCGCTGTTGTTGTTGTCGTCGCCGAACTGGGCCGTTGCTGCTGCTGTTGTTGCTGCTGCTGGTGTTGCTGCTGTTGTTGTTGTTGCTGCTGTTGTTGTTGTCGCTGCTGCAACAATCTGTATTCGACTGAATGCATTGGTCCAGTGCCACGAGACACTTGATAGAGCACCCGCGATATAATCAACGCCACCTGCTGGTCCAGAATGTGCGACATGACGAGGCCAAGCAGACGCTGCTCCTGTTGCATGAACAGTGAACGATTGTCGGGATGCTTGGCCAGGTGCAGCAAGGTGCCGGCTGCTCGTCGTAACATATCCAGGCTGGTGCCCATCGAGTCGGGATTCTCGCGCAGATAATTGATGCCATGCTGATTGGCAACGCCCAGCGCCGTTTGTTCCGCCTGCTCAATGAATGCCACCAGATACGAGATGCACGGCGATTGTAGGGCCACCGTTCTGGCCATTGCACTGTCTGCCGCTGCCAGATAATGCAGCAAATTGACGGAGAATTCGCGCAACACTTGATCCTCGTTGCGGCACAAGTGACGCGTGAGCACCGCACACAGTTTCTCGAGTCGCGAGAACGGCGGCGTCGCAATCACCAAATCCACATTCGCATCGGTCACGCACAGCTTGCACAGCGCCTCGAGGGCGAGACGCTGTGGGGATAGCGCTGAATTGGGACCGCAAGACGGAAACGGATCCTGGCCGTGCGCACTGGGACAGACCGCCCAGTGGAGCAGGCCATCGATGAGTGGACGGGCAATCAATTCATCGTAGCGTGACAGCTCTAAATGTCCAGCGATATTCGCCATGGCCACCAGCATATTCTCGCGTATGGTTATCAAGTATTCCCACCACCATTCCCGCTCGCCCTGCAACGAACTGCACGAGTCGGTGAAGTCTGTGTCCTCCTCCCTGTCATAGTTGCGCGTCTTGGGCGTACGCCGCAAATGATCGTGATTGAGGAGCAGCAGGCGTCCGAGCACCGCCAGAAATCTTGTCGATTTCGCCAGCACCGTTTCGTTGCCGGGCACAAAGGTCAGATTGCGAAAGATATTCGAGAGGGCGATGCAGCGTCGGGCCAACGAGTCCTGGCTATCGTTCACCAGATACAGTGAGGCCTCGTCGCGCGTATAGCACTCATCCTCATAGCTAGAGTCGCGACGACGCTGCAACACTTGCGCCTCATCGCGTACCGTTGACTTCGGATCGAATCCCTTCGGCTGTGAGGCGACACCGTTTGTGAGTCGCTGCTGCTGCTGTGGCGATTCAATTTCCATGTCGATGGCACGACAATCGCTGTCCACGGTCAGGTTATCACCATCGGCCGCCTCCTTTTTCACCTCCACCGTGGGCTGAGCGAATTCATCGCCATCGGCCAGTTTGGATTTCTTGGTGTCGCCACCACCTCCACCACTACTACTGACGAGTCGTCGCTTCTTGTTGTACGTCTGCTGGAGTAGGCTGCTGTCCTCGGTGCTGCTGCTCGTGGTGTCCTCCTGCTTGAGCAGCACCGTCGATATATCCTCTGTCCGCAGGTGGCTACTATTGTTGTTGTTGTTGGTGGTGGTGGTGTTGCTGTTGTTGGTGGTGGCTTTCTGTGTTATTTCGGGTTTGCCACCCTTGTGCTTGGAGTATGAGGAGGAGGAGCGCACGTATCGCGCAAATGGAATGTTAACAATCTCTGATTTAAACACATCGATGATCCCATCAAGTGGATCCGGTTCCGTAAAGCCATATGTCCAGGCATTGCTGCCAACCGGCTCCAGTTGTTCGTACAATTTATTCGTATCGATATCCCATGCCTTTTGGCGTTCATCCACAAAGATGTCGTGATCGGCGGTCTGGATGCGGACCGGGACACCTTTGCGCGTGACCAGCGTATAATTGGGCGTGAACGAGAGCAGAAGCGAACGCTCCTCGGGATTTGGCTGTACGCGCACCTGGCCCAGATCAATGCCCTCGTCCGCATCATCGGAATCCTCGCGCTGCTGTTTCACATCCATGTTCTCATAGTGTCGCTTCCGATTATAGCTGCAGATGCTGCGCACACAGCGCGTCGTCGTTGTCTGACGCTGCTGCTGTTGCTGCTGCTGCAGCTGTCGCTGATGCAGTTTGTCATCCATCTGCAGGGACATGACGGTGCCGCTGTCCGCATCGTCATCATTGTTATTGGCCGCTTCGTCATTGTTTGTGGCATCCTCGCAACGCTCGTCGAACATTTCGGCGAGATTCTTCTGGAAGTGCTCCAGCAGCAGCGTTAGCAGACCCGGCAAGTTCGATATGCCAAAGAACTGCACGGTGGTGTCATCAAACAGCAGCACATTCAACACATCCAATGCCCAGGTGCATTCCGTGAGCAGACCCGAACGCATCGCCATAAATATTCGCCACGGATCCACGGGGCAGACATCCACTTTGGTCAGGCGTTTGCGTCGATAGAGCATCGGTGTTGTTGACTCCACACTGTCGTGCGGAAAGATCAGCTCCTTCTTCACCAGTTGTGCACCTGCAGCACCTGGTGGCACTTGCACCGGCGCATAATTTGGCTGTTGATTGGGTGGCAGCTGCTGGTGTGGCACCTGCTGCTGATTGGGCAGCTGCTGGTGTGGCGGCTGCTGCTGATTAGGCAGCTGCTGGTGTGGCGGCTGCTGCAGCATTCCTTGCTGCTGTCCAACGATGGGCGGTTGCTTTTGCGGTATCATGGCGCCGGGCGGATTGCCCACCACCATTGGCCCCACCACACCGGGCGAGGTGCCGCCCGCCTGTGATGGCGGTGGCATCGCATATGGTGGCTTCACCATGCCACCGGCAACGGGCGGCATACCTGCTGGCGGTACACCTCCGTGTGGCACTTGTGGCACTGCACCCGGCGGACCACCGGGCTGCTGCTGTGGCGGCATCACTGGCACTCCGCTAGGCATACGCTGTTGTTGTTGCTGCTGCTGCTGTTGTTGTGCGGCGCCCATTGGCGGACGCAGTGATGCACCCGGTTGCGGTATATTCGCTCCTGGTGGTGGCCCCTGAACCGCATTGATTTGCGCCCACTGTGGTGGTGCCGGCTGCTGTTGCTGCTGTTGTTGTTGTTGCTGCTGCTGTTGTTGTTGCTGCTGCTGCTGCTGCTGTTGCTGCTGCTGTGGGGGCTGCCCAGGCGGCTGTCCAGCCTGCTGGTAGGGCGGCTGTTGTTGCTGCGGCGGTGGTGGCGGCTGTTGTGGTGGATAACGATGCTGTTCCCACTGTGCCACGCCTGGCTGCTGCTGGCCGTGCGGACCATGCGGTCCCCCAGGTGGTGCAGCGCCCCGTGGTGGTGCATTGCCCCACGATTGGGGCGCTGACGCTGTGGGATATTGAGGACGATACTGCTGGTTGCCGCCTTGCCAACCACCTAATAAAAAACACAAAATGTTTATCAATATTTAAATACACTTGGACAAAGTATTATGCAAAGCTTACCATAAATTTGAGGCCGCGCAGCATATCCGGGATAAGACTGTGGATCCTTTATAAAGTCAGGATGTCGTCGCGGCTGAGGACTCTGCAAATGTAGAAATTTTAGCTTTCCATTGTGCATTGTGCAGAAATTGTTCAACTTACTTGATCTGGCGCCCTGTAGTAATCCTGCTGGTTGGGAGTGGTTGGTACATAACCACTATTTGGTGGTGCTACTGGCGCTCCACTAGTTGGTGGTCCGCCCGCAACGGCTTGTGCTGGTGGCTGTGGCCCGCCGGGCGGTGCTTGACTATAGGGTCGATTACCATACGGACCATACTGATTAGCACCAGCGGGAGGACTATTTAAATTATTAAACAAACCAAAAATCATTGATTAACAACACGATGAAACAGTAAATTTCGGTTTGCCGAAAAGGAAATATCCTTGCAAAGAAAATCTTTTTTTAATAGGAATATAATCAAGCTTTCAATATGCAGGCAGAAAATAGCTTTAATATAGGAATAATCGTTCTTTAAAATATTATATTCTTAGCCGATAGCAACTATGACAACTAAAAGATAAACTAGTCCGATCTTGAATGACTTTATCCTCATTTTCTAAAGAATAAAGTTAATTATGGGTTAGCTTTTTCAATAAACAGTAAAAAATTGTAGTTGAGAGCTGAATTTTCTGCCGAATAATATTCTGATGGCAAACTGAGTAATCTAGTGATGCAATCGGATATATGCAAGTCTTTATATATATATACTTAGGATATAACTACTTAAATTCTTGACATCAAAAAAAATATAATGCCCTCAGCAAAGGTATTTAGAAATCGATTAATAATCGTTTAGCATATGTACAAAATGCAGCTTTGCAAATAAAATTTGTCTCAGTACGGTTGTAATTCAGTGTTGCCAATTTGTGTGTGGAATGAATTTGAGTGTGAATATTGTGAGTGTGTGAATGTGTTATATGAATTGTGCACTCACGCTTCCCCTTCGGGCCCATAGGGAGGGTACATATTGCGATTCTGCGGCGGATATTGTCCCTGATTTGGTCCGAATGGCTGGCCGGGCGGGCCAGCGGCATTATACTGATCGCCAGAACCATATTGGCCATAAGCACCGGGTTGTGTTGGATAGGGTGAGCCTGCAAAATGTATTAAAAATATTCTTAGTTTTGTGTGACTCATTGCAAAACTGACACTTAAGTTAAGCAGCAACACTATAACAAGTGACAGTGGGCGGTATAGAAATGCATAAAATAAAATACAAGTTAATCGAAGATAAATTGTAATTCGATCTAAAACACAATCGATTCAAAAATGTTAAAATGCATTAAATAAGAAATAAGCCTGTTGTTAACTTAATAAATAAAAAATAAGAAAAATATCACACAGCAAAACACTACTTCATAAATTGAGTAGAGTGCTCGACTAGAAGATATCCTGTAGAATACTTTAAGGCCGAATCCAAAAAACAAAATTTAACTTTTTCACAACATTAAAGAGAATCAAATTGGAATCAAATTTGTACTTATTATTAATATTAAATACAGCAAATTGCAGTTATAAGCTGAAGAATCTAGCTTCAGCGAATTTTTTTTTTGTATTTTAGTTAATTTTGTGATATCGCTTCTTTTTTTTTTACATAAATTGAATTCATGAAATATAAAAGAAATACATTTTTTATTTGGCAGAGTTTGTTTCGTAAACTAAATTTTGTTCTTAAAAAAAAAATAATATAATCGAATACATATAAATGTAATCTAATTTTATCATAGATCGGCAAGATCCAAACCTACATTAAACACAAGTGAAAAACCAATTATTAATTTAGCAATTAGGCACAATTTTGGTGCTACAGTGATACATATATAATGCTTATAGATCTAGATGATCAAATGGAATACAAATGTGTGATAAGGTGACGCTAAAGATATAATTATAATTGTGTACACAGGCAATTAAATACACTACGCGTCCCACATGCAGACCAATTTTGCAATTACTTAAATGAAGAGAAAGACAGCGTTCGTTTTGGTTTTTTTTTGTTTTGGTTTTGGTTTTGGTTTTGAACAATCAAATTGAAAAAAGGGCTCATTAAATAATTTTGACAACGAAATACACACGAAAGAAAACGAAAACGAAGAGAGAAAAAAAAGAGGAGAGAAAAACAGAAAACAAGATGAATATACCTGGCGTTCTAGACACAGGCGTTGGATACCCAGAGCTACCTGGTGGATAAGGTACTCCAGTTGGTGGTGGGCGCGCATGCTGCGACGATGGCGGACCATGTTGCTGCTGTGGTGGTGGCGCCGGTGGTTGCTGTGACGGCGATGGCAATTGCGTTGGAATGCCGACTTGTTGGTGGTGTTGATTGGCCGTTTGTGGCGCGTTTGTGTGCGGTGAATGTGGGGGCGGTGGTGGAGCACCGTGTGACGACGCAGCACCACCAACTCCAGTTACAGCTGCAGCAGCCGCCGCAGCAGCAGCAGCAGCAGCAGCATTTGCAACAGCAGCAACACCACCACCACCAGCGGCCACACCGCCAGCAATTGGATCTTCAAAGGGATTGCTCACATTTATGTTATCACCGGCAACAACAGCAGCAGCGCCAGCGGCTTGATTTTGTGTGCCTAATTTAATTCGGCAAGCGGCATTGATGATGATACATTATGGATTGATGAAGAAATGAATGAATAATGGCACAGTATAAACATAATAAAAGTTCAATTGTGTTGTTTGTTTTGTTGACATGAAAGTTAAGTTTGTGTTTTGTTTTTTTTTTTTTCGAAGTTGTTTAATTATAATGGTGGTGCGTTGTGGTGGTGTTGGTTGTTGGTTGTGGTTGATTGTGGTTTCAGGTGATTGTGATTTTTAATAGTAGTAGTAGTAGTAGTAGTAGTGCGCCCATATTTACGTAACCAACATAAAAATGAATAAACAAATTACACACACATATGAGAAATTAATAGTGAAATTAAATTTGAAGGCAAACAAAAAATATAAATATTTATATATATTTATAAGTATGCATTAACTATTTGCAATACATGTAGTAAAAAACATTGAAAATAACACAAATTGAATGGGGGACAAATTACAATTTAATATTACAACAAATAATCATCAATGATATACACATGTACGTCGCATGTATATATATATCTTTAGTTATGTATATATCGCTATATGTAGTGTATGGTGGTCTGCTTACCTGGATGTGGTGCCTGCGGATTGTTTTGCGATGGCGGCCTTGGCATTTGGCCCGCTGCAGCATAATCTGGCTGTGGACCAGCCGTTGGTGGATATGCACCACCGCCCGTATAACCCGTATATCCATCGATATTTGTGTTTGGTGCACCGCTACCCGGTGGCGCTGGGAAAGAATCCTGCGAGTTCGATGATCCTGTCGAATTTGTTGTGCCAGCATCCAAATGCCCACCACCGATTGGTTGCAATTCATTTGTGATATTGTCGAAGAAAAAGTTGTGCAAATAAAATAAAAACATTTTAAATGATGGTCACGATAAGATTAAGAAGAGTGTGGACTAAAAACTCTCCCGAAAGCACGATAAGACATTTAAGGCCTGATCCACCGCCTGATAAACACTTACCTGGTGATGGCACCGAGGCTGCCTTCGTTGTCTTTTTCTTGCTGCCCGCCTCCACCTGCTGAATGATGGGCAAGGGATCGATGTCGCCACGATCAAAGTGGCACTCGAATGCCAGCAGATTCTTGGTATAGTGTTTGCGTAGGGTGTACGCAGCGCTGCTGCTGGCGCCGATCCCCAGCAGACCGGCAATATCCTTCCAGGTCTTGCTCTTGGTCACCTGGTGACACAACAATGAAAATATATATGCGTGTATATTTTTTTGGAAAATACTACTAAATTCGACTATTAAGGAGTGCGATTTAATTGGGGAAAGTAGTAGTAGAAGAAAATATGGAAAATATGGCGAGCAAATGAAAGCGTTACGCATTCAACGATATATAGTATTTTTTGTTGTTAGTAATGAGGAAAATGGAAAGTGGAAATCAAACGTGATAAAACAGGAAATTACACCACATCAAAAAGAATTAAAAAAATTGAAAACACTTGAGCTTGAATAACAAATGTTGACACATTTAGTTTATAGTAAAATATTTAAAGTGTCTTTGAAAAAGAAAAACCAAAACAATAAAATGATTAACCAAGTTTAAACCGCACATGCTGTCAAAATTTGCATGCAAATGTGTTTCAAAAGATCTATTGAGTTTCTGTTTCAATGAACGATTTAAGAAAAACTTTCAAAACACTTTCAAGGCTTTAACGAAACGCTGATTGTGGTGGAAAATATCATGCTATGGAAAAATTTCACACAAATATAGGTTGAATTGTGTTTTTTTTTTTTTGGCACATTGAAAAAAGAATTTAAAAAATGGCATTTTTCAGTGTTAGCTATAGTTTTTTTTTTTTACTTTGGTTTGGTGGTGTTTTTTTTTTTTTGGTGGTTTGATTGATTGGTTGGTTGTACATTAATTTTGGTTTGTTTGATTTGGTTTTGCTAGTAAATCTAAAAAGAAGTTAGTAAAAGGAGTTACTACGGCACCTTGCATACCTCGACGAATCCGCCACGTTCTTTTACATAAATATATAACCTATATAAATCGAGTGGCTGTTTTGAGATGGTCGGACACGCGGTAATCGGTGTCCGACGCTCCTCCATAAAAGCGCGCAGCTTGTCCAACCAGCCACGCCTATCCGGATTGTCATCCATCTCGTACAGTTTGCACAGCGAATCGGATTTCTTAGTTGTCGTAATCGTGCTACGAAACGGTTCTTGTTGAACAGGAACATGACTGTTGAACACCTGCTATACAAATAGAAAACAAGAAATAAACAATTTATTATGGATTATGATTAATTTACATATATAGATTTATGTGTATGCAACACACACTCACCGAACTTGCAGCTGGGCGTGGCCAGTTTGGGGGAGAATTCATTTCGTACTCCTCGCCAGTTGGACCACCGCCGCCTCCATGCATTACAACTGGATGTGGCGATGTGCTCGGTGGAGCTAAATGGCTTTGGCTATACGGATCATGTTTGCGCGACTTTGGTGTAGTACATTGTGGATCTTCGCCCGATGCTGCAAACAGAACAGAGTCTCAGTTAAGCACACGCCGCAATGTCTATATTGTTAATTATACCCACCAGCCGATGCATTTGAGAGCGTGCTCTGTTGACTAACGTCATCCATTGGGGTGCCATCCGGTCCAGTTGTGACCACAGCGGTTACCGCATGCAATCCCGTCGCTGGCGACGAGCCCGACGAACTGATGCCATTGTCCTGGGATATATGCTCCGTGCCGCTGTCACTGCCAGGCGGAACGCCCAGCATTGACTGTGGCGGTGTGCTGGTCGGTGGCCCCATACTTTGTGGCGGACCCATATGGTGGGGCGGACCCATTGGCATTGAGGGATGCATGCCAGTTGGCCCATTGCCATAGCCCTGGGGCTGCGGACCACCAGCTGGACTGGCGCCGTATCCACCTTTGTGTTGTAAATGCTGTTTCAGATAGTTGAGTGGGCGTGGCGAACCACTGCCTTGGGGTGGCGGTGGCCCCACCGGCGGTGGTGTACCCTTGCCCTGCACATGGTTGCCCATCGCTGGTCCAATTTGTCCCGCGGCACCGCCACCCGGCACCGATTGTTGGGGGGATGGCGGCACCCACTGATATGGCGGATACTGCGGATGTGGACTGCCACCGCTGTGATTGGGCATGGATCGTGGGTAGCCAGTTTGTGCGTTGGATGGCATGCTGTTCGCACCACCAGCCGGTTGACTGCCCGGCGGCGGTGGTGGCCCCGCTCCATACGCACCCGACGGATACTGAGGCCGTGGCGGATAGTTGCCTAAAATAATCAGAAAAACAAAGTAATTAATTATTGAAATACAAACAAATCGAATTGTGATAATACCTTGAGGATATTGCTGTGGTGGATATCCTTGTGCACCGGGATTTTGACCGGGTATGCCCATTTTGTAGCTGGCATGCATAAGTTGCGGCATGGGATAGCCACCTGTTGCCCCCTGTGGGGGCGGTGGTGGCGTTGCCATATTGTTAACATTTTGATTTGGCGGCGGTGCTGGCGGTGGCGTCTGCTGCGGCGAATTACTCGCCGAAGATGCTGAATTTGATGCCTGTTGCTGCTGCTGAGATTGTTGCTGAGATGGTGGCCCACCTGGTAGACCGTGTGGTGGCATCGGTGGCGGGCCACCAACCACTGTTGGCTGCTGCATTGGACCGCCACTACTTGACTGATTACTCGCCGGTCGCGAGATTGGATGATTTTGTGCTGAATCGAAGAAATAGAAGAAAAAGAGAGGAAAAACCCGCTTATTAATCACTGTCTGTATGCAAGTATCCTTTATCGAGATACATACCCACTGCAGGAGACATTGATCTGGAGCCCGAGGAGCCAGTCGGCGAGGGTGTTGGCCTCATCACTTGCTGTGGATTTGGGGTGCCAGGCGGACCAGAGCCCATGCCACTGTGTGCTCCGCCACTTGAGCTATCGTTACTATTTTGTCCAATCAGCTCCTGCAAAGAATATTTACATGTTAATCAAGTTTGAGTACACCACTTCAATTGCAAAAATAGTACATAAATAACAGTTCATTAGTTAATTTAAAAAAAAAAAAAAAAAAAGAAGGTAATTTAGAAAATATTCGAAAAAATATAATAATCGTAATTATTTGGTGGCACCAAATTTGTTAAGCTAACGTCAGCAAAGGAACCATTTTGGCTATGGCTCTAACATTATACAATAATATTAGATTTCTCTTACTAGTTTTAACTACACGCATATTGCAGCATTTAGTGTTAAAGAGCACGCACTTTAAAAGTTGCGCAATTCTAACCAGCTTACCACACACACACACACACAGATATATATGCAGAGGAGAGGAGAGAGGAATGGAGTAGAGTGGAGAGTGCTACAATAAAATCTCGTATTAGAATATCAACAAAACTGAGTTTCCATGCTGAAATTCTAAACGGTCGATTGTAACCTTAGTTTTTTGCCGCCTGCTTATAAGAAAACCAAGCAAAAAAAGAAACAACTCAGCCCAACAAGAGAGCACACACACACACAAATAAGAAACACACCGAGATAGCGAGTAAATACACAACACACATACACACGTATATTTATATATATATATATGAATATATATAAAGCTAAATACAGAGACTTAAGCCGACAGCAATTCGAGTCGCAGCACAGTAAAACGAACGGCGCGGGATCAACATTGTCGATATAAATGACGATGAGAGAGGCAGGGTGCGGAAGAAGAGAGAGAGAGAGCTGAAAGATAGTGAGAGAGAGAGAGAGAGATAGATGAAGAGAGAGAGAGGTAGTAGAGGTGGCCGCGACGGCAAAACGACGCTGTTCGTTTTGGTATCTGAGAAATTAAGTGAAGTGAAATGAAATGTACGACGAACTGACGGGGAAACACAGCCAGCAACGACAGCGACGGCAAAGTCAAAGCGCACAACAACAACAACAACAGCAACAACACATCAAACAGGCAAGGCAAGGCAAGGCAAGGCATGCCAGGCCAGGCCAGAGCAAAAGCAAAAGCTATGTGGAACGAACGAATAACGACAAAGTCGTCGACGCGAACTGCAGCAGCAGCAACTTGAAGCGTTTCAGAGGGGTCCCGGATTGGAGATGTGGCAGTGGTAGTTATGGCGCGCTTTGAGTGAGCCAACGTACGATGACAAAGACGTAGATAAGAAACAGCAACGTGAACGAGCACTCACACAGACACACACGCGCGCACACATTTACACGTCGAAATATAATAAAAAAAAAAAAAGAAGAAAAATGAAATAAAAACAACAACAGCAGTGCCAGTCATTCGTTTCTTTGCTCGTCGTCGTTTCTCTGCTCATTCGCTTTCGTGCCAGAGCGCGTCGAGTGTTGTTTAGTTTATGGGTAAGTGTGCGCTCGCGGGGAGTGGTGGGGGCAAAGGGGAGCGCCGGCATGGAGTATACTTGAGTATCATCGGCGACGGCAACGGCTGCGGCGCGTTGATGACGAGAATAGCAAAGCCACCACAGGCGGCGGCGGCAGCAGCAGGCAGCAAGGCAAAGCTAAAAAAGCCAGCTATGTTTTTTTATGTGTATGTATGTGTGCGTGAGTTTGAGTGTGTGTAATGTGTTTGAACGATGGGGCGACGCTCCTCAAGCTAAAGGCGGCCCACGTTTTTAGTAGTGAGTAAGTATATATGTGTATGTGTGTTGAATGTAAGCTTGCCGGTCGCTCGGTGTGTAGAAAAATTGCTTGGGAAGAAAAACAGGCGCTGCGGGAATGGCACAATGAAATCATTTATAACAAGCATGCGTTCGTCTACGTACATGTATGTATGTATTTATATATATATATGTAGTATTCACTATTGTAGAACCTAAATCGCAACAATAATGAAATTTGTGTACAAACAATTGCAAAATTCAGAAACATGCAAATCTTTGAATAAAAAGGATAATTTTTTAGGGTCATCGTTTTAAAATAAAAAGGATTTCAAAACTTGACAGCACTTAAGATCCAAGAAAATGCATATCTAAATGAGCCAGTGTTGCACACTGCAAAATACAGTGAATGTAACATTAAAAGCTTACACTGTAAAGTGGAAATGGATTCATATTAGCCTCAATATCAAAGCCAACAAAGTTGCCACCTAATGTACAACATGCATATGTAATTTAAACACATACACACACACACACATACACACATTAATATTTTAATAAGTGTTGTATGGGACAAGATGTTATACATATGAAAGCAATGTGTTTTTGTTTCATAAACCGCACACTATGTATAGATAGAGATTGGCTTAAAGCTAGCTGACTGACACACACACATACATACATACATGTATATACACATAATGCACCATTTGCATCAGATACAGATGCAGATACCGACTACATGCAATGTGTGTGAATACAAATACTGCTACAACAAACGGAGGCAAGCAAAAATTGCTCGACACAGCTGAGCTGAGCTGAGCTGAGCTGTTTGAAATCAGCGCCAAACCGTTGGAAAAAAAAACCCCACCGCAACTGGTGAACGAACGAGCGAGCGAACATTCATTAGTTATTTCTGGGTGTGTGCGCGCTTTTTGTATCTGTTTTTCAAATACACTCGCACATGTATGAGTTTGTAATAGTGTGTGTGTGTGTGTGTTTGTGCTTGTGCACATTTGGAAATTTATGAGTAAAACGAGTGTGTCTGTGTGCATAATGGCATTAAGGACCGCGCCAGCCGAAGATTAAAAATACTTCTCTCATTTTGGAAACTGTAATTTTGTGCATTTGTGTTAATTAAAGATACCGACTTTAGAGAACGTAGCTGATTGCAGTCCGAGATAAAAAAAAAACACCATACAGTTGGCTTTTGGCTTAAAGATGTAAACTTGACAGCATCGAACACTGCAAATGATAATAATATTTATACATTACAGCTGAACAAAATATAATATTCAAATATACTATATGACAAAGGAAAGCGCAACCAACTTAACTTATTACCAAAGCAAATAAGTCTGGCAAGGCCACAAGGAAGTAACTGAAATCAAAAGGGAATAACGAATATTCTTTGTAAAAGAGAATTAAAGCTCAACCAACTTAACTTCGAACTCAAGCAAATATATGAGCAGTCTGGCAGGGCTACAATTAGAGAAAACACAAGTTCGATCATTGAAATTCAACTCTGTCAATCTGTGGAGTTGTATTTTTTATACACAACAATATTAAACAGTTATTGTATAAATACCGCACACGCACACATTGCAGCAATCAGTGAATGATTTCTTTAAAGAGCCTAAGAAGTGTCGCAGCAAGTGAATCAAGTTCCCGTTTTGTGTTGTTAGCAAGGCACGGCATATAAAAGTGAATAGCCGGCAAGCAACAACAACAACAATAACAACAAGAAGAACAAGAACAACAACAGTGACCTTGGCATTGACCCAAATACATGCATATATGTGAAAACAGATGCTCTTTGTGAGATCTTGAGAGTGTACCCCGTGTTTTATCTATGTATTTGTGCACACACCAACAACAACAACAAAAACATAAAGGGAATGAGTAAAAAAAAAAATGGTATGAGGAATTTCGACGGCAGCGTCAGCGGCAACAGCGACCATCATCACGGACATTCTGAATGAATAAATGGGGCTTTACGCATACACACTCACTACCCAAATATGTACACACATATATACACATCTGTATGCATGTAGTGAAATGGAGTGAGGCAAACACAACATAAAAGTGGTTGTGCTCTGATAGCGCATATCAGTCAAGCGCCACAACTCAGCTCAGCTCAATGTGTGCTTTGGCTTGCTTGGAGGCAATCAGCTGCGACTTGACTTTCTGGGATCAAAGCCCAACAATTAAATATATGTTTACCTGGTGCGGCGATGGTGATGCCTGAGAGGGCTGCGGCGATGGACTCGGTGCATGACCCGGACTGCTGCTGGGTGGCGGACCACCACCAGCGGCATGCGGCGTTGGCGGTTGCTGTAGCGGTGCATGGTGCGGTGAGGCAGGCGGCAATGGATGGCCGGGACCAGGACTTGGCGATGAGCCGCCTGGCCACGGTCGATTTGGTTCGGGATACTGCAAATAAAAGTTAAGATCACGTTAATAATACTCAGAGTTAATATGATTTACAAGTAATATTAAACATAAATAAATCAATAAAACAAACAAATATTAAGTTGTTTTTGTTTTTCTTCCAATTCTCTATATGTGTTTCAAACCCGATTAAGAATAAACACGTTAAAAACGGTTTTTAATATTGTTGAAATTACGTCGATAGCATTAGTAATTATTTCCAAAAAAGATAAATTAATTTAATTTAATTGTAATTTTATTTTTTCTTTAAAAATCTGGCAATTGCCATTGGACTAGTTAAATTTCAACTGTAAACATTTGTGCTCATTTTATAGGGTATATCGATGGCCATCAATTGCTGAATTGATGAGTGATTTAAATTGTTTTCTCACCTGGTGCGTTGTGTAGGCAGTTCGATGATTGGGCCCGGTCGCCGGTAGACCTGGTGGTGTTGGGTATCTTTGCGGGTACGGCGAATATTGAGAAGTGGGCGGTGTGTTTTGCTGCTGCTGCTGTTGTTGTTGCTGTGTTGGGCCGGGTGGTGGCGCCGGCGCTCCGGGTGCGCCAACTCCACCGGACTGTTGTCCCGCCTGCTGTTGTTGTTGGGCTTGCTGCTGTTGTTGTTGTTGTTGGGGCGAACTTGGATAGGAACCTGAGTTTTGACTGTGAGCTGGCGGATATGGTGATTGACCTCTGGATGTATTTGACTGTGTAAATAAAATTAAAATTAAACATTTCGCTTTGATTATTTCCATGTATCAATTAAATGTTTATATAAATATTCGTACATTTACTCTTTTATTTAATCAGTCAATAAAAGCCTGTCTGTCCGTCTTTCTGCCTCCCCCATATAAGTCTAATTTCACATTCAATTCAATTTTCGTTACGTTTTATCATTTTAATCGATTTTCCACAATCGATTCATACACACACACACACACACAACTTAGTGCTCTGTGTATTTGTACAGCAGATTTTGGCGCTCCTGGGGGGAAATTGTCGATTGACAGTTACAAATGTGCATATCAAGCATGTAACGATGTTTTAGCTCTGAGTGTGTGTGTGTAACTAAAGTTGTGCACAAACACAGTTGATGATACATATATATGTATATACATACACACACACACACACACGTGCATTTGTATGTGTATGTACAACATTTCTTCGCTTTTGGTGTCTCAGCTTAATCAATAATATGATTACAATATAATTAAGGCATGTACGAGCTATAATTGTTTAGAAATGAGTGTGTTAATTAATACTGCATTACGACGAAGTTTTCAAATTGTTGAATGAATAATTTATTGTGCGAATAAAATATTGAATTTACCCATAACAAACTAGTCTAACAAAATCATCAAATGTGGAAAACATTTTCATATTTTGTTTGGGGGAGAACTGGTTGGCTTATATAACTTGACTTGCATGTAGACTACTCAAATGAATGATATATATTCCCATCACATAGTTTATTAATCGAACAGACTATGCATGTGTCCTACAAAAGAAATAGAAATAAAAATGGATACCCTAGACAAGACAGAAAAACACAAAAGCTTCACATTCAAAGTGAAGTTCGTTACAACTACAAAGAAAAATGGAAATGCGTGTAATAAAATACATGAATAAGGCGCAAGCAAGACAAGTGAAGAGGCGAAGAGAATATATACAAATACATGCATACATACATAGCATGTACCCATAATCATAGTCATGCATGTATGTATACACATACATACAAACACCCGCACTCACGCCCCAAACCCTTCGTCAATGCCCATAACAAATGGCAAAGCAAAAGCAGCAGCAGCAGCAGCAGTAACAACAACAACTGCAAAGTCGTCGTCGTTGTAGCATTGTTGCAAATGCCAGACCGATGTAAAACATGGCAATAAATCTAATGGAAGAGATGCCAGCAACGGACGCACAAGCGTGTGTCTGTGTATGTGTATGCGATTGTGTTTGTGTGCGCTAAAGCCGGCAGGACAAGCAGCAAGCAAGCAGGCCGCCAGCCAGGCAGGCAGGCAGACAGGCAAGGCAAGGCAGGCAGCGGCAAACATCGCCTGGTCCACTACAGGGTGACAGGAAACATGAATGGATGGTTTTACTGCATACCGACGAGGGACTTTTATGTGCGCTTGAGTATTGTTCGTGTTTGTGTGTCCGTGTCTCGCAAACGAAAGAGAACTAAAGCAAAAAAAGGGAAAACTCATCATGGATGAAAATCAAAAGCAAAAATGACTGCGTGCGTGTGTCTGTGTTGTGTATTCCAACCAAGCAGGCAGGCAACCACACCAAAAGCAGGGCTGAAGTGGAACTCACAGAAAGAAGAGAGGAAGGGTCGGCAAAGCTGTGCTGCGAACGAACAAACGAACGAATGAACCGAACAAGCGAGCGAGCGAGCAAGCAAATGACAGCGCAACGGAGAAAATAACGTTTGTGTGCATGACAGATAGACAGCCACAGGAAAGGAGAGGAGAGAAGAGGCGAGTGGAAGAATTGCATTTTGTGTGTGTGTGTGTGCGCTGTTTTAACGGTGGTAGGTTAAAAGCCGGCTACGGACTCAAAATATAAAACCAGCAAAGCAACAAAGCAGACCCAATTGAATCGCAACAAAAAAGAAAAAAAGAAAAGGGAAACATGTGGAAAATTGTCCAGCTGCGAGAATTAAGTCGATCAAAAGATATTATTTGTGGCATACAATAAATGCAATAAATATTGGCATTTCATTCGTAATAGGGTTTAATATATATATATATATATATAATTATTAACTTTAAACTAGAGTCGATAAAACTAAAGATTCTTTTTATCTTTTTAATGATATCAAATGTGATTACTCTTCGCTCATCGATCTACTGAATATGAATACTCTTTTAGTCCTCAATCTTACCTTTACAGGGTATAAAGAGCTGCCGCTTTCCTGTATCTTATTTTATTATATACAAGTATATTATACATAAGCACAGAGCCAGACGTGTTTTTATGCAGGATATCTCTGTACGCAACAACAACTACAACAGTAAAAAGGGAATGTTTAATACAGACAACATATATATACATATATGTGCATTTATATGCATACATATACAAATATGATTGCCAGTAACAATTTTAGGGGATTATTTGCATAAATGGTGATATATTTGAGAATGGCAAACAAATATTGAAAATATTAACGACAATGATTTGCAAATTGAAGACACTTGATTTGACATTAAGTTGTGTTACAATATATATACATATTTACATATATTGTATATATAAATATATACACGTGCCACAATACAAACAACCCCGATGCAACAGCAGCAACACATAAGAAGGAGGAAAACAAAGCCAAAGGCAGCGTTCTTTTTTATGTGCGCCACTTTTTGAAGGTCGAACCTAAAAGAACTTTAAGCGACCCAACAACAAAAACAACAACAACAAACAATAAAAATACAAAACACAGAGAGACAGCAACAACAAAAACAACGATAACAAGTCGCAGTATGAGCCCGAAATGTCTATGGAATGGGAAGACCGGCGAATACCAAAACAAATGCCCATAAACATAATCGTTCAAAGGTCAGGGAAGGTTCACAAAACCTGAAGCCGTTAAGTGAAATTGAACGTTGATTATATATACAGCAACACCTGTTGACAGACAGACGAGACAGCTGAGAATTCGATTATACAAATCTAAAATGCAATCGCTTGGAACATTTTAAAATTAGTTTGGTTTATAGAAATACATAACTTTCGAATATTGCATTTTATAATCACAATTCACACAGTTGTGTCGAGAAAAATATTACTAAACAAAGTACACAATTAATTATATTTGTTTTGTAATCGCACGAACAATTTAATAGACAAACAAGTCTCTGGCACTTGGAATAAGTCTATTCGTACTAGTTTACATTTAGTTAAGACAGAATAACACATCCATAAGTACAAGTTTTTTGTGTACGATATGATAACTAGTTGTTTCGAAATCTTCAACGTTTGGATATTACAAAACCCCCATCGACAAATAAAATCTATAATGTTTATTAAGGTGCTGATAAGATTTGCGCAAATTTGATTTGTCTTTTTCTTTTCTTGCTTTTTGTTTGATTTGTTTTGTTTATAGGTGTTTTCTCTAAGCACAGTCATAATTTGGCTTTCAAAGTTCATTGCCTTTTGTTGAATCGACTTGTGTTAGTCATCTCATTCAGACACCTACATTTGAAACTGAACTCGATTATATATTATATTTAATTAATTAAAATCATGAAAATCGATTCGATGAGTGCCGAAGATTGAATGCCCTTATACAAATATTGATTATATTGCTGTTTTACATGTAAAGCAATAAATTGTAAGTATTTTTTGGTTGGTTTAATAATCAACCACTTTTTGTACTATGAACAAGTTTTAATCAATATTTTTTGAGCAAGCTTCATTCCCATTTTTTTTAATGAAAGAGAAGGGTATTTTTAATTAAATTTTAAATTCCAAAACTACCCATTTTTTTCTTGATTATTGTTTAATAATCAACGACTTTGTGTATTTTACACAAGTTGCAATCGATAATTTTTCACAAGCAAAATTTTACTTTTCGAAAAGAATGGGCAATTAGAATTTTGTTTAATAATTTAGAATTTGTTATTTTTAATTCCTAAGCAACTATGCGCAACAATGTAATTAAGATAAGCATTTGATAATAATTATAGCAAAGGCGCAGCTCACGTAAACAACAATAAAAGAATACGCATAAGCAAAATATAGAAATAAGAAATGAGCACATAACAAAACAAAAACACACACACACACACATACATGCATTGAGACGCAAACAAATATCATATGTATGTATTTATGCATGTACGTGTGTGTGTAGTATAAATGCCGCGTCTCTTCTGCTTCTGCCTGCTTTTGTCAGGTGGTGGTGGTCTCGTGGTGGTGGTGGTGGTAGTACTCTTGATAGTGATGGTATAATAATGCTGGTGTTGGTGGTGATGGTGCCGGCAACTTCTTCTTCTTCTCCTTCTCTTTTGCCAACATCAGAGTGCCGCCTTTTCATGTTTTGTTATTGTTGTTGTTTTCCGGCAACGAGTGCAGGTTCTTTTTGGGCAAAAATGTGGGCAGACTTTGGGTCGCAAGCGAAATCTGTGTTTTATATGTGTCAGTATGTCTGCGGCATGCGGCATGTTGTGGAACCTACACAAGACGCGCCAATTGGGCAACCTTTAAAACACAACACAGTGCAAAATAACGCAAACGTATAAAGAACGGAAAAGTGCAAGTGCTACAAAGGGCAAATAATGGTCGAGAGTAACTATTTCGTTATTCAGCTTATTGTCGATTGTCTCATTCTTGCAACATTTTCAAGGTATCAGAAAGGCGAATTAACTGTTCATTTACTAAAAGCCAACATTATCACTGATATGATTTTAAGTTGTGTTTGCCCCTCTAATTCTCCAATTGCATTCATTTTAAACATCATTATTAACTGAATTGAAATGATTTCAATGGATATACAGTTTTCTGTGTTGAGTTAAACCTGGTTCTTAAAGATTGGAATTTCAATTTTAAGGTACTGAAAAATCCGTTTAAAAATCTGGATAATAGATAATCTCTCTCTATAAAAAAGATAAGCCATATAATAGGTTGATTTAACTGTTCGACTGGGGATAAGTATGCGGCATTTAAATTAAGGATCAAGTACATTGGACTTTGACATAAGACGATGATAATTATGGTTAGTATTATTGGGATTGGGATTCATGCACTGCGATCTACCACATCTATTGTGCAGCTTGCTGAGCTTCCATCAACCCCAGCTCCTCCACGAATGCAAGAATCTTTGTCGGATATTCCCAGTATACTACATATTTCCTAGCTAAAGCGACACAATCTGCCAGGATGTATTTTGACGACTCTTCCTCGTTTTTACAAAACCGGCACAGTTCGATACTAAAAATACCCAGTTTAAATAGGTGACTTCTTGGTCTACAATGTCCTGCAAAAAGACCGGTGAGTATCCTAAGCCTATTCTTTTATTACCTGCCTTAATCGCTCATGATTATAGCCGTCCAAAATGCATTTGACTCTAGTGCAATGCATATACATTATGTACTTCGATGTCAGATTAACACAATTAGATTATATCTGCTTCAAACTAATCGAAAGTTGAGCTCAACTTACCGGTGGCGGTGTCCTGTACGTGGAGCCCAGCTGTGGACTGTAGGGCCTTGGTGGTGGTGCCCAGCCCCCCTGTTGCGCACCGTATGGCTGATGTTGTGGCGGCGGCGGCGGTGGACCATGGCCGGGAATTGGTGGTCCACCTGGTGGTCCACCCGGTTGCTGCTGCTGTTGTGCATTTTGTTGATGCTGCTGCTGTTGTTGTTGCTGCTGTTGTTGGGCTGCTGCTGCCGCTGCTGCAGCTGCATTTGCCGCCTGCTGTTGCGAGTCGTAGTTGTTGGCATAGCGATGTTGCGGCGGAGGCGGCGGATTCGACGATTGCAGCAGTGAATTCAATGTGGGCGTTGGACCCTGAGGCGGCTGTCCCGGTATATAGCGTTGCTGCTGTTGCTGTGGCGGCGGTCGATTTGGTGACCCGCCCGGTGCACCACCTTGTGGCTGTTGTTGTTGCTGCTGCTGGTGCGGCGGTTTGCCTCCAGGCGGTGGCTGATAGCGATAGGGATCCATATTGGGATCGGCGGAGTGATAGCGCCCATAGGCGGGATGTGCATGCGGTGGTGGCGGTGGCAAATGTCCCGAGGATCCATATTCATCCTTGACACCGGCCGCATGCTCTGGCGGCAGCGGCAGTGGTCCTTGTGGCGGCGGTGGCGGTGGTCCACCATGATGCTGCATGTGTGGTGGCATTGGTGGACCTTGTGGATGCTGCTGCTGCTGTTGTTGCTGTTGATGTAGATGGTGATAGTGGGACATGGCTGCGGCAGCCGGATCATTTGGTGCACCTGGCGCTGGTGGCCCGCCATAGGGATGGGGCAAGGGGCCACCTTGTTGTTGTTGTTGCTGCTGTTGTTGTATGTTGGGATCGTTGCCGTTGTTTGGCGTGGGCGGGCCCGATGTGGGCGGTGTAGCGCCACCACCACCAGCAGCGCTCGCTGCAACCGTTGCGGCCGCATTAGCAGCACCACCAACACCACCAGCCGAGGGCGATTTTATTTTTTCATTCATAGCCACAGAGTGTGTTTTTTTTTGGGGCTGCTTAACAAATCGTTTGGCTGCGCTTGCTGAAGAATCTGCACAGAGGAGGAGAACAACAACAACAACAAAGTTGACGCTGACACTGAAGCTGACGCTGATGACGACGACGACTTCCCCGACGACTGCAGCGGCAAGTTTGAGGTTATGTTAGCTGCAAGTTTTTCAAGAAGCATTCGAGATTAGTTTTCGATTCCTACTACTACAATAATAATAATAATAATAATAACAAACACACACACACACACACAATCAAAATGAAGAGCAGCTAGACATACATACACACACACACACACACATTCATATGTAAATATGTATTTCTTTTGGCCGCCAACGAGAATTTTGTAACTCTTCATTCTTGTGTGTGTCTCGGTCTGTTAGTGTGTGTCTGTGTCTGTGTATTGAAAAGTCAGCAGCTACCACAGCATTCTCTGCTGACTGTCCGCCGTTTACAAATTGTCGCGCTTTGACAGTCGACGAGAGAGGGAGAGAGAGCGCGTTGCTCTCTCGCGCGTTTACACTCTCTTGCTCTCTCACTGAATTCGGTTCTCGCGCTCTTTACATTTGGCAACGCCGCCGCCATCTCACTTGCATGTGAGTGTCGCTCGCGCTCTCTCTCACGTTCTCGCTCTCCCTGTCGCACTTGTGCGCGGCATGGAGTGTCTGTATTAGTTCTTGTTTGCAAAAGGGCAGAGTAAATTATTCATTAATTATATTTTATTCAAAATGTTGAATTAAGTCCTTCACTTCTTGTTTTTTGTGTTTGTAAATAGACCGATTGTGTTTATAAAATACAAATCATTTGTTTTCTGCACAAGACACACAATAAGTCGCAATATGGCACATTTCATTATTTATTTTTTATATTATTTTAAAATTAAATTCGCAAATCAATTAAATTTACACCAGTTAAGCAAATCAGAAAAAAGCCGCTCACTTTTCAATGCAATTACAACGTTTGTTTCAAAACATTTATGATCATTTTCCGGGCATTCATAATAAAGTGGCGAAATATTTTCCAAAATGTAAAATTGCAAATTGAATCACATTCCGAATTCAAGTGCAATTATAGAAAGAAAAAAAACAGAAATGCATATTTCAATTGCACCCGATGATTTCCATATGCAAATATATACATATATATATATATATATATATGACGATAGATCTCTCTCCACTCTCTTCTCGCTCTTTACTCTTTGCCAGATTTGTGAAAATTAGATATTTACTTAGTGTTTATCTTTAGAACGTATAAGGAGTCATTAAAAAAAATAACACACATTTCATTATACGATTGTATTTTTCATATTTGTTGCACATGGGAGAGAAGTGAAGCGTAAGCGATTTAATAATATTTTGCAGACACTTTTCCAATTTGCAGCAATAATAATTTTATACATTTTTTCTTTTCATTTTTCATTATCCCACTTGGCGTGCGATTTCTTTTCGTATATTTGCTTTGGATTTTTTTTTGCGCGCTCTCTCGTTGATTTCATTTCGTTTTGTGTGTGTTGTGGTGTGTGTGCTATTTATCTCGCTTGTATTATTATATGCGGCCTTTTTTCGTAATGCAAATAGGTGTGCGAGAGCGAGACAACCACTGTTGTTATATTTAAATTTTAATGCCGAATGTGAGAACAAAACGAGTTTAGCTGTCGCGTTTTTAACAAATTGTTTTTGCTAAATTCTACTTTTTTTCTGCTTTTTCTTTATGGTTAAGTACATTCATTTCTTCTTGTGGCTCCGCTCTGAATTTGAGTCAAGTTATTATAATATATATATTTCTGTTGCATTTGGCTCTGCCGTCGAACAAACAACAGTTGTAATTGCATTGCTCGCTGCTGCTGACGTTTGTCGTAGTCGCTGCTGCTGCCGTCGTCGTCTCGTTTATGCTACATTTAAGGTTTTTTTTTTCATTTTTTTTTCTTTTTGTGTGCGATTATCTTTTTGGTTTGGCGCACAGATTGATACATATTTTTGTGGCTGATGATGCAAGGATAATTTTTCTTTCTTTTCTTTTATATTTTCTGTATACACACGCACACACACACACACATGTATCTGTAGCGAACTTTGAGCCTGTTGTATGTGTGTACATATTTGGTTTTTCTTTACGTAGTTCGCTTCTACTTTTCACTTTGCGGTAAATTCTTGCTTCATTTCAAGTCATTTTTCTCAACTAATCGACACACACATACACACAGACATTCACACATACTTATGTGTACGTACAACACACCCACACACACACACACAGACACACACTTACACATAGAAATATATTCACGCATCGACCGTCCATAGACTGGCTATATACACTAAAAACGACGAACTCGCGTGAGAAGACAAGCTCGGTACGAGTACGAACCATAAATTGTGTGCCAAGTCTTGTCTGCGTTGCCGAAAAAAACTATTCATTACTGTTGGACGCGTGAAAAAGCGACTGGTTGTTGGTTAATTCACAATGGGTTAATTGATTGACATATTCTGCATGCAATTAGTGCACATTTTCTCTTGAATCCAGTGTATTTCACTTATTTTTCATTATTATTTCTCAGCATGACGACGAGCTGGCCCTGTACAAAGCGATTTTTAGCGTTGCCGGACATCTCTACTGACGCGAACAAATATGGCGGATAGTACACTGATAGATTTTCAACTGTTATCGATACTATCGATATTCGCCTTTTCCGTTGCGCTAATTTTAACACTTTCAGCGTTGATATTGTTAAGTATCAATTTTAGAAGTGTGGCATTTCGAAAATCGGACTCACATACAGAAAAAAAACACACATTTTACAATCACAGGAAAGAAATAAATATTTAACATAATATATATGATGTTGACAGTAGATTGTTTTACTGCATACAATATAACCTTATTTTATACTAAAAGTCGGTATTTTATATGGTTTGTTATTCCATTTTTTGGGCAATGGATGCTTGTGTCGGGTTGTGGGTATTTGTATTCTTACCGGACCTGGTCACACTATTAAGAAACACCGTTAAATGGTAATAGCGGAGTCATTTTCTGCGTGCAAATTTTAACTTCGTTTAAAAATTGAATTGTAAAATGCGCAATTTATATGTTTTATTGTTATGTTGTGTTGTCACATCTGTGCCATTACAATATGTAGCTGCATATTCAATACGAAAAAATGATTTAAAAACTGTGGAAAAGCATAATGAGGATTCAGGTAAGTTCTTTTCTTGGATTGTGGCAGTTGTATTGAAAATTAATAGCCAAAACTTCAACTCAAACTTTATATTCTGCATGTATGTACATATGTATGTGAATATATGTGTATGTACGTACTTACATACACACAAAAAAATCGCACATGGCAAAAATTCTTATTTTATGCAGTTACATATGTAGAATTACCGGTTTAGTGTTGAATATTTAAATGATATTGAAAATATAAAAAAATATGAAAATGTAATTTTGACATTTTATTAAAATACGAAAACAAAATTGGTAGTATTACAATTATAAAGAGAAGAACATTTAAACGGAGAGAGCGCTTAACTGTGAAAAAAACAGTTAGAACGGATAATGGAATGACTAAGTGTTGATCTCTCCTTAGCGAGAAAGGGATGCAAAGAGCGATCGGTACTGAGGAGAAAGAGAAGAAGTTTGAGAAGAGCTTTTAAATACCCAGTAGAGAAATGATCCCATTACAAATTCAATTCGAAATCTATACTTTGTAGCTTCGAACACATATTTCTTTTCCATAAGAGTTCGTGCATTTGCTAGCTGCAAGAATCGCATAGAAGGTTGACTAAAATTTAAAATAATCATTAAAAATAATTCCCCCAAGATGTGACCAAAAGTGGATTGATGGAAAAGTGCAAACCATGCAAAGTAGGCATCAAATGTGTGCCGCAAATCCAATGTCCCGCCCACGTGCGAATGGGACAGCATGAGAAGCCGCAAGTTTGCGATTTGCCCGCTGGCAAATTTGGATTCTGCTGCGAAACGGGCCAGAATCATACGGCACATGAGAGCAAGGAGCGTCGCTCCGCCTTTCCCGCCATTCTGCCGCCCGATGTGCTCGAGGAGGCGCGCAAGAATTTCGAGCAGCTAATGCATGGCGTTGCACATCTGCAAATTCCCGTGCAACGTGGTCATCCCGACTTCATCCACGGCATTGTTTTCCACTCGACTCCCAAAGAGGACTTGCACAATTTTGCGCTGTCAAACAATGCCTTGGAGCAGGTGATAACAACACAGGTGTTCGGTCAGAAGGAGCAGGTGCCGCTCGATGATTTCATCACGAACAATGTGCAGGTGAAGTTCTCAAAGACACCGCTGGCTCATCATTGCCAGGCACCGCCCATTTGTCGTGGTCGGCAAAATTTGCGGAGTCTGGACGGCACTTGCAATAATCCGTTGGCGCAGCGTTCGCATTGGGGTGCCGCCGGGCAGTCGATGGAGCGTCTGTTGCCACCCGCCTACGAAGATGGCATTTGGACGCCACGTGCCAAGGCCAAGGATGGCAGTCCACTGACGAGTGCCCGTGAAATCTCACGCATTCTCTTCGAGGATGTGCATCGTCCACATCACAAATGCAATCAGCTCATCATGCAATTTGGCCAGCTCTTGGCGCACGACGTCTCCCAGTCGTCGTCGGTGCGTCTCGATGAGAATGGTGGCCTGGTGCAGTGCTGCTCGACGGGAGGCCAAAGTATTTTACCCCGCGACAAACAGCACTTTGCCTGCCTGCCCATTCCGGTGGCCGAGAACGATGAATTCTATGGCGCTTTTGGTGTGCGTTGTCTGAATCTGGTGCGTCTCTCCCTGGTGCCCAGTGCCGACTGCCAGCTGAGCTATGGCAAACAGCGCAGCAAGGTGACCCACTTCCTCGATGCCTCACCCGTCTATGGCTCCAATGAGGAGGCGGCACGCGACTTGCGCACCTTCCACGGCGGCCGATTGCGTATGTTCAACGATTTTGGTCGCGATCTGTTGCCCCTGACGAGTGACAAAAGCGCCTGTGGCAGCGATGAGCCAGGAAAATCTTGTTTCAAGTCGGGTGAGTTTGTCAAGTGAAACTGTTCTGAAATATTTCTGCTTGCAAAGGTTATTTAAATGATGGCAATAAAATGTTTAAGGTGATGGCCGCACAAATCAGATAATCTCGCTGATCACACTGCAAATAGTGTTTGCACGTGAACATAATCGCATTTGCGATGTTTTGGCCAAACTGAATCCGACGGCAACCGATGAGTGGCTTTATCAGGAGGCACGACGCATTGTGATCGCTGAGCTGCAGCACATCACGTACAATGAGTATCTGCCAGCTGTAATTGGACCGAAGCAAGTCAAGCGATTCCGTTTAACGCCCCAACATCAGGGATATTCCACGGACTATAGCGTTGATGTTAATCCAGCGATCACAAATGAGTTCTCTGGCGCTGCTTTTCGCATGGGTCATTCAAGGCAAGTGTTGCACAAATTGTTTTTGTACGCATAATAAAAATGGCTTCAAAATTTAAGAAATACTTTTTGAAAACTTATAATACACTTATCTATCTATATATATCATAGTCAATCATAATTCAATGATTTCCATAAACACATTTCAAAGAACTCTTGAAAATCGTATATTAAACTGTGTTTTAAAATAGATAAATAATCTAAATAATTTTTATCTGTTATCAAATTCATGATCTTAAAAGTAATTATTTCTAATAAAAACTTACTGATTTCTCTGCCTTTTTCAGTGTCGATGGCAAGTTTCGCATACGCGATGAGATCATTAATATACCCGACGTTATGTTTAATCCTTCGAGGATGCGCAAACGTGAATTCTTTGATGATATGCTGCAAACGCTTTTCGCACAGCCAATGCAGCAAATTGATAGCTCGATAACCCAGGGTGTAAGTCTGTCAAAGCAGATCACAAGCTCAAAATGAAATTTGAATTTGTTTTATATTTGTATTTATAGCTGAGCCGATTTCTGTTTCGCGGTGATAGTCCGTTTGGTTTGGACTTGGCTGCCATTAATATACAACGTGGTCGCGATCAGGGACTGCGCTGCTATAACGATTACCTCGAAGTGATGGGTGCACCAAAACTGCGAAATTTTGATCAGTTTCCCAAGGAAGTGAGTTCATTTTGCAGCGTTGATAAAATATATTTAAAAACCACTTGATTTCTCTTAGGTTGGTGAGAAGCTGTCGCGTGTCTATCATTCGACTGATGATATTGATTTGTGGGTTGGCGGCTTGCTGGAGCAAGCGATTGAGGATGGTATCGTTGGCATTACATTTTCGGAGATTATTGCCGATCAGTTTGCACGCTTTAAGCATGGCGATCGCTTCTACTATGAATACGATAAGAAGATTAATCCATCTGCCTTTCAGCCGGCACAATTGCAGGAGCTTCGAAAGGCGAGCATAGCACGTTTAATATGCGATAATGCCGATCATTTGACACTGCACACGGTGCCCACAGCAGGTTTTGTGCGTGCCGATTTTCCTGGGTAAGGAGCTAAAATAATTTTAAACTGTAAATAAATATGCTGAAGGATTCTTTGGCATCATCATTTCAGTAATCAGCTGGTGCATTGCGATGATCCGCGACTTCCCTCAGTCGATCTAAACGCCTGGCGCATGTAATGCATTTATCGGCTCATTTTAATTGGCTTTACTTAATTCTTATTTAACAATGCATTTTCAAAAAGATTTTAAAATATAAATATATATAATAACCAGAATGAAGAAACTGTCTGAAGTATGAATTGGCTAAAAAATTATAAAAACCAAATTTAAAATGATCCGGTTGTTTTAAAATACCCAACGAGTTAGAAACATAATTGTATATATCTGATAAATGCCAACAAATTATATAATTTAAATCTATGAAATTAAGTAGGAGTCATTTTATGGGCAACGCATCAACTAACTGAGAAATGTTTGTTTTTATTTATTTTTCATCAGTAATTGTAACTGGAGGACAGTAAAATCATATTTATATTAATTTATTGATTTATTATATTTATAATTCCTCTAGGAGCAATTATCCTTCAAATATCACTTTTTGTAGTCATTAATATTAAGCACATTGTTGAATTTCAACTGTGAAACTGAATTTTATTGATGGACTGCAATTTATGTGGATGTAACCATGTTGAAGGATAAACTGGTGTCGGTCTTGACGAGCTACGTTTGAGTCTGATGTTCCTGTCCGTAGACATTCTCGTCGGAGTAGGCCATATAGAGGAAGTAGTCCTTTTCGCGATGCTCATGATACAGCAAGCCCATCGTGGCCGATGTTGGTGGAATGATGTTATTCACGAAGAAAAATAGAGCATCGTCCGGTCGCAGTTGAATGCGTTTGCGTATAAGAAAATAGAATTGACCCACTGTCAGATCATTGGGAACCAGAAATTTCTTCTTGTCGAGCACAGCATGTCGGGTATTCGGTGCCCTCTCCACGATGAGTGGCACACGATCCGGATACTTACGGCGTATTTTGTCACCCTCTGCACGCCGCTTCTCAAATGAATGATCCTTCTTAAATTGAAAGTTGATATTCATAATGGCACCGGTTCTGCTCGGTCATCAGTTAATAAAAAGGAAAAATGAGTTGAAATGTTTTTCGTAAATATCGTTGGAGTCTCGAATATAACTTGTGAATGGTATTTTTCGTATACTTATTGACAAAATCGAATCCCTTCCAAACGCTTACTATATTTAGAGACAAATTCGATTCGAGCTACGACGAGCTACCCTAACCGAGCTGCCAACGCAAGCGAAAGCTTTCACCATGCAACACACAGTATTGTGTAAAAGCGCCCCAGTTTTTAACGCAGAAAGCTTTTTCTTCGGCGCTTATTTACTCAACATATATAACAGTTATACGAAGCGGCCAGATTGGAAAGTTCTCTCGGCCAGTGTTCGTGCTTCTTTTTTCATATCGAGACGATGTCGCACGATTCGTAAACTTTGCAATTTCCGGTTTCTAATGAAGCTGCTCTTGCTGAACAGTTGATTCAGTTGTCGCCATTCAACAGGTGCAGTGTCGCGGACGGAACTACGCTTCGAGCGCCATTAGAGCTTATTCTGCCCACTATTTTTTTTTGCAAGATGAGCTATTTGCTTTTGTTCACGCTGGTCTATTTACATGTCATATAGTACAATTCCCGTTAAGTGTAATTTTTTTACGGTTAATTTAATTCTAAACGCGTAGGTAAGTGAAAATGTAATTACAAATATATTTTTATAAAATTTCAAATGGATTTTTGGCAGAAAAAAATTGAATAAAAAAATGAATAAACCAAATAGAAATTGTGCTGAAATTGTGTTTAGATTGTGTATTTATTTTAGCATTTCGTAAAAGTCAAAAGTGCACACATACACACACAGATGCACTTGTGCATGCAAGTGAAATATAGTTCATAGTTTGATGTGCTTATCAAAATGAATCGATTTGAATAAAGTTTACAGTGAACACAATTAAATTAAGAATAAACGCGCCAAGAACACAATTCAGTGCAAATAGAAATCAAGAAAAATCAGTGATTTGAAAAGCGATTATTTTCCGAAACGTTTTCTAGTTTTGTGTATATCATAAATTAGTGTGAATGTAATCAAATTTTTGGCTTCAAAGTTTGAATATTTTAATTTACTTGAAAACACGTTTTGTTATGTAAATTTTGGTGATTTTTTTTTTATTAACTGGACTACACTGAATTTGTTCAAATTGTACTTCACAAAGATAATCAGATCATCAAATGAAGCTCAAAGTACAGTTTGCTTTCAGTTATTTGCTAATTAAAAAATTCAATACAGTGGCTTAACTTAATAAAAATTAAAATGCAACAAAATATAGCTTACGGCACATTTACAAAAAAAAAAAAAAAAAAAAAATGAAATAAATTTTGTTACACACACAAAACAAACAAGTCTTTATAAGCACGTTAAATTATTATGATTCTAATCAGGTGGTCGAAAAAAAAAGAAGAAAAAACAGACTGTGTTTATTTGACATACAAATATGCGTTAATTAAGAAATGTGGAAATCGGCGTACATTTGTCGGCATCGCTTTCATTGTTGCCCCTACTTTGTTTTACCAGAAGAAACATCTTTGCCCTTGAGTTGGCATCAAGACACCTGAACTTGGGATATAATTATAAAAAAGGTGCTATTGCTAAAGATTAAGCTTAATTTTTTTTTAAATAAATAGTTTCTTAAAGCTTGTTGATATGAGTTTATTACTGCACTAGTTAGATATATCGAATATCGAAAATAAATTAAAGATAAACAAAATTCACGGCGATTCCGTAAGACTCACACAGGCAGGTGCATCTATAAATACAACTGATAAGGCGAGTGCAAATTTTTTTATGTTTACAGTCCTATATGTTAATTGAAAAAGTAGATTGAGATCGGGTATACATGTTAAATAAAAAAAGTTTAAACAGAAATATATTGGGTTCAGTGTGTTTTGTCATGGCCAAGATAAAAAAGTCCCACATATTTATAACAATTAAATAGCAGACAATACACGCAATTAATATTTGTTTATAATTCTTATACTATATTGACAAAAATTGAATTATGATGCGATTGATCTTATGACAAGCACAATTTGAAAGCCGTTGCTCAATATATTATTATCCATTTAATGTTAAATTAAGTGAAATAATTGTCTGGACATATTTTTGTTTGTGTTTTTAATTTTTGGTATATTTGTTCGTTCGTCGATGACAGTTTGCATGTTAAACAATATTCATGGATTCCAATCATAACTTTGTATAAATTGAAAAGTCAATCAAACATGCGCTCGTCGCCATACGTGAAAATTTAATTCACATCTTCATCAATAGGTGCAAAAATTTTGAGGCGGTGTTTTGTAAATTTATTTATATGTTTGTATGCCTGCTGTGTGAGTATATACACTGTATTTTATATATGTACCTATATCTAGTCATATCGATTTTTGACTGATTACGAAATATTCCGTTTTTTTTTTGGGTGTAATTCTTAATTGTGAATAATTTTCTTATTTTAAACGATTTATTTTGACAATGCTTTAATCTTAAATTCGTTTTCTTTTACCATGTTATTTCTTATACTATTTTATCTGGCATTCCATCAACAATTAATTAATTAATTAATTAAGAGAACTTACTTTTTATTTGCAAAACACGTTTCAGTAACAAATACGCCTTATTGGTCCAAAATGAAGCAAATAAAATGAACCATGCGAAGACGCATTGCGAAACTAGTTTATACTACAGTGTTGACTGCCTAGCTGGTCTTCACACATTTGCTAATGGCAACTAATTAAACGGCAAGCTGAGGAGAGGAAACAACAAAATAACAATAATAAGAATAAGAATAATATAATAAAAGTGCATCACAAAAATGAAGTGGACAACATTTGGATTACAATTTGATATTTTAACATTATTTGTGCTTTGGGTGCTCGTCTGCTGTGCTCATCAGGCAAGCACCAACTGCTATGACAGCAGCAGTGGCTTCAATACCAATCCAAATGCTCTGCCAGCTGAGGATGGCAATGAAACTTATACCACAGACACGACACCGATGCCGACCGCCGATGCTTCCGTTTGGAAGTGTTGCTGCTGGGAAGCAACCAATCAAGTAAGTGCTAGACGACCACATAATAATTGTATTTAACCAACGTCTAAACACGTAGTACATATATAGTCTTAAGCGACTTTATTGGCTAGGAAACCTTAGAATCTATTGTCATTTTTGTATTGGGTATTTATTATTACAACCAATCAAGTAAGTGAAAGACGATTATATAATTATTGTAATGATGAACAATGACTAAACTCGTTGCGTATTCCGGTAGAATGGAATCTTTGGTGAGCCTCAAATAAGTCTTCTTTCTTGATCGAGATGGGCGCAGACTAACACGTCTTAATACTCATCTTTCGACCGATTGGGGATATTTAGTGTCTTCAGTAAGAGGAATATATATGTACACAGTTTCATCTAGAATGATTTCAAGCTGATAAGGTTAAATGAATGAATGAGACATGAACGGACTCTATCGACTCGACTACTGATCAAGAATATGTGATTTATGTACTTTATGGAAATGCAAATCTGAAAACAAATTTAAAATACCTTCTCCCAATTGAATATCATTATTATGAAATTTACGAATGCCAATCTGTGTGCAGAACCTTTTTCCGGAGGATGAGTTCGAGTGCCGTTGCGAGGGTGAGGCGCTGACACGTGTGCCACAAACATTGAAGTTGCCCCTCCAAAGGCTAACAATTGCATCAGCGGGCTTGCCGAGGCTACGCTCCATCGGATTGAAGGTGTATGCCAGCACATTGCTGGATGTGTGAGTAGTCCTTTCAGCCACATCATTCCACTGCTTCCACGTTTTCATTATCTTATATTGTTGCAGTGCCTTTACGGACTGTCCGCAACTCGAGACCATTGAGAACGGTGCCTTCTCCAATTTAACGATTCTACGCACTATGTAAGTAGTAAAGTATATGCCATATGTGAAATTGATATACTTTTCTTTACTGCTCTGTTATCTGTTAGCTATATCTCAAATGCGCCAAAACTAAAGTACCTTTCCAAAGATGTTTTCGAGGGAATTTCGAATAAAATTGATATTATGTAAGTGAGAATAAAATCAATTTCCTTTTTATATAAATAACTACGACCTCAGAATATCCACAAATATAAAAATTTGTGTACATTAGTTACTATTGTTAATTAGTTACTATTGTTAGCTTATAAATAGTTTACTTGAATAATATTATTATTAGTGTAACGTTAAGTATTTATAGTTTACATACCATTTAACAAGATTATTATAATTTGAAAATAAATGTAAAGAAAGTTGATTACTTATATTAAATAAAAAACATTACAAGTTAAAATTTCGAAAGTAAATTTAAACAAATTAAATTACAATTTCAAATATAGATTACATATACTTGTAATATAAGATTAAGAAGTAAATTAGTCAAACATTTATTGCAATGATTGAGGCAACCCAGAAAAATTATAATTAGACCAAACTAACTTTATAAAGCTAAAGTTGGTCAACTGTAAACAAGACCAATATAAAGTCATAAGCCTTGCAGCCAGTTGGGTGCATTAAATGTTAAAGTGGGTCGGAGTTGAAAAGGTTTTGTGTTGTCATGTTCGCTATGACTTAGATACGGTTGATAAATACACAAGCATTGTTCAGCTTTTATTTTTAGATAATAAATCTCGCGTCAGCACAGTTTTTATTTTATTAGTTGTGTGTGTGTGTGATTTAATCTTTAAAATTTGTGGTAACATTAAATTAAATTGAAATTCCTAATGCGTTTATTAACATTTTTCATATAGACGCATTATAAATAGTGGTTTGACAAGCGTGCCCGATCTTGGACACCTACCACCCAATACTATATTGCAAATGATGTAAGTGCATCTTATTGATTATGGAATTACTTATACATATATCTAATTATTGCAAAATATTTACATTTATAGAGATCTCGATAATAATCAAATTTCTCGAATTGAATCCAAATCGATTCAAGTGAAGACTGCACAATTGTGAGTACAAATATTGAAATAGTTATAGTTCTCATTAGTAAGAACAATTATGTCTTTATTTAACTGTTTAGCGTTTTAGCAAACAATGACATAACCTATATTGATGATTCCGCATTCCTCGACTCTAAAATAGCAAAACTGTAAGAAAAAATTAAAATAGAATTAACGATAATTGGAAAGTATTAACATAATATATAGTTCTTTAAAGCAAAATCGCAGACTTAGCGAGATTCATCCGAATGCGTTCAATGGCATCATAGATATGACAGAACTGTAAGTGTAACAATAATCTAACAAAATTGGTATTGTGATATTTACCGCTCCTATCTACTCACAGTGATCTCTCGAGTACTTCGCTGGTTCGCTTGCCAGCTGCTGGACTCCAGACCATCGAAGTATTATACATAATGAATACGCACACTTTGAAAACGATACCCTCCATATATAATTTTCAGGTAAAACATTAACGCAAATTCATTGGCATAAATGATGACAACCAGAAAATAAGAACTACTTTTTTTTCGCAGAACTTGCAGAAAGCACACTTAACACACTCCTTCCATTGCTGTGCGTTTAAATTCCCCTCGAGACACGATCCCCAAAGACACAAGAAACACGAGGAAGAATTGCGTAAATTGCAGGAGCAGTGCAAAAGTGATCGAGATATGCACAATAATGTTGCAACAAACATTATAATACCTACCAAATCAATGGAGGATGCGGTTGGGATGCCTAATGGGTAGGCTATGGTCAATTATAGATGGTCATGAATATTGCATACACGACAATTCAATTGGTATTTCTTTTTTAAATATTTCTTGGCTAAATTCCAGTCCGCGTCCAACCCAATTTCTATAACAATATAACCAAAATAGCTCTGCCTCTGATAAAAAGATTTTGAATTAATTTTTAGGAAAGGCAATTGGGGCATTGAAAATGGCGATTGGAATAACAATGAGCTCATCGATTCGCCTGAAGCTTTGCCCAATATGGATGACTATATGGCTGATGCGACAATGAACAACCTTGGAGTTTTCCATACTGAGATTACAATCAATCCAGATGATAATCAAATGACTGAGTTTTGCGGCAACTTTACATTCAGGTGGGTATTTGTTCAATGTATTTGTGATAAGTTCTTTAATAATCTTCCATTTGAATGTAGAAAACCGAATATTGAGTGTTACCCCGTGCCGAATGCCCTAAATCCATGCGAGGATGTCATGGGCTATGAGTGGCTGCGCATAGCTGTTTGGATTGTTGTTGCCTTGACTATAGTGGGCAATGTAGCAGTCCTCACTGTCATTCTATCGATTAAGTAAGTTTCTCAAACCATATGCATTTACAGTGAATAAGATATGTATGTTTTAGATCGGAGAGCCCATCTGTGCCACGGTTTCTCATATGCCATTTGGCTTTTGCCGACTTATGCTTGGGTCTCTATTTGCTGCTTATTGCATCAATTGATGCACACTCAATGGGACAATATTTTAACTACGCCTACGATTGGCAATACGGTATGTCTAAATTGTAATTTATGCAAAAGCACTTTGGTTTTCATAAGACTTTCTGCAGGTTTTGGTTGCAAGGTCGCCGGCTTTTTAACCGTATTTGCAAGTCATTTGTCGGTGTTTACCCTGACTGTCATCACAATTGAACGCTGGTTTGCCATCACGCATGCAATGTATCTAAATAAACGTATCAAACTGGGACGTGCTTCTGTAATTATGATAACTGGTTGGCTTTACGCCATAACGATGTCCTCCCTGCCCCTATTTGGTATCAGTAATTATTCATCAACTAGGTGAGAGTTTAGCACACATGTCAATTTCCAAACATTATCTTTAAGTTGAACTTTATTTAGTATTTGCCTGCCAATGGAGCAACGCGATATATACGACTCGGTATATTTGCTAATGATATTGGGTAGCAATTTTATTGCATTCACTATTATTGCAATATGCTATTCGCAAATCTATCTATCTCTTGGCCAGGAGACGCGTAATGCACGTCAGAACAATCCCGGCGAGATGAGTATTGCCAAGAAAATGGCACTTCTGGTGAGTTTATCTGCAGTCAAATTCTATATGAAAATTAAATATATTTTTCAGTTAGGCTTATATATAAACTTACTAATGCTTAAACATTTTGCTTTGCACAGGTATTCATCAATTTTAGTTGTGGGGCACCAATTGCATTTTTTGGCCTTACTGCTTTAGCAGGCTACCCTTTGATCAATGTTACAAAGTCGAAAATATTATTGGTATTCTTCTATCCGTTGAACTCGTGTGCGGATCCATATTTGTATGCCATCTTAACATCTCAGTATCGTCAGGATTTGTTCCTCTTATTCTCCAAGTGAGTATCTGTGAATAAATAAAAGAAGTTGTCGGTTTCTCAATATTATCCGCATTTATTTTCACAGATTGGGAATTTGTCGCAAGAGCGTGATGAAATACAAATACAGTGACTCGATGCCTCACACATCACATTTCACCATACGCAACTCCATTGAACAACCAAATGCATTTCCCCACAAGGCTCCAAATGGTGCGGGCGCCGAGACACAGAAAATGCTGATAAATAATGAAGATTATGTGTAAGAGATATAATATTTTTCAACTTGAGCTTATTATGTGGCAGAGCCAATTTTAAAGTAATAAGATATATTCAAGGATTTATTCTCTATTTGATTTTTTCAAATCCATACTGAGCCCAAATAAACAACTTGTGATTTGCATTAGGAAAGAAAAAATGTATTATACGAAAGTATCTGATAAATATATACGAACAGTAAGGAAGGGTTCGTGGAGTAAAAAAGTAAAACAAGTAAAACGTTTTGTAAACTGGAGAATATAGAGAATTGCTAGTTGTGATAATCGTATTAGTTATATTTTCTTACCTAAAGCTTTCTATAAGCAAATATTAATAAATATTTACCTTTTTAATCCAGTATTGATATCACGTTCAGTTTTAATGTTGTGTTTCCTAAAGGCCACAGTAGCCAGTGCTATTTTGAAAAGCATCACCTAAATGTAATCATTACGTAAAGTATGTACTGCATTCGATAACACATTTCAAATGCTTTAAAAAGTGAATATAAACCTACAAATTCTAAGTCAAATGTCAGTTAGAGGTCAATATGTACGCGTATTTTATTGTGAATCCTATTAATGTATAATGCATAATATATTTATGTGATTTAATGTCTGTGTATGAATCATGCATAATAATAAATAATGTACAAAAATATACCCGAATATATTTATGCAAAAAGTTGTATAATTGTTGTTGTATATACAAACAGGCATAATCAATGTGTTTTAAAAATAACGGTTACTTAAAGCTTTCTCTCTGTTATTTTTAGCAGATGTTAGAGCTAAACAGTCAACTGTTAACATTGGTTCCGTCCTTTGCTCTGGTAAAATGGAAATGTAGCAAAATGGTTAAAATGGTTAACAAAAAACCACCCCTTTAACCAAAAATACCGTGCAGAAAACATACCAAGCAAGAAATACTAACACTTGTCGTCAATTGACAGCCGGGTGAAAATGTCACGTCTTTTTGAATTATTTGCAATCTTTGTGTTAAAAATTGTTATTTGCGCGGCAGAAAATCACAGGAATGGTAAACTTCTATCGAAGGCAGCGACTTTTCATTTTCCGGAATACGCGTACAAGGAAACAAGTAAAAATGTAAGTAAATCGCTTGAAAAATAGATTATTGATTTTTCAATTTAACTGTGATTGTTTATTTTAATTTTATTTATTTATTTAAGGAAATTACCTATCATGATTACGAGCTAGCGTGTGGTCAAAATTCACTGTGTGTCAATGCCAATGCTGCGATGGCTTCCAAATTGAACTGTTTGAGACAATGCATTTCCCCATCGTGCTATCAGGATATTTATGCATTCGATGAGGTACGTGTGCAGTTCGCTTATAGTCAGTACCATAATTAATAAATGTATTTATTTTATTTTTGGCAGCTTGAGGAAGGCGAAATCGATGTGAGGATGAATTCATTCAAGGGTTGTGTTATACAGCGCATGTAGCATAAGGCCCCAATCCTGCATCGTTTATATCTGACAAACTACCTGCAGGAGCTACAATTGAAGATATCCGAGTATATTTATAAATGGATATAGGCTCGGCTTTTTTATTGTCGTATGCTTTAGTTGTTCATCTAAGTTAATGTACCAAGGACTTGAAGCAATTCGATTTTCTTAAATAAATCAGTAGTATAACATTATATTAAGCACGCAGACTAAATAGTGTCAACAAATTTCACAAATTTGTGAGCCGCAAATTTGTGATTGGCATCACTGACACCTGGATACCCAGTATTTTTGTTAATCTATCACATCATGCCTATTATATTTTGCCTTCGGAAGAAAATAACAAACAAACAAACTTAGAATAAGACAGCAATACAATAAAAATGTGTATCTTTCATATTAGCAGTATATTAGGATTTAATAAAATGTTACTGTCAAAACTAAACGAGTTGCAAAATTCTTTTTTTTCGTCGAAAATATTTTTATCATATTGATAAATGATACTTTTACTGTATGAATGCATAATAATAATAATGCAAAACAAACATATAATACAAATTGACAGTGTTCTCTGTGGTGATAGACATATAGTTAGTTAATATGATCATTTGAAGTAGAGATATTTATGTGTGTGATGTATGTGTCATTGCAATGTTTACCAGAGAGTTATACATTGTATGCCTATTTGTACGTTGATTAACAGGATCCAAACAAAAATTAATTAAAGCAAATAGCTTTGTTGCGATACCTAAGCCCTAGGTAAAACCATACATATACTATATATATATGCATACTCGTATACTGATATAAATGGCACGTTACGTTAAGCGTATCCACTTTTAGAAATACGCTTATCTAGAATAGTGTTAGTTCCTAGTTATTATTCTTCTCTATATTATTAATAAATATTTTAAATGGTTATCCGGTTTTTTTTTTGTGGTTTGTTTGTTGTTGTTGTTTCACCTGCTTTTGGCAGCCGCGACACCCTTCTAATTACCTAAGTAATTAACTAAGGAGCATGAAGGGACAAACGAATTCGCATTATCCGACTAGTGAAAGGCGGCACGCATATTTACAGTACATATGTATGTATGTATGTTTAAATGTGTGTGTGTGTGTGTGTGTGTGTGGCGCACATACGCGCTAATGAAGCGCAGCACTAGGCGAAAAGGTTAAGAAACCCAGTACACCAAAGCGAATGGAAAATTAGCAAAATGTAATGTCCCGCTCCGAATTGTTTTAGTCGTACTCGACACGTCCTGGCGTTTGGTTGCAAACAGGCATAATAAAAGACTAACTGATACAAATAATGTGAAAAATATATATATTCAATGAGAACAATGAGTAATAATAAATCAGCAACTTTTACACTTTCGAAAGTTTTCAAAACCAACTGACATATTATAATTATAATAAATATGGAAATGTGAATATTATTGAATGTATTGAATGTGTTTGTGTAAATGACTATCAGCCATTAATAATGAACCCAAATAAATATATGAATAGATATACGTTAATTGGTATATAAGCTACAATTAACTGATAAACTTATCAATTAACTTAACAGACAATCTAACGGTTATTCTAGTGCCCGCGAATGATCTCATTTTAGTATATATTTAGTTAAAATAAGAAATTGTTCTGCATTTGCGTTTAAGATTTTATATATGAAATAATATGAATTTAATTTTATTGCAATCGCACAGTTTTAAATTATAAATAAAGTTTGTTCTACCCAACGAATTGAACAATTTGCTTGTTATTCTTTTATGAGATTAATTACTGATATCTGTGCTTTTTCTGGCCGAAACTTTTTCAATTTCTTCAATTTCATTGTTCACAATATTTTGAATATATTCCAGACATGGGAGCAATAGAAACAAATGTGTGCGCGCCGTTTAAATAATGCTAAAAATAATAATAAAAATTCCAAAAGCAACAACAGCAGTGAAAAATGCTAAAGAATTTCCCCATGTTGTTGGTTTACTGCGCTGTGTTTTGTGTACTTTAGCCGCCAATAATAAAAACAACAGAAATTGCTCATACGAAGCATTGGCTGCGCTCAGTTACCCACAGCGCCAGACGCCAGCCAATCGACAACAAGTTGCTCTGCCAGTCTTCAATAAACGTGTGCTTCTAGCAACTGTGCGGTGCATTAGATATTTTTCTCTCGTATGGTTTACTTTTTGCTTTTGGTGCTAATTTGCAAATAAAGCAAATATTATGCTAAAGCCGAAGTTTAAACAAAAAATATATTACAAATATATATTTTACATATATGAAATATTTCAAATAATTCACAAAAACCAATAAAATAAGCATGTGGAAATGGTGCAAAAGTGAAAATAATTCGCCGACATTCTCTACCGAAAAAAAAGAAGAAATTAATAACAATTGTAGCCACCTGGATTATACATTAATTTTATATTTTAAAATACTGGTGGACTTCAAATAATTTATTTATTGGGAAGTTAATCACAACTCGCATTTATTTCACTAAAAAACTCAATTCGTTATGTTGTGTTGTGTGTTTATATTATATGTTTGTCTTAACAGGTGTGTCAAAATAGCAAATTAATAAACAATGCTTACACACACACGTAAGCCATAGATTTTGTCTGACTGAAGGTTGCACTTAAATTATAAGTGCATACGTAAATTGTATGGCCTGTTCCAGGAACTTTATAAAATAAACATGTTATTAGTGCGAATCTTAATAGATGAATAATAGAAGTTTTCATATGCGATTCACACACCATTATCAACTCAATACTTTGTACTTCAAAAATGTTAAGGATGAAAACGAGAAGTTTCTCAAGAGACTGTATTCCACATTACGGAACAGAAGTGATTAAATGATTGTTAAAATGAAAATCGATGTGTTGTTCGTAAGAAATCGGAGTGTTTCTTGTGTGTATAATTTGCGAGATTTACTTCCATAAATAAACATTAATTTAATTTAATTTCTTTTTGTAGGTAATTATTGTGTGCAGTAATCAGGGTAGATAATGGCAAACGTTATTTGAATTCGCTTTCAACATGCAAAAACAAATAAAAATTAACGAAAAATAAACAAGACACTATGTGAAAATGATTAACAACCGGCAGCTCTGCGGATAATGATATGAATAATGAACTCGTATTGGACAAGCATGGAATGGCCAAAGTCGTTGGCTGTGGCTACTTTCCTGCTACTTATATTGGTGACCGTAATTGGCAATATGCTCGTAATATTAGCTGTTTTGACCACCCGAAGGCTTCGAACGGTTACAAATTGTTTTGTGATGAGTTTAGCTGTGGCTGATTTACTTGTCGGCATTTTTGTTATGCCGCCGGCAGTAGCTGTACACGTCATTGGTATGTATACCTAAATAAATAGCATAAATATTTCTTTATTGGTTTTAAAATTACGAAAGGTTTGAGTGTGTGCAATTTTTGTATTAGAAAATATTATTGTCTCGGCTTCAAAATACTAAATATCAAGTGTCGGATAAAGTTTTGTTAGAGATGACTTCTTCAACAGTTTTAAAATTTTTTTTTTTTCTTCTAACATTTTTATACTTGTAAACAATTTCTTGGTGTCCACTGTACTAAAGAGTCCTTGAAGCCACTTTTGCCACTCTGGGAAAAAAAAATCAAAATATTCAATAGCCCAGAGCAAATAAAAAGGTAATTACATGCCTTTATGATTCCCAAAATGCCTAGTAGGAAAACTTTTAAAAACTTTCTTCAAACAAATGGGTAAATTAAAAAAAATTCAATCTATGTACTATCCGCTTAAAGGTATGCTCGGTGTTTTAGTAGCCAACAACAAGTTCGGTGGCAGCTTCCAAAACAAAAACTTTGCCTTTCAACAACCCTTTTGCGGGTTGGGAGCTGCCATTGTTATTGTTGTAGCTCTTGTTAAACATTACACGGCTTGACATGCTTACAAAAATTGTTTAAGTAACAAGTATTAGAAAAGTTGCATGTTGCCAAGATATCCAGTTCAAGTATACAAATATATTTACAAGTTAAGCTTCATAAATTAAAATCGTAATCTTTCATGTTTATTAATTTACCTTCTATTTCAAAGAGATTAGCTTAAAGAAATTAACAACAATTACAAACTAAGAACATATAAGTGTACATACATAGATTGCATAGATTTGACAATAATTTCGAAGGCACATAGAATTTCATATAATTGTATATACCAACTTTTTAGTGGGTATCTCAGCTTTGGCATGGCAAAGATTGCATTGCTATTGTGTTGTTGTTTTCATATCAATTACTCTCTTATGCAGGCTCATGGCAACTTGGCCTGGTGCTGTGCGATATTTGGATATCCTTCGATATATTGCTATGCACGGCATCCATTCTTAGTTTGTGTGCCATCAGCTTGGACAGGTAAGTAATTAAAAAATAAAAAATAATATTTATACCGTTTCATATGTCAAGGAGTACGAATTGCATACACATTCCCTTGACAGCGAATGCCTTCAATTCATATTCCATTGGTGTGTTGTACATGTCAGCTTCAACTAATTACTAATAGATGTATGTGTGTGTGTGTGAGTGTGTGTGTGTGTGTGTGGAGGCGTATATTAGCGGACTAAGCCAACAAACCCTTAATTTTTATGTCACACGTTAATTTGTTAGTATAAAAAGACCCAGTTCATTTGCATGACGTCATATACGCATAAAAAAGGTGAAAATACTGTGCAAAGAATTTTTTATTGACCCATCCTGTGCATGGCGTTTAAAGTGAACTTCAATGGGTTCCAATGGGTGGGGGGGTCCAACGCACAATGGTAGCAACAACCTGACTGTGAAAAAAAAAAAATAAAGAAAATGTGGGTGGTAAGTAGGGGCTCGCTGCTTTTGTTGGAAGTTTCAATTACATTTTAATGGCATTTCCAAGTTTGCTGTTGACGCCATGCTGCGCTGTTTGCTAGGGACGTTTGTCAACAGCTTTATACACAATATGCCGCTTCGTTTTTGTTTTCATTTACTCAGTTTTTATTGCTTTGTACTTAGGTATCTCGCAGTGACACAACCGTTGACATATTCGAAAAAGTGGCGTTGCAAACGATTGGCATTGTTAATGATTCTTGGAGTTTGGCTACTCGCCTTCGGTATTACCTGCCCACCGATGCTCGGCTGGTGAGTATCCATAATTGAAAGCGTCCACGTACTCCCTATATTTAAATGTTGTTGCATTTTAAAGAAATGTCATTATGTTGTTGAATATTAGCAAAATAATTCATGTCTTCATAGATAGTTATTCTTACAATTTTGTTATCTTGTTCGGCACTCACTTAAAATTAATAAGTATAAAATTAAAATTCTTCTTAAAATTCCAAGCATAAAATCTATAGATAGTAAACGTAAAATAAATGAATAAAATAGAAATAAAAGGTCTACTGTGTTTCAATTTAAGCTGTCAATCTTTCTCTTCACAGGTACGAGCATGGCAGGAATCGCAATAAGGGGGACTCGGTTGAATGTCGCTATAATCAAAATAAAGGATATGTTGTTTACTCGGCGATGGGTTCATTTTTTATACCACTCACAGTGATGTTATATGTTTACGTACGGATTGGTTATGTCCTCACATCACGTCGACAGCGAATTGTACGCGATGCAGTTAGTATAATAATTGATGAATGAATGAAACAAATATTTATTTTTAATTCGAACATTTTTCTTGCAGAACTCGGAACGCACAGCTGACCATGATGCAGATACCGATGGCCATTTTATGTCGGAATCTGAAGTGTATCGTTGCAATCAACACAAATGTTTGCCATGCTGTGAAGCTCGCTGCAGCGTGATGAGAACCCATGCGAATCCCATATTTAGTACCGGTAGCGTTAAGTGCCGCAAATGTCAGGAGGCAAAGGCTAATGATAAGCGCATGAAACTGAAACATCAACCGACATTCTATGAACTAATGGAAATATCACGAATGTCCTCACTTATTCAATGCACATCCGACAGCTGCAGATTTCATAAGCGGTGTGCTTCATCTGTATCCATACCAACAATGTATTATAATGATGGTCAATCGATTGGAGGCGCCACCTCTTTGGAAACGGTAAATCATAATGTGGCCAAGAGGGCGTCAACAACATCGCATCAGCTGCAGCGACAATTGGCCAATCATCGCGTTCCAATGCGTGTCTCGACCAAAATCAAAACCACCAAAGCAACTAAGACACTTACAATTGTTATGGGTGGACTGATCGCATGCTGGACACCATTTTTCGTTTATTACCTGCTGATACCGTTTCTGCCGCAGCTAAAGAAATTCGAGGGCCTTATGTCCTTTTTCACTTGGGTCGGTTGGGTAAATTGCGCTATAAATCCCTTCATTTATGCCTTTAATCCGGATTTCCGAGCTGCCTTCTGGCGCTTAACATGTCGGCGCATCTGCAAACAAAAACTGCCTCGAAATCATATTAACATGTTTCGAGCCTGAAGCGTTCAAAAAATCCACAATAAGAAGTGCTAGCCTTAAGCGTATATATTAATGTTTATTTTTAGCACGTATCAAATAAATCAATTTATTTAAAGCTTGTATTTATTTACCACTAAAAACCATAAATATGTGTAACAAAAAATGCTACTATCCAAATAGCCTGAAGAAGACATATCGGTTCATTTAAACTATGCAATTGTATAAATAGATAGTCTTAATAGTCATCAACAACTAAGTCAAACTAAATATTATTAAAATTTTCAAATTGTAATACAATAAAATGCATTTTTGTATATTGAAAGAATCTTGGTGTGCAATTTTTAAAGGCTTGAAAATTTAATTACATGTTGAATGAAAAAAAAAACACAAAAAACAAATATTGCTATTAGGCAAGGCGACCTGTAATTAGGAAATGTCTTTATGAAACATTAAACATATTGTGACAAACTTGAAAGCCACAAAGAGAATGTGGTCATCATACTTGTACTTACGTAATCACACTAATATATGTATATATATAAAATACAAAATACACAAATGTGTATGTGGTTTGTACTGCATTAACAAAAATTAAGGAAAAGGAGTCTCCAATGAATTACAACACATTGTGCCTATTACTGTCAGTGCAAATGTATTTAAAACCACAGAAATTTGGGCACTGACATCATTTAACTCGTAATAGAGAACAGTCTAAGTGTGTTTAGGTTTTATTTCAACGTTTCTGCAAATTCAGATGTATAAATGGCAAAATGTATAATTGGCAAATGCCTTTCAAGTGCATTTCAATCTAGGTCAACTGGCACTGTGATTATAAACTGCATTTGTCAATAATAGTCCCCCCGATAGTTTAGTGTTCACTGTGATTTTCATTTCTGGCTTTAAGAACCTTTCTGAAAGTCATTAAGTTGGACTCTCCGTGCCCTCTGAGTGCCCTTTAACTGGAAGCTTTTATTATTGTAGCCTCAAATTTGTAATTTCAAATTAAATCCAATTTTGAAATGAGTATACAAAATTAATATTTTAATTTAATCCCATTTTAAATAAAATATCTATGTGTGTAATAAATAAATAAATATATATTTGGCTATTATTCTAAAAGGTAATACTAGTGTAATCTTATTGCAAAAAAATAGATGTTTTAAGTAAATTCTAAAATAGATGGATGAAGTTCTGGTGCTACAAATTTATTTTCGATTTGCTGCATCCAAACTTGTTGATATTAAGTTATATGATATATACATATTAAATTAAATGATAGTTGTCGGTATGCTGGAGTTTTGAGATTTAGTTTTATTCAATATATGTTTCTAATGCTTGACATGATTACATATAGTATGTATATGTTCTTATACATTGGATTGATCTAGCTGCTACTACAACTATTAAATAATTCGCAATTCGCAATTGACTGCAATTTGTTTGTGCCGTTTTTGCTATTTTATATGTACTAGTTTATTACCACTGAGCAAACGTGTATTGTCTGCTTAGTGATATTATTTATGAAGGCAATGCAAAATTGATTCAAGACATAGCACTACAATTAGATTTTAAATGTTACATTTTTCCGGTTTGATTATGGCTACATCACAATAAAAATTTTAAATGTATTTATATATGTATTTTTTTTTGTTTTTATATTTTGAACTACTTATTTTTACAAAGAACAATACTACAAAGTTTCTTGTGGAAGTTGTCATTTGAATCCTACATTTCCAATACAAGGACGCTTAGTTGGCGAAAAACGTATATAAATACTAGATATATATTACATATGTATGTATACATATATATGTATATTCTCATTTTTTTGTTATTTTTTTTTTTTTTTGTATATAACACAAATAAACTTAATGAACTGGTTGCACAATTCAGTTTGTAACTTTGAACGGTTTGCAAAAGCTTTATATGATTGCAATACGACAAATACCCGGTTGAAAGGCGGAAAAAATACGTGACGGAAATTACTAAATCGATTCATGTCATCCTGGCAAATGCCCTTTATTGAATGAATTAGTATGTGTGTGTTTGTGTGCGTCTCACTATGAATGTGAAATGAGCCGCATCACAGAAAGATTCTAGACTGTAAGCTTACTTTATGTATGAAATTATTTACACTGATGATAGTTCGTGGAAAACACAACAAAAAACTTAAGCTGCAATTTACACTTCTTGCTTTTGTGGAAGGTCTTTGGTTACACTCTTACTACAATTACTACAATTACTGCAATTTCTACTTTGAATTTAAGCAATTATGTTGCTTAAAATAAAAAAAATATAACAGCTATTGACTTAAGCGTTAACATGAATTAAATTGAAAAATTGTAGAATTTTTTTTTTTAAATATTAGCAATTCCCTTAATTTATGGAGTTGGGAGATATATTTCTGTTTAATTGTAAATGAATGCTATTTGGAAGATTGTTTTCTAAGTGACGCAGCTCGAAATAATAAGATTTCTTTTGGAAATTCCAAACTAAGCCAACCATTTTGGGCTCTCACTTTCTGCTGATGTAGTCTAAATTACAGGGCATATCATTTTTCAGAGTGTATGTCCGCATAATATTGAAGAATGACTTGAAATTATATGCAAGTCCTGCCACATTGTCGACTTGCAAATTTCTAGTTGTATAATCGACTAGCTGAAGGAACTGTCGCCATGTCGCCACGCCCCATCCCTATTATCATCCTATCCCTATCTGTGCGTGTGCGGGATGCGGTGGTGGAATGTGCGGTGGCGACACGCCACGACTATCGCCTGATGGACATGGTGTTTGTGGGAAACTGTGGCTTTGGCTCCTCACTGCAAAAACGCTTGCAGGTCAAGCGCCAAAAGGCGGCACGAAAGTCGACACTGTAAAATGCATAGATAAATGGATTTATGGCGCTGTTGAACCAACCAAGCCATGTGAGTGCTTTCGCCAGTGTGCCGCTGACTTGATGCTCGGCGAGGAATGGGGTTATAATATAGTAGATGAAGAACGGTAACCAGCACGCTATAAATCCGCCAACGACAATGCTCAATGTTTGCGTCGTTTTATTCTCCTTTTTTAGCGATGTAATGCGATTTGATAGAGATTTGATATTGGCTGATGTTGTTGCTGTTGCAGTTGCATCCGATGCATTTCCAGCGCCAGCTGACTGATGATGATGATGATGATGGTGGCCACGCTGCCTGTCGCCGGCACCACCAACACTAAGATGCGAGTGCCGAAAGCTGTGTGTGCGCAACTGTTGTTGTTGTTGCTGCTGCTGCTGCTGCTGTTGCTGCTGCTGTTGTTGTGATTGTCCCTGCCATTGGGCATCTAATAGACTACTGCTGGGTCCAATGCCACTGGCCATTGTGGTCATTGTAGTCGAAGCTGTCGAGGTGCGTTTTATCGACAATGAGGCTGGACGTGTTAGCTCATAGCAACTGCTCCTCCCACTGCCACTGTCCTTTGAGGATGGCAGTGCCAGCAAGGATTGACAATTTCCAGCATGAATTCCGCCAACTGTTGTTGACACGCCAAGATTGTCAGTATCGCTCAGTGCGATTTCATGTAGTTCCTTCGATATCGTCTGATTAGAAAATGTCTGAGCCGTGGCTTGTTTGCTCTTATAGCCCGTACTGTGATCCTGTTCGGAGAATTCATTTTCAACATCGGCGGCGGTGTAGCGCTTAAATTTCTGTGTAATAAACAAAAATATTTTTCAAAAATGATCAGCTCTGCTAACAAAAAGTTCAAATTGATTAATTATGAATCCGTCTTGGAATTTTATTTGAAGCTGCATATTCAAATATTCTTATTTTAAAATGAAAACTGTTGTGAATTTTAGTAATTATACTTTTTAATACCTAGAATAGAGTTGATGAAAGCAAAACATTACTCAATGACAACTTTAATAAGCACTTTACAGAAATATGTACGCTTGCCACTTAACGTAACATTCAGCGACTTTCTTCAATATCGAACTGAGTGTATCTATCAATCTATATACAATATTCTAAAAGCAAGATAAGCTATAATCGATTGCACATCATCGTTAGCATAACGTTAAATGTTTACAAATAAAAACGATAAATGATATGAATTATGAATACAGAGAATGCTAGAGGATGTATAAAAGAACGTTAATAATTTCACTTATTGCTTACCTTGTTATGAATATTAATATCGTTCATATTGTCGTGTCTTTTTGCTATAACACAGGATATTTTGGCATAAACATAAATCATGACAGCCATTGGTATGAAAAATGAACCCATCGCTGAGAAAATTACATAGCCTTCATTCTGGTTGTAGCGACACTCATGTAAATCTCGCCGTCCAGGCTCGTACCTAAAAAAAAAAAAAAAAAAAAAAAAAAAAAAAAAAAAAAATAAAATAAAATTTAAAAATATTTTTATATACAAATATACTCGTATATATGTAAATTCAAGAAAGTCATGCACCATTTAATATTTAATCAATATTCAATACAATGTGTATTATTTATTAATTTAATATTTATATCAAAATTTCGATTTCATATTCTACAAACAAATTCGTACGCAAATTTATGAAGATGATTTAAAAAACAAAAAAATCTCTGTTTATATAAAAAATAAAATGAATTGTTTGAACAGCAATAAACTTAAACATGTATAAACATTCGTTTACATCTTTAACAAAAACTTTTGGTCGAAATGTATTATTTTGTTCACATGCTTGTCTTAAACATAGAGCAAATACGTATGTGTGCTAATGAACTACTTTCTTTAAATTTAAAAAAAAAACGCCCTTACTTACCAGCCGAGCATGGGCGGACAGGTGATTGCTAATGCCAGTATCCAAACGATAAGAATCATTAGAAGCGCAAGGCGCTTGGAACGTCGTTTCCTTGAATAGGTGAGTGGTTGGGTAACAGCCAGGTATCTAGAATGTTTAAGATGTGGTTGTAGCACGTTCTTTGCGAGGCAATTTTAAAACTTAATACCTATCAACACTGATGGCACATAGACTTAAAATAGATGCCGTGCACAGCAACACATCAAAGGATATCCAAATATCGCAAAGTATCCAGCCGAGTCGCCACGAACCTGAAAATAGTACCAATGTTCGATTAGCGCAACTGTTCATTTACATGAAAGGTTTCTTCAGCAGACACGCAGATTCAACTTTTGTTTTTTCCAAAATGCGTGTTTATGGTAATCCAGGGAAATATATAAAAATATATTTTTTACTGAAGCAAAAATTCCATTCTCAAAAAAAAAAGATAAGACCAAAAGGCCAAAAAAATTCTTAGGCACAGGCAAAATACCACAGTTGCCGAATTTTTCAACTTCAAATAGAATTTTTGAGAAAAGTCAAACTCGCATTCTTTGACACAAATTTGTTAAGATTTTGTTTCTTTTCAAATACTTGAAGAAATAAAATATGAAATTTAATCAAAGAAATTTCTTATATCTGTGAATAATTCATAATTTTGTCCATAAACTTTTTCTAATATTTTTATTTATTAAATTTTATTTAAAAAACACGTTCTTAATGAGTTTGTGTTTGGATAAAACTTGGAATCTCTCTAGTCAAATGAAGTCAAGTGACAACTTCCCGATATTTAAATAATATAGAAGCAGATTGTGATACCAAGCAATTAATGTTTTAGAAAACTAAAATTCCCAAGAAAGGAATCGTATTTTTATTGTATAGTTTTAAAGTAACTGATTATTATTAAACTTACCGATAAGGTGAACAGCAACAGCCGGTGGCATAACGAAAATGCCAACAAGTAAGTCAGCAATAGCTAAACTCATAACGAAACAGTTTGTTACGGTGCGAAGTCGGCGAGTGGTTAGAACAGCTAATATGATGAGGGTATTTCCGATGACGGTGACAACGATAAACGTGCAGAAGACAGCAATCAAACAGATGCCCTGCCATGCTGGCGGCCATTCGACCGCTGCGGCAGATTCGTTGTAGTAGTTGAACACTGTTGAGGCGGGCCCCGAATCACCAAAGGTATAATTTCCCGACTCATTTAAATTTGACGGCAAAGTCGGTTTACTGCTGTTTGCATAAGTAGCTCTGAATGTAGTTGACGGTGATGATAAGGAGCGATTATCAGTGTTCCATGCATCTAGGAAGTCATCGTTGCCAACGGAAATGTTGGGCTGCAATCCAAGAACGCCGCTGGTGGCAAGAAATGTGCTTGCCACATACATCAGTGGCGGGAACAAAGCGTTTGAATTATCCAACTGTGGGTGGATAGCCATATATGCAGTATTTATTCTTGCTAAATCAACATAGTTCACAGTTCAAGCTGCACAGCTAGTGAACGATTTTTGTAGTTGCAAATCGACGATAGCTTCATATTGCCATCGTAATTGTCATTTTTTAATTTCAACATTTTTTGTTTTTTCGTTTTTTATTTGATAATTTTTTTTAAGTATCTTTTTTTTATGATATCCTGCAATGATAGCAAAGCGACAAAACACATTTATCTTTTAATAACTTTATACATATACATGTAATTACAAGAACCCAGCTCAAAATGTTGTCCTTAAGCAAACACATTTAGATTAGTTTGGATTAAGGGTGGGATTTAGTGTAACGTTTCACTTCAACATAATCTTATTTAAGTCGGAATGAAAATGGAATAGCGTGCTTAATAATTCCGAACGAAAATAGAATTGAAAAAACAATTTGTTAATATATAACACACCTATTGAATCATAATAAAAAACATTGTCAAGGTGATTGTGTGTAATTGTTGAACAAAAAAAAGTTATTTCCACAAGAGCTTTATTTTCAGTCAAATTGAATTCTCTTTCTGAAGCACAATGAGGTATTAATGTCAAGTTTCATTTCGATGGGCTCACGTGAATGCGCATTTAATTACAAAAATAGAATTTCCCTCTGCACAGGAATAAGAATAACTTTGTTGAATGTGAATGACACATTGAATTGATATTTCACATTTTTTTCCTTGTGATTTTCTTTTTTTATCAATCGTTATTTCCCCACCAGCTTATTTAACCTTATCAATTTGGCAAATTGAAATTAATCGAAATGATTGAATTAAAAATAACTAATTGACGATAACGTCACTTTTCATTATATATACTTTGTCACTGAATAATAATAAATATAAACGCACTTTTATCATTTCAACTATTTAATTATAGTTACACATAAATATACAATATAAACCGTTTAATTAACACAGCGAGAAAAACTTCTGAAGAGGTGCTTGGCTATAAACATAAATAAAATGTTGATGGAATTTCCGACGCTTCTTTCGTTCAAATATTTATGTGGCATATATATTTTGTATGAACTTTTTCTTATTGCCTATGGGATCGCACCGACAAATAATGGTAAACTGATGAGAAGTAATGAAAAAGGCACCCGCCATGCCTGGAATCGACAGTTGCCGACGTTCGTGCTGACAATAATGTGGAATTAAGTATTATTTATTTAGCGTCTGATAGCGTTCACCAAATGCCAGTGCTGTCGTAGATTGCCATTGCCCCTGTATATGTATTTGAATATTTGTATATATGTGTGTGTCTATGCATAGGTATGTACGCGATAACTAAATTAAAACCACAGCCAAGATAGACAAGGTGGCATTTGCCAGAAAGTATATAAATGAGAGCCTTACGTAAGCTTAAGGATTATCTTAAATGATTTTGACATTTTTTATTTCTTAGATTTGTATTTTGTTGTACAGATTTTCATATTTAAATCTTTCCATTTAGGTATATATATTTACATTACTCCGATTTATAGAATACAGAGAGAGAGAGTCGTTCCTCATCAACCCGTCATTGAGTCGCTTATCGCAAATTTGATAACAAATCAAGCGATTTCCTAACGCAATTATTTACAAGCCCTCTTTTCAGCACACATGCTTAGATATATATTTTTTTGATTTGTGTATTCAGACATATTTGCATTATTTAGATAACATTTTTTCTCCTTATGACGTAGCTCAGAACTATAAAATAGAATTTTACTAATTGATTTCTTCTGTCAAGCGTGTACAATGTCCGTTTCTTTGTCAGTCTGTTTGTTGATTTAAATAAATTCTTTTCTTTTTTTTTTTTAATTAGAATTATTCGAGTTTTGTAAAAGAGAATCGATTAATGGTGTTGCTTTTATTTCGTTTTGAGGGCATACCGACCACATCATAATCTTCAATGTGCCAATGGAAGATTTATTTCACACTAAAAGTTCAATTGGCAAAGATTTGAGAGGAACAGGAAGCAATCGTAAACATGTGCAAATGTTCCCATACGTATGCAAATTCAAATAAAGGCATATACACTTATATGCTGATCAATCTTTATGTGGAGGCATTAAGCGAGTCCAAAATCGCTAAAATGGTAAGTGACATCTTATCGAAACAAACTTTTTAATTAAAATCGATGGAAATGCTTTATACGCAACAGCACAGCATACAATTAAATAATTAAAGAGTAATTTTTGCTGTCGATTTGCAATTGAAAGTTTCGATAGAAACATGTAAAACGAATTAAAAACCAGATTACAAATAAACCATGGTTTAGAACCCATTTTTTTTTTTACTTTTTTTATTTTTGCGCTTACGTTTTGTTTTGCGGTTAGGGTTTTATGTAAATGCAAATGTATACATATGCGTACATGGCCACGTATTTATGAAAATTTTCCCTTACGTTTTTATTGTACATTTTGTACATGAGTCTGCTGCAAATTATCTGCCTTTTGGTTTTTATGGATGGAGAGCCAGTTGTGTCTGCGTTCCCTTTTCCCTTTTTCCCTTTTTTAATTAATTCCCCAGCAACAATACATTAATTACATTAAAAGCCTCTAATTCAAATTTATATACTAACACATAAGCCCAATCCCAAACACAAATAAACAAGCATACAAGCATATATTCCTGTATTCACATATGTAGATATACTTATGCAAAGCTAAATTATATCAAAAATTGTGTGGGCGTATACATTCATATGTATCGTTTAGAAAAGTTGCGAAAAAAAAAAATGAAAGCACTTTATTTGGGTTGTATCTGAGCATTAAAATGCCATTAAAAATGCCAGCTGTCAATAATGGCTTTAAGAACAGCTGTTCGAACATTTGCCACAAAATACGTTTACTGCTTGGCGGACAATACAAATAAATGCTTATTATTAAATGCATTTCATGCCTAATGCTAAGCATTTTTTGAGAACTTGCATATTGGATTACTGATTGAGATTCACCTTAAAAATTAAATGCATAAAAGTAGACTTTCAATTTGAATCAGCTAAAGTATAGCCTACATATGTTTATCCAAAATATTTGTATGAATATTTAAATGGTTATGTTTTTGATTGGTGGCCAATGCGTAAGGTCTCTAAGGTAACAGAGGTTACATAAATCTGAATTTAGTATTTCAATAAATCATTACCTCAGTTGCCGCTTCTTTCATTCAATATTTATCAGACATTTGGTTTCAGTTTTGTTTACACATTTTGTATTGTTTTAAATGTAAAAACCTTTTGTCCATTATCATTATCAGTGTATTTCCTTAATTATGCGCGCATACACACTTACACACAAATATACATATATATATATATATATATAGTAAGTTTTACATATGTGTGCATGTACAAGTACAATTCACTTAACATTGCACTAACAGTATTTTTGCTCAAGGTGCCCCATATAGTAATAATTTCTATATGCAGTCAAATGGACTTTTATATAAATGCTGTAATATGTCTGTTTGATTCCCATCAAGTTAGTAGTAGTGGTAGCCAACTTAATAGTACTTGTTTTAATTGCACATTTCCGTTTCCTGTTAAGTTCACTTCGTACAATTTCTAAATTGTATTTCACATGCAGCAAGTAGTAATGGTAGACATCATAGGGTCATTGCCAAGAAACCGTCGGTAATCAAATTCTGTCGTCTCACCGGGTTCACTTTAATTAAAATCAAGCGACATATGATCAATTTGACGTATTCGTCTAACGATTTTGTTAAAATAACATTCGCTCGGACATAACTCACAGACGCGACTGCTTCGGTTCAGAGCTCTTACAGAACTGCCGCCTGCTTTGACAACCGTAACACACAACAGAGAGAACTCGCGTATCCGAAAGATACATGCCACGAGTGTATCACAACGTTTCCCTCTAAATGCGTATGTACGTGTGTGTGTCTGTGTGTGCGTGTGTGTGTGTGCTTGTGGGGAAATTTTACAATGTGTGTAAGGCAGGCGTGCCACAACAGTTTCCAATTTGTGGGTCCCATTCTTAATGCGAACACATATCTAACATAACAACATAATATATGTATGTACGTACATGTGTATTTGCATTGCATATTTGTGATTAGAGCCGTAAAGTGTACCCTGTTCTTAATCCTTTTATCGTGGCTTTTATTTGGTTTCGTATTTGCTCTTCGCAGATTCTTTTTAACTGCAAATACGTTAAATGTATTAATAACAAATGTTTATGAGTGCCTAAAACATTTTATTTGTATATGTGCGCTGCTCATAGGCACTTAAATGTATTAACATTTGTATGCTTCTATGTTTTATGGTCTGTCTACTGCATCATCAATTAAAGAATTCTGAGAATGAACAGAACTTTGAAATACCCTGCAAACAGCTATAAATTTTGGGCATACGGATTACAATAAATCTGTTTGTAGTTGTTTTAACTCAGTTTTAGCTCAGTTATATATTCTTACTGTTAGTTCAAGATTTTGGAATTCGTTTTATATTATCTATAAGATAAGCTACAAGATATGGATGGCATTAGCATTGTAGCTTATTAAATTATGGAATATAAAATGTAAACAAATTTATAATTAATGACTAGCAATTAATGCATATTTACTAGTAGACAATTGTTTGTTGAATCAATAATAAACTATCGTATTTAATTGTGATTAACAAGTTAATTTGCAACATTAACATTGTCTGTTTCCATTACTATGGAAATTAATAAGGTGCAAAGTGGAACGTAGGTTGAAGGAGTCATCGGAAGAAATGCACAATTTAGCGCATGCGTATTTCTATAGAAATAATGACTGGAAGGCATTAAGCTACATTTGAATTGTAACTGATATATTAAAGCAAACATCGACAATGTTTGCACATAATTAGACAATAGCTCGCAAAACCTAAAAACTCTTTTAATATAATTGTCAAATTTATGATTGAGGCAAATGAAATTATAACGCAGCAGAAACTGCAGAAGGCTTCATACCTTCATAGAGACTGTCTTAATTAAGTATAACTATTTTGTTTTTCGGCCTGATACTTATCGGAGATGCATTCTTCTCCTTAAAATCTCTCATTTCTAATTTGATTTTTATATGGGGTGTAAGCTGCAATTATTCGATTATCAATTCCTTAATTTGGAAATTGTTCAGCATTTCATTTTAAACTTAATTTATAATGCCACAGTGTCAATCATGGAATTCCCTTTATAAAACAATGAAATAAATTACTACTTGCTAGATTAATAAGTGTTAAACTGCCAATATCCAATTTACATTAAAATTTACATCTACATTTAGACTTTCTCTCACTTGCAAAAATTCCATTAGAATTGCATGAAAACACCTTTATGATACAATTGTAGTTTAATTTATTGCAAGCGCCACAGGGTACCACAGTTTATGGCCACAAATAATATGAGTCATATTATGACAACACATTTATTTTTGCGCATAATTATTGATTTGCTGCTAAAAGGAATCGCATGATGTTGAAGTACTTCTAAATTCCCCAACATTTTGAGATAAGAAAATATAAACAAACTATGTATACTTATGGCAGAAAATGTCCTGACTAAGTAGAGGATATATAAACATATAAGGGTTTCGAACATTTTAATTATCCACATGCATCGCGATGTAAATCAGTGAATCACATCAAATTCTTAATATTTATTGCCTTTACGATTTTCTCAATAAGGTAATAAATAATAAGGAATTTTTAGGATCGAAAATGTCAACATGTTTACGTTGAACACACTTTACCGCCAAGTATTTTATGGTCGTTGCCAAACCAAGAAGCCTAAGCAGATTTAATATGGAGGAACGTATTAAAAATATTTACGAATAAAAATCAGATTTATCGCTTTTTAATGTAAACAAGTTTACCCACTTTTAGTAAAATGCTTAATAATTGTTGAGTTGAATAATTTATTGATTACCAATAAATAAAGATAAGTATATAAACATACATAAAACAATATTTATAGATAGAAACAAAATACAAACATTAAAGCTGTAGCGGATTAAAAGCAAAGCTTGTTTTTACTTTATTTAACTTAATATAAACAAGCAGCAACAGTCACTGAAGCACTTCCGTGCACTTCATTTTACAACTTACACTTAAAATGCTCTACAGTACAGAAGGTAATGGTTTATATAGGTTAAAAGTTTGTAGAGCTTAAAGTTACTTCAATAGCAATGTGCCGTTTGATTGCGCATATTAAGTATTCGACGGGTATGGCACTTGGTTTGGTAAAAGTATACAAAAATTATACGATTGAATTAATATTTTTCGGAGTTTTGTAAATAGTGCTCCAAAAAAAAATAAACCCTGAATGAAAACACAACTAAATGTTAATTCTAAATCCCAAATAATCTAGCCTCCCGAATATACATACATATAAACATACATACCTAAACGCAAGAGAGCATTTGCAAGTGAGCAGTAACCGAGGGGGAAATAAAAAATTAACGATGTGCATAAACCACAAAAGCCACACAACTGCATAATGCGGTGGGCATGTTAGCAGAAAATTGCAAAATGCTGAATCTTCTCAGTACGGGACAGTTTGCAGTGCCACCAAACACATATACTAAAATCTCATAGATAGATAAACAGGTAAATATATTCTAAGCGAATACGTTCTCAGCAATATTATCTGCTTAGTGGTTATACTTTATCACTTAATTGTTTAATTAATTTCAAAAACTGAATCAGATTAATCATCTAGGACTTGTAACTTTTGCAACGAACTCAATATACATTTATTGTCTATTTTAAAGTATCATTTACAAATGGTTTTGTCGCGGTCCCCAAAGTATATAAACTGTGTCATATACTTTATTTTTGTGCCCTAAAAGGTTGTGAACACAACATTTAAATTCATTAATTAATTGTATTAAGGCGAAATGTTAAAATGCACAAAGACCAGAAGCGGAAATGTGTCCTTACTTTAGTTAGAGAAAAGTTTTCCTGTACGTTTGGCAACTGTCCTGTCAGCCGACATGATTTAAAGTTCGATATTTCAAGGTGGAATTGCGAAAGAGATACACTGTCTGCAAACTATGGCCTATTGGTTTTGACAGACGAAATAAAAGTAGTAACATACATGGAGAAGGCCTTATTATATATTGATACCAAATGTGATTGGAGATGCCGCCATTTCATTGTTCTTATAAAAGTTGAAACAACTTTATTACATCCTTATTTGTACCCCTTTTATGGGTAGCAGGGTATAAACTTGATTCCGGTACGTATGCATCCAGGTGTATGTAAAATAAAAACAAAATTATGCGTAAAATTCAATTATTCAAAGGCTTTGTAACAACAAACAAACGGGCAAAGGGCCAAAGTTTTGCGCAAACTTTATGAGTATCGAGCGGTTGAGTGCAGAGATGTGAGTCTAGGTCAACATTTAATATTTCCATGGCAGTCGGCTGAATGAACTATGCTCTTGTAGAATTACGTTATGTTGTGACAAGTGAAAGACACCGTTTCCTTGTTAACTTGCAGCATTTTCAGCATCTATTTATAAACTTTATAATCTTTAAACTTTTCATAAATATATCAAAAACAAATTAATTTGCATATGCGAATTATGAGTATTTGTTAACCTCTTTTCTTAGTTCACAGTTACTATTTAAATATATGAAATGATCAAATACTTACTTGCTTTTAAATTTAAATATCCGAAAATGTGTTTTAAAAAAACTTCAAAATTAGCATATATTTTACAACAGAGGTTCCAAAGTAGTTCAAGAAGTTTTTCTTCAAAGAGTATCTGAGAAATAAGCTATAGAACGATAAAATAAATTTATAAGTTTTTTGTTTCAGTTTGAAAATTTGGTTTATTTAACAGGTAACGTACACATATAACCGCATTTTTACATTTTACACTTTAATTTTTATTGTTAAATCTTACTTTGCAATTTGTAAAGGGGAAATTATTGTTTCACAATCTATTATTACAGTTCTGTTTCAGATTTATTCTGGTATAAGTATGTATATCGATATCTATTCTAACACCTGCTGGTATTTATAGAGGTAGGATAACAATTGTCAGATGCCATTTAAAAAAAAATAAAGAAATGCGTATTGTAGCTAGCAGCTTACCGTAATCGTACATAAATCTGCTAATAAGTTGATTAAACGAATTTAAATATATATGATTTTTTTTAAAGAAAATATTAACTATGGTTTTTATTACATAAAGAGTATACACAAATTTAAGTACAATTTAAATACCGTCCAGTTCAATAAAAATATATAGACAGATTGTGTTCATCCACCCCATAAAAAAGAGGGCGAATTCACTTGTTAGGCAATAAGTGTGATCTAGAAATTAGAAAGCACACTTTTATTAACCATAGAGCTTTAATGACGGTTCTATTTTTTTTTTTAAAGAGACAGATTTTCCATTAATTGGTAAAACTGTAAACATCGCTATCATTAGTCAAGTTTAGTAATATGCTATTTCGAAAAATATACATACATATGTTGTTAGTTAATACATTCCCAAACATTTGAATATCACTTGGTATGTATGGGTTGTTAGTTTTGTTTTTGTTTTTGTTTTTTTTTTTCAAATTCAATTCTCTTGCATGAAAGTTGTATTACATTGCGTTTTGAAAACGCCATTAAAACGATTAGCATTTATATAAAGTTATTTGGTTGCATACCTCGAAAATTAACTTAATGTTAACATCTTGATTTTTACAAAGTTATTTATTCTTTCGCCATTGGGTTTATTTGTATTTGAAGTATGCTTTTAAGTACATTGAATGATTACCTTTAGAATAAATTCGATAAAGTGTTTCATTTAATTTAATGAAATTTTATGGCGATATCATATGGGTAAATTAGTTTTAATTAAATTGCCATCAGGACATACTTTACGTACATATTAATATTTGTATGAAAATATGTACTAAATGTACATATTTTTATTTGTTTGTATGTATGTAGCATATTTATATATATATATATGTATATATATATATGCATATATATTTCAAATTATAAATAATTATATTTAGTCTGCATATTTGCTATATTTTATAAAAATATTTGTTATTCTATATGAATTTGTAGTTTTATGCGTGTGTTGGTTTTGGAATATAGCGCCATTGGGCCTAGCTATTGGTTTTGATTAAATACATTTAATAATTCATTCCGAATGTTTTGGCGCAATAAGTATGTATATTTGGCACTAATAATTCTGTTTTTTTTTTTGTTTTTTTTTTTAGTATATTATATAGATTTGCATAAATACAATAATTGTGAACATTGCTAGCTATTTAGTTGAATATAATATATATATAAATGTATATATATATATATATATGTTTAGAATTATATACTTTAAGCAATGAAATATTAGGCTAATTTAAATTAAATTAAATAAAAGCATATATTTGCTGTAACACTGGTTTCTATCCGATTTCTGTTTCTTGGCTTTTTGGTACAATAAAAACCGCTGCAGTCGACTTTCAGTTGTGCTTCTTAGTATTCTCAAAATAACAATTCATTTTTAGATGATTTAAGATCATTAAAGTTGATCTCAGTTGTTATTTTTCCATCTCGAAAGCAATAACCGCCAGCGATTTTTACGTCTTCTGCTTCAAATTTGCCATATGAGTAAATGATTGGTGCTGTCCTCGCGGCCAGCGATTTCACTCAGTGAATTGGCCCCAGAATTGCGAAAATCTTCATAGCCATCACCGCCAGATATGATAAGTATATTTTTTGTTTCCGATTTGGATTTTGAATTGTTCTTCGTTGAACTAAACGCGTGGATGCGTACAATTTATTCGATAAATATAAATAAGTACAATTAATTTCTGTTAGATGATAAGTTTATATTTGAACTCACCCCTGTTTTGTGTACTCATCGCTGGTGCTGCTTCCAGTTTCTCGTGCAGATGCCGCAGCAGCTATCACTTGGGAGCAGCCCTCTACTCCGTGTGACGGTGTCTCCACAAAGGTAAGGAAACGCACATGTCCCGTATGGCCGTGTGGGATGCCAGTGGGCACCACATTGGGGGCACCCTTTTCATAGCCCTGAGCTGGTATGGTAAGCAATACACCAGCACTGGTGCCTATCCAAATGAGATCCTTACAGCAGAGCAACGAAGTAACCCGCAGGCAAGCGGCTTTATGCTGCCGAATGATCTCGTCGCAATTGGACAACATCTTATTAACGGCAGGAGCGAGGTTTACTTCAGTTATCAGTTGGTGGCTGTTTAACAATACAAACAGTTAGTGAAACATTCATATCAGTATATAGGTCACGACATTACTTACGTATTGGAATGAAAACATTTAATGTGAGCTGAGTTTTGTACGGATATCCATACATAGTTATTTGCTACTGTCATATTCGTAATTGGCTTTGAGTCTGAAGAGATTTGTATTTGATTGACCACCTGAAAAAATACAAAATTTAAAAAAGTTAATTTTGACATGCTTTTCAACTGGTTTCTTAAGTTATCTTACCGAAAATGATTCAGTATCCAATACTTTTATAATCCCCTGTATGGAGCACCATAATTTGCCATTTACGTTCAGCAGCTTAGTCACTGGGCTTGTAACTGTGCCAATTGAGAGACAATGCGATAAGCATGTATTCCAAGATGTGGCTGAAAAGAAAAGAAGAATTGATTAGTATATATATATTTTATATACATGTTAGATTACTTACCACCATCTCTGAGATAAACACAGATATCACCATTAGCTAAAGATACAAAAACACGATTGTCAAGATATCTGCAATGAAGTTGTGTATGTTTAGATATATATAGTTATATAATTGTAGAATATGTGCACTTACAATATGGAAAATACAGCTGAATGATGTTCAATTTTAATACGATTCTTCTTAATGCGTATATTGTCAGTACTATTGTAAACATGAATACATCCATCTTCAGTACCTATCCACATTGTGGATTGATTACATTCGCTTTCATCGGGATTGGAGTCCTGCAAATAAACCATAGAGTATTCATGTTAATGTTAATAAAGTATTTTTGTCAAATATTAGGAGCAAAATAAAAGAAGTTGCCTCAGCTCAGGTTCATTTGAGGTTCAATTACGTTGAGTGTACTTACTTGATGCACATGATGATATGGGGCTTGTAATGAGGGTGCAGGGCTGGGCATACGTTGTTGTTCAATGGGCGCAGTTGAGATGGCATCCGTCTCATCATCGCTGGAACTTAAATTTAAATCTAGCTGAGTATCACTTTGATTGCTGGTCGCATCAGCCCCATTGCCAATAATCGCCGCGGCGACTTTCTTCTTCTCTGGCGCCGCTAAAGTGGATGCAGGTTGTGCAATGGGCGAGATGCTTTTGCGATAGTCGCGCAACTGCTGTGTGTAGCTATGCTGTGGTGTACTGCTGCGCAAAGTCTGCTGTTTATCCTCCTGTCCATCATCGACGCTACTGCTGCTGCTTGTGTAGGCCGGCACTGATGCAACGCACAGAATACGTGCATTGCAAACACCGTTGCAGCTGGTTACGTTCGGTTCCGGATGCAGAGACATGATGCACACTTGGCCCACATAACCATCGCTGTTGCAGACCCAAACATCTCGCTTATCGCTCAGCGTTGCTGCCGCACAAGTGAACTGAAGACCCGCTCGTGTCTTCCGTATTGGTATAGATGTGAGGAATTCTGGTATGGGATGTCGCTCGAGTGTGGCGGCTGTAAATTATAAAACAGGAATTGAAATGTCATCAATTTTTATTCACTTATTGACAACTAATCATAATTTGCATTGCGAAAAAGACGAGTAAAATGTAATACATTTTTTTATAGCTTCTCATCCAAATTTAATTACAATTTCTTTTAAATATTTGCTGTCTAACATAACAACTGAACTAAACAACAATTAAATAAAAAGAAAGTATTAAAGTGATTTTAAAAATTTAAAAAAATAATAATTGTAAGCTAATTTAAAGTTGTATCCATAAAATGCTCATATAGACAATTGAAATATTTAAGTATTTAACATATTGCATTTAACTTACCCAGTTTAAGTTTAGCTTCATTAAACGCTTCTTCCCAATTGGTGCGCTTCTCTGTCTTGCTAAATACTACAGTCAGCTTTTGGCTTCCATTGCTGAAAAAATAATAGATGGTTTATTATGATATTAAATTATTAATTGAGGATCTTCTTACGGTGAGCTAACTGTCAACTCCAACATATTTAGTTGAGTGTCATTTGTTTGACGCTCGGATAACTGTCGCTGAATGTCGCGATGCAGTTCGCGAATGACATCTTCCAGATACTGATGCGGATGCTTTAATGATGCAGCGATATCAGTGATTTGTTGCAGCTTATTGGAGTCTTCAGACAGGTTTTCTATTTCGCTAACGATGCGCTTTATGTTCTCATCTTTAGCTAGATTAAATTGAATATCTAGCAATGCATTATTGTTATACGATGAAATTAAATTAATACTCACACTTGACAATCTCCAGGCAGTCCAGAGAAATTTTTGTAAGGAACTTATATTTATTGGTGTCCAAAGTGGTTGCCACTGAGCCGGGACAAATTGAGCTGTTTGGTTTCCTAATGGTGCCACTGCGCTTCTTGATGCTTGTCAAGACCAACAGATCATTGAACAGGAAAAAGCCGCGATCCTTGCGAGCACCCTGCCCCGAGGGCATAGATACCAAATCGAATAATAAAAACTGACGTTCGGGCGCTATTAAATCGGTGATGCCTTCTATGACGCCCTCCAATTCCCTTAATGTTGCCTCTCGCTGTCCATTTTCCATGATCTCGCGTTCCTTGCAATTGATGTGAACCAGAATGTCGTGCACCAGCTTGAGCACATCCTGTAAATGTTTCTGATCGGGATGATCGTGATCTGTATGCTTGATGAGGCGTTGGAAGAGCAGCTCGTAGCTATAGAAAATTTAAAATCATTATAAATTCAGCTGCATATTAAAATAAAAACCAAAAAGAATAAGACATTTTCGACATCCCGAAAATATTCATGGGGACCAGAGTCCAATTTAATAATTAATTTCAAATTTCTTCATATAATAAGCAACTAATCTAAATAAATATGACAAGGAACATGAAAATGAATTTTATTGATTTCAGTTTCCTTAACTTTTAAATATTAACTGCATACAATGAATAATCTTTGTGAAATTTATTTTACACCAAGATTAGCTTAAATAAGTTCAAGTATGCTTAAGTAATTTTATTTTCTTTGGATTTAAAATAAGAATTTTGAAATTCCATATAAATCGCATTTATTAAAACTGACAAGAAAAAAAGAAAGACGTGCAATCAGAAAGACAATAGGACATGGCTATATCTACTCAGGTATTATTATTATATCTAGTTTCGATACCTTCTAATAATATTTAATATGCAATTTATACGTACTTGGGAAATTTTTGTACGGGCTTTATAAGCAGATTGTCCAGCGTAAGTTTTCCCTTGTGCTCGCGGGCTGTGGATTCCAGGAATTTGGCAAAGGAGGGTCGCTGATGCTTCATCGAACGAATGGCATTCTTGGCGCGATTACAATTATTTACAAACGATGTATAGACCTCAAGGACTTCGAGCTTTGAAAACTACACAATTCATTTTTAGCATTTGATTATCATTTGATTAAACACAAAGTGCTACTTACGGTTTCAATAAAGGCATCGCCCACTTTTTGATTTACATCCCAGTCGTCGAGTCGGTGTTTGAGCTCAGCTAAGAATTTCTCATGTATTTCAAGAATATCGGGCACCATAAAGAAAATCTCATCCACGGTGCGTGTATCAATCATGCCAGCGTGTTCCGGTGACTTCAAAACTTTCAGATACTTAAGCACAACGGTTTGCAGAGATTCCACATAGGATTGCTCATTACGATAAATCTCCTGTACAACATAGGTGCGTGTGTCCTAAACAAACAAAGAAGAAAAAAAAAAAAATGATAAAAAAATGAGAATACAAAATATAAATGATTATTACAGATTGTCTGATTATTGATTATTATTAAGCCTTTCTGAAACAACCCGCCGCCCACACTTACGCCATCATAGCCGCCCAGATTCCATTTGCAGTTAATATCGAACTGGGCGCGCCTCTCCGAATCATCCTCGGAATCGGAGCAAGTGATTGAAGCCATTTTCTTGAGCCTATCACATTTGTCATTTTGATGGGGTGCCGCAGCGAACCCAGCCTTGCTCAACCGTGCCACAGTCGTTGTTGCCATTGAGACAGCTTGCGACACACTGCTAGTGCTGCTGCTGCTCGCCGGCAATGTGGATGTGGATGTGGATGCAGCTGCTGCTGCCGCCAGCGGCTGTTGCATCACAGCCTGAGCCAATGTCTGTGGCAACAGAGGGGCAGCAACGGTATTTGAGGGTGCAGTTATTGTTGCTTGCAAATCCAACAGACTTAAACGTAGATTTTCGCGATTATGCGACATTTTTAATTAATATTTAATGATTATTTGTTGTTGTTGTTGTTAACTTTGATTGATTTATACACTGATTATTGTTTTGTATTGTTCAGCATTTAATAAACTACCAATTGTCACTACGTTTGAGTTAATCAATTTTGTATTTAGCATTTGTTGGCACAAACTAAAGTCGCGTGCTCGCCCATCGATAAAAGGCAGGTAACTAAAATTGCAAACAAATTTATTGGTCCAAAAAAGTGCTTTAAAAACAAGTAATAAGTAGTACTGGAGTAGCAGGAATGAAGAAATCTGCGTAGATGTCGAGTGGGTGAACAACTACTACCCACGTGCCACATAAGTACTACATACTACACATGTATGTATGTATGTATGTATGTATGTACAAACATACATACATCTGTACATTCAGTCTATGTGGTTGTTCACAACAGAAGATTTAAATAACCTTGCGGCTTCTCCAGGTACAAGAAGTTGTTTGTGTGGTTTCTCGCCCAAAAAATGTATTTGCCACAACAAGAAAACCAAGTGTTTTTACACACACACATACACAAGGATGTACGCCGTCAGATCTGATTTCGATGAAAACAGGAAAACGGAAATCAAAACGCCTTTAAATTGCTATTTATGCTCAACTTCACATGTTTATCGCACTTCAAAATTCACATTAGTTTAGCAATTAATAGTTCAAATTTGTAAAAACACAATTGAGAAACTATTTTTGATTTTCTTGTGAAAAGTTTTTGCAAAAAACAAAAAAGGGGAAAAAAAACTAAAAAGCCAGCAACTAAGAATATTTCATAGACTAGCGAGCAATATTAATTAAATTGCTTTTAGGCATGATACTTAATTTTTTTTTAAACATATATTATATAAATCTTGTTTGTTTTTATATGTATACACATATATACATATAAATACACATGTGTCCAATAAAGCTTGTATCAATGTGTATCCAAGTATTTAACGCTTATAGAAAACTGTTGAGATTTGATTGTGTTTTGCACAAAATATAGGAAAAATATAATTGGATTGCGCTTCGCTGGCTGGAGTTTGAAGCTTTAAGTGCGTTTTCCCAGAAGTACACAACACAATATAATTCACAATTTAATACAATTACAATTTTTCTTTGAGCTGCGCAGCGCAACAAGAGGTTGGGTATGGTAGCCGATATGCTTTTGTGTATACATATGTATCTACTACATACACACATTAACAGATCCATACACACATAGACACACACACACACACACACAGACACAGACACGCACACAAATACATGGACATATATTTAATTGTTTTGTGTTTTTGTTTTTGTCATAAAGTTAGGCGTTGCTTTTGTTATCCTTTTATTTCAATGCATACACTTGATTTAAATTGAATTTAGCCGTACGTGTTTACACATATATATATATATATAATTACATATGTACTTTTAAGCATGTATGTATATGCTGACAATGCAAAGGAATCTTCTTTTTTTTCTTTTGCAATTTTATTGAATTGAAAACCATTAAATACTTTTGAACTCCGCGTGCTTGTAGCCTGTTATTATTATATTTGGCTTATTGCTGTTGCCTGTCTGTTTTATCTGTGCGACTGTTTTGGGTTAATCTATTTTCCACAACACCACAAAATAAAACAAACGAAACACGAAAAATTTCGCCACACAACTGAGGTACAAAAACCAAATAAGAATTTAAACGCGCGCATTGGCGTTGGCGGAGAAGACTCTGTTGCTGCGCGCGCGGGAGAGCAGCGACACAACTTATGCTTGTGTGTGTGTGTGTGTGTCTCTCTGTATGTGTGTGTGTATGTGTGTGTGTATGTGATGCGGTTTAATACTCACATTGTGTGTTGGTGGCGCATATAACTAGCTGCACAGGAGTGTGCTACTCAACACGTTGAAAAACATTCCATTGTGCCAAATACACACTTAATTTCCATTTTTCATATTCCAATCGAAAGCAGACAGCCCACCCCCAACAAGCCGAACTCTCACGATACTAATTGGAATACCACGAACACTTCTCGGTTCGGTCTGCATGCGACAAGTGGCAGAGACAGACAATGGTAGCATGCATTTTCTTAAATTATTCATATTTTACTTTATGATCAAAACAAAAATGGTTTGTTCAATTATATGCTGATTAATAGTCAAATATTCAAATTTTCTTGTCACTCGGAATGCGACTATTTCGAAATTTACAATTTTCGAAGAATTTATAATTCTAATTTCAATAAAAGTGTTTTTTTGTTTTTTTGTTGTATGGATTAAACTTTTGAATTATGAAAAACTCTTTGAATTTTTAATTTTCTGCACACGAAGTTCTTTTTAGATATTAGAACTATTTGTTAGTTTAGCCCTGTTTTCATGTACTTTGACAAGTAATGGACTTAAGAACAATTACTAACAAATATAAAGTAAATAGTCAAACATTCACTCAAACAAAATGTATTAGCTTAATTAAAAGAACGAGTTTTTATTTAAGATTTCACAGAACTGTGTCCTAGTCACAACAACAACCAACTGAACATGATAAAACCAAACGGACAAGTGTGCAACTGATGATGATGATTGTCCATTAACCATGAGTAAACAGCGCTTAACTTTTAACCATTATAATAAATATTTATGATCATACGCTTTAGACCGCTAATAGCTGAAGCTAAAGACACAAATAATGCGTTAGCTTCAACCACGGTGCATGGAGCGGAACAAAGAGATGAAACTGTGGCAACTGTGGCGCTCTTCCTAACACAGTGACACATTTCCAATGCGCAGTGGTTGTTGGAGCATGCGCACAAATATGCTGTCTGTTTCTGTTTTTCCAATCAATTTCCCAAATGCTCTGCAAACAATACAAATTGTGGCGCTCATGCACATGTACATATGTATGTACGGTTTTCCCAATGACCAACACATTTCTGTTGATGGAACAATATCAAGAAGTTTGGAGACGGAGATCAATGAATAATTTCGTTTAGTTTTAATTGAAACATTTTACCAACTACTATGAAGTGCTGTTAAGAACCTTTAGATTTACAAAAGATAAAGAACCATTTACAAATGCTAACTTATGTGTCTTTATAATATTTTCCTTCAGATTTATAGTCCTAGCAAGAACGCTTAATTGTTTGGAACACAAAAAAAATAATATTTGTTTGTTTTTGTTTTTTTATAATTCACTTTTCGAAATTGTTGGATAAAAATACCGAAGTGCCTCTCAATTTTTGCTACAAATTTGTTGCTTTAGGTATAGGTTTATATGATAAAAAATATTATTGAACAAATAAATTGTGAAGATCATTGCCCCCTTCAATATATATATATATATATATATGCTCGGTTATTCGGCTACTTACCGCAATCGTTTTCTGTCGCTGCTCAGAGAGCATATTCTCGCTGGATCCCTGGAGCAGCTCCGCCAACAAGGCAGCTGAGGGAGGCGCCTTGGATTTGTTGCTGCTGCTAGCATTGTTGGCCTCAGCACTGCGCTTCGCATGATGATGATGATGGCCGTGATGGTGCTGATGTTGGTGTAGATGTGGTTTCTGAGTGTCACCACTAATCGATTGACTGCGCTTGGTGTGATGCGATTTGAGTTGGGGCGTCTCGGATGCGGCACGTTTCATTTGATGTGGCGGCTGCATATCAGCCGCTAATATCGTCTCGTTCAGATCCTTGGCAGACACCGAAATTGGCAGCATTGCACCCGCACTGTTCACATGATCGATTTGCGAAGGAGTCGACGCGGCGCGTGCATGCGTCGGCACCGGCAAATACGCACTCGACTTACGCACCCGCATCGAGCTCGAATATTGCGGCTTATTGTTGCGCATGGAGCCAAGAGAAGGCTTTGACTCACGACGCGGATTCAAGCTGGAGGAATTAGAATGTTATTGTTTTCTTGCCAGTAAAATATGTATGATTTTTGTAGTGGAAAGTGTCCTACTGCTGAAAGCTCTATTGCCAGCGTAATGCAGATGAAACCCTTTTCAAAAACTTCAAGTTCCTTATATTTTTTATGCTACAACTCCAATACACAGAATTACTGGCATAAGATAGATAATATCATGGAAAATATGACACTCACTAAGGTTGACTTTGATATATACATATATGCAATTGATGAATATAATAATATTGATATATACATAGTTAATTTTTAAGAGATCTGTTTGATCACTTTCTATCTTTTAAAAATGAATAATTCTTGCTTCTAATTTATATATTAAATATCGGAAAGAATAATGTTGTAATCATTTTTACCTGAATAAATGTAGAGGTAATTCTTGAATTGTTTGCAGTAAATATTATAATATATATATATATTTATTTCTTCTTTAAACAGAGCAGAAAAACGTTTTACTTTTGGAAACTACACAAAGCGAATAAGAGGTATAATAAAAATAGTGTTAAAACTCACCTGTCAGATTCGCGCATTTCCTCGAGTATCTCTTCGAAATGCATGCGATTTGGTTTCTTCAGTTCCGCCTCCAACATTTGCCCATATGGACCACGAACGGTTAGCGGGCGCTTCGAATAACGTTTGCTTTCGTAGTCACCGCTGGGTGTTGGACTCCAACTGATGCGCTCCTCGGTATCTGACATGGAATCCGTTTGCAGGAAACTGTTACTCTTGCTATGATTATTGCTTGTGGCATCGTCCTTTTCCTCGCTGCTCTGGCAGCTGAAACTGCTCAGCAATTGTGGCTTGTCCTGTGATCCGCGCCATGAGGGCGATGACTTATCCAGCTCGGGTGTGTTCATCTCAAACATCAGCGGGCTGTTGCTGTCATCTGGTGAATCTGGCTTAATCGCCTGAAAGTTGGCTATAGATATATCCAGCGCAAGGCCACGATGTGGTGCAGCAGGTTGATGCCAATCGATATTATCGATATACATGCCCTTACGCTTGGTGGACTTGTCCAGATGCCGTTTATGGCGCTCGCCAGTGCTGTGCCTTGGCGTCGCTATCGCCTCTGTGCCGCGTAACTCCAAATCGAGCTCCTCTTGCCGCTGCTGCTCATCCACAGAGTCGAACGACGGATTGGTTAACTGTTCTGTTGGGCTTAGATTAATTATTTCACCCTCTTCGGAGCTGCGACTCACTGAGATGGTTGGCAGCGTTGTCAACGTTTCCGGTTGCATTACTTTGCATGCTGCATGTGCAATGGGTGGCTGCACTGTTTCCGGCACCATGCCAAACTCCGGCGCCAATTCCACCCATTCCTGAGCAGGTGTCTCCAGCCACTCTTGGGCCGCACATTCATAAACCGGCACGGGTATCAAACACGTTGTGGCTGTTTGTAAAATATTATCTGGTGGCGATTCCAGCGGCAGTTGCTCCTCCAAAAGTTTAGCCAAATTGGGCTCCATTATTGTGGGCAGCTCCTCCTCCTTGACATTACATTCGCTCTCCGAGTGTATGGTATCCGATAATGATTCCATTTTGGCATGTGCCGCAATAACACTGCAAGCAGTCGCAACCGATACGCTGGCGCCACTACAGCTATCCGTATTGAATATATCTTCTTCGGCTATCGAATCGGGCACGTCTTCCAGCACGTTCTCAAGTGATTTCTCCTGTCCGTAGTTCAGGTTAATACACACAGCCGTACTCTTTAGTGGTATGTGCACCCAACCTGGATCCGGCAATTCGTTGCCCTTGTTGTTGTTATTGTTGTTGTTGCTGTTGTTGTTGCTGTTGCTTTGTTGCAGAGGGGGGCTCTCAATGGCCTTGTCCCGTCGCAGTCGATCGCGCCACGCACTCAATGTTGATTTACAATCAATTTGTGAGAATGAAACGGAACGAAACGGTAAAATCCCTTTCGCTGTGCGACTCTCCGCTCTGGACAGCTGCGTTGCCCATTCGCTACTGCCTGCCTCACCGACGACCTCACCGTCACCCACTGATGGGGCTGTCGCTGCTGCTGTCGCTGCTGCTGTCGCTGCTGCTGTTGCTGCTGTTGCTGCTGCTGCTGCTCGTGGTGGCGGTGATTTGGACTTCTCGCGAGTGCACAACATGAAAGTTTCCAAATTGGAGAGACTTGCGTTTGGCCGCATTGATTGAAAGAGTCGCTGTGTGCCTGTATTGGGCACACCGATGCTATTGTTGCTGTTGCTGTTGTTGTTGCTGTTGCTATTTGTGCTGCTCTGCTTTTGTAACTGACTACTGCTGGTCGATGGCTCCGCATCTTCGATTGGCTGGCACTGATCGCCCACGCTCTGGCATAATGTGTCCTGCAGTTCCAAGCTGCTTGCTGTTGAATTATTATGCGGAAGTCGGGGGCGTCGTGGCGGTGGCACCGGCGGTGGTGTTGGTGTCGATGAGGCACGTGAACTGCTGCCACCACCACCGCCGCCACCGCCACCGCCTCGCAACAGTTCCGTTAGCTCTCTGAGTCGCTCGGATCTATCGGAAGTTTTGCGTGTCTTCTCCGCACTGCTCGATCTCGAATTGGAGGCACCCCCCTCTGTGGATGCCGATGGCCTTGATTTGAGCCCGAAAGCTAGGCGCTGAAAACGATCAAGCGTATTACGTCGTTTTTCCATTGTCTGCTGAAAGAATCAGAAAATCAATTGGTGAGGAAAGTTAATCGAATCATTTTTTCCAGTTCACACAACAGCGACAATATAATCATTGTATTGTTGAATGGATCGACGTCATTTCTCTCGCTCGCTCTTCCCATTTCTCTGCTCTCTTCAAATATAAATATAAACATGTGCATTTAGAGGCAAGCGTTTAGAAACAACATCGTGTTCAATTTGAAAATGTTTGCAGAGGACCTAAAATGCTCTAGAAGTGTTTTGTTTTTCGAAAAACGAAGTCAACTTTAATTTCGCTGTATTAATATTAAAGTGAGTTTTATTTATTAAAGTTGAAAATATTATTTGAAAACCTTGGAGAAGATCTAAAAATGTCCTTGAACTGTTTGCTTTGCCTAAAAGTAAACTCGGTTTTTTAAATTCGTTTTATAATTATTAAAAGAAGATATTTAATAAAGTTCAAAATATAAAGCATTCTTTAATATTCGTATCTCTTCGGATAAATCTAAAAAATGTTTAAATATTTTATATTAAATACTATATTATTATTATAAAGTATCTGCATATTGGCGCAATCTTACAAAAAGTTAAGATAATAGTTGTTTTAGAAACTATACCTTAAAACGCAATTTAATTCGAACACTTACTAGATATTTTTATAAAAACATTGAATATCGAAAGAGATGAGTACACAGATCTTATGTTTACTCAACATCCATTCAGCGATCTGAGGCACTTACAAATCTAAATTGGCGAACACTTAAATTCGAATAGTGCCCGATGTTGAGAGTAAGTAGTTTTGCAACTATTTTTTTGGGCGCCAGATTATCTTGGGCGTAATTATATTTTTCAGTGCACAGTGACACATAAAACACAATGTAAGGCAAAACAGAAAATGCTATGGATACAAAAAATATACATATACATATGAATACATCCATATCCATATGTATATGTACAAAAGTCAAAAAAGAAAAACTCTGTATATACGCACACAGTGATATTTTTAGTATAAACAACAAGAATTTATACCAAATACAAAAGAGAGAGAGAGAGCGAGGCAGGGAGAGAGCGAGGGAGAGAGAGAGAGAGCGAGAGAGAGAGCAGCCAGACAAACTCAAAATCGTACAGATGTATGTACCTTAGACACATATTAAAAGAATCTTACAAAAAAGCACACCGTAGAACAGCCGCATCCCAGAACAACAGAACAACAAAATCTCAAACAAATTGTGGCACCATTAGCCCAATAATATATGCATGTATTTATGTATGTATGTATGTATGTATGTACATATGTATAGCTCGTAATTATGTTTGTAAGTAAATACGCATATAAATGCGCATATAAGCACGTAATTAAAACTGACAATATTACATGTTCTGTCTGTTTTCTATCCATATGCCTGCATCCACATACGAACATAAATACATAAATACGTACATACATACATGCATATACATAAACACATACATGTACATACATACATATGCATGAATGGACATTAGGAGAACGTACTTTCTTAGTATGAGCAGACTACAGCGTTCTCTCAATTCTCACACCTCGCAAATATTTATTTTGTTTTCAAAAGGTATTAGAAAGTTCATAAAAATTAATTAAGCCCGAGCGAACCAATAAAATCATTTTGCAAGGCATTTTGTTGTTTTAGGAAAGGTGTGTAATATACAATATTAAGTTACATTTTAATTTTCCAATTTATTTCAGTTCAATTAAGTTAGCATATTAAACTCTGAAGCTAAAATTGGATATTGTTTTTGAAATATAATTTCGATTTTGAAAATGATTTTAAATTCCTAATTTATACACTAATTTCTTATTGTGCATCAAGATTTCAGAATTTCATTGTCCAATGAATTTAAAATATTTAGATATAGGAATTGTTTAGATATTAAAAACATTTTTATATTTGTTTATTTACATGTGGGCCATATTTTGGGATACCTCAAAATTGTCAAGCGTTCTCACATGTGCCAGTGAACACTGTATTTAAATTATTGTATGCGTAATTATGGATGATCACATGTGAGTAAGAGTTTATCCCTTAGTCAAACACTAGTGTATTTATTTGTATGCTTTGTATGAACTTACATCTTTGCCAGCACAGTTAAGTCCAACTGTTGAATACGCATAGGGGGAACAGTCAAAGGTTTGAATGATCGGCAAGTGTCGCAATTGCAATGGAGTTACTGCGATCGTCTGTTGAGGTATTGAACAATATGTTAGATTGTGCAGCGAGATGCTGGCAAATGTTGAGTGCAATGACACATTTGAGGAACTATTCGATTGGTCCAAGTTGTGAATGAAGACGGTTTTCTCGCTGCAATTCGAGATTGAATCATCTGGTAAATTTAAATCTATATGAACATCCGACTCGTCGCCAGCGATCGTTAATGTCGCTGCTTGTGACAATTGTGCTTCAAATTCAATCGGCTTCGCTGATTTATCTAAATCAATACAGTTGTCTTCTGCGTGGACATTTTTTAGCTCATCAGTCGCATTATAATATTCACCAATTGCGTCACTATTTGGCGCAATTTCCGATTGGGTTGTCAAATCGTTCTCCGTTTCCGCTGCTCTCTCCGGGTTGCTTGGATTTATGCTGAACTCCTGTTTGAGATATCCGTTACGATCGTAGCGAAGAACACATGTTGTTTTCGGTTGCAACGCTGTGTCGAGTTTACAATTGTGATTGCTGTCAAATGCATGCAAATTGCAGCTATTTTCAGCTGGCACTGGTGTGGATCCGCTGGCGTACGTTAAATTTGAACAGCTGCTGGGTATTTGCTGGGTATGCGTATGCGTGTACTCCAAGGGGTAGATTAGCTGCTCCCGCTGTTGACTCTGCTCCAAGCGGCGGGTCTTTAGTGCAGGTTCGGTGGGATCCGATGAACTATCACTGCATGCGGTCACCTCGAAGCAAATACGTGGCTTCGGCTTGGGCGGCACTGGCGGCGGCGGCTGGCGACGATCACAACGGACATAAGATCGAAAATTATTCGCGCGACACGATTCACTTGGATAATATTCAAGTGTTGTTCGACGGCCATTTGGCTCCGATAATTGTTCCTGCTGCCGCTGCTGCTGCGGCTGCTGCTGATGCGGCTGCTGCTGGTGAGTGAATTTGTTAATCGTATAACAACAAATTATTGGTAATACGCGACGATTTGTCGATGACGCGTGTGACGCTTCAACTTTTAAGGCCTTATCCGTTGGCGCTGTATTTGTTATTGTTGTTCTTGTTGCTGCTGTTGTTGCTGCTGCTGTTGTTGCTGCTGCTGTTGTTGCTGTTGCTGTTGTTGTTGTTCTGTCTTGTGCGATAGTTGATGATTTTGGCTGGCGTTGTTCTATTTCTATAAACGGCAGCGACAGCGACAGTGAGCCAACGCCAACGTCATCATCATCATCGGCAACAACAACGTTATTATCATTATCATTGGCTTCTTCCTCATCGGAGACAAAACGATACGACGACAAATCAGACACTGAATCCGTGTACGAACGATAAAAAGCTACGATGCCGCCAGGCTGCTGCTGCTGCTGCTGTCGCTGTTTCTGCTGTTGCTGTTGCCGCTGCTGTCGTAGTTGTTGCTGCTGCTGTTGCTGCTGGTGCTGTCTCTCTCCACAGCACCGCTCGCAGAAGGCCCATGCTCGCGAGCTTTCGGCAGTATTTTCGTTTGGGCGCCGAAGCTTTTCACACAATCGTTGCATCTGATTTGGTTTTCGATTTGACGGATCGTTATCCTCATTGTTATGATTGTTATTGTCGTTGTTGTTGTTGGCGTTCGTTTTGCTGTTGCCCAGTTGTGGTAAGTTCTCTGACAGCGATATATTTTTAAAAATCATTGATTCCAGATGCGTGCATTAATGCCAGAAGCGTTCGATTTGATTGTATTTTGATCGTCTTTAAATTTCTTATATTTTAAATTGGCTTTTATTTTTTGATTTGTGAAGCTCGTTGGTTGCTATTGGTAGTCCCGACTATCCTTTCAACATATCCTGTCTGCTGTTTATATCTGTAACAATTAAATTTGTTGATAATTAATAAATTTTCAAAATGAATTTGCTGCAGACTTACAGTAGCAAATTATGCATTAATTGGTCGCATTTTATAGTATATTTTCTCTTTGTTATATCGTCCTGGATGTCCTTAAATACATAGAAATAAATTATATTAATTTTAAAATTTTTCAAAAAACAGAGAATCAATTCGAATACTTAAAAAGCTGCAGTTTCTAGTTTCTTCTTTTTTTTGGCAATAAAATGTGCCGAATAGCAAAAGCCAATTTTTGTGGACGCCGCAAAGTGTGCCACACTTTCTGGCCGTATTAGTTAAGAAAATTCATTTTTGCTAGCAATCAATTAGTCAAATACAATAATATTTAATAATAAAAATGCGCAATAATTTATGTTTAGTTTAAAATTATTGGTTTCTAGTTCTGGTCAAGCAGACAGACGCAATTTAAACGCAAATGAAGAAAATAATTGCACTTTTTATAGTTGCAAAACGTAAAAAATATATTAAAAAACATGCAATTTATTTTCAGACTTTTCTAGACTTGGTTAAAGTTCAAAGAACTAACTAAAGATATTACTTAAGCCAGCCAAAGTGCCGCATCACTTTCAGATGGCAACTGCATAAGCATATTTGTAAACAAAAGTTGTTACGCTCGCATGACATTAAAGACATTTGTTTTTTCCGGTTTGAATCGCATTTTGTTACCGGAGAAAGGTTTCTTTTGTTTAAACACAACAATTGTAAATGAATAGTAGTTGTTGACTTTTCAGTTGCAGTTTTTCATTACAATCCATACTTTTGTTTTTAGTAATTATGTTGCACAAATGTCGGAAGCTCTTTTTGCTATTTTTCAGCTTGATTGTTATTCAGTTGTATTCGAAATTAATGTTATTATTATCCAATTGGTGGCAGTTTCAGTGGTTCTGATAAAAATATGTTCAACAACTTTGCATATAGATAAAGACAATTTAGATTGAATATATTAATCAATTAATATATACCATTAAATTTATATATCTGCATCCATTCACATAAAAAGTATGGCATAAACTTATAGAAATCTATCTCTACAGAAATCTAAATAAATTATAAATATTCTAAGAATTACAAGTTTAAATTATTATTATTATTAAAATTCTAGAATACCCACTAAAATTCCCAGCAAAAGCGCTTGCCTTCTAAATTGTGTCCAGGCGATTTACATAGTCAACGCTAGCATAGAATAATATGCAGGGTATCCGCTGCTTAATCAGCCCAATTCTTTTGCGATCATTGTGTTGAGATTGGGATTGTGATGAAGAAGAAGGTGTTGCTGACGTGCTGCTGAAGCGCGGCGCAGATTAATCATAGAGGCCCACACTACCAAGAGAAGTATTGCACTGCAGTGCATCGCAGCGTTGAGCTGCTGTCACTTGTCAGTCAAAACAGCCAAGGCATTAAACGGCCTATAAAAATGTATAAAAATAGATTGCAAGCATATCGCAGTTTCCATCACACAGAAACCGACGCAGTTCCAGTCCCAGTCTCAGTCCCAGTCCCAATCCCTGTTCCAGTCTCAGTCCCAGTCCCAATCCCAGCATGTAATATATCGCGCTCCTAGGCTTAATTGTTATTATTGTTGAGTGTTGAGATGGCAGCCGGTGAGACGCCTTTGCATCCCGAGTGCAGAATGTTCGCAACATGTCAAAACTTTTATGGCTTTTTAATGATCATTTACAGAACTCTGAAGGCTTACATTTTAATTATTTTAAATTGAATTTTACCTATTCAAGCACAATCGTATGAAAAAAAAACTTGTTGGAATTTCACTTTCAATATTTGTATGGTTAAAAAATGCACACTTCAATTATAAACAAAGCTATTTAAATTATACATATTTTAATCCAGTTTATCTCTCACTCGCAAGGGCATTAAAACTTCGGTGCAATTCCCTTTTATTCAACTTGGTTTTCTGCTGACGTATGTTTAAGAATCTTTGCGGCTTTGCAAAGTTGAAACGTTCGTTTTATCTACGATTTTTTTATCTAAGTATTTTGTAAGCAAATAAATAATACGTTAAGATTTAAACAGCAGACAAAATATTTATACATATGCGCATTCGTCTGGACATATCTATGTATATATATATTTATATATGTAAATGTAAATGCTCAAAACAATTTCCTCTATATATATATATAAAAAATACTCACAAACTTAAATCTTCACTGACAAAACAAAAAAAATGTTGTCAAAACAAAACAGTTACTGCTTCTAAACTAAAGACAGATATATCTTATTGTTAGCCAATCAGACAAATGTGCTGTTCCCACTGTGAATGTTGCAATTAATACATATTGAACAACATTGTTAATAACCACCAAATCAAAGTAATCTATAGAGACCTTGGCCTTACTTGAGTTTAACATTCGCATGAAATTTAATCAGTCAGTTCAAGTTCAACGTCGATAAAAAATAAATTGCAAAAGGTTTCAAAATTCTATTGTGCTTATGCTTAAAATGATTAATACTCCACTGAGCAGAAATTTGTTCTTGACTATTTGCATACTGCATTAACAATAGTTGTGTAAATATCTAAAATCTAAGAATGTGAAGAATGTTATCAAATGAAGTTTATTTTTGATAACTAGATCATACTTTTGTGCTAATTATAGTTTGCTTACAGCCTAACAACAATTACAATAGATAAGCCACAAGTTTATCTAGCTAACTAACCACAATTCACCTTCGCTTAATGTATTTCAAAGTTTCCACATGCGATATATACAGATAAAGAAAAAGAGGTTATATAATTTGTTAAATCTTAAAATTTATTTGTTACAACAGGTATCTTCCCATAGCATTCTTAGATTAAGTACTGCTTACTAGTTTCAATATATTGTTGAGTTTAATTAAATAAAGCGTCAAAAGTGTCTTATGGCCATGCAGCCTGCTTCAGTTTAAGCCGTTTCGTTTCTCTTTTGATTTTCGATTAGGTTGCACTCAGGAGTCATACTTTCACGACCTTTTCTGTGGAATGACCTAACAGTTCAAGTGAATGAACGACAAAAAAAAAAAAACAAATACAAAAAAAAAAAGCGATGAAGCATATTCAGTTGTGCACAACATTCAATTAGTAAATTTAAAGTTTGGTTGCTGTTTTTCGTTTTTATATATATATATACATATATATTTTTATTTATTTTTGTAGTCAAACAATGAGGCGGAACTTGACTTGATTTAAGTTTTTATGGAAAGTATCTGTACTTTTTGCTCTGCATCTTTTACGCTAAACGTTAGATAAATTGCTTTATGAAAGTGCAACAGGAAGAAAATTCGTAGACAATTCAGACATAAACGAAGAAAAACCAAAAACAACGTTATTGTGTTTGTTGATGAAATCCAAGAGATAAGCAATTGGTCGCCTTATAAACTAATAATCGGCGGCCAGCAAAATGGCCACAAAATTAGCCAGGTAACTTAACGACGACACTTGTGAAAGTTTTCATTACATATAAATAGCATAGCCATAGATCAGCCGCGATACTGATCAACCACTTTTGTTATTTTTTTTTCTTGTATATAGTGCCATTGTTTGCCTGTGTTGTTGCCTGCGAGGAAAGTGAAAAAGGCGCATCAAACTTTGGTTAATAGATTCTTAGGCAAAGTATTGCCAAAACCTTTGATTTTGATCCAAAATTTGTTTTGGGCTTTCAACACTACCAGCAGCACGACAAAACTCATTTATTGCCAGTTGCAATCAATTTAAATATGTAAATTTTTTTATTTTGGAATTTACACTTTCTGCCAAATGAATATTTTTTTTGCGATTTTCACCAACTTTTAACTTCGCATAACTTTGACAGCTAATCGTAGCATCAGCATGTATAACAAATGCAATGAAATCAATCTCCAAGTAAGTAAGAAATGAAAAATTCGGTGAAACGGAATTTTTGTAGCGAATAGCAGCGAAATAAACTTAACGAAAATAATTATTGTTGAAATAAAAAATCCGATTTTATAATACTTATAAGAGATAGTTGGCCAATACAAAAATACATTTACTTTATGCTGCCCAGAAATATACTTCTATATTACTTAGATACGTATGTGAAACTTTATTAATTTATTTGTATGGGTACAGTTTATAATTTGGACTTGATACTCTGCTGGCAATTGGAGTTTAGTTTGAGACCGATTGGTAATCAAAATCAGTATATTAATGTAAGAAAGTAACAAATAATTACAGACAGATTACGTAAGTAAATTTAAATATTTTGAAAATTATTCAAACATCAGTTTTTACAAATGATATCACATTTCATTTGATACTTGCGCTTTCACAACGCAATCCGTCTTGTTGCGCTTGGTTAGATAAGGAATTGGTCTCATCAACTTTAATCGCCACTTCCAAATCACCCCGATTATGAATATACATATGCAGACAGACATACATAGATTTGTACATTTGTTGATGCATACATATACATATACATATACACATACGTGCTTTAATATGAAGCTTCATTAGCCTTGCACCAGCTTTCTTTGCTTTTTGAGCTAAACTCATGCGGATGCAGGCGGACAGTTTCAATGTGGGCGTGACTGCAACTGACGAGGTCGTGAGTATCGCACAACTTGCTGTTTGAGTGTGCAACAACAGCAACAACAGCAACAACAACAACAGCAACAGTAACATAACGTGCCGACACAAAAGCTGATTATGCCCCTCTTGGCACTTGGCCTGCTAGATTTGTAGGCAGGTCCTAACCAAATCTCTCGTCCGACCAACACAAGTAAGTATTTGTTTTGCTCTCCAATAGCCGTTTACATTAGTCATCAGCATATCAAAATGTAATTACAAAAATGTGTAACAGCAGAAGCAGCAGAAAACTGCACAGGACTCAGTCTATAATTATTGCAACATGCAAATGTAATGGAAAATATGTTGACTTAAATAAAATACAAATTTTAAAAAATGCTCAGATAAATAAACATAATTTTGAAAGAAATTAATTTGCATTTGATTTGCAAGTAAAAATTATATTTTGATTTTAATTTATAATATTGCAAATTGAATTAATTTTTTTATTTATTTAGCTTAACTTTAAATTTAGCTTTAGAATTGCATCAAAAGCATAAATATTAATTAAAGTGTTAAGTTCGTTTAAAGTGTTTTGTATTTCCAATTTACTTTGAACTCAAATTCCTTCAGATAAAGAGAGAAAAAGTGCATTTAAATTGCTGCGAACAATTATTACACATACAATTGGGAGTTTATTAGACCCAAAATATACACAAACATCAAAAGCTAATGTTGCACAAAATGCAACTGCAACGAAATAAAGCTGAAATCCAAGAGGGCAAACCGGGCTGACTTTTGAGTGTTACCACACCAGCATCGAGCGCACCAGCAACTACAAACAGCAACAACAACAGCAACAACGGCTAACTGAGTCTGATCTCTTGCCCCTCCCACTCCCACTCCCAGTGGCCGAGTCTGACGGTCGAGTAAGTGGCTGGCCTAGGCAATGGGTCTCTTCAAACAGCAGGGCAGTGACAGTGGCAGAGGCAGAGGCGCAACATAACATGCAACATTACATGCCTATAATTTGTTTTCACACAGCAGGACGTTTTCACTCCATAAGACATCAGCATAAGGTTTTAAATAGTCACATTACGACTATTGCCAACAGCCGTTCAAATGGCACCGCTCCAAGTGGCATTATGAATGCCGGTGGCAAGCAACACAGCGCCACAGCGCCACACAGTGGCCAATGGGATGACTTAAGTTGATCTTCATTTGGTATATTAGAAACTATTTAAGATTATTAATATTTGAGTAATTGGGTGTAAGTAATGTAAAATATCTCATTAATTCAATTGAAACGTTTCAAAATATATGTGAAAATCTTGTTTCAGATAATTTTTTATTTTAATTGATCAGCATTTCACTTTAATCGATCACTTATAGCGCCTTATAACCCCTTTAAACAGTTGTACACATATCAATCTATATTGAATTCTATTCAAATACAATTGAATTTCGAAATAGAAAACATTAAAGTCCTTTTACTGACGATAATTTATCAGATTATTATCATAAAAACTTTTATAATTTATTGAAATAAATTTTGACTAGATTTTCTACGTAAAACATAGAAAATTGTCTATAATTGAAAAACTATTTTTTTGATTTTCAGATTAAGTAAAAATGAATGTAAAAATATACGCAAACTTTTTAAGTTTTTCTACTAATTACTATAAAATGAAAGAGCAACTCAAAACATTTGCTATATTTCAATACATATATGACTTTTCAATTAGATATGTCCTTAATTAGTAAATAATTTAGCAGATAGTGAGCTTAAATTTGACATATTATAAAAGGGTAAGATTGAAAAACAAATTTTTTGATTTTAAGATTAAGTGCAGTTCTAAAAAAATATACAATTTTTGATTATTGAAGAGCTTTCATACTTTTTGAAAATGTCCTATACTTTTAACTTAGGTTTCTAATATCTGTATCCTGTACCATATCAAATTTCTTTTTAATTTTTAAAAAGTCTTTAGCTATGCTCACTTAAAAGTCTGATGATTAAATTCAAAAGCTTTTCCGTGTAAGCATTTATCTAAACTGTTGTAAAATGATGGATTTCTTAAGCGGTTTACCACGTCAAATGCAATGAATAGCGGACATCAAACACAGCGCATATAAGCTAGTTAGTCATTAACTAACTTTAACTTACAGCTGTAATTCTTTAGTCACAGTTTGACACGCTCGCAAACATACACACACTGGTACTAAGTTAGTTAGTATTGGTATTGAAGCATGCATTATTTGCGCTTATCAAATAAAATATGACAAACAGCCTAAACCGCCTAAGTAAATCGACAATCAAGTTGCCTCTTGAGCGCTAAGTAAAAATATATCCAACAAAAAATGTGTGTAAAAATAACAATATTTAAATACGAAAAAAAAGAAAAAACTGTTTATTTAGAAATTGGTCACTGACTGGACTGGCACTTATTTTAAGAAGACAAAAAATACAATAATAATATGCAATATGAATAGCGAAAGTATGCCTCTTCAATAAGAGGAAGATGAAGCAGCAGCAGCAGCAGCAGCAGCAGAAACAGCCAACACGCAGTCCAAAAATTATGATGATGAAAAAGCATCTTCAAAATACACTCATGCTTTGCCTTTTTTTACAGCATTTATCTTCGTTCGGCTTCTTTGCCTGCAGTTGAGTACCGAGTAGTTTTTCTTCTTCTTTTTTTTACATTTTGGTGAGCAAAAGTTGCTTTTCATGTTGTTTTTGTTTTGTTTTGGTTGTTGTTGTTGTTGTTGTTTTTTTGGCCGCCTTTTTTTCGTATTTTTGTAAATGAAATGAAATCGAAATATAGGTCGATGCTCGCTGCTGCTGCGACTGTGCTGTGATTGCTACCAAATGATCTTTCTGCCAGACATAAGAGTCTGAACTCGAAACACACTTCTTCCCATCACATTGGCAAAGAAAATACAACAACTACAACAACAACAACAACGAAATTACCATAGTGAAACGTACTCTTCATTGAACCCAATAATTTTTTTGTTTTTGATTTTTTTTTTTGTGAACTTTTCTTGAGTGGACTTAAATACAGGAAATTCGCATGCGCTAATGTGACCTATTTTGAGCTTTGTGGTATCTTAATGCATTCTTTGCAGATCTGTCTCTAAATTTAAGCACTGCACATAGTTTGCATATATTTATATTTATATTTATATTATTCAAAGGAGCGAAATAAACAAAACTTAAACTCGATACCTATATAAAAATAATTAAATTCAAACAACTAAAAATACACACCTAATTTTTTTTTATTCGGATTTTTTTTTTTTTTTGTATTTTCGCGCACTTTTACACTGGTCAATTGTTGTTGTCACTTTACCATTATTAACGAATGCCGTATCTTAAATAAAAAATTAAATCAACTATGGGTTTATCCGCGACACTCCGCCAGTTACGACCGTTGTCAATCGCGTTCGATTGCACTCTATCAGTTCTCTCGAGAGCGCAGCTAGTGCTGGAACATATCGATAGTTTTGTAATGTACGAGCGAGTGAACTGTGCGGAATCAAATGACTCCTATTGGAACTTAAAACTTAGCCGTTTTCTTCAAATGTGGATTCTGCGGCATTACAGTTACATAAATATACATTTCAGCATTCAGAATTGTTTAGCCAACAACTGATTATTTCACGACAGGTATAATCATTTGAATTCTGTGCATAGTCAATATATGATGTTTCATTAGCATATATAAGATAGAATGAGATTTGAATTGTTGAAATACTGTAGCTAAGTTATTTAATTAAATTGAAGTACAAAATTTCAATATGTTCAATAAGATCAGCACCGATCAGTGCCGATTATTTTCCAAATGCCAAATAATCGATGTTGACATGTCATCTCTAATTTCAGCCGTATTCGGTCACACTGTCAGGGCGTTGACAGCGTTGTTATTAGTTAATAAACATATTTTGACCAATTGTAAATAACAACGATTTCATTTATTAAAAATGGTAGTATTGAGCTCCTGTTGGTCACCAATAATCTGGTCAAACAATGTACGCACTGGCAGCTATGCAGTTGCCGGCTATACGGCAGCGTTAAGTTTCGTATTAATTACGATAATTTGCTATATGCTAGCTGGCGGAGAATCTGGACAACTTTATTCGCCGTTGTTTGAAACGGACATCCGGAGTTCCATGCCGATCGCTGGTGGCTTCTTCATAATCTACTTCATTTTAATTATAATTGCCTCCTATATGGTATACCATGGCATCAAAATTAAGTGAGTTTTGCACGTGTGCGTCTTGGAGAGTATATAAATAAAGAATATGTATTTCTTCCACAGCACCCGTGGCTGGCTGTTGCCCTGGCTATTTTTAGTTGGACTCGCGATCCTTTTCCAGTTTGCCTGGAGCCTCTGGTTAATTGGAGGCTATTACATATACGTGAGCATATATACACCAAAAATATACATATAATTTCTAAATATTATTATTTGTAATAGCTGGAGCAAACATTCTCGGCGCTGTTGAACTTTCTTTGGATGGCTTACAATGTAAGTTGTTTAAATAATTACAAACCTTTGGCATTTTTTGTTTAATACAAATCCTTTCAGTTATACTGCTGGCTCGTTGTCTTCTCGCAATATCAAATCTTCTTGGAGTTACAGAATCCAAATATTGAACTTTTAATGCCATAAGGATGAATCTCTTTTTTTGGAGATGTCGACAGCTAATCGAATATATACTATTTGTAAAGCATTTAAAAGCGATGCGTTTAATCTAGAAGTATTTAAACAACCAATCCGTCCATAGAGTAATAATTCAGTGACATTCTATTTTTGACTACAAAATGTGTCTTAAGCGTACATAATCAATTTACAAATATGTATTTTATACAACACGACGAGTGTATATTTACACAATTTTCATATTTATACAAATAAATTTACTATTTTACTATACAAATGTTTTGTTTTATGTTAAATGTTGAAATGAATATAGTTATGTAAATCTGGTTTAAAATATTACAATAGTCGCTCGAAAATAGTAATGATTCTTTGATTTTCTGCCTGCCCTAAGATACCATAATCATAAAATATTGTAATTTAAGTATAGATTATTTTTTTTGTTCATATACTTTTTCGTTTTTTAATAAATGTACCCCTAATTTTGCCAATTTAATTTCAAGACTAATAATACTTTCGAAGCTATATTTAGGCGACAATTGTTTCATTCCAGATGTCTTTAGAATGGTGTGAATTCAAGCTGTGTCAACATAATATTGATCTAAGCCAAGTTGGCTGCAAGCCCATAATTGATTGGCACATAACTTTGCGATATTCCGTATGAATATCAATGTTTATTAGCATTTGTTAAATTTTAATTCTTACAGATAATGTAGCGAGAACGTTTATACAAAAAATAACTTAAGCCACTGTTTCATAATGTGGATACAAAGGGCCGTAGGCCCAAACAATAGACAAATTGAAAGTTTCACAAATTGAAGAAGCGAATAATTTACATAGTGCGGAGCCCTGGCTGTAATGTCTAATTTTAACGGCTTAGTGTTTGACACAAAACTGTTTTTTTTTCTTTTTTTTAACCCGGTTTTGTTTGGATTTAGGTTTTCTCCTCCTTCTCCTTGTTGTAGCGCTCGAGCTCCTTAAGGAATTGCGCCTTCGGTTTCATGACATTCGGTCGCTCGCCACGACAATTCGGGCAGAACCATCTACCCTTTGGCTTCAGCACAAGTGAAACGCACGAAAAGTGAAACCACTCGATGGGGCACAGATCGTTGTCGCAGAGTATCATTTCGCCAAAAGAAATCTGCAAAGATAAAACCAAAATCAATAACAAATTCTGTTGTTGAATAACATAAAATATGGAAATACTTCATACCTGATTACAGACGCAATACGTTGGCTCATCGGGATCGATGGGCTCTGGTGGCGGCGTTTCCTCCCGTGCATTCGCTGCCGTATTCGAAGCGCCTGCGCCACGCACTTTGCGTTTCTTTTTCTTGCCCGAGTTGCTGCCACCGCCGCCGCCGACATTGCCAGCACCACCAACACCACCACCGCCGCCGCCAGCACCACCAGATCCGCTGCCGCCAGCGGTGACAACACCACCACCAGCGCCAACACCACTTCCAACCAGCTGTACATGACTCTTGCGCTGGCCCAAAGCACCGCCAGTCATGACAGATTTACGCTCACTATTCCCATTGCCACTGCTGCCTGCTTCGTTTGCTGAATTTGATTCATTGCCGCCCATCTCGTTGGAGCTGCCATTGTTGGGCGCACTTTCGTTGCGTCGCCGCGAACGTTTGCTGCCCGAACGCTGAAGATCGCTGCTGTTGCTGCCACAGAAGGTGCCATTGAATCCATTGTTTGCACTGCTCGTTAAATGGCTGCCACGGTCATATGTGGGCGTTGAGCCGCCGCCGCCGCCACCATTCCCACTTAGGCCAACACCCGTCGCCGCGACAGCGATCACGGCACCATAACTAAGTGCACCATAGTGTTCCTTAGCCACGGAGTTGGCTGCATTGCTTGCGGACAAACCGGTGCTATTTAATACATTGTTGCCGGCGCTGTTGCCCTGATCACACATGGGGCTCTGTAACCGCTGCAATTTGGAGGCGGGACTATCGTCGAGCAGAATATAACGCTGTTCACGCTCCTCCTTCAGGTCGAGATTCTGCTGATCGGTGTCCAGTTGTCGTACCTTCGCATCGATTATCTCCTGCAGATGATTGACAATCTGCATTTTCTCATCGCCCAGCTCCTGGGCCTGTATTAGGCTCTGATGCATACGGGTTATGGAACGGCAGCGACGTTGGCTGTCCGGTGAGTTTAGATGCAGCACATAAAGGTCATAATAGTGATCCACATCACGGATGAGACCTATTGGACGGATATATAAAAAGGTCATAAAAACTTTCCTTATCATTTTTTTTGTTTCAATTTTTTACCTCGGTACTGCACATCGATGTCACGGATGCGGGACAGCTGGCGCTGCACATCGTCGGGCAAGTTCTCCACGGAATCCAGATAATTATCCACATAAGTGGCCGAATTTATTGCCTCCGATTCGGATGCAATCATGTTGGCGGTTTTTTTGCTATTCACTTCTGCTATCTGCGGTCCTACGACATTGACTTTTTCACAGCGGTCACGTTCATTACAAGAATAAATTTTCAATTGCTTGTAGAAATTTTTGGACTGGTAAGGTTTTACGCTGCCAAATTTAAGTTTCAATTTTTTTAAGATGTTGCGACTGTACGCTTGTATTTGTGTATGTGCATGTGTATAATTTGTGTGTTGGAAAACATTAGAAGGTTTAACATGGTATTAAGCGTTAACAGTTCGATTGGGGCTCTTTGACGCGTTAACATGAGCCAAATTGTGCGTCAACGTTTAATTTAAATACCCCCCAGCACACAGGAAACATTTTGGGTTTGGCTTGATTCAATTTTCTATTTTAATGTTGCCCATTATTATTAGATTTTAAAGGTCGCGCCAATACTGACAAAGTTTTTTCATGGTAAAAGAGTGGCTTACAGTAACATAAATACTCATAACATAATGTTAGCTAACAGTTATTTACTACAGAAACATAACTATCGATGTGTTATTAACATTTCAAGACGAGCCGAACAGTGTGACCGAGAATATTTAGTAATTGAGCCACCGATATGTCAACCATTTATTACATCGATTAATCACTCCATCTCATTCTATTTCGATTGAACAGTCTGTGTGGATGCAGTTTTAGCCGGTCCGCTCTTGTGTGCACTTTTAAAATAAATAAAATTTCAATTAAAGTTCAAGTTTGCAGCGCTCTTGCGATATTAAGTGTGAAAACTATTGGCAATCTACCAAATCAAGAAAAACAATCGAAAATAAGCAAAATGATCGCCAACTTTGATATTGCCGACAACAAACCAAGCAGCAAGTAAGTTTTTGCCCATTTTTCATAATTTTCTGTCATTTGGTCAGTGTGCATGTGTATGTATTATGTACACATGCATATGTAAAATAACATTTTTAACGGAGTCCTAAATGGCTGTCGGCCCACTTAAACTGTTTTGTATGTATCTACATACATACATAAATACTAATTTCTGCATGGACGTGCGTGTGTATGTGTGTGTGTGTGTATGCATGCAGTTTCTTTAGCAATATGCGATCAGTGTTGGTTTATCGCAAGACGAGGCTGTATATGATGTTTTTTCCTCTTATGTATGTAGTAAGATAAAAGGAAATAACCAGCGTAATCCACATGCATTTCCTTCTTATTTGAATATTATATACGATCGTGTCATTTGTAACTTAAGTCAATCGGTTTCTTCCTCTATGTCTTGCTTTTATTTTTTTTGTTTTACTTGTGTACATATGGACTAATTTGTTACATTTCACAATGGCCACCACTATTTGTCATTTTTTTTGGTTTTTTTTTTTTTTTGACATGCACTGAAACCCATAGCAGTGCAGTAAACACCCTTGACAACCGATATCCCACACACACACACATACTACCACGCATTTTGGATATTAGTGCCCGACCCCTCAAAATGTATGTTATCTGCTTTTCCATTCGTGTGCTGCACTTCAGGAAGTAACATTTGAAGACAACGACGATGGCAAAGGCCAATTTTGAATACAGCATGATGAGTCATTGGATATTTTTCTTTATTTGAGCATTAAAGAAGTGATCGCATTCTTTTAAAATAAGAAATAATATATTTTAGTGCTGTTGTCATTCATTACTCATGAGTTGATTGGAAAAATAAGTTTAGTTGAAATTTAAACTATTCGCATCACTTTTGAATCGAAACGTTCTAGTTTCGAAGCGAACAATATTAATTGTTATCGATTATCACCAGCTGCGCCCAGCTGCTTTTGTTTTTACACTACCGATGGGCGCGAGATATGAATTGAAATATTTATTTGTTTTCATTCTCTTTGGGGGGCCAAAGATTAAATGTGTATTTAAGATAACATAAGAGCGATATATTGATGATCTTAGTCACACACACACACACAATGGCGGTTTTCTCATAAAACCGCTCCATTTTCCGCTGATTGTTTCTATGGCAGCTTGTGTGTACAAACAAATTCTCTGACATCGGCACGAGTTCAGCTCTAAATAGGACAAGTCACTGCTAGAAAATGTATTATTTATTGATGATGGACATCAGCAACAACCCCAAGAAATTTCCGGCTTACTACCAACCCGGCTAATGCCCGCCACTGTTCTCATTTTGCTCATTTTCTCTTTGTGTTCCATACAGTGAACACTCGTAAATTGGAATGAATTGCTGATTGCTCTTTTTTTTTGTTAATTATACTAATTGCAGACGGGTCTTTTATTCCTTATACACGAATTTTATGACTGCATTTAATTATTGATTTTACTAAAAGCAAGGAAATTCATATAGATTTTTACCATTAAATGTATTTATATGACTAGAAGTATAACTAAAGAAACGAAAATAATAGATAATTATACATTTTGAAAATTCGGAATTCCGAGCAAGCACTATAGTAATTTTTGTTTTTTATTTGATTTTTTGTAAGCTGAGCGTGCGCTCTGAAATGCATTGGTATTGGGCTGCCTTTACACTTGGTGGGCTCTCAGCCAAGTCATATATGTATATATTAACATGGTTTGTTTAAGTATTAGCGGTAACTAGTCACGCGACTTTATTTAATATTTTTTTGTTGTACCTATTGTGCTTGCCGCCAATGTGCAAGTAGCAGAAAAGTGCATTGAACTTTCCTACTACATATTTATATAGTATCCATAGTGCCTTGCATGTTATTACGTGTTTGCCACACTGTTGTTGTTGCTGTTTTTGTTGTTCTTCTTTTCGCCGTTGAACAATTGTTGATTTTTACTGGCTTTTGCCTTACTCCTTAATTGAGCTTCTAGAACTAATCGTCATTGACGCAGACATAGAGAATGGGATAGGCAAAGAAAGAGAATGGTAAAATCTCAGGTAGGTGCAACCGGCTGTCTGGATTCGTTTCGAGACTGTGATATTTACAAATAACGGGAGAAGACATACGCACGTATGTGTAAATAACTGTGACTCATGCCGAGATAAACACCTCTTGCTGCTGCTGCTGCTAGACAATCCAATAAAAAAAAATCAAATAATAATAATGGGCGCGTGTTCAACTGTTCAAAATAATAATACAAGACGGACACGCATCTGACACAAATTTTTAATTGTTTAAATGCTGTCAAATATCTACAAAATGTGTGCAACTGAAATGGATCTGCGTGCCAAACAAAAAGAATTCAAATTTGCTAATAAACATTATAGAAATCAGTGCCACACCCAAATAGTTTGAATAAATACATAAACATATATTTAATGAGAATTTCTAAAATTTCTGGATCTACATTTAAAATGAGCAGCTGGCTCACAGATAAGATTACTTGCAAGAATCAATAAAGTTTAAAAATAACATAAACAAAAATGAGTAGCCAATTATGTCCGTACTTGGTGACAGTTCCACTGCGTTAATTCTTTTTATTTAAATTTTATTGGCAAATACGAACGCTTCGTTGAACACAGAAAAACACACAGACTTGAATGGACATGGACTGAGGAGGTCGTTGTACAACGTCTGCCAATTGCTCATAAGAAACCAAGCAAACACATACATATAGAAAATGTATTCTGCTTAATTACTGCAATCATGTGTCATATGGGTATTCATTAATTGGGGGGGTACACATAAAGATGCTTTGCTTGCTATGAATCTGAAATCTGAAAGAGAACAATTGTAAATATATTGACTTATTTATTGATTATTAATGTACACACTTTGATAGCTTCAAAAATGTACATCATTAAGGGTATTAAGATTGCAGTCTGAGAGTCAGTCAGAGTTTCTCAATACGCCTTTGTGCGCTTGTGGCAGTGGCCACTTTATATGCATATGCCCGATGAAAATGAAGTGCATGACAAAGGCATTTAACAAGAGACTATGCCTTGCTGGTTATGAATCATTAACGTGTATCTCGGCGCGCCTTTAAAACGCGACTTCAGGTGAATCCTATAAATAAATGCAAAATTTTAGTATTCCAGCTGTGCATTATAATAATCCTGGTATACTCATATACATATACGCCTAAGCCATTGAACTATAACTTTGCCAAATGAAGCAAACATAAATAAATAATGCCAGCAACCCTTTTTTGTCATTTGTCTTCTAGCTGCCTGCCCTCCCATCTATTCTGTTTTTTCTGTCTTAAAATACATTTCTAAAGAATCGTATCGAAACTACCAACTGCATGCGAATGTCTCTCAACAGCTTAAAATTAGATACATATAAAAAAAAAGAAAAATATTCTAGAATTTTCTCAATTTAGAAAAATACGAAATTGGCTAGTATCGGACTGGATCCATCCCAGGGGCACAATTAGTTGTCTCAAGCAGAATAAGAGGTTGTTGTTAAGACTGCCAGAGTAGCAAATTAAGCACGAACTTTGCAATAATTTTGACACTTTGCACGTTTCGCTTCGCGAAGGGTAGAAATGCATTCATTTTGCGGATTTACGGATTTAACTAAGCCATTTTTGGGGTGTTTTTGCCGCAACGCAAAAGTCAACTGGGGCTTTGATTATATTGCATGGTCGTAAAGCAGGCAGGAACAGGGTGGATTATCGACAGAAATACGGAAATGCCAGACAAACGAGCAGACAGTCAGACATAGCATTGCAATGTTGTTCTCTTTCACTTGAAAAGCTTTTGCAATTTCTCAAAATACTTTTTTGAATAAGTAGCATCTCTGAAATCTGTAAAGTTGCATGTTACTTCTGGTTGTTGTTGTTGATCAGCGTATGGACATAGCAGGCAATATCAGTCTGAGCTGAAAATGATTGGACTGCATACATGAATAATGCAAGGCAAGCGAGCGAGAAGATCTCTTCTGGAGTTCATTCGCATTTGACACTTAACCAACAATTTCGCATGTGAAGACAATCAGTAAGGGGAAAGTTTATCTTCTCTTTTTTAATGACACTGCACATTTGTATTTGAATTGTAACTCCCTCCATGCGGAAGCATCCTTGAGAGCTTCACTTCAAACTGTAGGAATCATGATTTAGTTTCAAGTTTAGTTTGTCATTTACTAATGGAAATTTTGGTAAAAAAAAAAAACGTTTGGTATTACAAGAGTTGAATCTATCAAGCAAATGGGTTGTTTATTATATTTATTATAATTCAAAGACTTCTTAGAAATTAAATTTTTGCAAGTGCAACCAAGAGTCAGTGGAGCTCCATA